ACGCACCCAAGCCACCATCCCTGGCCCACAGCTTCTGGCCAGAGGGCAAGAAGATTACCCTCCCCCAATTGTCAAAAAATTATGTTAAATCACTGTAAAATAAAATGAAACCATGGTTAACACTTACAGCACTGCAGGATGCAGACGAAAGAAGTACAGTAACAAAATTTCGTAGATTTCCAGCTGATAAAATACATCAAATGCAATGGTTAACAGCCATGAAGAGAGTTCTAGTGGATGATCCATCTACAGTGTGGCAGACAAAGCCTCATGACAAAATCAACATGTCAATAAAGTAGAGTAAGGTAGAGTAACTCAAGATGGAGCCGGTGTGCTTGGCTGGCCGTCTTCCTCTGCTTGTTATTTTAATATTTTTCTGTTTTCTGTGCCATGTTGCTGATTCTCTGCTGGTGTATGATTGCCATACGCTTCTGGACCTTCGTCTCTCTGCTGGGAATACTTTTGATAAAGTTGGGCAGGATACTTTGCCACCGCTGTTGGCTAGGATTCCAGCTTACCTGTGCCATGCTCCAGTGCCTCCGCCCTGGATGAGGCGTTCATTGAGTCAGGGGAAACGCCGAGAGAAGCGAGGCGGAGCTGGCAAGGCTGAAGTTTGGGCAGCTACCTCTTCCTGGTGACTGACAGAACCTTCAGTGTCTTACTGGGGAATTTTACTTCCTCTAATGCCTCATTCTCTTGCGGGGTTCCCCAGGGTTCTGTGTTGGGCCCATTGTTGTTTTCGCTGTATCTGCTACCACTTGGCTCAATTTTTAATAAACAAGGGTGTCAGTTTCACTGCTATGCAGATGATTCCCAGGTTTACGTGCCTTTTAAGAGGGGACACAATCATGCTTTGCAGTCTCTTTTAGATTGTCTCATTGAGGTCAGGCAATGGATGTTCTCTAACTTCTTTCTTTTTAATGATAAAAAGACAGAGGTTGTTGTCTTTGGACCAAGTACTTTGACTAGGGTGGGTGCAGTGGACCTCGGTCATCTCGCCCCATTCTTGAAACTGAGTGTGATTTCTCTGGGTGTTGTACTGGATGGGGATCTTGTTTTGGACAGGCAGATCAGTACACTGGTTTTTATCAATTAAGAAGGATCCCCAAATAACTTGCTGTCAAAAAAGGATATTGAAACAGTAATTCATGTATTTATTACATCAAGGCTTGATTACTGTAATTCTTTGTACTTTGGTGTTGCACAATCCCACCTCTTACATCTACAGGTGGTGCAGAATGCTGCTGCATGGCTTTCACTGGGACATAAAAGATGGAGCATGTTACTCCTGTCCTGGCCTCACTGCACTGGCTGCCTGTTTGTTTTAGAATCCAGTACAAGGTGGTTTTATGGGCTTTTAAGTCTCTGCATGGCCTTGCTCCAGAGTACCTCTCTGTGCTTCTGGTTTTTTATTCCCCTACACGGTGTCTGAGGTCGGCTGATGGTGCTCAGAGGTGACAGGGCTTTCTCTGTAGCGGCCCCCTAGGCTCTGGAATGCTCTGCCTTTGAGCATTAGGTCGGCCTCTTCCCTGTCTGGTTTTAAATCTCTTTTGAAAACCAATTTTTATGATTTGGCTTTTAACTCAGCATGAGTCTTTTTAGTGTTTTATCAGTGTTAGTTATTAAGCTTTAGTTTTACGCATTTTTATGTTGTGTATTGTTTTTAATGTCTGTGAAGCACTTTGGTCAGTTTTATACCATTGTAAGTTGCTATACAAATAAAGTTGCCTTGCCCTTGCCTTGCCAAGAACACAAACAAGTTATAGCAAGAATTATGGCAAGTAAGACTAAAACATATTATTTTGTCTGGCAGCGCTCCATTGATGGTTCTTGGTCGTGAGGCGGGTTCTACCATTGTCTTTCAAACAATCTCCACATGCTCCTTGACAACGAACAACATGACCTACTCACCACAATGGATGTCAGTAAACAAGGAGGTCCACTGTTGAAGAAGATGAAAAATGAAGGACTTAAATGCATCTCCTGATTCTAATAAAGCCCAAGTCCAAATAGTCCAAAATTGATGTAAAAGCTGTTTAAACGAGCTGTCGTCATCTTGTTCCACTCTGTCGCATCATCCCTCCCACCAAACCAATAGAGCACCTTGATTGGCCCACAAAGCCAATTGAGTGTAGTGATCAACAGCTTTAATTGTTTACGACCACATGAACCAGTTTGTCTGAAGCTCACAGCTTTTGTAAGTTTAATTTGTAAACTAGTGAGTTCTCAGAATCAGACACTGATGAACTAAACCAGGGTTTTTCTTTGTAGGCACAACCAGTGATAGCTCCAAATGATTCTAATACTTTTGAGTCTTTGCATGGTCATTCAGACGAATCTCTGACTGCCTGCTGTTTGATATAAACTAGGACAAAGTGGCCTGGTGTGCCGCTGCTGGTGTCTGCAGCTGCTCTCTGCTGGACTTGTTACAGTTGGATTTTTCAGGTTTTCTCTAATAATATAGACAGCAGAAAATAAAGCAAGCTATTAATTATTAAAACTGGCTCGTTGTCTAGATATTTTGCAGAGGTCAATATGAGAAAATAAAAAAAAGTTTTGCTCAGTTTGAAGTCAGAAGCAAGTAAAACTGTACAAGTAACAAAAACAGAAAACGAGACTTTATTTAAAAATCTGGTAACACTTTGGTTTAGGGAAATGTCATGGATTTTATCAATGTGTTTATCGATAACCCATTTCCTAGAATGAAGACAGAAGGAGACAATGAGCAGACAAGTCAAAAAGTTATAACTGTGGCAAGATGCCGAAGCAAATGCTTCGAACATCTGTTCACAGACTTTTATTTATAAGGAGAAATGAGGTAGAGAGAGAGTCAGTGTGTGTGTGTGAGTGGGACAAGAATGTGTGTGTTTATGAGTAAGTGAGCATGCAGAGAGGCATAGAGCAATACATTTACATCCAGTTGATTGAGTCCATGATGAGTCAGGAATTAATAAACATAGATTTTTCCATAACAGGAACACAAATGAACCATTAATTAGCTGCCAATTAATATGCATATTAGTGGACTGCTAGTCTTAACTAGTCATTATTAAGCACTTATTAAGAGCTTATTACTAATGCCGTAATTCTAACATTAACAAGCCATAAATTAAGAGTTTTATCAAAATAAGCCATTCATAAGGGTTTAACTGAAAGTAAATGGTGTGTTGCTGATTAACACACATACTAATTAGCTCAAATCAATATGTGGCTTTTAAAGAAGTAATTCAAGGGTAACACATTCTTGCCTTTAAGTGGTTAATTAATACTAAACTACTTTGTATGCACAAAATATGACTTTAGAATGGGGAACATATTCTTGCTTACAAGTGGTTAATTGATTGTTGTTTAGGCTCTATTAACAGGTGGAGTTTGGTGTTTATTTACATAATACCAGAACATAATATTTTTGGTTATTAACTATTCCCCTTAAATTACTTATTTAAAAGCCACATGTTGATATGAGGTAATTAGCATGTGTGTTAATCAGCAACAAACCATTTACTTTCAGTTAACAAACCATTATGAATGGCTTATTTTGATAAAACTCTTAGAATTACAGCATTGGTAATAAGCACCTAATAATAGCTTAATAATGACTAATTCAGACTTAGTAGTCCACTAACAAGCATATTAATTGGCAGCTAATTAATGGTTAATTTGTGTTCCCCAAACTGAAGTATAACCAAAAATCTATATAAATTTATTTATTTATTTTTGCTAAGTTTGTGGAGTCATTTAAAATAAACAGAGATGGTAATAACATACAAGAATATTTGACAGAGCACTTTAAAAAAACTGACTTATTACACATATAGGTCAAGGGTCACAGAGCTTACCAAACCAATTTTGAGTTCCAATTATTAGTTCTAAAGGTTTTGGAATCAATAAAATGACAAAAGTGCCCAAATTTATGCACCTGCCTAATTTTGTTTAAACAATTATTGCACACTTTCTGTAAATCCTATAAACTTAGTTTCACTTCTCAACTATCACTGTGTGTGTCTCCTATATGACAAATTTAATAGAAATTGTAACAACCAACGATTTCTACAGGAAAATCCTGAAGATTAGTAAGGCTGCCCAAACCTGTTGCATCCCACTGTATAAATATGCTCTGTGTTTGACTTCTGTACATAAGTGGATGTCCAACGCTATTGGCTAATGCTGAGCGGTGCTTGATTCAAATTGCATGAGGCTCTACAGAATGGGGGCAGGCTTAGCAAAAAAAGAGATATGTTGCCCACAATATATCACATCACAAGGTAAGACTATCACTTTTACAGATTTTTGAAAACAAAACATAATTCCTGAGAGAGAGAAAACTCTGGATTGCTGCTTCAAATCCCACACTGGCTATATAAGTAAACTACGGAATCAAATTTTAAGTGCTACAGCTAGTTTATAAGTTAGTCAGTGGCGTAGGGCCAAATTGCATGTTGGATCACCTTGCAGTATGGTAGAGCCCCGAGTCAGAACCAAACAGGGTGAAGTCATGAATGACCTCAACATGGCCCGTCTCTGGTAACATTTAAATTCATGTTGATCTTATGCTGCACCCTCTGCACTGCAACTGCTCGGCCTTGGCCTTTTGTTGTACTTGTGTACTTAAATTTAGATTTTAAATCATTCTCTTTTATGTTGTCACAGTGATTTGAAGGTTTTATAATTTACTATTTTTTGTTTTCACATTTGAAAAGGCCCTTTAATTACCTCGTGGGAAATGTGCCTTGCCTTACCTAAGTGATTTCGACTTACAGGTCTACAGATTTTGACGTTTGACATTCTACTGATCATCAAACTCACTGGGATTCGCTTAACAGCGGTGAACATACAGCCCTCCATGTTCAAAGCCACACAGCTGCAGTGGCTAACGTGTGCATAACCCCCTCCTTTTTTCCTGGTACCATGCGGTCTGGAACAATCCCCGCCTGCAGTGTTACTCATTCAGAAACACTCCCACTCCCTCCCCTGCCTTCTTTCTCTCCCTCTCTCTGTCCTACTTGCTCATTCACTCACCCTCATAGTCACACCACCCAGCTCACTCTCTTTCTCTCTCTCTCGTTCTCTACTCATGGACTCACTCATGGTCAGGTCTGAGTATAAAGCTTGTCCCAGGGAGACTGGGGGGATCTACACTCATATCTTCCTCTAAGGCACCAGTTGAACTCACTTGGAATGGATGTGGTATAACAGAACATCAAAGAACTCTCTTCTGACATCTTTCTCAGGTAATTGTCCTTTTCCTCCAGCGCGTTCTGCAAGCTGCCTCTTTTTTTAGACCTTTTCGATGGAGGCGTCTGTTTTTCTTTCTGAGAAGTGAACAAATGTCCTGTGAGTCGGTAGCTTGGCGTTCACTGTATTATATAGGCCAAAGGTTACTGGTTCTAATGCTGTGGGTCTCTTGTTTAGTGTAACACTTCTGACTGCTCATGGCAGGATAAAGCAACACGTTGTTTTCCACTGATGCTGAAATTTAAAAAGGTTGTATGAAAACATCCTAAAATTCACGTTGAGATAATGAATATATTTAAAAGATATTGTTAGGACACTATATTTCTTTTCCCTACAATTTGCTTTCTTGCAGCATCTTGAAAACAAAAACAAACAGCTGAGCCTTTTGTTCTTGATAGTAGATCGGCACATGTTGTCCGGAGATGTTGCAGAATGACACAAACAAACAAAAAGGAAAGATGTAAATATGTTTTCAAGTGAGGTTTGTTTCCAAGAAGGTGACAGCACTGGATTTAAAACTGGAACACGAGCCAGCTCTGGGAACCACCGGTGCCTTCTGCTGCCAGGTTTCTAAAGGTCAAACGCATGGATGGCACACATTATAAACCGATGCAATTGGGAAGGGAAAACATCACAAGTTGTTGATAGCAGTTTGTCTTAGCACCCACTTAACAATATTCACGCATGCCTTCTTTCACTTGTTGCTGATGGATTTGTGCTGACTAGAAGTGCAGAGGACCATCGCACAGAAAACTTTTTACCAGTTTCACAACACTTTGTGCATGAGGGTGCTGGAACCAAGCTGCAAAAGCAGTTTAGATGCATTTTGCATTTGGTTGATCAAGAATTAGAGTTAAGATTAAAAATCTGTAAGCTAACCAAACAGCTGGACTGAAAACATAACACAGCTGCACTGCTCTATTCACTCCTGCTAATCTCGTTTCATAGCAGACTCTTTAGTTGTAGAAGAAAGTATTTTAAGTCTCCTGTTTACAAGAGGATGTTGATTCAAGAAGTGTAAAGCAAACAAAAACAACTTCTTCCCCTCAACAGTCGACCTTTGGCATCAAAACGAAACTTTGAGTCATTCAAATTTCACATGAACAAGAACTTTGTGTTTAAAAGCTTATTAAACTATAACGGACGTTCTTTTCAAGTTGCTCATTTGCTTCCTTCACAGGCTGACGCTCAAAGCTCCTTCCATCCGACTGGTGATCCATCATCCGTGTGAAAACTAAACTTTAACTAAAGTGCATTGCTGCTTTATCAAAATGGATTGTACATCGCTACAGGATAAATAGATTTAAACATGTTGTTTTATTTTATTTTTACTGTTTTTTACGTGTCTTTTCAACTGCATTATTTTACTGCCAATGCAGATTTCATTTAATTTGCATTCAGTGACACTAAAGGCTTTCAGATTTATGATTGTCTGATGAACTGCAGTGAATTTAAATACTCAACACAGCAATGAAAATTATGTCTGCATGGATTCCAGCTATATAATAATGTTTTTGGTTACTGTTTAAAGCCAATTAATCAAATTTTGCTCAAATATTCACTTTGATTTGCCCCAAAATAAACAGTTTTAGGCTGGAAATTCTCTGTGATTTAACAAAATATGAAAATGAAGCACAGCAGATTTAAGTCAAGTTTGATTTCAGCTTGGACCGTGTGCCCACATTAGAGCTAACATCTTGGCACTGCATGCAGCAGCTCAGGACGTAGAGCTGGTTGTCCGGTGAACACTGTAGTGTAAAGCGCTTTGGAGTCCTCTGACTCAGAAAGGCATTTTACAAGTGCGGGTCATTTATTATCATCATCTTCGATATGTATTCTTTGAAAATGCATGCAAGCAGGTTTTAGGACATGTGTTCGAATGGTGCAACTAAAATAATTTCTCATTTTCAATAACAGCATGCTGAGCAGCAAATATCCTAATTTGTCACTAACAAATTGATAAGCATGCAGCGTTTCTGACCTCTTTTTGTCTTATCCACCTGACTTTTATTGTAATATCACAACTCCAAATAATCACATGCTGAATTGGAACATTTATCTTTTTCACTAATGCAAATCTTCATCATTGTTTCCTACTTTTATTTTGAAAGCCCTTGTGATATGTTAGAGGCTGCTTGATCCGTCCTCCATTTTTTTTCCTGCTAGTCTTTTGTTTGCCTTGTTTCTTGCCTTCACTCGTCCCTGGATTTGTCTTTTGTTGGTAATCTGATTCACTCTGAAGTCTGAGACTGAGTAAACCTTGAAAAATGTTTCAACTTGTTAATTCAGGATTTTCTGGTTTACATTTTTAACCCAAGCATGGCCTTGAAAGGAAGGTCTCCAGAGCTCAAAGTTTGACAGCTAGATAGTTCTTCTCATATATCTTCTAGGTCCTTAATACACAAATAGTAGCATTTAGGGTCAGGTTAAGGTGCTGGAAGCAGATTCCTAGCTCTGATTCTAACACTTCTACCATCAATAAAACACTTCCAGATTCTTGTTTTCACAGTTTCAGGTCTTGAAATTCAGAATCTGAAACCTTTTCGCGACATGATAACCCGTACTTTTACTGTGCTTTTCTGCTTCAGAGGACTCCAAAGTGCTTTACACCATTCATCCATTCACACACACATTCACATGCTGATGGTGATGAGCTACGAAGTAGCCACAGCTGCCCTGGGGCACACTGACAGAGGCAATGCTGCCGAGCACAGGAGCCACCTGTCCCTCTGACCACCACATGTTAAGTGTCTTGCCCAAGGACACAACAGCAGGATTCTCTGCTCCGGGATCGATCCTCCAGCCCTCTGACTCAACAACCCGCTCAACCTCCTGAGCTCCTGCTGTCCCCTAACATAGCTGAGCACATATTTTCCAGTCTACTTGCTTTACTCCCACATCAAATCTAAGACAGCCACACAAAAGCAACATTGATGAAAAGAATTAGCCTCTGTCGACTTAATGCAGAGGCACTGCTGGCGCTGTGCAGACATCACCATATTGTGATGAAATTATGTCGGTGTTCAGGCTTTGGGTCATATTTTATTGTTTGCTGAGAATTAATGAATGCAGATAATTGGTGTAGAAGTTAGAGAAGAAAGGAATAACACTAACATGAGGAGACAAACGTGTAAATTCTCAGATGGTCACCCTCAGAGTGCCAAGCAAACTGTCCATTCTGATCAAAACTATCATTAAATCCACCACGATGAAAGAGCTCTCCTCTCTCCTCACAGCATGTTGGAGAACAGCCGCGATGCCGAGGTCAAGTTCCAACTGGAAGGGGGTGCTGTTCCTCCTGAGGTCTCTCGAGGACAATGGTCAAGCAAAATGGAGTTCCTCTTGGCTGTTGCAGGACAGATCATAGGCCTGGGGAATGTGTGGCGTTTTCCCTACCTGTGCTACAAAAATGGAGGAGGTGAGTCATGACAAGAAATTAGTATTTTTTCTAAAATGCAACAAGAAGGTGCAGATTTTTAAAAACAAGCTTTAATTTCTTTACATTTTGTTTTCAAGTAGCCAGACTTTCTTGTAATGTATTAGAGTCATTTTGACCAATGGTTCTTGAAGCTGCAATGCCAACTTTGGAAAAAAAAATTGCTTAAACCATTTTCTTTCATGCTTCTTAAAATCGTTCCAACATCGTACAGCTGTGAATATAATGTGGAGTTTTAAATAAAGAGATAAAATTAATAAAGTGGTTCTCTTGCATTAGTTTAAAAGCGTCCGCCAAGAAAATGTTTAGGATCTAAAGCAACTATTGGACAATCCAGTTGTCGGTGTCACCCAACCGCTACACATCCCTGGGTCCTCCATTCATTACACACTTGCACATTTAGCAACAGGAGAACACCACTGGTGTGACAGGAGAAAAAGTTACCACTCCAACTTTTGGACAAACTACCAGAGTCCCAAAAAGAAAATCACCATTTGAAGTCACGGACAACAAAAGACGTTTGAACATAGAGAACGGCGACTGGTGTTTAGCGCTATCTCGTTTCCTCTGGCATCGCAGGTTTCCGATTCTGGCAGAAGCGTCTCAGGGACGATACCTGAGGGGAGGGGTGAGTGTTCCATGATCCTGTTTGCGTTCAAAGCCTGTTTGCAGAGTCGTTACAGCAGCTTTAAGTTTTCTGAAGGTTCTTTGGCTACTTTTTCACCAGTTTTCTCAGGCCTTTATTTCCAACCATGAAAAATGATCGAGGGAAAAAAGAAAGGGTGAGGATAAAAGAAAAGAAATTTCAGACCTGAAAACAATTTGCAGCAAATAAACAACTGAAAGTCTTTAAAAAACATGAAAAACAAAGTAAGACCTGAGACAGAATTACCCATCACCCATTGACTATTAGATACACATTTCAATCCTCATGGAGGAATTGCTTTATCACAACGCTCTAAAGAGACCGAAAAAAGAGGGAAAAAATGTCTATGGGGTAAAATACAAATAAAAAACAATACAACAAATAAAAGATGATAAAGAAGACATGATCTTTAGGAAGTTCTTTATTTATTTAAACTGTAAGAATAAAAAAAGATAACAACTAAGGCCTTTGGGTTTTTTCACAGGAGTGTTCTTCATCCCTTACATACTCTTCCTCTTCACCTGCGGGATCCCCTTGTTTCTCTTGGAGACATCTCTTGGTCAGTACACCAAGCAGGGAAGCATCACTTGCTGGAGGAAAATTTGTCCACTATTTGAAGGTCAATTTACAGATTTAACAATGAATCAGTGAACAACAGCTTTTATTTAACTATTTGTCACAAAACAATAAAACATTGTATCGGTCTGTTTGTTTTCAGGACTGGGATACGGCAGTCAAGTGGTTGTTTTGTACTCCAGCATCTATTACATCATTATTTTAGCCTGGGCATTTCTGTATCTGTTCTCCTCGTTCTCCTCTGAACTTCCATGGTCGAGCTGCAGGAACAGCTGGAATACAGGTAAGGCCCAACATCTGGGCCAGAAATAAAACAAGAAAACAAATAACATAGGAAGACTTTTTGGTTCTGCCGTGGCTTGATTTTAATCTGCGATTACTTACATCAGTGAGGACTAAAACACACTTTCAATGAACAGCTATGTGTCCGTTTTTGCCTTTTTATGAACATTTGTTCAAATGTTCATAAAATAAAAGTATGGAAATAGAGTGGATGTGGCTAAAACTGCAGTTATTTCAATCAACACTTTCAAAGTTTCTGACCATTCTGTTTCTGTGCCCTAAATAGTTAATATTCAACCTGTTTTAGCTTTATGAAGTACTGTGTAAACTGATGGTGGTGTGTAGCTGGATTTGGCATTGCTCAATGGAAACCGATGTGAAAATATGGAGATTGGATCTGTTTAAGACACCAGAAATACACATTTGGAGTATTGAATTTCAAGCAATACATGAATTTATTTACATGTTTTGTTTTTTTAGAAACCTGTGTAGAGTTTGATAAGAAGACAGAGTATTTTAACATGACTTTTGCTGACAATGCAACATCACCTGTCAGAGAGTTTTGGGAGTGAGTAAAAAACACACAACTCTAAAACCTGAATACAGTGAATGAAGTGTCTGTGGGACTGAAGGGTATGACTGTCGTTTTCAGGAGGCGAGTGTTAAATATCGCAGGCAGCATCGGAGAGTTAGGGAGCCTTCGATGGGAGCTGGTGCTGTGTCTTCTGCTGTCTTGGATCATCTGTTACTTCTGTGTTTGGAAAGGAGTGAAGTCAGCTGGGAAGGTGGGACCATAACTTGGTCTTTTTATGTTGTGACACACAGTACTAGCAAAACTCAGAATGTGTTAGCCATCTTCAAAGAGCCTAAGAATGCATGGGTGAGGTCCAAAATCACATATACCAAACATAACACTCCACCAAGGTCTGACCTGATACGTTTCCTATAAAACCTTCACACTTTGGCACCTGTGATTAGTCTGCTCCCTGTGTTGTTGCCACATATTAATAGGCTGATGTAAAAGACAGAACCAACCTTTACAAATGGACCACTGGAATCACCAGTGTTTATTGTTTAGTAAAGGTTAGAGTTTTAACCTGTGCAGGTTTTTAGCCTGTGGGAGGAAACCAGCATACCCTGAAAATCCCCACACACACTCATGGGAAGAACATGCAAACTCCACACTTAAAGGTTGCAGTAAGGGTGTCAACTCTAAACCAACCTTCTTGCTGCAAGGCAGCAGTGTGTCATCATGCAGCATTTTTTTACATCATAAAAAAATAATAAAGTATTTAAAAAGATTATTTACTGTATCATATTTGTTGAATAAATTGTTTGCACCTATTCAAGTTTAATTCTAAAACACTATGAATTCTTGAAAAAGTCAACCCTGATTGAAAAAACAGCTTAGCCATAAATAAAACCCAGTCCATCCACAGGTTGTTTACTTTACTGCTACATTTCCATATGTGATGCTTGCTGTGCTGCTTGTCCGTGGAATCACGCTACCTGGAGCCATGGATGGGATCAAATTTTATCTATATCCAGACCCATCACGCCTCGCTGATCCACAGGTAAAAATGTCTTTGCTAATGTCAACAGAAAGTCAAGTCATTACCACGGTTCGCTTTAAACGTTTAATTGATAGGTTTTTAAAAAGAACCCCTGATTTTTTGCAGGTTTGGATGGATGCAGGCACACAAATCTTTTATTCCTATGCCATCTGCATCGGCTGTCTAACTGCACTGGGCAGCTACAATAAGTACAACAACAACTGCTACAAGTACGTCTGGTTTAACTTCTGCATTCCAAAACACAAACTGCTTTTTTAAAAACAAGGCAAATTACTGGTTTAATGCAGTATTCAAAACTTGCATGAGTTGCAAGGCATTACACCAGAATACTGGAACAAGTTTGAAAATTTTGCACAACAAATGCCTCAGGTGTGTGGAACATTTCTCTCCACATAGAACTGGGAAGGTTTGGTGGCCAAACAGTAAGTTAATTGAGATGAAATTAAGACACTCTGTAGACATACTGACAAGATTTGCATGAATGTCTCATGTTTTAATTTTTTGCAAAAACACCCTGGGTGACTTAATTGTGTATAAAGCTCCCTAAAGTGTGTAATTTCTGCATAAATTCTCCCAATTTGGGGTCTCCCAGAGTCCCACTAGTCCCAGCCCAATACTGAAAAGTGGGGAAAGCTACTGGAGCTGAGAACAAGTTTTACAAAAATCAAAACCTTGATTAGGTTTGAATTTTTTTCCTTGTTTCTCCACAGGGACTGTGTACATTTGTGCTTTCTGAACAGTGGAACCAGTTTTGTTGCTGGTTTTGCGATCTTCTCTGTTCTTGGATTTATGGCATATGAGCAGAACACAGATATATCTAAAGTAGCAGAATCAGGTACGTATTAAAATGTTGTTTTAGTTGTTTTGTAAGAAACAAGGACGTTAATACCATTTTTCTTGATATTGTTGATAAAATGATCTTGTTCTCTGCAGGACCTGGTTTGGCGTTCATCGCTTATCCTCGAGCTGTCTCCATGATGCCTTTTCCTCAGGTCTGGGCAATATTCTTCTTCATTATGATCATCCTTCTGGGAATCGACAGTGAGGTAGATCCCTTTTCTCTCATAAAAAATACAGGAAATTCCTCAAATGAATTATAGAAAAATTTCTGAATTTAGCTTTTAAATGGGACACATTATGCAAAACTCACCTTTTGCATCCTTTTGTGCTGCCATGTGTGTCTAATGCCTCTATAAAACATGAGAAAAAACACACAAATACATTTTTCTGTTAGGATTTGTCATCGTCATCGTCTTCCTCCGCTTATCCAAGTCCGGGTCGCGGGGGCAGCATCCCAACTAGGGAGCTCCAGACCGTCCTCTCCCCGGCCACCTCCACCAGCTCCTCCGGCAGGACCCCAAGGCGTTTCCGGACCAGATTGGAGATGTAACCTCTCCAACGTGTCCTGGGTCGACCCGGGGGCCTCCTGCCGGCAGGACATGCCCGAAACACCTCCCCAGGGAGGCGTCCAGGAGGCATCCTGACGAGATGCCCAAACCACCTCAACTGACTCCTTTCAATCCGGAGGAGCAGTGGTTCTACTCCGAGCCCCTCCCGAATGTCCGAGCTCCTCACCCTATCTCTAAGGCTGAGCCCGGCCACCCTACGGAGGAAACTCATTTCGGCCGCTTGTATCCGCGATCTCGTTCTTTCGGTCATTATGCATTATTGTGCAGTGTGGATCGAGTGGCAGACCGAGGCGGGAGCCTTGGCGGTCCGATCCCCGGACAAGGAAACTGGTTTTTGGGACATGGAACATCACCTGTTAGGATTTGGTTATAGGAATTAAATGCATAAAACATTTCAAAAAGTGCTTGTTTGTGATGTCACAAATGGGGAAAGTAGAAAAGAGCCACCTTAAACATGCAAGCTCCTCCGAGGGCCTTCTCAGCTAGTGGCAACCTGAGCGGGGGAGGGGTGGGCATGGCCAGCTCTAGCTTGTTTTCTTAAAGTGACAGAACCCTGAAACAGCTCATTCTGGAAGGTACTGAAAATGTCAAGAATAAACCTGCTGAAATCTCTGTTTGTGAGAGGGATTTATGCAAAAAATCTTCATAAACATATGTGGTATGAACCACAGGACAAATTTAAGTGAAGATAAAAAGTCATAGTTTGTTTTGTAAACACACTTATGAATTATATATAACAAGTTAACAAAACTGAACTCTGGCTCAGGTGTCCCCTTTCTTTATTGTAATTGTATTTAAATTCAGATCTAGATGCTAAGTCAAAACTTTTGTTGTTTATTTCTAACAAAATGCTGTTGTTTTTATAATTTCCTTCAGTTTGTAGGTCTGGAGGCTCTCACTACAGCACTTTCTGATTTGTATCCCAGCTTCTTTCACGTCGGCCACCGGCGTAAACTCCTCCTGCTGACCATCTCTGTCCTGAGTTTCGTCATCGGACTTGTGATGGTGACTGAAGTAAGATCAGGCAAATATTTACATTTCCAAATAAAACAGGAAACTAAGCGGCCATTTTCCATGCAGGGTGGACTCTATATCTTCCAGGTGTTTGACTACTACGCCTGCAGCGGGATGACTCTGCTTCTATTTGCCCTTCTCCAGTCTTTGTGTATCGGTTGGGTTTATGGTGAGTTATTCATCAAGAGAAAGTGTCTGATTCACAGTAAGCCCAGATTCTCCCACCTCTGTTTCCATCCTCTCACAGGGGCTGAACGCTTTTATGACAACCTGGAGGACATGATTGGATACAGGCCTTTACCTTTGATCAAGTACTGTTTGAAGTATGTAACTCCAGTGATTTGCTTGGTGAGTCTTGTTTGTTAGTCCTCAAACATCACCTTACTATCCTCATAGGGACTTTCTTTAAATGTTGGGAATGAATAGTCAATAAAACCAAACACAGATCTGAATAAAAACATGATCTTCCTCCTTTAGCCTTGTGTGATAACTGGTGAAATAATGGCTCGCAAACCTACTGGATATTTTAGATTTTAGGTCTATATGTTTTTACACTATAGTATAAATTATCTATCTTATGCTCAAGCTGTGATTCAGTCCATAAATGATAAAACAACCACGGATATATCATTTTTTTGGACTTGCATAACTGTTACTCATGTGTCCTTTTATTGTATGTTAAGTTGTGGGCAGCCATGTCTTTCAATGGGATCTCATACATTTTTTTCTGTCACATATTTATTAATTTTATAATATTCCATTATTTACTTTTGATGTTCAATCACCACCCAAATCTATATTTAGATGTTTTAATGACTGCAGCAAAATGCTAAAACATTTTATTTGATTGTGAATTAGTTTTGCAAAGAAGTTGTTCAATTAAATTCAACTTTAGGGGAACTGCATGGCCCTCTTTACAAGAAAAAAAACTATAAATACATTTTGCTCAGAATTGCTAGAGGGTTGTGCTTGTCTGTTTTAAATGAAAACACCATGTAGACCTATACTCTTGCATGAATGGTTTAACCCTCCCACTGTCTTTATGGGTGACCCCACAAGGAAAGTTGACCATTGAGCAGGATTGATGGTTTATCCCTTGAGGTCCACATGGCAGGGGTGAGGAGTGAGCACCACCTCACCCCTGCCACGTGGACCCAAGGGACAAACCATCAACCCTGCTCAATGGTCAACTTTCCTCGTGGGGTCACACCCATTAGGACAGTGGGAGGGTTATAAGAAGATGGAATTAGCAGATAATAACATATAAACAGCATCAGAAGTTTAATAACAAACTTTTCATTTAGCATTCAATTCAAATTCAAATTCAATTCAAAAAAACTTTAATCATCCCCGAGGGGCAATTGTTTCAGTACAGAAGAATTGGTACTGTGGTCATTCGCAACAAGAGTTGCGCTACCGTTAATTAGATGAAAAGGGGATTACATGAGGATAAATTGGGGGAGGGAAAAAAAGGCATACCAGAGTTACTCCCGGCAGGACGTAGCTTTACTATGCAAAAAAAAAAAAAACCACCTCAAACATATAAGCACGAACATCAACAATTCACAACATGAGACACCGAGAGGAAGGCGGGGCGGGGGGTGGGGTGGGGGGGGGGGGGGGTCTGGGATCCTGTTTCCCCAGCGAGAGCAGCCCTATGGCGCTCAGCCACTGTAGCCACAGGTGGGAGGGAGATCTTGGGAGGAGCACAGAGCACATTGACACCTGCAGGTTGATGACCTCGCCAGGCTGAAGTCCACCAATCCGAAGGCAGGGGGTAGGTCGGGTTTTCACAGCATCTGTCTGCATTCCTTCGTGGGGGTTTGTTGTTGGCATTCACAAGGCTGCCATGGCGTCAGATTCGGATAACAAGACTTTGTTTGGGTCAGGCAGAGATAATCGCGTTGAATGGCCAATTAATTAAATCCGTTCTAAAAAATGGGGTTTTCCAGAAGAAATGCAGAGAAGCGCTCTGTGGGCAGACAAGACAAAGAGCCTTGGGAAAAAAGATAAGGGGGCAAAAGCAGAAGCGTCTGTACTCTGCGAGTGCCGGAAGAAGAAGCATATTTGGTTTTAAGTCAAATAAAAATATTTGCATTATTTCATTGATCTGCTCTGACTTTTTTCTACTTTTATTTTTTCCAGGGAACATTTATCTTCTCCGTAGTTAAGTACACTCCTCTAAAGTTCAACAACAAGATTGAGTATCCATGGTGGGGTTACGCTCTGGGCTGGTGGTTCACCCTCTCTTCAACGCTCTTCGTTCCCCTCAGGATGCTGTACAACCTGTACATCACTCCTGGAACATTACGACAGGTAAAACGCATTGTTGTTGTTATCAGCGTAATTAAAACCCTTGAAAGCATAATTTTGCATTTAGCCAAACTAAATCCAACCAATATTCTTCTGTTATAGAGGGTCTCTGTTTTATGCACACCATCCGAAGACCTTCCTCTGATCAGGGGAGAAAAGAAAACTCTTGATCTTCTCACCCTAACTTCAACTCGCAGTGACCTAATCTGACAAAGTGAATCAGGACTGTAGAGTGAAGATCGGTCCAAGAGTGCTGCTGCACAGTCTTCTAGTCCCCTAATGTGTTGAAACTTTTAATCAGTGATGGATCAGATCACAAGCAGTTAAAAACATAAATTAAGTTTAGACTAGGTTTATTTGAAAGGTCAGCTTCACTGAAAAAAACATTTTTTAAATTATCATCTGACTATAATTAGTCACTCTGAGATTTTTATGCAGGTGGAACATGAAAATAGTCTCCCAAACCTATCTTCTGCATTAGCTTATGATGAAAAATAGACGGTGAAACTTTAGGATTAGAAAATCCTGACAGATCTACGTCTCAGTGTCACTTATAGCATTCATGGACTCACCCACCTTGACTCACGACGAGAAAGGCTGCTGTTGGTTTAGCGCTCAGGAAACAGCAGAGAACGTCTCGGCTAGTAGAAGCTAACAATTAGCATTAACAACTCCACCAGCAGAACTCCTCCAGGCTTGTTTTTATTGTAGATCTGAGGAGAGATATCCAAATATCAGGAAATAAGGCCCAAATCCTGCCATGTGAAGCTCTCCTCTGATGTCGCTCACTTCTAGTTCCTGAAACGGGTGCACCAGAGCTTTTTTTCCCCAGAGTATGACTTACAAGGCATTCATTCCTACTAGAGACCACTGCAAACTTAAAAAAAATCAAATTTGAGTAAAGTTGACTTTTATTTGAACAAGGACAATATTACATATTATTGTTACTGTTGTCTTGTACCGAGGTTTGCTAGTCAAAGGCTAACGGCAAACTTTTGAACAAACAAAGATAGAACTAACACACACACTATAATGAAATAATTAATGACTTGAAAAAAAGTACATGTTGGTACTAAAGCATTGTGCAGCCAACTTACGTTAAAACTCTAGAATCACTTATATTGCTCACGGTAAATAGTTCCAGCTCTGGGGACCTTAAAAAGATCATAGGGATTGACCAAATTATGTGACGCACTTTGCTGGTTTACAGTTTTATTAACTGCTCCTCTTGTAGCTCCTGTGCTGAGGGCTTTTGAAATCATTCTGCTCAGCAGCTCTGGACAAGACCAATGAGAAATTTAAAAAGAGAAATTACAAAACAAAATTTAAGAGATTGTACAGGTGAAACCTGAGGAATGAGAACATGGTGAAAAAGTCAATTTATGTCAGTAATTTATCCTAGACTGAGAGACCATCTAAAGGCTCAGGAACCCTTGAGTGTGTTTGGAGTTGTTAGCTGATTAGTGTGACACTTTGAGTCTAGTATGTTGAACATTTTATTCTAATTGAGAGTTTAAAAGTGTGGTTTTCATAAGCCATAATCATCACAATTACAACAAATAAAAGAAATAGCTGGCTTTGCCTGTAATGAGTCTATCTCACATATTGGTTTCACCTTTTAAGTTGAATTAGTGAAATAAAAGAACTTTTGCACCAATTTTTTTGCGTTTCACCTGTAGGTCCCCTTTCACCATGTGAGAGATGAGACAGAATCAAGCAGGTATAACTGGGAAGCTGCTCTTAATTGTTCTCAGTGGTCCTGGACACCTTTTTAAAGCTTGAATGATTTCACAAGAAAACAAGTTTAAGTTTCTTTTTGTTTGTTTCTTTCTTTCTTTCTTTCTTTTCTTGTTAAACCCCTGCACTCCCAGATTGTTTTAGCCAGTTGAGTATGACAGGATTTTAGTCAGAATTATTATTTTTAAACATTTTAGCATAAAAAAAATCATACTTTTCTTTTAGGTTTCTTTCCAAACTATCATTACTGTTTACATTAACCTGGATTGTGATAAACTGGGTTATAACTCACCTACATTTGTTTATTTTCTAGTTTATGTTTTCTGATACAGGCTACATTAATATTAGCCGGTGCTTTACAAAGCAAATCACATCACTGTTGATAAATAACAGCTTGCATTTCATCTGCAAGAGCTCCAAAACATTTCTAGGCCAGCGCGTCCTGGGTCTGTCCCGATCTCGTCTCCCAGTGGGACATGTCTGAAACACCTTTCTGGTCTGGCTTTCAGTAGGAATCCTGACAAAGCACCTCTGAGCTCCTCTCTCTCTCCCAGAGGGTGAGTCCAGCCACTCTGAGCTGCTTCTTCACAAGCCCATATGAGGGCAGGGGCGTAGATCAGTTTTGTTTTCCGACACTTCTCTCTCTTCACCATGACAGATGCTGCCCCAGTCTGACAATCAACCTCCCGCTCCAGTTAGCGCTCTCATGAAGACCTGTGATACTTGATCTCCTCCACATGGAGCAAGCTCTCAAGCCCAACCTGCAAATGGCAATCAACTCTTTTGCATGCGAAGACCTTGGCCTCAGACTTCAGCCCGTGTCTGTTGGAGGTCCTGGTTCGATGAGCACACCAAGGCTGAAAAATGCAGTGATGCATTCTGAAGCAACAGCGAAATGAGGCCCTTCTGTTCCTGAACTGCACCTTGAATTCTGTAGAAGTTAGGACCAGATCCTATGAAAACTTGAAACCCTGGTGGAGTCCAACACAGAAATAATCCTGATTTATTATCTGATCTCTCCGTGCAGGACGGGGATCAAATGGCCCTTAATGGGGCACCAGAAACCCCATCCTCCTGAAGCACCCCCTCAACGGTTGTGCAAGCTCCCATGCACCCTGGAATATCCTCACTAGGTGTAACGAGCTGTTCCAGTTTTCAGTCCCATAAATACATCGCAACTAATTAGAACTGAAAAAAGGCAAATCCACAGATTTAGGCTTGAATGCTTGAATTTAAAATTAAATTAGTTTTATTTTATTATATTATGGCTGCTTGCAGACAATCAAAATGGAAAATAAAGTCTGTGTGATTTTTTGAAAAACAATGTGTTTATTTTGGCTTTACTTATTATAGCCTGGATCACGCATTTGTGAGCCATGAATCCTGTTACACAAGCATGCAAAATGTAATGTTGACCAGTTTAGAAACACTAAAAGTTTATTCTGGGAAGTGAATTTAGACACGTGGCTGTCCATATTTTTATTATTCTCGTGGTGAAATAGAATTTGTTCACTTAGAAACTTGACTATTACAGGTGAAACTCAAAAAATTAGAATAGGGTGCAAAATCAATTTATACAGCTCAGACTGAGAGACCATCTAAAGACTCAGCAGGTGTTTGGGATCCATTAGCTGATTAGCGTGTGACACTTTGAGTCTAGAATGTTGAACTATTTATTCTAATTGTTTGACATTTTGAATGTGGGGCTTTCATAAACTGTAAGCCATAATCATCACAATTATGACAAGGAAAGGCTTGAAACATCTGGCTTTGTGTGTATGAGTCTGTCTCAAATTTGAAGTTAAATTAGTGAAATAATTCACTTTTGCTCCATATTTTAATTTTTCCAGTTTAACCTGTTATTTTTGGAAAACCTCAGATTGCCTCAACATAAATCCCTTTAACATCCACTGACTTTTGGAGTTTGTCGAAGAAAAAAAATCATCTGTGTAAAACATCCTCATTTTGAATTATTTTCAAGTTGTTTAAACTGTCCTGTTTAATTAGTATTTTCTGTGTTTGATGTGTTCACTTTGAAAACCTTTAAATGACATCAAGATTGTTTCTGCAAAAGCAAGAAAGGAAAGGCGTAGACCTTGACCGAGTCTAAAAAATACTTTTCAAACCAAAATAAAACAAACTGTATTTTTTATTCTGATTTATCATCACAATGTTGCCATAGTTCAATCTTTGCAGCACAAATGATGTGAAACCAACAAGCATAGCAATAAAAATGGTAACATTTCATGTATTCATAACAAACTGCCCCGTTTATTATATGTGCTTGTTACATATGTTGCTTTAAACCAGATTTAAGATGCCTTATTTTTTTAATTATCATCCACCAGTTGCTCTCTAATCAGGCTGCAAAAGTCATTAAATAGCTAATAAAATTGGTTAAAACCTGTGGTCATAATCACTGCTTCATATGTGTTGACAGTTTCCTCTATTTTAATTTGTAGGACCTTAAATTCTTGTTTTGAGGTTATATTTTAGTGTATTTTTGATATTTTGCTATAATATAGGACATTATTTTATGTATCACACATTGATGTTGTATTTTGATGTTTTCTGAATTTAAATGAAATGATTTCTGCATTTTATGTCAGGTTTTGTTTGATGTCCACAACATAAATGATAGGAATTTAATGTCAAAACTACAGTGCTTTCTCCTAATATGAATTTATGTTGCTATTAAACAAGTCAAGAGCAATCAGAGTCATTAGTTTCATGTTCGTGCACATTTATTTTAACCACCAAAACATTCAAATATTATAGCTTAAAAACTAAAGTGCATGTTTTGCATGAGTAATAAAACTATTATTTGATCCTTTTTTGCCTTTTTCTACATTTACTGTAAAAAAGTAGAAACAGTTCATGTTCAAAGTTTTTTCAAAGCACCTTTTCTATTTTAGATTGAATTAATTTATGATATGAACAGAGGCCTTTAACAACACAGGTTCTTCAAGTTTTAAATATGGCAAAATAGGAATGAAGTGTGAGCTGTTAAACTGGAACTGTTCAAGTTTAAACCACTTGTAGACACAGAATCTCAGAATTGAATCAATGAATTCAGTGAAACTAAAACAACTGAGAGTTATTGGGGTTTATTTTATTCCTCTGCTCCTCGCATTAATCAATCAATTAATATTTAATTATCACTTTGCTATAAAGATTATTACTGCTTAATATTTCCATCTTTTTACAGATGTATAAACGCTGACGTGTTGTCTGCTTCTACTGTCCTCTTCTGCCCTCTTGTGGCCAAAAGGCAGTAATTTTGTTACAAAAATTTTAAAGCTGTTACATCTGCAAACCATGCTGCAAACCAGCTAGGTTTTGAAAGCAAATGGTCACGGAACAATCACCCCTCCCCTCGGGTATCTTCTCTTCTGCCGGAACCGGAAACCCGCGATACCGAATGAAACAAGATAGCACTAAACACCAGTCACCGTTTTCTAGGTCCAAACGTCTTCTGTTGTCCATGACTTCAAATGGTGTTTTTCTTTCTGGGACTAGAACGTGAGAGCCAACGTGATGACATCAAAAGTATAAACAAGCCAAGTGCAAAGTCAGTGAATGAATGGATTTTGATCAAGTGCATGAGTTGCACAAAAATAACCCATCGGTTGAGTAGGCAGAATGACCCAACTGTTTAGTGTGTATGTAGCAAGGGCGTCAGTTTGTTTTCAGAATTGCTAGGGACAATAACCATACACTTGAGTGGGGTTTAAAAATTGCTGGGGACAATAAAGTAGGCTAGCACAGGGGTCGGCGGCTCTGTAGCCGCATGCGGCTCTTCCATCCATCTGATGCGGCTCTCTGTGCTTGTAAAATAATGAATGGATATTTAAATAAAATGCTTTATATTTTACTGCATTAATTTTACATCTGTATGCCAATTCTAAATGTAAAGATTGTCTGCGTAAACCTGAACAGGTCCAACCCGGTCTTACTGTGAGACTGGGTTGACGCGTCACGCTTGTGCGTAATCATATAGGCACATTATGAGCTGAAGACAATGTGAGATTCTGGGATTCTCCTCAGACAGGCTCCTGGATGTGTCGCCACATTAGAGACAGGAACAAGCACTATTCAGCCAAAGTTTCATAATCAGGGAACATTTTCTAAGTGACAAGTCTCTCTGAGAGACAGGGTTTGGAAAACACTCGCTTCAGTGGGAGGAATCTTCCCGCATGCGCTCTGGTTCTCTGGGGTTAATCAAGTTTAATTGTTTCTCTTTGCAACAATCTTCACAGGAAGGCAAAACAGTTAAACGGCAGGTTACATATATTTCCATTTGACTGTTTATTTTGACAGATGAACTCAAGGTTGTTGCTTGGTTTGAAAGAATTACCCCGACGCACACTGATGCGCATGGATGAGCTGACATTTTAATCGTTAACGCACATCGCGGAGGTAAAATATTCCCATCAGAACATCAGAGCTTTATACTGGACACTGTGTTCAGCGTGGCTCGGAGCGCCCACAGTGGACAGTGAGCTGAAGATCTGGGGTTCGCAGCGCAGTGCAGAACCACGGCGCAAGCGATAAGATTTCCTCCCACTGAAACAGTCTGGAAACCCGGTCTCTCTGAGGGATGTGTCACTTGGAAAAATGTTCTTTTTATGAAATTATGAAACTTTGGCTGAACAGCGCTTGTTCCCGTCTCTAATATGGAGATGCATGACGCGTAGAGACATTTGATCACGCACAAAGTTTATGTGGAGCAGAAGCGGTCGGGCCACGGCAGGTGAAATGTTCCTAGCCGAAGTGAAACTGTTTAACTGTAACATTAATGTGTTACTGGACACGCTGGTCTGGTTGGTTAGACCAGTGTTTGAAGTGGAAAACACACACAAACACACACACACACACCAATTAAAATAATGCTCATAGCGTGGACTAGAAGACAGGTGATGGTTTACGTATTTAAATGATGATCAGGCTGCTGTAAAATGTAATTTCCATCCACATCCAGACAGAATTATCCTCTATTCTTTCTCTAGTTGCTCTGCTCTTGTCTGGGTTGATCAGCTGATGGTGCGTGCGACGCGCCTAACTAGCGGCTGATGCACATTTAACGCATTTGGAGAGGTGGGCAGGATGCTTTGCGTTTACTGGAAGATGGTCCACTTAACGCACGGATGTAGACTAAATATTAATGACAAATGAATGAAAATTAAATTGTGAGTTTTTACTTCATATTTTTTTAATGAAAAGGACGGGGGAACACATTTATGACGTCTTTTTAAACGAAATTTTAAAGCGCGACCTGCCTGCTTCACTTAAGTCACTGCTTATTAAGGTCCGTCCAAAATTACCGTGGGAAACGGGTAATAATGGCTCTTTGATGGGAACAGGTTGCCGACCCCTGGTATAAGATCTGAGCTGGTATAACAAAAATCCTCATCAGCAGGCGTTTTTGAAAGTGGGGGGGACACAGCTGCCAATCACAAATTTTGCCGGGGACATGTCCCCGACGTCCCCGGTTAAAATGACGCCTATGGTATGTAGCGTGTGTGTGTGTGTGTGTGTGTGTGTGTGTGTGTGTGTGTGTGTGTGTGTGTGTGTGTGTGTGTGTGTGTGTGTGTGTGTGTGTGTGTGTAAGTGCAGTGCCACATGTGTGTGTGAGAGTGCAAAGACAACGTGATCAAAGTTATCATATTTAATGTTTTTCAGAAAATATTTCTTTTGCATAAAATGCAGCTTTAAAACATTGATCATTTCTTACAGAACAATGATCATCTGAGTACATGTAAACATAATGCGCGACAAAAACAAACAACAAAAAAACCTGACATCAGATACACTGCAGTTTATCCAGCTGCAGCTATTCTACTCTTTTGTGTTACTTACGTCTGGAATTTCTCGCAAATTTAACAAAATGATGAATATATAAGAAGAAATTTTCTACTTTACTTTTTGTTGCTAAAGACAGGTGGGTAAGATAGTCTGTAAATCGTTAAATACACTTTTAAATGGCTAGAAAAAAGTACTTCATGCTCTGTTCCACTATAGAAAATATTAGAATATTCAAAGGCAGCAGCACTTGAAACATTTAGCAATAAGCTGATTAAAAAAGCTTTACCAACAAACAATATATACTAACACACAAACACGATGTTGTCAATGCAACTTTTCACTTTTTTTTTGTTTTGTTTTGTTCTTACACAAAATATTTAAGACAGCTAAGGTTTTCTTTCTGAACCAGCCAATGTTTATAAAACATTTTCAGTTTTTTGTCCAGACTTTGTCTGGACATTACATACAAAGATGACAGTGTTGGTTCGACAGTCACCAAAGTGCAATTTTGTTTTTTCACAAACACACACACTTGTTTAAAAAAAAAAGGGAAAAAAAGGATTCATAGTGAAGTAAAGATACATTTGTTTCAGGACTGAGGCATGATTATATAGCTGATCACAATAGCAAAGCTGGATATTAATGAATGGTGGGTTTAGAGTAACAGTTCGGAGCTTTGAAGTGATGTTTTGTAGGTAAATTACTCTTGATTAATATTCAATCTGTTATTGATTGCTCTTTGGGTGATCCCAAGTTAGAAAAGCAGATTAGTAGGGATGGGATTGATGAGCTAACAGCTAGTTACAATAGCGCTAGTATCAGTGGATTGCAGCCATCTTTAAACATCATTGATCTATAAAAATCATAGTTTATGCTTGTTTCTACACTTTTACATACTTTTCAGTTTTAAACTCAATTAAAATATATTAGAGCTGCTGCTATTTAATTAAATATAAATTACTGTTCTAAGATAAGAGTTGTTTTAAAAGTATGGTTGACTGAAAAAACATTTTTAAATGTTTTTCTGATAATAATCGGCCACTGTGAGTTTTTCATGCAGGCTGAACATGAAAATAGTCTCCTACCCCTATCACCTACACCTTTGCTTCTGATAGAAAATATGGTGAAACTCTAGGATTTGAAAATCCTCACAGATCTATGTCACATTGTCACTTATCTTTCATGGACTCACCAAACTTTATTCACGATGGGAAAGGCTGTTGTTGTTTTAACGTCCGGTAATCAACAGAGGATGTCTCAGCTAGATTAAGCTAACCGTTAGCATTAGCAAAGTCCTGCAGTGTTAAGTTCTCCTGTTATGTTGTAGACTTGTCCCTGCTGAGCCAGGGGTTTGTGGGCTTTTTTGTGCCCTGAATACAGCCTGCAAGGCATTAATTCCTACTAACGACCACTGCAAATCTATTGCTTAGTGTTCCAATCCTGACTGTAATCAACAGCTTTGCATCTTGGTAGAATTAAATTATCCAAATTGCAACTACTCAAAGAGCTTTCTGCAACAGGTAGAATATTAATTATCCATAGGTGTCCCCTCCAGAATACCACTTCAAAATATCCAGACTATTCTGCTAAAGCATAACCACCATTCATAAGTCCCTCTCCAACATGCAGTCAAGAACTAGCTCTGTCAAATGCAGAACGAGAGGAGATTTTTCTTTTTCAGGTGGTTTCTATTATTAGAACAAGACTTTGACCAATAGAATTGCTGTCAACTGTGATATTTTTTAATAGTGGCATTATTTTATAAAAAAAATGAAAGTGAAAGTCGTCAATCCCTAAATTCCATTAAAGCTTTCAAAGCGTAAACATTCATACATTAAGCAACAATAATCATTTTGTCTTTTAGACTCTACTTATGTGGAGAGACTCATGTTTGTACCACCACAGATGATAGAAGATGGGAGGCAAAAACTATCTCTACGCATATTTTCGCGGCTAAATTTACCAAGTTACCACATTTTCTGATGTGCACATCTTTAAGCTGCTGGAGAAAACTGCTAAAATCCAAACAAACTCTACGTAAAAAGTCCAGGTCAAACCCAGAACGTACAAAAACGATGCTAACCACTGCATCACAGTGATGCATTCCATTCCATTTAGTCTATGCTGTCATGTTTTCTTTTGTTGTGTCAAGGTTTTTGCAGCTTTTGTTGCGTCAAGGTTTTTGCAGCTGCCAAACGATTGAAATGTAATAATTTTTCATAGCTCATCTGTTAATTAACACAAATGCTTATCATTTTTTGTTTGATCAACAACAGTCCCAGACTGGCTTCCCTGTAATACTGTCTGATGGGTTAAAATAGACACGTTTCAGCATGAATGAGTTAGGTATTCCTAATTTTAGTGCATGACCATTGTCAAATAAATTCTTAGGAAAACAAAGTGCTCCATTTGCAACATGGTCCTGGAAGTAATTACTTCAAAGGATTAATTTCAGTACAACTACTGTCGCGTTTTACAGTCAATCATGGATTTGCAAGTTTTTAACGTTTGACGTTACTTTACAATTTTGGCTTCTGTACTTTGTGCTTTTTTGAGACTGCTCCTGTTGCCTTATGAAATTGTGTGTGTCTATGTATATATAAATATATATATATATATATATATATATATATATATATATATATATATATATATGTGTGTGTATGTATATGTATATATATATTTACACATATATATACACACACATACATAGACCACTGAGCTAATAGTTTACTCCTTTTATCCAAAATCCATATTGCACATCTTAAAAAAATAATAATTTTGCAAAGTTTCAAGTCTGATTCCCAACATGATATGCGCAAGCAGCTGCCTTATAAAAGGCTCAATACCAAATCAGAGGTCTGAAAACCAGCAAATGTCAACTTGAAAACAAAGTATGAAGGCACATATTAACACAGTAGCCAAATACATATGCACACACACACATACACATATATATATATATATATGTGTGTGTGTGTGTGTGTGTATACATACACACACACACACACACACACACACACACACACACACACACACACACACACACACATATATATATATATATATATATATATGTGTGTGTGTGTGTGTGTGTGTGTGTGTGTGTGTGTGTGTGTGTGTGTGTGTGTGTGTGTGTGTGTGTGTGTGTATATATATATATATAAATATATATAGAAAACCAAAGGAAGAGATTCTCAGTGTTTTGAATTTAAACTGCTTTTTCCAATAAAAATGGGTGAAACCTATTCACCGATCTACACAAAGTCACGTTGTCGTTCGACCTCCACGGGGGAACGATCTGGTTGTTCTACTGTACTAGAGACAGAGAATTGCCATCTGCTTTGCTCGCGCACATGTGGTCCACGGGATTTGGGATGAAGAGGTTGTAGATTTGAGGTTGTTATTCCACCTTTTCTCTGCCTCTGTTCTTCTGTTACGAAGCACAGTCCTGACTCCTCCGTCGTCGTTTAATGCACATTTCACCGTTCATGCTGCTCCTCCTCTTCGTCTTCCCCTTCTGTTCAGAGAATAAGATAAACAAATACAAAAAATCAAAAATAATTAAAGTTTTATGTTTCCAAAATTTTAGTTTCAAACACCTTTAATAGCATAAATATTCTGATAACATTTATTATTGCTGCATTTTCACTTAAATGTTTAATCTTGCCACTAGAGGGCAGTATAATGTTTAACAAAGCATTCACAGAAAGGCTGGACAAATTCAGATTGAAATCAAAACAATTAAATATGTGTATATATATATATATATATATATATATATATATATATATATATATACATATATATATATATATATATATACATATAGTGCAGCCAGAATTTATACATTTCAGATCATTATTGTTATTTCAACTGGAAGCATGATTTAATAGACTAATCATAACTTTCTTTTTTTTCTTCTGCTTCTTCTTTTAAAGTAGTTAAAGGTGTGGGTCACTCGTTTAATCAATACATTTGTAGTGGTCTTTAGTAGGAATGAATGCCTTGTAAGTCGTTCTCATTGGGGGCAATGCTAATTTATTATCTCCACAAATAGCACAAGACTGTAGGAGTTCTGCTGTGTGGTGGAGTTGCTAATGCTGAAGTTAGCTTAAACTAGCCGAGACGTTCTCTGCTATTTCCTGGATGCTAAAGCAACAACAGCCTTCCATGTCGTGAGTCAAAGACGGAGTCCATGAATGCTAATTGATGTAATGTGAAGTAGATCTGTCAGGCTTTTCAAATCCTAACGTTTTACCATCTATTTTCTATCAGAAGCTACTGCACAAGATTAGTGTAGGAGACTATCTTCATGTTAAGCCTGCATGAAAAACTCAGAGTGATCGATTCTAATCAGAAATAATCGTTAAAAAATGGTTTTCGCTGTTCCACAACTTTAAATTTGAAATTAGCAGACCGAGTGTGAGCCCATCCAAGTAAGATTATTTAAATGTTTGGTTTCGTTCAGTTTTAAAAATAAGTTATGAAAAATTATTTGAATTACAATTTTTAAACATCAGTTTCAACGGCAACACTCAGTCAGTGTTGGCTCCTATTACGTTAGGAGTCAGTTAAGACTTAAAAGGTTTTAAACGTTAGTGGGAAAGTGTAACTAAACAAAGGAAAGCAAAGGGAAGGGAAAAATATGTCTGAGTGAGTGTTTACAGACCTTTGAGTCACGCTCTGCAAATTTCTGGAACATGTTAGCATAGATCATTTTCTCCTGGGCTTGATGTTCCTTCATTTTGTTCTGGCATTTGGAAATTTGACCACGAGCTGCTCGATTCGACGGGTTGACTTCCAGCACTCTTTGAAAGTCCAACAAGGCTAGGTTGTACTCGTTGCGGAGGAGCCGGGCCTCCCCACGGCGATACAGAGCCTTCTCATTGCTCGCATCCTGTTCAATTACCTTAAACACACAAACACACAGTATGAGAAGGAACTCAGCTGCTGCAGGAGGTGGTGATCTAATCATCAGGGTCACGCAGCTCACCTTGTTACAGTTGTCCACCACTTGTGAGAACTCCTTTAGCCGAAGGAAACACAACGCTAAATTAAGATGAGCCGTCATAACGTAGTCCTGGATCTTCTTGTATTGCTCCATTCCAGAGCCACACTCCAACTCCAGCCAGGAAATGATGCGCTGGTACTGGATGACCGCCTGGTGGTACCGTCCTGCCTGATTATAGATTTTCAAAATAAGTTAGGATTATTTAGATGAGAAGCAGAATGATTCATTTGAACACAATCACAGATACGTTACCTTAACATACTGATTCCCTTTGCTTTTCACCGCAGCAGTCAATTCCAGCTTTTCACTCAAGTCCATTTCCCAGGACTCTTTAGCCTTTAAAATAAAACAGCAAACATTAATTTAGGGTTTTGATGTTTGTAGGTAGTAGGTTTGATATGTGCTTAAATGTGTCTAAAATGAGACTTGAACCCAAAATACCATGCATATGTTTTGTATTGTATCTGGTAAATAAAGGTTTTCTTTGTTCAATCAAAGAAAATGGAAACTCACCCTAGTGAAGTCTTTAAGAGTAACTTCATATGCAATTTCTTTGTCTGGTCCAATTTTGAACTCCGGTTTACCTTCGTTTCCAAAGCCATACCTGTAAAAAGAAAAGCATGTCAATAATGCTTAAGCATTAAAGGAGTCGATTACTTGTTTAATCAATACAACTAGCATAAATAACGAGCTTCGTCTGTTACGCTGCATGCTAGAAGAGTGGTGGACTTCAGGCATTTTAGCAAATGAGTCAGAGATGAGTCCTTTAACCTGTTTTACTGATGCACAAGAATCCACAGTTCTTATACAACACCTCTACCTCAGATTTAACCTGTAAATACTAAGTGGAAAATGTTGCAGTTTCACAAAAAAAAATAAATCTCGAAGTCCGAACAATAGCTGTGTTCTCGTTACTCCTGAACTCTTCAATCAAACGTACTCTCTCCCTGGGAAGCATTAAGGAAAGCTTCAGATTTCCATTGAAGAAATCAAAAACTATATGCTTTCCTACCAATAGGCATTTTGTTGCATTCTTAAATTTTATTTTGCAGTACTTAAACCTTATTGGAAATGCAAAAGTGTTTCTTTTCACAAAATTTAGTTACTTCGATGAGAAAAAAAAACATATCAATTATTAATCTGCAAACAACTTTGTGACGTCGCTATAAAAAACATTTTCATTTTGCAGAAACAGCTGCTGAAATCCTTTGTAAATGGCATGAGATGAAAACAACAAACTAAAATTATTATTATTGTATGACAGATTCAAGCTGTGGTTAATGAAAGCCCCCTCAGAATGACTCATGAAAATGACACAGATGGCATTTTTGAAGGATTTGTAAGAAACTTACTTTGGTTTTAACTGAAGTAAACAGCACTCTCCTTTTTGCATCTTGTCCATAGCTCGGTCCACCCCCAAAGGAATGCCTTTATCTTCACCTTGACCAACAGTAAAGCTAACGTCTCTGCAGTCAAACAACCGGTCCCCACATCGTCCCTCCACGTGAACTGCAGGACAACAAGATGCAATTTAACCTCCGATTTATGTTTTATATCAAACCAAAACAATTATGCCTTTCAAACTAATTGTGTCACTACCATCGACATTTGCTCCATCGTTGGGGTTACTGTAACCGTCACCTTTGACCTTTATTCTCCTGATGATGCCGCCATCCTCTGACAGCACCTCTCCTTCAAAGTTAAGCAGCTCCATCTGTTAGAAAAACAAAAATTCTTTATAGATCATAAAGCTAAAGCAGAAAACAAAATATGTGCAGAATTCAACACATGTAGGAGGAAATAATAAAAAAGTGAGAGACGTGTTAATAAAAAATTGTGATATAATGATGTCTGCTGGAGAAGTGTGAAACTGGATGTGCATCGTTTATGCACTGAAACCCGACAGAATGTGTGCACGAACACAGCAAAAATCCTGCAAGTTACTTTCGTTATTTTTTCTTGCATTTTTTAGTTTAAATGAAATTTTAAAAGATGCTTATTTGACTGTTGCTGAATCTGTTATTTTTACTAATGCAAAATCAGATAAACAGTATTTTTGAGCATATCCTTGACAAAAAGAAGCAGGGCCTGCGGTGTTGCTAAGCTACTTCTTCCTAAGTATTGAAATGTCAAATTATCTCTAAATTTGCTGGACTGTGATAAAAGTTTGCATCCATTTTAAAATGTCACCACAACTTTCGAACTTCATCCCCAGAGCTGAGCACTCTTGCTGCTGTGGTTTTGCAAAAACAGATTAATTAGTCCAGTTTAGCTAATTTAGTTTTCTCTGAGAAAAATTACCTAAGAGGCCTTTTTCTAGTCATTCCTTACGCTGATATTTAATTTTCTCTTTGTTTATGCCACAATTTACAGATTGTTTAAACCTTAAAGAGTATGATATGCTTTAGTTTATGTCTCTAAATATAAATATGTGACCAATCAGGCTGCACCGCTAGACATGTAAATTTTCCCTTTGCAATACATTATAATAAGGCCAAATTCAAAAGCTTAATTACACAAATGTCTGAAAACCAGAGAGGAATGTTGGGAATGAGTGGCACTCAGACAATACGTGCTGTTTTGTGGGCAGAAGGATTAAAGGAGACAAACTTCTTAATTTTCTATCAGTTTAATCTTCAAATTAACAAGACGTGCTTCTGAATCAGCAGATTCCCTCACATTAATGAAGAATTAATGCATGGCACAAACGCACTGACCTCAAACACCACTGAGGAGTTGGGAGGAATTTTGTCAGGATTTCCAGCAGATCCATAAGCGTATTCCGGCTTACAGAGCAGCGTGCACACCTCACCTCTCCGCATGGACAATACGCCGATGTCCCATGCCTTCAGGACTTGTCCTGTCAGAAAATAAGGAGCCAGAAAATAAGGAGCCATTATTTTCTCTGCCTGGCAGGAATACTGAGAATATAAAGGCACAAATATCAGAAATATCCATGTTTGTAAAATTCAGAGCAACTTGAAAAACAAGGAAAAGTTCTTTTTTCCATTTATCAGCTTATCTAATATACAGCTCACTGTGTGAAGCCTGCATGTCTTTTTGATACAACTGAGCTCTTGTGTTTTACAGCAAGGCATGAAGACAGCTACCTTTGCCCACATTGAAGCAAAAAGGTTCTTTGCGCTGTCGGCTGCAGTCAAATTTCTTCCCAGAGAGCAGTTTTCCAGTGTAGTGTAAGGTGACTTTGTCCCCGATCATTGGACGGTCCCCATTGTCCCCCTGACGCTTCACAACCTGGCCACAGAGACAGTTTTCCATTTAGCACAGAAATCTAACACTGTAACACCAAAAGAGGAACAATTTTAATAGCGTAGCGGGCATAAATAACGACTGAACACCTTGATAACTCCTTGGTCTTTGTTTGGCGTTACGTCGATGCCCTTTGCAGTAAACACAGCTGCTGCTGCTGACTGGTCGTCCATGTCTAAAAACCGATCTGTGGTCATTTTTGTTCTACGAGTTTCACACTATCCCGCTGAAAAAGATACAGAAACACAAACCAGTTTGTTATTCTAAGCTCCTGTGAGTTAACAGGGTTTTTTTTATTCATTTCACAGAATGTTTTCACGTAAAAATGATCATGCACCTTACCCTTCCTGATACAACTGGGCTAGGCTAACGGCTAGTCCAGGCACAGCCATTAACAACAGACCACCAAACAGCACCAATCTCAAAAGTTTATGCTATTTTATAAAGCTTTACACTGACATTAATTATGAGTTACGCAATTATTTCAGCAGAAATATGAAGATATTCCTGCAAAGTGCTAGATTTAATGAAACTGTAGATATACACTCATAAATAATAACAGAAGGTTTAATAGTAATATTTACATTAACTGCTGATTTGAGAGATGTGATTGCATCAATACATTTTGGTTTTAGCTGCACTCTGACTAGCCATTAGCTCATCAATTACCTTAAAGCTATTTATCTCAACAAAGGCTGTTCAAGGGAGCTATCTACAGGAAATATATATAAATTTTTTATAATACAGGAAAAACTACTCAAAATAAGTAAAACACTCCCTTAATGACCTTGTGTTTTCACTTTAAGTCACTGAAACCGGTAAATGACGTTATTGAATTCTGTGGAACAAGACTTGAAAGCCACTGAGCACAAGTTTCTGTTTCTGACCTCCATATTATATAACTCGTTGCTAATGGAGACATGTTAAAATCTATGCATTGCAATGGAAAACAACATTCTCAGTACTGGAAAAATCTTGATTAGCACTGATTACAGCTGTTTGAGGGTAATACACCGTCTTATTCCTACACAGATTGGGTGATTAAATAACTCTAAGTGAGCGCATGTTGCTTTCTTCACTCTGTATGTTCAGTACATTAACTTTGCGTTCTATGACAAACCCCAAATGATGTCTGAGAATATCTCTGACATTAAAAATAAACCTGCTGAGCTACCTTCAGATGTTTTCTCTGCTCTCGTCTCTGAGAGGCTTGAGCATGCAGGGAAAGCGTGGGCCTAACCACACCGCCAAGCTCTGCACTGATAAAAGCCATGTCATCACAAACAAAGTCATGTCTTCCTGATACTGATCAATACACGAATATCATCCAGTGTGTGTGTGTGTGTGTGTGTGTGTGTGTGTGTGTGTGTGTGTGTGTGTGTGTGTGTGTGTGTGTGTGTGTGTGTGTGTGTGTGTGTGTGTTGTGTGTCCTAACCAAAGTTATGCCAGCATTAACATCTGTATTAGCAGCAGTTTAATTACTGAATTAGCTAGTATACCAAAAAACAGATCAGTCTTTATATTTGAATTATATGTGGAATATCTAGTCAAATGAACGATTAGGTGTGAACAAAACCTATGACAAAGTGTTGCACAGAGGCTTTAAATGTGCAATATGCAAGAATTCTACAGTGAAACAATCACAAAACAGTCTAATGTCTCAATCAAGGACTGTTTTAATGAAACAGATTTCATTTCTCAGCTGACTTGGGGGTTGTCAGTTTTTCTCCTTTCATAAAAATAAAAACAAAAGAGGGACGCAGTAGCTGTTTATAAATGTGAATTTTCTATGTTTGGGGCAAGCTAACTAGTGCGCCAGCATTCAGAATTCAATACTGGTTGTTAAAAGCCAGTAAACAGGAGCGGCCAGAAGTTAATTTTTTTGTAAACCTAAGAAACAACGGCAACTTTTTGTTTTACTTTAATATCAGGTAAAGCAGGCTAGAAGCTAACGAGCTCACAATGCTAACAGTGAATTAAAGGCAAATGCTGGCTCTAAAAATACCTCAAGCTACTTTTTCAATTACCAACAACTTGATATTACAGTGAAATATGTGTGTGAAGTTAAAGAGTCAGTTTTGGCATTTTACTTCCTAACTGAGTCTTTCAGAACTATAACAGCGAGCTAGCAGCAGGACGGCAAATAAATGTACATTCTCCAATGCCGGAGAGATATTACCGTATTACCATAAAATATTACCGTAAAACACCCAAGAGTGCTAACACCAGATTTGACAATGTATATATCTATGTATATATCAATTTACTGTCTATGACATAGTTGCTTGTCATCCAATCTTCTGGTGCTGACCTGTAACTGGCAATGACCATGAAACTCATGGAACAGAAGTGATTGCCAGATTTAACCACAAGATGTCATTTTTACTTCAGTCTTACACATTGCACCTTTAAATTACTTTATTTTCGCACAAAGAGACTTTTGCAGCTACAGCAAGAATTTGATATCAAAGTAGCACCTTTTTCACACTGCCGTTATTTCAGTGCTTTTAAAATAATTTCAAATATTTGCTGGTGCTAAACATAGAAAGCAGCTCAACATTTCCTGCATTAAAACTTGATACAAAGGCATTTGGCAGATAGTGTTAGTGAAATGTTCCTGTACCAAAAATGTTCAGTATATAGCCCAACAGGCGAGCAGAAATCTGCTGCCAGCATCTCGCACATCCATGTGGAAAAAGGAAAAATCAACAGAAGCTTTGCCAGAGCAATAAAAACTGGAATAACATGTCACCTTTAAAGCTTGTTGACTTTTTAATCACAGCAGCAATCATCGTCCATTCGCTCCATTTTACTCCCATCTAAGAAAGTCACCCCTGACGTAACTACCAGTACCTTGACATTGTACAAAGAAGAGGAAAATGTAATGCAGCTATGGTAAGCATGCTGGCAAACACTGGTGGATGGTTATAATCAGCTGAGACATTAACACATTTCATCAGAGCTCAGCTGCTTTGGATCGTAGGAACGTTACTGCGGTCAAAGTTGAAACAAAACAAATAAAAGTGGCATTTACCAGTATTGGTTTTTTTTTTTGTTTGTTTGTTTTTCTCAAGTACCACAATCACCAAATAATTCTCTCTTAAAAAACGTTTTAAAACTCAACATAGGTGTATACTTGCACATCATCTGGTAGAAAGAAATTTTTCTCAGTTTAATAATCATTTTTATTGTTTTTGCTCTAAAGAGAGAAGTCTGGAAATCTAAACAAAGGAAAAGAACTTTGTGTTCTTTCATCTGGCGGACAAAGAGAGACAAGATGTGACTCTAATGACTTAAACACTTGACTCTTGGACCAACAAACATGTTAAAGGCTTTGGTTTTTATGTTTATAAGAAGCTTTATAAACTAAGATAAGAAATATCTCCAGTAAAGGCAAAACTGATCAGAAAGCAGCCTCGCGAACACAGACTTTACTGTGAACTCGCTTTAATAAAAGCAGCTCTTATTAGTAGATTTATTTTCCGTTAATTACACAGAAGGGTCCGTCATTCTTTGCAGATATCATGAATGAGCAAAAAGATGCTTCTCTGCATAAAAAGAAGACCATGTAAATAAACCTCTAATTATTAAACGACAGGCTGAGCAGCAGAATCCTTGTTTTGCATACTGATCAGGAAATAGAATTTGAATCGTTTCTAAATGATTTCTTATGATGCTGAGGCACTTTCCATGCTCCTCATCACACAGGTTGAAACCACAAAGAGCCGTCTTGACTGGCATCACTTTACCCCGCATCCTCACTTTTGTACTTGTATGGAAAAATACAGTTTTTATCCTGAAAAATGTCCCAAAACGTCCGTCCATCAGCAGCTCCACCCTTCCCCGTGTCTTTTAAATTCCACGGATGTCATTTCAGATGTAACTCATGTAACTCGTGTGTCCATGTGTGTGTCTGAACACAATGTTCCTTCTATTCACAGTTCCCCACCGGCAAAGCCCAACAGCGTTCATCAACCTTAAACCCCCCTGATGCACCAGCTTTAATTTTATTTAACAAAAAAAAGGCAAATAAGCTGTTCTAATTTGGTAAATTTTGCATACACTCACATTTTTTACCCCCCACATGATTTAAACTGAGATAAACCAGCGTTGTGACTGCTTGTCATCACTGATGATTGCAGACAAGTAAAAAGTTACTCATCCCATCATTGTGATCTCGCCCTTCTTTTTGGTGTATTTCTGTCATCTCTTCCTCGTAAATAAAATATTGACTCTTTGCAAAAGCAGAAACAGGGTGTAAATTGTTCCAGCACTGATAAGATGGTACGTAGGCTTCATGTACCAATAACTAAGATGCCCTGCGGAGGAATGCAGGAACAGAACACAATGAGCCAAAGACCACATCCAGAGACGCACACAGTGTATCTATACATTCTGTTTCACATCCGTGCTCTGTTGCTGATTCATATCTAACAAGTGGAGACTCACTGATAATCCTGCACACACAGACACCCCAAAAAAAAACTAAACTTCTTTTATTAACCTGTTATGGTGCTAAGATTATGATAATAACTTGATATTTATAGATGTCTATCATAAAAATGCTGTAATCATTAAAATCTATTTGTTTTCCAGGCAAAAATTATGCCTGACCTTAACTTTTATAAGTTGTTAACTGACAAATAAACTTTCTTTTTCTTCACCTGAGCTGATGAAAATGTGTGCATTTTTATTAGATACTTATAGAATAGTCCTGGCTGGAACTAATTTTGGAGGACCATTTTTGTGCTTATCCCCTCAGCACCTGGTGTCAACCTAAACATTCAGAGTTCTTCACAAGCTGCTCAGTAATATGTAACCAGGTTGTAATGAATCAGCTCAGAGTCGAGTTGAGTTATAATTCTCAGAAGTAGCCTGCACAAAACCCCTGTAATTTATGAAAGGGACACCTAAGCCTAGAGGGATCCTGGATGAGAACATCCACCAACCTCTTCTGGGACCTTCACAAGAAGGCTAAGGACCACATTCAGCCAAAACCTATCCATCCTGGCTCACTTTCCCCCCTCCTTTAAATAATCTTGTATATTCTTATTCTTTAGTGAGACTGTGCACAAGTTCCGTTTAACTCAGCCAGGCGTGAACGGAATTTAAAAAAAAAGATTATTTTAATTAACTCCTAAATTAAATAAAGTATTTCAGAAAGATGAAGATCTGTGTATTAAAAGAGACTTACGATGTTTTGAGGTCCGCTTTTTTATTTTCTTCCCCCAGATGGTTGCCGGTGACGAACAGCTGCAAATTCACTCGGTGGATGTTTATTTCTAAGAAAATGCGTCTTCCTATCTCAGATCCAGCAGGGTACTAAGTGTTCTGCCCATGTGGTTCTTAGCTATGGACTCTTTTTGTCTTTATCCCACCCCCCTCTGCTCCTTCTTCCTCTCCTCAGTGATGAAAGTACCGGTGCGGTCGCAACACGCAGCTCTGACTCCAAAATGACACTGAGGAGATACTACAGAGACAAACTCGCACAAAAATGACAGAGGCAGGAGGAGGCGAGGGGGGTGGAGGGGGGTGGCGGGGGTAAGCAGAAACGAGATGAGTTGTGGGGAGGGTGTTTAGTGTAAAATTAAGGGCAGGTCTTGGAAAGCAGCCACAAAGTAACACAATGTTCCGGCTGTACTGTAGCTGTGCCGCTGCTGATGAGAACACAGTGTTCCAACAGACACCCTGACCTGTAACCCGTTCCGTGCCAGGCCGGGCGGGAACAGCCTGTTCCGCTGCAGCGTGTTCCTCCTCTCTCCGCTCAGCGGACAACACATATCAACAACAAGAGGAGCTGTCTCCGTCTCTCTGTCCGTCCCAGCCGAACCGAACCCCGTAGCAACACGGAGACGTGTCAAAGCACCGACACTGACGTACACCTCTGAGTCCGATGAGTCGCGCGGTTTGACGGATTACTGTTTCTGAGGGAGACGGTAAAAACTCCTCCGCCTTTATCTTAGTTTTTTTTATTTAACGCTGTAGTTACCGACAAAAGCGCGACTTTAGTAGCTGTTTTGTGCGATGATGTGCTGTTATTATTAATTAATGCTCTGTTATGGCTGTTATTTGAACACGAAAGGGGGAGTTGCACCAGCTATATTAGCTTAAGGCTAAACTTGCACAGGTGTTTTTAGCTAGCTATTGAGAATAAAAGCCTAACCGGTGCAGCAATACGTTTATTTGTGCTTTCATTTCCTAAATTAGGACTTTAAAAGAGAATGCCAACAGGAACTGTTTTGTTAAACCAATAACTTGAGTCGTAACTTAACTTTTTCTGCCTGATTAAGTTATTATGTCAGATTAGCATTTTGTATTAGGGAGTGACAGATTATCCCTGCCAAGAAGTAGGATGCTGAGGTTCAATGTAATTTTATATTCTCCACCCAGGAACTAATTAAATACTATTTAAAGTATTTTAACATTCACCAGGCTATCTTTTCCATTTGTTGTCACCTTACACTAAGAATAAGTTATGTTACATGCTAACTTTATACTTCTAGTTAATACGTAATTGGATTTTGAAGCTATTGAGTTCATTATTGAAAAGTAACCATCCAATTGACTATGCAATGAAATATAATTAAAAAGCTTCTAGAAAACAATTATGGATTAAACTTCCCTAAACTCAGCATGAAAGGTAAAAAGATGAACCCATCAGGTGATATGCAAGATTTCTAAACGTACGTTTCTGAATTTACTTTTAAATTTCAGTAAATATGAATGCATCGACTCTTGCATCCGCAGCAGAGTAATTTCACTTTACAGTGAGCACATTGTTCCATGGATTTTTATTTCTCTTGTAGTTACATAACATCATAATGACACTTTGTTCAGGTGGTGTTATATGAGACTCTCTTTCATAAGGTTTAATATTTTATGATCTCATATTTGCAAGCCATATCATTTCAAGGAAAATTTACAACCCCTTTGAAGCTATTTTAAAATTTGCAACATTACAAGCAAGAGCAATGTCAACAAAAAAACACTTTAAACATTAAAAAGCAGTGAGTAGTGAAGTGTTTGGAGTTAGCTAATGTATAATAGGTTCCTTGCTCGGACAAGAAACCAGAAGAGTAACATATTAATAATCTCCCCTGACATGTAAAAGTATGCATTTGAATACAGTAACTAAGTAATTTGAAGTGTAGTTATCGCTGTGGTATCAAAATACACTGAAGTACATAAAAATGAGAACAAAATTGCATGTCAAGCTTCCATGTCAAAAATGTAATCCAATGAAAAAACGTATCCAGTGTTAATTCTGGACGTCCAATAAGTCAAATAAATCTCTAGAAATATAATTTAGACCTTTTTTTAAGGTCCTTAAAAATGTAGAAAGGTAGTTGTGATAAAAACAAAGTGGACGGTTGTCGTTGGCCTTACATTGAACCCTTTGGCCCTAGTCCATTTCTTGCAAGGTCTGGTTTCCCCCAAAATTAAGCTTTTATTTTCCAGAAAGACACCAAAGAAGGCCTATACCAAAAAGTTATTCCGTCATATTGCTTTATTTATTTATTTTTTCTCAAATAAATCTAAATGAAACTCTGTTAATCAGATTTTTTGTGTTTTTGGTTTGACAGTCCAGGAAAATCACCAGCCCCCAACTTTGAAATTTTATCAGATGGTTCTTTAATAGCATACTGGCTTGTGCTTGGACCAAAGTGTTTTAGTTAGGGCTGCACAATGCTTCACAAATGTATCATCATCGTGATATTGGCACGTGCAATACGCATATGGCAAAGAACAGAAAAAACGCACTGAATGGTCAGCTCAGATGTTTGCTACACATAATGCATTTTGCCAATCAAACAGAAGCATGAAGTTTTTGACAAATCAAATAGAGCTCTTCACTCATTTGGCCAATCGGGTGGGTTTTTAAAGGTTAGATGCCTGCCCTCCCGGTGGACGATACTAAATTTGGATGGCTAGCAAACACCCGAGTTAGCTTTGTTCTTCCTTTTCTGCCGATTCTGCTTTCCCCAGAATCCACTGATTGCCTTTTCTTGTTCCCTTTCTTTTTCTCTTTCCTCGCATCTTTTCATAAAAATGTTTGCTTTTCCCATTTTTTTATATTTTTTATTAATTGTAAAAAAAATTGTTATTGGTTCTTTGTTCTTGAGTTAAGTATTTGCTTATTTATTGCAAGTCATATCGTCATCGCAATATTAATCACTGTTATCGCACATCGCAGGTTTTCCTAATATCGCGCAGCCCTAGTTTTAGTCTAACATTAAAGTACAGTTAACAGAAGTAGAATATGTTAGTCCAAAATCTGCTAATAAATAGGTTGTTTTCAAAGTCAAATATACTTTATGCAAAAAAAGTGTTTCCAGTAAACACGAGGAAGTTACAATTAAAAGGTTCATTGTTCAAAACATTTTAAAAAAATACATAAAATACACAAAAAATACAAACATTTAAACATCAAGCATGTCACGTTGTCTAATCATGTTTTATATAGATAAGATGGATTTTTTTAATATCTATAAATAGTCTTTTAAAAACTCCAGTAAAAGATCTCTTATTGCCTAAAGTTCACGAATTGAATGGTGGACTGTAAACTTTCCCACGTGAATCCTAAAAATCCCTCTCTGCATTCTGATGAGCTTTTCAGTGAGCCCTGTCATAAAGGCATCCCTCTCCTCTTTGCATTGTGTTTTTATTAAAAGGATTAGGCTTTCTTTAAGGATTCTTACCAAATGCGCGTGTATTAAAATGGTGCAGAAAATCTCAGAGAGAAGTACAAAGGTACAGAAATTCCCACAAGAGTAATAAAAGATTTTATGGCCTGTTTTTAGCCTTTGTATTCTGATGACACACACTTTTTACATCGGTGTAAAATCTTTAAAATGCTGAATGTCATTTATGTTGATGTGCTTGTTTTTCCCAATAAAATTTTATTCAAAAAGCTTCAAAGTTTGGTTGGAAATGCATCTTTGAACCGTCCACGTGAGACAGAGAGCTCTAATCTAATCTCTTAACGCTTGAACTGGGATGCTCAAACAGTTTACTGGAGAGCAAATCCTATGATGAGGAGCTGGGAGGGCACTGCCTGACCGCTCTGCTTCCAGACAGCAGGCAGCTATCGAGAGGAACACGATGATCCTGTTAATTATAAAGGTGACATAACGCAAGTGAACCTGATTCTGAAAACCAGGGATGTTGTCAACCAGCTGAGTAATCCTCTGACCATCTGGTTATCAGAAATAAAGCACATTTCACAACCAATCCTCCCAGAACATGTTATTCACATTAGAAAACTAACCAGTAGGAAACAATGTTCTAGCTTTCTTTATGCACTTTTTAAGAAACAAAAACATAAAAAGTAAAATAACTCAAATGCTTCATTTGTGATCTGGAGCTTTTTTTTTTTTTTTTTTTTTTTTTTGCAGGTCAGGTCAGATGAACTTTACTGGCCTGAGCCGAAAATGTTCTGCATACATACATTTCTATTTTAAAGAAAACATGGTTTTTTTTACTTCCTGAAACTAGGCATCTTGTTTCTGTTTGTTTTTCTGGTCGAAGCATGAATCCAGAAAAAAGCTTGAACAAAAAGAGGTCAAATCAGCTTTTTCATATTTGTCAAACGTAGAGCTCCTGCTGTATTTAAAGCTCTTCAACCACATCTCTGCTTACTGCAGCTTCACATGCAGAACCGGTGTCGTATGGATTCAAACAAACCAAAGAGCAATCAGTCCCCTCCCTAGTGATCGACAGACACGTTTGCCACAATTTAAACAAGTCGCTTAACCCAACCCAACAGGTTGTAAGCAAATGTCCATCTGAATGAGCGTCTTCTCGGTGTAACCAGAAGCACGCGGGTGAGTTCATTCAGGGATAGAGGCTGCACTGTCATCAGGAAGTGAAACAGAACAGAATGTGCTGTACTAATCTGATTGAAAAACACTGCCCTGAGTGGATTTATGAAAAAAAAGATGTTTTATTTAAACAGCTACAAAGAGAACCTATGGCAGCGGGAGGATGTGTGCTAAGAAAACAAACCCAGCCTGAACTCCTGGTTTGGGCGATGTGCGGGCAGAATGTGAGAGAAGCTGCTCACCACCACTGAAATAAAGCTGAGCAACATAATGCTCTTTGTTTCCGTGCGAGGTGTCCATGTTATGTACATCCCTGTAATCTCCTGTGTGATCTCTTTTATCCCTGAACTTTTGCCCCTTGATAAAAAAAAAGAAGAAGAAGTATGTTGCTGCTCTTTGCCAAGCTCCCAAAATAAATGGCTGAGAAAATGTGAATTGCGTTGGGGTGGGGGTGGATTTCTATTTATCAACTCAATTTGAAGTTTAAATAGTGGTGTTTTATTCTAAGGAAGGTTTCAGGATAAATATGCCTGCATGGAAAATGCTGTTTTGATTTGTATGAAATAATTAAAGCACAGTTTGTGCAAAAATGTATGTAACAAAGGTGAAAATATAAACAAAAAGGTTCAAAATAAAGCCTGAAAAGATGCTTGAGTGATTTTTATTTGTTAACATACACACAAGTCACATCTAAGGATCATTAAAGTTATTTAAATAGTCAGAATGACCATTTTTGTTCCTTTTGCTGTTTTGTGGTCTATGTTGATCATATTTTAGATGCATTAATGCACAGTTCTGTGAATGTTGGTTTTTCTGTTGCCACAACACATGGTTATTTCAATGCATGTGTTGGATTAAAGGATTGATTCAGTTCTGCTAAATGCTTTATTTCTGTGCTTGGAAAGTTTAAATTGACAGAAAAAAACACTCTTTACCACCCTCACATGTTTAAAACAGTTATTGCATTCAAGGTTTTGCATGTGAGATATAAAGTTAACAAAAATATATGAACGTCTGTTAAATTACAGTTCAGCACACTGACTAAACAACCCTCCAAACTGGTTTTGCTGATGTTTAAATGTAGTTTTAGTGTATATTTAAATGGACAATGTGCTCATGGTTGCTTCAGAACACAAAATTTTTCTAGGGCGATTTCCTCAACTTATCACCTTCCCTGTCGCAGTGAAACAGCACACTGCAGAAACTGATTTCTAAGAAATTAAAATGATAATAAATTTTGACATTTTATCTTATTATGTGTATATATATATATATATATATATATATATATATATATATATTGCATTACTGAAAATAAGGTAAATATTCTTAATGTTTATGGTTCACTGAAAAACCTTTTTTTATTTATTATTTCTGATTGTAATCGGTCACTCTGAGTGTTCACGCTGACATCGTGGTCTGACCGTATGAGAGTGGCCTGTAAGTTAAAAAGTTAACTTCTGGACATTTTGATGAAATACATGGCCTTTGATATGTTACAGCAGGCTGAACATGAAAATAATCTTTACCTATGTCCTGCATTAGCTTCTAATAGAAAATAGGCGGCGAAATTCTAGGTTTTGAAAAGCCTGACAGATCTACGTCACACTGTCACTTAACATTCATGGACTCACCCATCTTGGCTCACGACTGGGAAGGTTGTTATTTTAGCGTCCAGGAAACAGCAGAGAACATATTGGAGTAGAAGCTATCTGTTAGCATTAGCAACTACTCCACCACTTGGCAAAACTCCTCCTGGCTTGTGTTATTTGTGGAGATAAAACATAAATGCTGTAAAGTAAACAAAGTCAGAGTCTTGCATTGCTGTTAACCAGTCAGAGTGAGATGTCCAAACATCAGGAAATAAGACTCATTTTCCTGCTGTCTGAAACTCCTCTGATGTGGCAATCTCCTAGATGATGAAACAGGTGCATTGGGACTTTTTGTACCCAGAGTACAACTTACAAAACATTCATTTCTACTATAGACCACTGCAAATGTATTGATTAAATGAGTGAACCACACCTTTTAATATGATCCAAACTGGCAAATAAATCAATAATTTACTAGTTTTAGGAATTCTAGCCATGCAACATTTGCTTGACTCATTGGTAGATGCTTTGTACTCATAATAGGTACATTACAATCCTATTTAAAAATACTGAACTTATTTTAAGTACTGCAATTTTTCTATAGAATTAATTTTTCTTTTTAGTCTAAAAAATATGATAAAATGTCTAAAAATGTGTTTTTCTTTGTTTCTTAGAAATCAGTCTTTGCAGTGCAGTGTGGAGGCAATCCAAGTTTTAAATTGGTTTTAAAAGAAGTTATTATTTAAAGTTGTTGGGATATTATTCAAATGGCTAAAGGGGAAAAGAAAAGCAGAAGTTAGCGAGATTCTCTTTCCTGCAAAGGTAGGCATTCCCCTCATGTAAAAAAATAAGAATATTGTTAGATTATTATTTAAAAGATGTCCGCAGTTTTGCATTTTTACTGGTTAAATTAGCTTGTTGTCTAATAAAGTCTTACAAATTGATGGATATTTGATGTTATTATTGGTTTAATCTCAGTTCACCTGGCAGAAAAAGCCCAGTTATAAAAAGTTTATGAAGTAAAGGATGAAACAGTGTTCAGAAATGTATAACAAGTTTAATTACAGGTAAAGGTGTACATGTTTCTTCATTTACTATAAAAATATGATGAATTTTACTTCAGACGGAAAACATGAGTGTTGAAGCAGATCCATGACCTCTGTTTCGCTCCTCTTCTTTCCCGGTGCCACACTTCTGGTTGAATATGCCTTTGAACAGGAAGTGTACTAACAGTTTCAGTCCGCCTACACATCCAAAGGGTCGTTTGTGGTGATTCCTGTTGAGCAATAGCCCTGTGTGCTGATTTACCGAAGTTCTGATGTAATCTCTAAGTACTGGACAGATGTTTTCCATGTCATATCTTCTAAAGGTCAAGCTGAGTGCTGTAAGCAAAAACCTGTTTTTAAAAAAAATAAAGCAACATAATAGAACAGAGAATGAGAAGTAAATTTTCAAATTATGAAGAAATTTACTTTGTGTTAGTGAGAATAATCGTTATTTTTATTCAAGGGAATTGAGAAAAACGAGAAGAAAAAAATGAGACAAAAACATGGAAATAATTAATTTTTAAAAAAAGGGTTGTTCAGTTAGAGAATTGCTGAGAAGCTTTGGGACAACGAACATGCAGTAGAGAATAGCAACACCAAGTCTCGAGTGTATTATAAAATAATTTTTACTTTAATTTACTAACAATTTTCGATCACTGAAACACAGCACCTGCTTTTTAAATAAATATTAACTAAACTAAATGTAGAAATGCGAATTTTAAGAAGTTTATAGGATTCACACTTTTATGTTTTATTTTGTTTCTTTTCTATTGCTTTCTGTGTAACAGCTTTTTATAAGAGGAGCTCATTTTAAAAGTATTACAGCTGTGATATCAGCTAGCTTCTTATTTCTTATGTTAATCTGACATAGAGAAACAGGAACTATTAAAAAGACAAAGCCATACCAGCATTGCAGCTCTTCTCATATTTTTCTAATATAATCTAAATAGTATGCATCAAAGTATTGCTCAAGTTGTGAGCCACTGAAAAAAATTGCTATTGAATAACTATATCACTTGTTGTACTAAAGGGCAAAGGCTTAGACAATTTGTACAGAAAACTTCAGCCAACCATCTCTGCAGGGCATCGTTTCACCTTTTGGTTTTTTTTTTTTTAAGTTAGTGTTATGAATATTTTAATCGAGCCCTGTACAACTTTTGTTAAGTAAAATCGGGGCATGATTGAAGAAAATAACTCCAGGATGCTCAGATAAAACACATATGTTACGATGTCAGTAAAACCAGGGCACTTTGATGAAAAGCCACAAGACATGTCATTCCACACTGCAGAGCGAGTGGTGCAGTTCCGCTGTACTACATAGGTGGCGGTGTAGAAATCCATTATTAATTCATTCCGCCAACTGACAAGAGACGAAGAAAGTCACGCATCTCGTTTCATTGAAGTGTTGCTGCTGTGCTAAGAAGCTAACGGCGGCCTCTTGTTGTAGTGAGCCGTCACCCGTAACATTTATTGAAGTTGTACTCTTAATAGAAAGTAGGTTTCGACTGTAACGTGTTTCTGTACTTGTATGTTTCCGTATTTAACCAAAGTAGTTTAAAAGTCCTATTAAATATGTTTTAAACGTCTTGTAGTAGCGGTTGCTAATTTTGTTAGCTATTTCATTCTGCGCTCGCTTGTGTGGTTTTTAAGAAACTAGTGCGTTTAAGTGTCGTGTAGGAAAATATAAGAATTGTAAGTTGTTTAATTTTTCAATCAAACCGTAGTTTAAAGTTTTAAACCTCAAAGGCCCACATTGGTCTTTGGCTCTGAACACAATGACAAAACTCCTTTAGCCATTTACCTTAGCTACGGTAACATTACCATATTAAATTCGTGCACGGTTATAGTTTTTGGTTTGCGAGTCATTTAGTTGTTTTTCCCATAGCTGCTGCTGTTTTGTTTTTAGTCCAGTAAACTAGTTTGCGTGCTTTTGTTTTTCTCAACTATGCTTGAGAATAAAATGCATTATAAGCGTCAACATTTTAGAGACTGGTTCTGAAGCTTGATTTATCAAGCGAAGCAAAAGTTAAACTTTTTTGCTGTCTTTTTTTTTTCTCTTTAGAAACATTACACAATTTGGACACACAAGAAGAATCCAGATGGGAGGTATGATAGCTTTTACAGTCGAAGAGAATAGTATTTTCGTGGTGCTGTTCCATCTACACAATTTAATTAGGTCATGTGGGCCCTGAAACATAATCTAACAATTTTTAAACCACAAGGGAGAAGTTGGATACATAAGTATATTTCATTTAGTTTTTAAAAAGGACATATTCACTTGGATAACGTGTCACACCATTTGAAAATAAAAGAACAGAAATTCACATCTCAATGAAATGTTGCTACATCAGTTATTGTAAAACTTAAGAATGAGTTTTTATTCTTGCAGTTATGTAAGCAATGTTGCATTTTTATTATAAGTTACATGGTGTGGTGATCTTACTGCGAGTTTCCTCCTTTTTTCCCCTTTAATACTGTTTCCCAGTATTATCTAAATATGTTTATTTTCTGTAAGGGTTAAAGGTACACTAAACTCTAAAAAATAACAATAACATTGTTAGTTATTATTATGAGAACTGACCTTTTTTCAAGTAAATTGCAAGCATCTGCCTTTCTTTCATGAATACACATGAGAAGTAATCTCATGATGTAATTGATCAAAGAAGTGTTTCAGGGAGATAAACCAAATATTTTTATTTACCTGTCACATCTAATATTATCTGTGCTCCTTTCAGACCCTGCTTTTCACCGAGACTGTCCCCTTGACTGCAAGGTTTATGTGGGGAATCTTGGAAACAATGGAAACAAGACAGAGTTGGAAAGAGCTTTTGGGTACTACGGTCCCCTGAGAAGTGTCTGGGTTGCCAGGAATCCTCCAGGATTTGCTTTTGTAGAGTTTGAAGATCCCAGAGATGCATCTGATGCTGTGAGAGAGCTGGATGGCAGGTAATACCTACTGGTGTCTATTTTCTTGTGGAGGGGTTATGACCAATGACTCAAGTCTTTCTGCACTATTTTCCTTTCAGCATATCTTGCTTTTAAAAACAATTCTTTTAGCTCGAGCTTCATATTTGATCATTTCCTGAATCGTAATGCGCCAAACACTGACTCATAAATCATTCATATCTAATTACAGTTAATCAGATTTTTCTGTATTTTCTGATTCAAATAATGTTTTAGATTATTTTAAGGGTTATCAGTAAATCATAACTGTGTCTGATTTTATTAAGTGCATCTTCAAAACTAAAAGTTTAAATCTCTACCTACCAGTGAATCCAAAAGATGAACATCTCACATATCCATTTTGTTCAGATCCTTGTGTGGCTCCCGAGTGCGTGTTGAATTATCAACTGGGGAAAAGCGCTCAAGGAGCCGTGGGCCTCCTCCATCATGGAGTAGACGTCCTCGGGATGACTTTAGGAGACGTAGTCCTCCGGTCCGACGCAGGTACGCATATCATGTGACTTTTTTATGTTTTAATTTGTGTTGTTCATTAAAAGCATTTATTTGCCTTTTGTTTTATATTAGTAACTTTATTTAGGCAACGTTTATCTTCACATCCAATCAACCCAAAGACAGGTAGTAAAGTTTCTAAATAACATTAACTCTCTAAGATCAGAACAAAATAAAATATTTTTCTAAATTGTCATTCAGGCAGAAGTTCATGAGCTACAAAGCTCTCTGCTTGCATTTTTAATAAACTTACTCCTTCATGTGTTACTGTTTACTTATAAAAAAATATATAACCATAATTGCAACGGTTCTTTTTTATGTTTTTCCTGAAGTTTCCTGAAGGGTTTTAGTAGTTGTGAGATTTAGTTATCACCTCAGAAGTAGACATTTTGTGGAAATGACCAGTGACTCCAGATTAATTTTATAATTAATAAGTAGAGAGGCACCTAAATTTTATCCACCAAATGTTTCACCTGAAAATGACTCAAAAGTGCATTTTTGGTTTTCGGCCGAAACACCCAAATCTTCTAAATAGGCAGTCAGGTGAACCTCATTTCCGTTTCATCTGACTCCGCCCTCACGTGGCAACTTGCTCTTTGCTTCATAACAATTGTACATTTGTACTGATTTCAAAATTAGTTTTTCCCCTTTTAGTAATGCTGTTTTATTACGATTGCTGAAATATTTATATGAATTATGTAATGCACTTTTTACTTTCAGTGTCACATCTACCGTGTCTGCTCCGCTTTTTTTTTTTTTTCTTTGACATTCCCGCTACGTCTGTCACTATTAGCGGTGTTTTTACTACCTTTTTACGCCCACCATGTCTTGAACACGGTGAAATAAGCTTTGGATCATGTGTGTGAAGCGTGTTTACTCTCATGAAGCACACAGACTCTGTTGCTGCTGTGCAGCTGCAGCGTCACTTTATTCTGACTGGACAAGGTAATATCTTCATCAAAGGACGAATATTACTCATCAGAATCAGCCTTTACCCGACAGAGAGCTTTGTCAACAATGAACAGATCTGTCAGCATTGTAAGTTTTTTTCTCTCTAATATATAATAATATTCACCCTCTGTGCTGTGCTCCTCTCCTCTTCAGTCGGGAGTCTCCTGACGGGGGCAGTTTTCAAACTATAAACTCTTAAAATTTCAATAGAAACACCCAAAAGTGTTGCTCAGATTGAAGTTACCTATCTCCACTATCTTCTGTTATAAAGTAGTTATTTCATGAGGGATTATATTTGCAGCTGTGGCTCGATAAATGCAATATTGTGCCTTTGGTGTTTAAAAGGTTATATTTACAGTCCTTCTCAGCAGGCCTTTCAGTTATAATAATTATTTATTTTTATTTTTTACTTCTTACACTCGTTAGATCACCTAAGAGGAGGAGCCTGAGTCGCAGTCGCAGCAGGTGAGTTCAACAAAAGCTGAATCCCAGATGGACATTTATTTGTTCGAGAGATCACTTATATCTTTTCTTCTTTTAGGTCTTTGTCAAAAGACAGACGCAAATTTCGATCTCTTTCCAGAGACAAGAATCGCAAGCGCTCTCCATCCCTCTCTCGATCAAGGAGGTACGTTTAAATTTGACCATATTTTTGGAGTCTGTCTGAACACTACTTTGTTCTTTAAGTTATTAAGAAGAAGAAAAGATCTTTTCTAAAGCGCCTCTCAAGATAAAAACTTAACAGTTTTTTGTTTTTTTTTACACATTCCCGCTACGTCTGTCACTATTAGCAGTCTTAACTCATATTAACCAGTTTATTTGTTTTCCAGTCGTTCCAGGTCCAACGATAGGAAGTAATCATCCTGGATTGTTTTGGAAGATTCCCCCATGGTCGTGAAAAGAGACATTTTTATAGTTGTTTTTTTGGGGGGGGGTTATTTGCAGCTTAAGATTAACTACATTATACATGGTGGGGAGAAGGACAGAAGTGTTCTTATTTGATTCAGCTGTGATGGAAAGATGGTCCCATTTTATTTTTTATTTTATTACATCTTCTAATTACCCATGTGAAATAGTCTTGCCTTGCATGTTTTCAAACTGAATGATTCATTTTTTTATCTGTAAGGATGTATTGTTTTGGGGGTTTTGTTTTCTTTTGTAAACTTTTGAATTAAACTGTTGTGACATTCTACTTTTCTGTTACTACTCTTCCACGTCTCCCATTCATTTCAGTGAGTCACTGTGAAATGCACACTTTATTAAGACCGATGCTCTATTTTGCTGACCGTCTCTGAAACACACCCTGTAATCCTGTCTTTTAACTACTGTACATCAATTGAAAAACATGGCATTTACTCAAAATTGCTCGACTCTGAACTCCCAACAGTTTGTGATAATGCAGTTTAAAAGCTTGTTCAATAAATGTTTTTCCTAAGTTGCATGTTGTTTCAGCAACGCTTCCTTTTGGTTTCATGATTGACTAAAAAGCAACTGATCTGTGACATGGTTCGGAAAAATTAAAGCTTTATTCAGGAAGTCTGCGTGTGACACAGAAGTTGGCAAGTATAACCCAAACCCACACAGGAAGCTTTCAGATGTGTTTGCAGTTAAGGGACACTCCCCCAAAGTACGAAATGCGATTCTTGAGCAGAGCAGATGACTACAGAGCAGCTCGTGTTGAGTCAACAGATGAACCAGATTTAGGTGGTGAGTACATATGTGGATCATACTGATTAGATATCTACCATCTAAAAAGTGTAGACTTTTATCTTAATTGTAACAATATGCTTAAGTCTACTTTGTTTTGTTTATAGTGTAGGAAGTTAAAATACAAGAAAATATTTAATGCAAAGAAACTTTGTAAAGACGTAACTGGAATTGGTTTTCTCTAAAGTTTTGTGTGATCATAAGCGGTTTTGAAACGAGATTTCCCTGCGTATTACTCATCAGAATGCTTCAGGCACAATGAACTACAGTCTGCCTTAAGTTAAACGGGACAAACACTAAATGAATTCTCTGCAGTTTACACATATAGAGTAACATAAATTACTTTATAAAAAGTGACAAATTGTATTTTTTTTAATGCTGACAGTTAAAAAGCTGAAATCCAGCATCCACCTACACGTGGAGTCACTATGAACAGACGAAAGCTTGGGTCAAATCGAAGAAGGGAAGGTAGGCAGAATGTGAAACAACCAGAGCCTGAGCAAGATCCTGAACCTAGAAATTATGTTCAAGAAGAGACGAGGAGGTTTGAACCTCAAGAGACACGGGTGTCTGCAGCAACGCAGCTTGAAATACAGGAAGAATCGGGACATGAGAAACATTCAAGTTTGTCTGCAAAGCATGATCCCTCTTTCGTCTCAACCATGACATGTAAATACTCTGAAGTTAAGACCTCCAGTGCCATGCCTTGCTCAGAGGATGCTTTTAAAACTGCAGTTGGCAAAGATGGCAATATGCAAGCTTGTAAAGAGACCAAACTGGAAGTTCCAGAAGCAGATGACAGTGCTCAAAGAGAGGGCATAAAGGAAAATATGCACCAGTGCCTCCCTGAGTGGCACAGCTTAAATATTTCTACTTTACCTTCACTGGAACATGAAATAATCAAACAAGAAGATTCCTGCACATTTTCTGTGGCTGAAAGAAAAAGCAAAAATAAATATGATGAAGGCTTGTCCGTGCAAGATGAAAGCCTTCAGGGCAATTATCCTGTAAGAGAATCACATGTAAGGACATTAGTTTCAGATTATTTCATGCCAGAGACAACCACAGATAATGGCATCATTACAGTAGACAGAGAAAGCGAGAACAGTACTGAGCAAACAGTGGTTTTATTACCAAGTAGGGAGTTGTCAACAAATGAATATGCTGAGGAGCTTTTCAAACTACCTAAAGTCAGAGATGGCGTGTTAACAGAAGAAACTTTGAAGAAAATGGGAAAAAAGGACAAAAAGCTAACACAAATGCAACATCTGCATCAAATTGCAGCTCAAAGTACAGTTTTGCATGCAACAGAGGACTATGACGCTCCCAAAAATATAGAGTTTGAAATCAACACTCACCGGTTTCAACTTGTAGCGAAAGTTACAGATGAACAAAATCCATGGGCTGCAAAAGAAAACAATGTGGATGAGATCAATGACAGTGATCCCAAGCAAATAAGGAAGAGCCAACTTGTCCCCTCTGTCAGTCTGTTTGAGGGTGGAGAATTCGTAGAGGAAGATAAACTTGGGGCTGAACAAAGTATTCATCAAAAAACAGACTTCTTTGAAGGCGAGAAGAATGATTTTTCAGTTAACTCTCCATTGTTGGACCTAAATGCTCCAGATTTCCCACTTCAGGCCAAGTCTTCAAGCACAGATGAGCAAAACAATAGTAACTTAAAATTCGGTGGGGCCAGACTAAAACTGGTGTCAAGTCAGAGAAATAAAGGAAGACAGCATGTTAAAGACATAAAAGATGACGTGATGGGTGATGAAGCATTTGAAACATCAAAAGTGTCATTTAAGATAAAGACAGAAGACTTAAAAAACTTAAGTGAAACAGAGCTAAGTGTACTAAGTTCAGTTTCAAATGGCAATTCCATATCTTTAAAGAACTGGCCTGCACATTATTCTGAAGTTCAGACCTTTGAGCCAACAAAGAATCCTACAACTGAGCCACAGAGCTTGATACTTACAGGTGAAGAACATCCAAGAAGCCATGATAAAAAACGGCCAAACACTAAAAAAGAAAAAGTTGAAGAATTGGTCGACATCACACAGAAAGAAGTTGTAGCTGAGTCTCTTCCCTGTGAGAACGCCAAAGATGTCCATTCAGCGGAACTACAGGGGGCTGAAGTTTATGCATCTCAAACGCAACAGCATTTGATAACAGTTAAAGGTTATGCAACACAAACTTGTGAAATTTTTTCTGGAAACCTTACTGGTTGTGTTGAAATGACTGAACCCACAATCATAAGTACAGATGATTCTGACACAAAACTGGATGAAAACATTGTAGAGGCTGTAGTTCAAAAAAGCAAGAATATGGATGTACATTATACGAATCAATCTAAAATTAGTGATGTAGATATGGCTAACTCTGGTCAAGTCCATGACTTAAAAGACAGAGTGGAAGATGTTCAGGAACCCAACACTAAGCTAATATTTTCTAAGAAGAAGGGAGTTCATTTTTACTCTGAAAAAGATTCTGTTAACGTTCAATCTGAGATGGTAGATGAGAAGGTCTACATAGGTGCTTTGACAAAATTAAAAGAACCTCAGCAACTAGATTATGCATCTGGAACAGTGATGGATGATGCCCAGGACTATGTTGAAATTGTTGGAAATGTGGATAGCCAAAGTAAAATCTCTGCCATGATGCAGTCAAGGTTCGCAGAGAAAAGTGATGATGAAACTGCAACAAAGGAAAAGGTTTTACCAAAGTCAGGAACAATTATTTTTGCTGCTGAAAATGTTGATTTGGAAGTAGTAGGACATAGAAATAAAGATGATTCTGCAAATGTTTCTCAACAAACAATGATCCACAGAATAGGAGAAGAAACTATGAACTATAAGAGTAGGACATTTGTGGAAAGAGATGTTACACAAAATGCTGGGAAAGGTATCTTTTCAGAGGCTGATAGGAAGGAGGTTTCTGTTGTGTCTCCACTACCACACCTAAATGCTCCGCCAGACCTCCAACTTCAAAATAAATCTCTGAGCACAGATAAAAAAGCTGATGCTAACTTCAGCTTAAGTGAAAACAGGAGAAAACTGGGGTCAAGCCATAAAAAGAAGAGAAGAAAAAGTAGTAAGGAATCCAAGGAAGAATATTTAGAAAGTACCAATGAAGACAAAGAAGTGGAAACATCACAATTATTAAAAATACAGACAGCAGAGCAGGAAGACTCGAGCAAAGGCAATGAGCACAAAATTATGTCAACATCACAAGACAGCTCCATGTCTTTAATGTCTGAGTCGCAGAGAATATTTCCTGAAAATGAAAATTTGGAGCATGACCAAGAAAAAAGAAAACTGGACATTGGGACTACAATGATAACCAGTGATGTTATTTCAGAGACTACTCAGAGGAAAGTGCAGGAATTAAAAGTCCATCCAAAACAAATGAAAGAAAGTCTACAGACTGGTTATCCTGAAAGCCTGACTGGCCATGCTGAAATGTCTATGCTCACAATGAAAAGTGGTGGTGATGATTCTGGTGTCAAGGAAGTAGACTATCCTACAACTAGAAATATTTTGGACGATTCGGACCTGAAAGCTGATGATTATGATTTATCTGATACAGAAAAACAACCAATCAGAGACACTGTTGACTCCTCTCTAAGTCAGGTCTATGAGTTCAAAGTCAGAGTGGAAGATGAGGTCAAACCAAACACTGAACAAATGTTTCATCAGGAAAAGGAAAGACTTTTCTCTGAACCTGAGGACAAATCTGCATCAACACTTCAGTCTGAAACAATTTCCTCTGAATCTCAGCCTCAGAAGGATTCTGAGACCAAAGATGAGCAAACAAGCAGAGCCTTGAGCAGCAGTGACAGAAGGAAACTAGGGTCAAGTCGTAGAAATAAGAGAGGACAGCGTGTTAAAGAATCTACAGATGAAGTTCTGGAAAATAGCAAGGCTGATGAAAGCATTGACACTACATTGGTGTCATTGAAAGAAAAGACAGTAATCCAAGAAAAATTAACTCATGAACTTCAGAGTGATGTTAACGTGTTTCTGCCACATGAGTGCTCCATGTTTACAGTACTTGTATCTTCCTCTGAGGTTCACAGCTCTGGAACTAAAGACAATCCTGACACCCACCTGGAGAGTTTTATCATCAAGACTGTAAATCCTCCTGTACACCCAGATCAAAAAGATAAAAACATTGATGTTAAAACCTTTGATAAGTCTGGTGAAGCCAAACCACTGAAAAAATCTGACTCTCCTAAGACAAAAGAGGTTATAAGTCTTCATGGTCCCATTATTGTTGCTGAACAAAAGCAAAGACCCGAGACTCTGCAAACACAAGAACAAGAAAGTTTGCAAATTGATCAAACACATGACCCCAAGACAAATGATGTCCTGGAGAATCCACAGACTGTTTCTGGCATCCTGGTTGACCATTCTGAAATCATTAAGACTCGCCCATCAGAATTCACACAGAGAAGCAACAATGATTCTATTACCAAACAGGAAATGTTAACCCAAGAGGACAAGATGCTGATGTCCTCTACAACAGAAACGAGCTTGAATGCAGCAGTCCAGATTAATGAAGATATTCCAGTGGTTGGTCCCAAGCAAATATGGATCACCAGAACAGGAGTAGAAACTGCTATGTGTCTGCATGAAGATGAAGAAGTTGTAGACAAAGACAAGAAACACAGAGCTGGACAAAGTGTTCATCAAGAAGGAGACTTGTCTGAAGTACAGTGGAAGGATGTTTCTGTTCTTTCTCCACTGTCAAGCCTAGATGCACCTTCAGATCTCCAACTTCAAGACAAACCTCAGATTACAGATGAGCAGACTGATCCTAACTTCAGCTTCAGTGGACACAGGAGAAAACTTGGATCAAGCCGTAAAAACAAGGAGAAACAGCATGGTAAGGGACCTAAGGAGGAAGATTCAGAAAATTTCAAAGATGAAGAACTGGAAACATCACAATTATTAAAAATACAGACAGCAGGGCAAGAAGACTTGAGCCAAGGTAATGAGCACAAAGTTGTCCTGTCAACATCACAGGACAGCTCCATGCCTTTAATGTTTGAGTCACAGAGAATCATTCCTGAAAAGCTTCAACATGATAAAGATAAAAGAAAACCAGACATTAAGACTGAAATGATGGAAGAACCTGTGGACCTCACACAGCAAGGAGTTGATCAGATTCAGACTTTTGACAAAGAGAAAACCAGTGATGTTATTTCAGAGTCTATTCAGAGGGAAGTGCAGGAAGTAAAAGTTCATCCAAAACAAATGAAAGAAAGTCTACAGACTGGTTATCCTGAAAGCCTGACTGGCCATGCTGAAATGTCTATGCTCACAATGAAAAGTGGTGGTGATGATTCTGGTGTCAAGGAAGTAGACTATCCTACAACTAGAAATATTTTGGACGATTCGGACCTGAAAGCTGATGATTATGATTTATCTGATACAGAAAAACAACCAATCAGAGACACTGTTGACTCCTCTCTAAGCCAGGTCTATGAGTTCAAAGTCAGAGTGGAAGATGAGGTCAAACCAAACACTGAACAAATGTTTCATCAGGAAAAAGAAAGAGTTTTCTCTGAACCTGAGGACAAATCTGCATCAACACTTCAGTCTGAAACATTTTCCTCTGAATCTCAGCCTCAGAAGGATTCTGAGACCAAAGATGAGCAAACAAGCAGAGCCTTCAGCAGCAGTGACAGAAGGAAACTAGGGTCAAGTCGTAGAAATAAGAGAGGACATCGTGTTAAAGAATCTACAGATGAAGTTCTGGAAAATAGCAAGGCTGATGAAAGCATTGACACTACATTGGTGTCATTGAAAGAAAAGACAGTAATCCAAGAAAAATTAACTCATGAACTTCAGAGTGATGTTAACGTGTTTCTGCCACATGAGTGCTCCATGTTTACAGTACTTGTATCTTCCTCTGAGGTTCACAGCTCTGGAACTAAAGACAATCCTGACACCCACCTGGAGAGTTTTATCACCAAGACTGTAAATCCTCCTGTACATCCAGATCAAAAAGATAAAAACATTGATGTTAAAACCTTTGATAAGTCTGGTGAAGCCAAACCACTGAAAAAATCTGACTCTCCTAAGACAAAAGAGGTTATAAGTCTTCATGGTCCCATTATTGTTGCTGAACAAAAGCAAAGACCCGAGACTCTGCAAACACAAGAACAAGAAAGTTTGCAAATTGATCAAACACATGACCCCAAGACAAATGATGTCCTGGAGAATCCACAGACTGTTTCTGGCATCCTGGTTGACCATTCTGAAATCATTAAGACTCGCCCATCAGAATTCACACAGAGAAGCAACAATGATTCTATTACCAAACAGGAAATGTTAACCCAAGAGGACAAGATGCTGATGTCCTCTACAACAGAAACGAGCTTGAATGCAGCAGTCCAGATTAATGAAGATATTCCAGTGGTTGGTCCCAAGCAAATATGGATCACCAGAACAGGAGTAGAAACTGCTATGTGTCTGCATGAAGATGAAGAAGTTGTAGACAAAGACAAGAAACACAGAGCTGGACAAAGTGTTCAAGAAGGAGACTTGTCTGAAGCACAGTGGAAGGATGTTTCTTTTCTTTCTCCACTGTCAAGCCTAAATGCACCTTCAGATCTCCAACTTCAAGACAAACCTCCGAGTACAGATGAGCAGACTGATGCCAACTTCAGCTTCAGTGGACACAGGAGAAAACTTGGATCAAGCCATAAAAACAAGGAGAAACAGCATGGTAAAGGACCTAAGGAGGAAGATTCAGAAAATTTCAAAGATGAAGAACTGGAAACATCACAATTCTTAAAAATACAGACAGCAGGGCAAGAAGACTTGAGCCAAGGTAATGAGCACAAAGCTGTCCTGTCAACATCACAGGACAGCTCCATGCCTTTAATGTTTGAGTCACAGAGAATCATTCCTGAAAAGCTTCAACATGATAAAGATAAAAGAAAACCAGACATTAAGACTGAAATGATGGAAGAACCTGTGGACCTCACACAGCAAGGAGTTGATCAGATTCAGACTTTTGACAAAGAGAAAACCAGTGATGTTATTTCAGAGTCTATTCAGAGGGAAGTGCAGGAAGTAAAAGTTCATCCAAAACAAATGAAAGAAAGTCTACAGACTGGTTATCCTGAAAGCCTGACTGGCCATGCTGAAATGTCTATGCTCACAATGAAAAGTGGTGATGATTCTGGTGTCAAGGAAGTAGACTATCCTACAACTAGAAATATTTTGGACGATTCGGACCTGAAAGCTGATGATTATGATTTATCTGATACAGAAAAACAACCAATCAGAGACACTGTTGACTCCTCTCTAAGCCAGGTCTATGAGTTCAAAGTCAGAGTGGAAGATGAGGTCAAACCAAACACTGAACAAATGTTTCATCAGGAAAAAGAAAGAGTTTTCTCTGAACCTGAGGACAAATCTGCATCAACACTTCAGTCTGAAACATTTTCCTCTGAATCTCAGCCTCAGAGGGATTCTGAGACCAAAGATGAGCAAACAAGCAGAGCCTTCAGCAGCAGTGACAGAAGGAAACTAGGGTCAAGTCGTAGAAATAAGAGAGGACAGCGTGTTAAAGAACCTACAGATGAAGTTCTGGAAAATAGCAAGGCTGATGAAAGCATTGACACTGCATTGGTGTCATTGAAAGAAAAGACAGTAATCCAAGAAAAATTAACTCATGAACTTCAGAGTGATGTTAACGTGTTTCTGCCACATGAGTGCTCCATGTTTACAGTACATGTATCTTCCTCTGAGGTTCACAGCTCTGGAACTAAAGACAATCCTGACACCCACCTGAAGAGTTTTATCACCAAGACTGTAAATCCTCCTGTACACCCAGATCAAAAAGATAAAAACATTGATGTTAAAACCTTTGATAAGTCTGGTGAAGCCAAACCACTGAAAAAATCTGACTCTCCTGTGACGAAAGAGGTTATAAGTCTTCATGGTCCCATTATTGTTGCTGAACAAAAGCAAAGACCCGAGACTCTGCAAACACAAGAACAAGAAAGTTTGCAAATTGATCAAACACATGACCCCAAGACAAATGATGTCCTGGAGAATCCACAGACTGTTTCTGGCATCCTGGTTGACCATTCTGAAATCATTAAGACTCGCCCATCAGAATTCACACAGAGAAGCAACAATGATTCTATTACCAAACAGGAAATGTTAACCCAAGAGGACAAGGCGCTGATGTCCTCTACAACAGAAACGAGCTTGAATGCAGCAGTCCAGATTAATGAAGATATTCCAGTGGTTGGTCCCAAGCAAATATGGATCACCAGAACAGGAGTAGAAACTGCTATGTGTCTGCATGAAGATGAAGAAGTTGTAGACAAAGACAAGAAACACAGAGCTGGACAAAGTGTTCATCAAGAAGGAGACTTGTCTGAAGCACAGTGGAAGGATGTTTCTGTTCTTTCTCCACTGTCAAGCCTAGATGCACCTTCAGATCTCCAACTTCAAGACAAACCTCCGAGTACAGATGAGCAGACTGATGCCAACTTCAGCTTCAGTGGACACAGGAGAAAACTTGGATCAAGCCGTAAAAACAAGGGGAAACAGCATGGTAAGGGACCTAAGGAGGAAGATTCAGAAAATTTCAAAGATGAAGAACTGGAAACATCACAATTATTAAAAATACAGACAGCAGGGCAAGAAGACTTGAGCCAAGGTAATGAGCACAAAGTTGTCCTGTCAACATCACAGGACAGCTCCATGCCTTTAATGTTTGAGTCACAGAGAATCATTCCTGAAAAGCTTCAACATGATAAAGATAAAAGAAAACCAGACATTAAGACTGAAATGATGGAAGAACCTGTGGACCTCACACAGCAAGGAGTTGATCAGATTCAGACTTTTGACAAAGAGAAAACCAGTGATGTTATTTCAGAGACTACTCAGAGGAAAGTGCAGGAAGTAAAAGTTCATCCAAAACAAATGAAAGAAAGTCTACAGACTGGTTATCCTGAAAGCCTGACTGGCCATGCTGAAATGTCTATACTCACAATGAAAAGTGGTGGTGATGATTCTGGTGTCAAGGAAGTAGACTATCCTACAACTAGAAATATTTTGGACGATTCGGACCTGAAAGCTGATGATTATGATTTATCTGATACAGAAAAACAACCAATCAGAGACACTGTTGACTCCTCTCTAAGCCAGGTCTATGAGTTCAAAGTCAGAGTGGAAGATGAGGTCAAACCAAACACTGAACAAATGTTTCATCAGGAAAAGGAAAGACTTTTCTCTGAACCTGAGGACAAATCTGCATCAACACTTCAGTCTGAAACATTTTCCTCTGAATCTCAGCCTCAGAAGGATTCTGAGACCAAAGATGAGCAAACAAGCAGAGCCTTCAGCAGCAGTGACAGAAGGAAACTAGGGTCAAGTCGTAGAAATAAGAGAGGACAGCGTGTTAAAGAATCTACAGATGAAGTTCTGGAAAATACCAAGGCTGATGAAAGCATTGACACTACATTGGTGTCATTGAAAGAAAAGACGGTAATCCAAGAAAAATTAACTCATGAACTTCAGAGTGATGTTAACGTGTTTCTGCCACATGAGTGCTCCATGTTTACAGTACTTGTATCTTCCTCTGAGGTTCACAGCTCTGGAACTAAAGACAATCCTGACACCCACCTGGAGAGTTTTATCACCAAGACTGTAAATCCTCCTGTACACCCAGATCAAAAAGATAAAAACATTGATGTTAAAACCTTTGATAAGTCTGGTGAAGCCAAACCACTGAAAAAATCTGACTCTCCTAAGACAAAAGAGGTTATAAGTCTTCATGGTCCCATTATTGTTGCTGATCAAAAGCAAAGACCCGAGACTCTGCAAACACACGAACAAGAAAGTTTGCAAATTGATCAAACACATGACTCCAAGACAAATGATGTCCTGGAGAATCCACAGACTGTTTCTGGCATCCTGGTTGACCATTCTGAAATCATTAAGACTCGCCCATCAGAATTCACACAGAGAAGCAACAATGATTCTATTACCAAACAGGAAATGTTAACCCAAGAGGACAAGGCGCTGATGTCCTCTACAACAGAAACGAGCTTGAATGCAGCAGTCCAGATTAATGAAGATATTCCAGTGGTTGGTCCCAAGCAAATATGGATCACCAGAACAGGAGTAGAAACTGCTATGTGTCTGCATGAAGATGAAGAAGTTGTAGACAAAGACAAGAAACACAGAGCTGGACAAAGTGTTCAAGAAGGAGACTTGTCTGAAGCACAGTGGAAGGATGTTTCTTTTCTTTCTCCACTGTCAAGCCTAGATGCACCTTCAGATCTCCAACTTCAAGACAAACCTCCGAGTACAGATGAGCAGACTGATGCCAACTTCAGCTTCAGTGGACACAGGAGAAAACTTGGATCAAGCCGTAAAAACAAGGGGAAACAGCATGGTAAAGGACCTAAGGAGGAAGATTCAGAAAATTTCAAAGATGAAGAACTGGAAACATCACAATTCTTAAAAATACAGACAGCAGGGCAAGAAGACTTGAGCCAAGGTAATGAGCACAAAGCTGTCCTGTCAACATCACAGGACAGCTCCATGCCTTTAATGTTTGAGTCACAGAGAATCATTCCTGAAAAGCTTCAACATGATAAAGATAAAAGAAAACCAGACATTAAGACTGAAATGATGGAAGAACCTGTGGACCTCACACAGCAAGGAGTTGATCAGATTCAGACTTTTGACAAAGAGAAAACCAGTGATGTTATTTCAGAGTCTATTCAGAGGGAAGTGCAGGAAGTAAAAGTTCATCCAAAACAAATGAAAGAAAGTCTACAGACTGGTTATCCTGAAAGCCTGACTGGCCATGCTGAAATGTCTATGCTCACAATGAAAAGTGGTGATGATTCTGGTGTCAAGGAAGTAGACTATCCTACAACTAGAAATATTTTGGACGATTCGGACCTGAAAGCTGATGATTATGATTTATCTGATACAGAAAAACAACCAATCAGAGACACTGTTGACTCCTCTCTAAGTCAGGTCTATGAGTTCAAAGTCAGAGTGGAAGATGAGGTCAAACCAAACACTGAACAAATGTTTCATCAGGAAAAAGAAAGAGTTTTCTCTGAACCTGAGGACAAATCTGCATCAACACTTCAGTCTGAAACATTTTCCTCTGAATCTCAGCCTCAGAGGGATTCTGAGACCAAAGATGAGCAAACAAGCAGAGCCTTCAGCAGCAGTGACAGAAGGAAACTAGGGTCAAGTCGTAGAAATAAGAGAGGACAGCGTGTTAAAGAACCTACAGATGAAGTTCTGGAAAATAGCAAGGCTGATGAAAGCATTGACACTGCATTGGTGTCATTGAAAGAAAAGACAGTAATCCAAGAAAAATTAACTCATGAACTTCAGAGTGATGTTAACGTGTTTCTGCCACATGAGTGCTCCATGTTTACAGTACATGTATCTTCCTCTGAGGTTCACAGCTCTGGAACTAAAGACAATCCTGACACCCACCTGGAGAGTTTTATCACCAAGACTGTAAATCCTCCTGTACATCCAGATCAAAAAGATAAAAACATTGATGTTAAAACCTTTGATAAGTCTGGTGAAGCCAAACCACTGAAAAAATCTGACTCTCCTGTGACGAAAGAGGTTATAAGTCTTCATGGTCCCATTATTGTTGCTGAACAAAAGCAAAGACCCGAGACTCTGCAAACACAAGAAAAAGAAAGTTTGCAAATTGATCAAACACATGACCCCAAGACAAATGATGTCCTGGAGAATCCACAGGCTGTTTCTGGCATCCTGGTTGACCATTCTGAAATCATTAAGACTCGCCCATCAGAATTCACACAGAGAAGCAACAATGATTCTATTACCAAACAGGAAATGTTAACCCAAGAGGACAAGGCGCTGATGTCCTCTACAACAGAAACGAGCTTGAATGCAGCAGTCCAGATTAATGAAGATATTCCAGTGGTTGGTCCCAAGCAAATATGGATCACCAGAACAGGAGTAGAAACTGCTATGTGTCTGCATGAAGATGAAGAAGTTGTAGACAAAGACAAGAAACACAGAGCTGGACAAAGTGTTCATCAAGAAGGAGACTTGTCTGAAGCACAGTGGAAGGATGTTTCTGTTCTTTCTCCACTGTCAAGCCTAGATGCACCTTCAGATCTCCAACTTCAAGACAAACCTCTGAGTACAGATGAGCAGACTGATGCCAACTTCAGCTTCAGTGGACACAGGAGAAAACTTGGATCAAGCCGTAAAAACAAGGAGAAACAGCATGGTAAGGGACCTAAGGAGGAAGATTCAGAAAATTTCAAAGATGAAGAACTGGAAACATCACAATTATTAAAAATACAGACAGCAGGGCAAGAAGACTTGAGCCAAGGTAATGAGCACAAAGTTGTCCTGTCAACATCACAGGACAGCTCCATGCCTTTAATGTTTGAGTCACAGAGAATCATTCCTGAAAAGCTTCAACATGATAAAGATAAAAGAAAACCAGACATTAAGACTGAAATGATGGAAGAACCTGTGGACCTCACACAGCAAGGAGTTGATCAGATTCAGACTTTTGACAAAGAGAAAACCAGTGATGTTATTTCAGAGTCTACTCAGAGGAAAGTGCAGGAAGTAAAAGTTCATCCAAAACAAATGAAAGAAAGTCTACAGACTGGTTATCCTGAAAGCCTGACTGGCCATGCTGAAATGTCTATACTCACAATGAAAAGTGGTGATGATTCTGGTGTCAAGGAAGTAGACTATCCTACAACTAGAAATATTTTGGACGATTCGGACCTGAAAGCTGATGATTATGATTTATCTGATACAGAAAAACAACCAATCAGAGACACTGTTGACTCCTCTCTAAGCCAGGTCTATGAGTTCAAAGTCAGAGTGGAAGATGAGGTCAAACCAAACACTGAACAAATGTTTCATCAGGAAAAGGAAAGACTTTTCTCTGAACCTGAGGACAAATCTGCATCAACACTTCAGTCTGAAACAATTTCCTCTGAATCTCAGCCTCAGAAGGATTCTGAGACCAAAGATGAGCAAACAAGCAGAGCCTTCAGCAGCAGTGACAGAAGGAAACTAGGGTCAAGTCGTAGAAATAAGAGAGGACAGCGTGTTAAAGAATCTACAGATGAAGTTCTGGAAAATACCAAGGCTGATGAAAGCATTGACACTACATTGGTGTCATTGAAAGAAAAGACGGTAATCCAAGAAAAATTAACTCATGAACTTCAGAGTGATGTTAACGTGTTTCTGCCACATGAGTGCTCCATGTTTACAGTACTTGTATCTTCCTCTGAGGTTCACAGCTCTGGAACTAAAGACAATCCTGACACCCACCTGGAGAGTTTTATCACCAAGACTGTAAATCCTCCTGTACATCCAGATCAAAAAGATAAAAACATTGATGTTAAAACCTTTGATAAGTCTGGTGAAGCCAAACCACTGAAAAAATCTGACTCTCCTGTGACGAAAGAGGTTATAAGTCTTCATGGTCCCATTATTGTTGCTGAACAAAAGCAAAGACCCGAGACTCTGCAAACACACGAACAAGAAAGTTTGCAAATTGATCAAACACATGACCCCAAGACAAATGATGTCCTGGAGAATCCACAGACTGTTTCTGGCATCCTGGTTGACCATTCTGAAATCATTAAGACTCGCCCATCAGAATTCACACAGAGAAGCAACAATGATTCTATTACCAAACAGGAAATGTTAACCCAAGAGGACAAGGCGCTGATGTCCTCTACAACAGAAACGAGCTTGAATGCAGCAGTCCAGATTAATGAAGATATTCCAGTGGTTGGTCCCAAGCAAATATGGATCACCAGAACAGGAGTAGAAACTGCTATGTGTCTGCATGAAGATGAAGAAGTTGTAGACAAAGACAAGAAACACAGAGCTGGACAAAGTGTTCAAGAAGGAGACTTGTCTGAAGCACAGTGGAAGGATGTTTCTTTTCTTTCTCCACTGTCAAGCCTAGATGCACCTTCAGATCTCCAACTTCAAGACAAACCTCCGAGTACAGATGAGCAGACTGATGCCAACTTCAGCTTCAGTGGACACAGGAGAAAACTTGGATCAAGCCGTAAAAACAAGGGGAAACAGCATGGTAAAGGACCTAAGGAGGAAGATTCAGAAAATTTCAAAGATGAAGAACTGGAAACATCACAATTCTTAAAAATACAGACAGCAGGGCAAGAAGACTTGAGCCAAGGTAATGAGCACAAAGCTGTCCTGTCAACATCACAGGACAGCTCCATGCCTTTAATGTTTGAGTCACAGAGAATCATTCCTGAAAAGCTTCAACATGATAAAGATAAAAGAAAACCAGACATTAAGACTGAAATGATGGAAGAACCTGTGGACCTCACACAGCAAGGAGTTGATCAGATTCAGACTTTTGACAAAGAGAAAACCAGTGATGTTATTTCAGAGTCTATTCAGAGGGAAGTGCAGGAAGTAAAAGTTCATCCAAAACAAATGAAAGAAAGTCTACAGACTGGTTATCCTGAAAGCCTGACTGGCCATGCTGAAATGTCTATGCTCACAATGAAAAGTGGTGATGATTCTGGTGTCAAGGAAGTAGACTATCCTACAACTAGAAATATTTTGGACGATTCGGACCTGAAAGCTGATGATTATGATTTATCTGATACAGAAAAACAACCAATCAGAGACACTGTTGACTCCTCTCTAAGTCAGGTCTATGAGTTCAAAGTCAGAGTGGAAGATGAGGTCAAACCAAACACTGAACAAATGTTTCATCAGGAAAAAGAAAGAGTTTTCTCTGAACCTGAGGACAAATCTGCATCAACACTTCAGTCTGAAACATTTTCCTCTGAATCTCAGCCTCAGAAGGATTCTGAGACCAAAGATGAGCAAACAAGCAGAGCCTTCAGCAGCAGTGACAGAAGGAAACTAGGGTCAAGTCGTAGAAATAAGAGAGGACAGCGTGTTAAAGAATCTACAGATGAAGTTCTGGAAAATAGCAAGGCTGATGAAAGCATTGACACTGCATTGGTGTCATTGAAAGAAAAGACGGTAATCCAAGAAAAATTAACTCATGAACTTCAGAGTGATGTTAACGTGTTTCTGCCACATGAGTGCTCCATGTTTACAGTACTTGTATCTTCCTCTGAGGTTCACAGCTCTGGAACTAAAGACAATCCTGACACCCACCTGGAGAGTTTTATCACCAAGACTGTAAATCCTCCTGTACATCCAGATCAAAAAGATAAAAACATTGATGTTAAAACCTTTGATAAGTCTGGTGAAGCCAAACCACTGAAAAAATCTGACTCTCCTGTGACGAAAGAGGTTATAAGTCTTCATGGTCCCATTATTGTTGCTGAACAAAAGCAAAGACCCGAGACTCTGCAAACACACGAACAAGAAAGTTTGCAAATTGATCAAACACATGACCCCAAGACAAATGATGTCCTGGAGAATCCACAGACTGTTTCTGGCATCCTGGTTGACCATTCTGAAATCATTAAGACTCGCCCATCAGAATTCACACAGAGAAGCAACAATGATTCTATTACCAAACAGGAAATGTTAACCCAAGAGGACAAGGCGCTGATGTCCTCTACAACAGAAACGAGCTTGAATGCAGCAGTCCAGATTAATGAAGATATTCCAGTGGTTGGTCCCAAGCAAATATGGATCACCAGAACAGGAGTAGAAACTGCTATGTGTCTGCATGAAGATGAAGAAGTTGTAGACAAAGACAAGAAACACAGAGCTGGACAAAGTGTTCATCAAGAAGGAGACTTGTCTGAAGCACAGTGGAAGGATGTTTCTGTTCTTTCTCCACTGTCAAGCCTAGATGCACCTTCAGATCTCCAACTTCAAGACAAACCTCCGAGTACAGATGAGCAGACTGATCCTAACTTCAGCTTCAGTGGACACAGGAGAAAACTTGGATCAAGCCGTAAAAACAAGGAGAAACAGCATGGTAAGGGACCTAAGGAGGAAGATTCAGAAAATTTCAAAGACGAAGAACTGGAAACATCACAATTCTTAAAAATACAGACAGCAGGGCAGGAAGACTTGAGCCAAGGTAATGAGCACAGAGTTGTCCTGTCAACATCACAGGACAGCTCCATGCCTTTAATGTTTGAGTCACAGAGAATCATTCCTGAAAAGCTTCAACATGATAAAGATAAAAGAAAACCAGACATTAAGACTGAAATGATGGAAGAACCTGTGGACCTCACACAGCAAGGAGTTGATCAGATTCAGACTTTTGACAAAGAGAAAACCAGTGATGTTATTTCAGAGACAACTCAGAGGGAAGTGCAGGAAGTAAAAGTTCATCCAAAACAAATGAAAGAAAGTCTACAGACTGGTTATCCTGAAAGCCTGACTGGCCATGCTGAAATGTCTATGCTCACAATGAAAAGTGGTGATGATTCTGGTGTCAAGGAAGTAGACTATCCTACAACTAGAAATATTTTGGACGATTCGGACCTGAAAGCTGATGATTATGATTTATCTGATACAGAAAAACAACCAATCAGAGACACTGTTGACTCCTCTCTAAGTCAGGTCTATGAGTTCAAAGTCAGAGTGGAAGATGAGGTCAAACCAAACACTGAACAAATGTTTCATCAGGAAAAAGAAAGAGTTTTCTCTGAAACTGAGGACAAATCTGCATCAACACTTCAGTCTGAAACATTTTCCTCTGAATCTCAGCCTCAGAAGGATTCTGAGACCAAAGATGAGCAAACAAGCAGAGCCTTCAGCAGCAGTGACAGAAGGAAACTAGGGTCAAGTCGTAGAAATAAGAGAGGACAGCGTGTTAAAGAATCTACAGATGAAGTTCTGGAAAATAGCAAGGCTGATGAAATCCCAGAAAATTCAAAGGTTAGTTTAGAAATAGTTACATTTGAGCAGAAATATTCACACCAAGACACTGATCACATTTTTATGACATCTGTTTCACAGAACAGGTCTGTCTCTCTAATGCCTTTATCTGGTCATTCTTCTCAGGTTCTGAGCTCAGATCCACCTGATTATCTTGAAACTATCCCTCAGAGCCTTCCTGACTGTGAACAAGATTCAGAGGACCATAGTGACAGAGAGAGCAGTGTTTTTGCCAATTTAGTTAAAAAGTCAACAAACTTCAGTCAACAAGAGGTTGATAAATATCTTACTGCTTCCACTAGAGATCTTCTAGGTGATGATCAAAGAATAAAAGTTCATTCAACTCAACAAAGTCTGCATACCTGCTACTCGCCTGTAAGTGGAGATACAGAAAATTTAGACATTTTTTCTGGGAATTTGTCTGAACAGGCTGAAATGTTTGGGTTTACAAAGAAAAGCGAGTCTGCATCTACAGACGAATTGTATCCCACTAAAGTAAGAATGTCAGTGGCATCAGACCTGAAACCTGGTACAGAAAACCCTCATGCTGGTGACTCCGCTTTGAGTCAAGTGCATCAACCAGGGAGCGTACGTGACCCAACCACCAGCGGCCACAAACGCAAACTTGCTTCAAGCCGTAGACTTAAAGGAGGACATACAGTCAAAGATCCTGATGCTGAAACACACGATAAACCCGTACAAGATTTAGTAGAGGAGGCAAGTAGTTTTAGGCTCATTGAAAGTTCAGATATAACTCCTAGAAGAGCACATTCAACCTCAAACGTGGATCAGAAGGTACCCAACGGGTCAATGATTCAGGATGGGGACCTTTCCAGCAGGAAGAGAGATGAACGTACAGAGCTGCCAACAAAGGATAAAAACTCGCACGAGAATGTTTTGGCATCTAAACCACATTCATTTCCTTTCACAACAGACGTCAATTCAGAAATAAATACCAGCAGAGATCGTACCATATCTGAAAATATAGCTGGAAGTAAATCACCAAAGAATGATGCCTATGAATCGTCTCAGCATGCTATAGATGCTGTTAGGAAAGCACAGGTACAGGAAGTTGATCCTGGACAAGTGTGTGCTGAAAAAGAGAAGGGTGAAGCTGTAGGAAAGAATGAAAAAACAGCCCAAAAATCATTTTATTTAACAGAAAACAAAGAAATGTTTGATTTTGTGTCAAGTGGGAGAGACTTTTCTGTCACATCAGAGGGAACCACAGAAAAAAGCATTCCCAGAAACCACAATGAAATCGAATGCAGCGTTGAGCAAAAAGCATATTCATCACCGCAAGATCGTTTACCAACAGCTGGGGAACAAGATAAGAGTATCAACATTTCTGAAGCTGCAAGAAAACACCAGTTAGAGGACTTTGTGAGCAAAGAGCACGCAGAACAGATTAACCCAGATCAAATGCAGGAAACATGTCACATTGATTCCACTTCACTTGTTCAGAACACGTCTTTTGTTCAAACACTGCAGTCAGATGCAAATGTTGCTGTGGACTTTAATTGTGCAGACCATGATCAAAGTAACAAAAATGAAACTCACTCTGATCTAAAAGCAGCAGAGGGCAGAAGGAAGCTGGGGTCAAGTCGGAGGATTAAAGGAAGACAACAAGCCAAGTTTAGTGAAACAAACCAAGAAAATAAAGAGGAAGATAACGAAATTACAGATGAGGCAACACAAATGTCTGCAACAAAAACATCAAGGGAAGATTTCAAACCTGTTGAGAAAGTCACAACCATCGTGGCTGAAGCTGAACAAACAGAAAAGCTGCCAACAACTCTGGGTGGCAGCTCAGTTTCAACACCAGAAATCAACTCAAGCTCAGATAAAGATGATTTTACTAAATCCAATAAAAACACAGACGAGAAACACATCGAACTTCTGCATGGGACTGATAGTTTTTGTCTGATTACACATTGTGGCTTAGAAAAAGAGGGCTTGATGCAATCACAAAGCTTTGTTTCAGAAGGTGACTCAGATCTGCAGAGCAGTTTAAAACATGATGAAATTATCAGCATCCTGTCAGGCAGTGAGAGTGTGTTTGATCAAGACCAGACCATTCAGAGGCAAAACAGAGAAGCAAGGACACTGGGACAAGGGGTAGAGCTGCAGCAGATGCTTGAAGACACACAAACCGCCAGAGGTTTCTCATCAGAAGACCACGACAGAAATAGCTCAGTGGATGCCCAAGAACCTAGATTAGATGAGCTGAGAGAGAACCTTCTCAGAGCTGAACGAGGATTAAGCACGTCACTTGAGTTTATTTCTCCTTCGGAGGAATCTGCTATGGATTTAGCTTATAAAAAAGCAATATCTCTTAAAGTGGATGCCAGTGAAGGTTTGCAAGAAACATCCATGTTTAAGAAGAGGAAGATTGGCTCATCTCGCAGGACTAAAATCAACAGGAAACAAGAGGGAGAGACTCCTAGCATGGATGAACCTAAAGATGATGACATCAGCACACAAGATGATGTGTGGAATCTGGAGAAGGTTGAGGTTATGGTGGAGTTACCCTTGATCAAAGAAGTAAAAGAAAGTCTAAATGTCCATAACTTACATGGTGCACGAGAGAATGATGAAGCCAAAACTACGCGATATGATAAACATCAGCAAGCTGTTCCAGAACAAAGGTCAAAGAGCACGAGTGAAGGAGTACAGAGCCAAGCTCTGGAGGTAAAGAGTTCAAGTCCAGATTTTAGTTCGACCAGCAGAAGGAAAATGGGCTCCACCTGCAAGAATCTGGGATCACAAACTCAAAGAGAAATTCTGCATCAAGGGGAGGAGCCAAAAATAGAAGCAGCAGAGTCTGAAACACCTGCTGGAGGAGCAGCAAGTGAGAGGATCCTGCAAATTAAAGGCGTGCGACTCCACTCAGAAACCAAAGACTCTGATCAACGAACAGAGAAAGCATTCCAACCTGTGGAAATCACTCACGTTGAGGAGTCTTTATTGAAACCTCCAGCTGAAGAAATGCCTGATGAAAGTCCAGTTTCTCTGAGTCAAGTGGATGAAACAAAACAAACGCTTCACATCTCTCCGTCCTCCTCGCCCCAAAACGACTCTGTGCTGAAATCAGTCAGGAGGAAAAAGTTTGGGTCTAATAGGAGGTCTCACTTACAGCCGAGAAATAAAAACCAAGATGAAAAGGAGGATGGAGTGATACAAATACACAATGAGGATCACACCAGAGAGATAGTAGAAGAAGCAGCTGACCGAAACAGAGATGAATCACCAGATCTGGATAAAATATCAGAGGTAAGAAGCAATATCTCTTTTACTGTCATCTTCACTTGTAGATCTGAGCGCAAGTGCATCAGGATACTGATGAATAATTATTTCTGATTATAGTCATTCACCTAGCTTTTCATGCAGGCTGAGTCTAAAGTAGTCTCTTACACCTATCTTTTGCATTAGCTTCTGATTGAAAATAGACAGTGAAACTCAATGATTTGAAAATCCTGACAGATCTACGCCACACTGTCATTTAACCTCCATGGACTCACCCATCTTGACTTGAGAAGGGGAAGCTTGTTTGTTTAGCGTCCAGGAAATAGCAGAGAATGTCCCGGTTAAACGAAGCTAACCATTACCGTTATCAACTCCACCACACAGCAGAACTCCTCCAGGAAAGAAACAGTGTTCTAGAGCCAATTTAGGCAGTGGTAGAGTCATGTTGCTGTTAGCCAGTCAGAAGTGAGATGTCCAAATATCAGGAAAAAAGACACCAGATCCTGCCATCTGAAGCTACTTTGTCCTCCAACTGGCTTCTATGTCCTCAAACAGGAGCATCCGAGATTTTTCATACTAGAGTATCAATCACAAGGCATTTAATCCTACTACAGACCACTGCAAATGTATTAAAATATGAATAAAGGTGGCTTAGAATAATGCACTCTTCTTAGTCATCATTAACATCATAATGTGCTCATGTCTGATTCTGTAGCATTTGTGAAGCTCTTCAGGTGCACAAAGAAGCGGAATTTACTTTTTTTTAAACATTTTACATCATTATGTCAGGCTCTGAAAACTCCCTTCTAAAGCTAAACTTAATTCTACAACAATTCTTAAACTAAATTTTCGATAGTTCCTATAGTTTGACATTATCTTTGAACAAATGAGCGTTGCTAAGTGTACATCTAGCGCCACTTCCTATTTGCATTAAACATCTTGCATGTTGGCTCCAAGAAAGTAATGACGCAGATGCAGTGACCTAAAATGAGGAACGTGTGGTCAGCGCTGCAGGTTTCACAAGGTGGAAGAGAGAACATGGTTTCCTCAGCAACATAAAATGTACAAGTCTCTCAGATTAGTTCAGTTTTATCTGATGATAAAGAGGATTAACATAAAACAAGTATCTTTTTTATCCTTATATGATATAAATATATAAATAAATGATGATTATCTTTGCAAAGAAATTATGTAAAAGTGTTGAGGGTCATTTGTTATAAGTAAAACAAAATTTCCTTATTGGTAATATAAATGACCACGTTTTTGTGTTTGCAGGTGCTTGAAAAATCCTCATCTAACCTCCCAGAGACTAAAGAGCTCTCAGAGCCTGTGAAGTAAGTTTTCAGCATCGCTGAAACTGTCATTTCAGTGCAGATGTTCCCCTTTTTGTGAAAACTACGAAGCTGCTTGATTAGAATGGCGTGGTTAACTACAGCAAAGACGGTGTCAGAAAGTAACATTAGAAAAGAATCTGAAAGTATTGCTTCACTCTTTCAGCTTCTTTTTCTCCCTGTGAGGCCGAGGCGGCTCCACCCGCATTGTTGCACTTGCAGCTTTGCAGAGACTTAAAATAACACTTTTATATGTACCGCGGGGGGGGGGGGGGGGGGGGGGGGGGCGCTGGCTTTTAATCCAATCTTGTTACGTGAAACTGAAACTATGCAAGCAATCCTAAGCCGAGAGGCCCAGACTTCCCTCTCCCCAGCTACTTGGGCTAGCTCCTCCGGGGAAATCCCAAGACATTCCCTGGCTATCCAAGAGACACAGTCCTCTAGCGTGGTCTCCTCCTAGTTGCACATGCCCGGAAAACCTCACCAAGGAGGTGTGCAGGAGGCATCCTGACCAGACACTCGTGCCACCTCAACTGGCTCTTCGACATGAAGGAGCAGCCGGTCTACTCCAAGCCCCACCCGGATGACCGAGCTTCTCATCCTATCTCTAAGGGAGAGCCCAGACACCCTGCGTAGAAAACCTTTTTTGGCCGCTTGTATCCGTGATCTTGTTCTTTCGGGCACTACCCAAAGCTCATGACCATAGGTGAGGGTAGGGCTGTAGATCGACCGGTAAATCAAGAGCTTTGCCTTCCGGCTCAGCTCTCTCTTCACCACGACAGACCTGCAGAACGCCTGCAGAACTGTACATGCAGCACCAATCCGCCTATCGATCTCGCGCTCCATCTCCCTCTCATTTGTGAACAAGACCCCGAGAGATTTAACCTCCTCTACGAGGCAGGACCTCTGCTCTGACGTGGAGAAGGCATTCGACCCTGTTCTGATTTTGAGGAGCTGATTCTCATCCCAACCCAGCCAGAAAAAACTACAGAACTTAATATAAATATTTTGTCAGATTGTGTATTTATAGTCTGAAAAATGTTTGCTTCACAGTGAGAAGACTCCAGGAAGATCGTATCATGATGAAATTTGCTTCAGTCAAGACAGTAGAAGGCAGAATTATTTAGGTAAAACAAAAATAATTCCTACACACACACACACACACACACACACACACACAGATCAGCACAATGCACAGTTTTTAGACCAATAAAAACAAGAAGAGTAAATTGTGATCACAAAAGTGTTTGTGACACTTTGGCAGGTAATCTGGGAGGAGCAAATGCATCAGACAGTTACAACGTGGTGATGATCGGAGACAGCTGTGTGGGGAAAACCTCGTTTATGAAAAGAGCTCAAAGTGGGAAGTTTTCTTTAGACATACCTGCCTCTGTTGGTAAGATTTTCTTTTAAAAGATTATACTCTTTAACTAATGTAGTTACACAGCTATGTGACTTTGTTACTTGATTTCTAGGTGTCGACTCCTGCATGTGGACGGTGGTCGTCGATGGAAAACCTGTGATGCTACAGTTATGGGACACAGCAGGTCAAGAGAGGTGAGTTTCCTCTTAATGTGATTTCAGTTATGAGTAAAAACAATAATGAGAATAACAAGGATATTTGGAGCTGTAGACATTGCAAGAAGATTTGCAGTAGGGTAAAAAAGTATTTGGCAGCCATCGATTGTGGAAGTTGTCCCACTTAAAAAGATGAGATCTGTTATTTTGATGGTAAACTTCAGCTGTGAGGGACAGAATGTAAAAAAACAATCCAGGAAATCAGATTGAATTATTTTAAAAGAATGCATTTAAATAATACTGCTAATGACGGGAAAACCGTTTCCTGTATGTCTTCAAGTTTGCACACAATGTAGCTGGTATTTTGGCCCATTCTTCCATGCCGATCTCTAGAGCTGTTATGTTTCTGGGCTGTCGCCGAGAATCAGTGCGGAGACACACAACACCATCATGCGTCATTGCAAGGGCTCTCCAGCAGGCTTGCAAGGATGGATGGAGTTGAGCCCACTTTTCTAAATATCAGTCGAAGTCTTGAAGACACCGTGGGCCTGTGATTGGTCAGGATGTCGCATCCTTTAACGTTCTCAAAATGAGCCAAACATATCTAGTGGCAAACAAGGAGCAGTTTAAAGAATGTCTCGTGGGAAAAATCGGACAAGATAAACGTTAATACGTCTGTGACTGAAAGAGAACAAAGATACGCAGCAAAGTTTTAATTCGTGTCAGGAAATTAAGGAAAATGTGAGTTTAGAGGTGGTGACTGGATGAAGAGGTGGAGGACAGATTTGTCCGTGTTAAAAAGTCTCTGAAATACATAAACACAATATAAACACACTAGAGACGTGACTGCAGGATACCCCAGGAAAGAGCTGTGCCCTCTGTTGTTCTGCCGGAGAGTGTGCCGACTGGTCACTCTGAAATGTCCACAATTTAGCTTTACTTTGGAGGGGAGGGGTCAGAAAACCAGTGTCAGGTGTGGCCACCATTTGCCTCATGCAGTATATATATATATATATATATATATATATATATATATATATATATATATGCATATATATATATATATATATATATATATATATATATATATATATACAGTTGTGGTCAGAAGTTTACATACACTTGTAAAAAATATAATATAATGGCTCTACTGAGTGTCCTGTTATTTCTAAAACTCTGATTTTTCTCTGATAGAGTGATTGGAACAGATACTTCTTTGTCACAAAAAACATTCATGAAGTTCGGTTCTTTAATGTCTTTATTATGGGTTAACAGAGAAAAGTGATCACATTTGCTGGGTCACAAATATACATACAGCAGTGCTAATATTTGGTTACATGTCCCTTAGCCATTTTCACTTCAATCAGGTGCTTTTGGTAGCCATTCACAAGCTTCTGGCAAGCTTCTGGTTGAATCTTTGACCACTCCTCTTGACAGAATTGGTGAAGTTCAGTTAAATTTGATGGCTTTCTGACATGGACTTGTTTCTTCAGCAATGTCCACATGTTTTCAATGGGGTTTAAGTCAGGACTTTGGGAAGGCCATTCTAAAACCCTTATTCTAGCCTGATTTAGCAATTCCTTTACCACTTTTGATGTGTGTTTGGGGTCATTGTCCTGTTGGAACACCCAACTGCGCCCAAGACCCAACCTTCGTACTGATGATTTTAGGTTATGTTGAAGAATGTGAAGGTAATCCTCCTTCTTCATTATCCCATTTACTCTCTGTAAAGCACCAGTTCCATTGGCAGCAAGACAGCCCCACAGCATAATATTCCCACCACCATGCTTGACTGTAGGCATGTGTTCTTGGGGTTAAAGGCCTCACCTTTTCTCCTCCAAACATATTGCTGGGCATTGTGGCCAAAAAGCTCGATTTTTGTTTCGTCTGACCACAGAACTTTCCTCCAGAAGGTCTTATCTTTGTCCATGTGATCAGCAGCAAACTTCAGTCGAGCCTTAAGGTGCTGCTTTTGGAGCAAGGACTTCCTTCTTGCACGGCAGCCTCTCAGTCCATGGAGATGCACAACACGTTTGACTGTGGACAATGACACCTGTGTTCCAGCAGCTTCTAATTCTTGGCAGATCTGCTTTTTGGTGATTCTTGGTTCACTCTTTACCCTCCTGACCAATTTTCTCTCAGCAGCAGGTGATAGCTTGCGTTTTCTTCCTGATCTTGGCAGTGATGAAACAGTGCCATGCACCTGATTACTTACAAACAATTGTTTGCTCTGTTGCTCTTGGGACCTGCAGCTGCTTTGAAATGGCCCCAAGTGACTTTCCTGACTTGTTCAAGTCAATAATTCGCTTTTTCAGATCCATGCTGAGCTCCTTTGACTTTCCCAGTGTAGCGTTTGTGGGCGTTTGCATCCAATGAGCCCTATTTACCTGGCCTAAGAGAAGTCACCAGCTGTAGTCACTCATAATCACTCACAAGAAGTTAAGAGGCCATGCTATGAAGCTCAGTTCACTGACACGTTTCTAAGTCACCAAAATTGCTAGTTCATGTTGCTGTATGTATATTTGTGACCCAGCAAATGTGATCACTTTTCTCTGTTAACCCATAATAAAGACATTAAAGAACCAAACTTCATGAATGTTTTTTGTGACAAAGAAGTATCTGTTCCAATCACTCTATCAGAGAAAAATCAGAGTTTTAGAAATAACGGGACACTCAGTAGAGCCATTATATTATATTTTTTACAAGTGTATGTAAACTTCTGACCACAACTGTATATATATGCATATATACACATACACTAAAGGTCTTGGGGGCCTAGATTTGTTTATAAAATGTGAGAGGGGCCTTTGCTCTGATTCTGTTCACCAGAGGTTTTGGCCTCAGAATAGATTATTTGCTCTCTTTCTTATTTTTGGATTGTGAAGTTCTGCAGGGCTTTAAAAGTTGTACTGAGTTACTTTTTGCTTTAATATGTTTAGAAAGAGGCATGCTGGTTTCTGAGACCTTTAACACGCTTCATGTTGCCAGAGATATTCTTTTGAAGTGATCTCTGGCGTTAATCAGGCCTGGGAGTGGTGAGTCAAACTAAACAATGCGGTTAATCACAGTTAATGTGCGGTTTAACAAGAGCGCCAGTTACTTTTTCTCATAGAACTAGAATGGTTTGAAATGTTTTCTCATTTTCAATGGGTTTATCATTTGAAAATCGCATTTTGTTTTTGTTCAGGTCATCGGTATTGGGTGAAAAATGTGTTTGCTGATTTTGAACATTCAAGTGTGACAAAGAAAAAGCTCATAAATCAGTAATGAGACGGTGTTTCTTCACAGCAGTAAACAGCTTCTGAACATGAACAACACCCAGAGCTCAAAGGTGTGTCTAGGTGTGGGCGCATCTCAGAACTAGTCTGGCAGATTTGTTTTTGCCAACTGAAAAGAGCCTCCTGATTTAGTTACTCCTGTTTACCATCTCTGGATCTAAATGTGCTGCATTTGTCTCGTCTGATTTAAAACTTCTCAAATGTCCCTGACAACATCCTCGTTGTCTCTACAGGTTTCACAGCATCACAAGACAGGTTTTCCACAGAGCCCAGGCCTTTCTCTTGATGTATGACATCACTTGTTCTCAGAGTTTTTCTGCTGTCAGCTACTGGGTTAACTGCATTCAGGTAATGTGTAATAACGGCTTTAGCTGATGCTGTGTCCGAGAAACTGTTGCACAAGACATCATGTCTGAAGATGCAATGGGGCTTCTCGCTGTTCTTACAAAAAACTACTGCACTGCGTTCCATTTTACTGTTTTTCTGAACAGTCGGCATGTGCAGCTGCAGAAGTGGAATGCAGCCTTCATTAACAAACCTGTTCCCTTCCTATTGCTGCAATGTCTAATGTAAAATATGCCTGTAGAAACGCCCAAATCAGATGTTGTTATAAAAATATTATATTTATTACTTTTTGCTTTCAGCTGATGTGTGTTCAGTTTCCTGCTGCTTTCAGACACAAGTGCAAGAGGGCTCAGAATGTTTAGTCTCTCTTTAATATTTTTGAATTAAAAAATAATAAAAAGATTTCTTAACAAAACAAAAGACATGTTAACTCCAAATAAGTAGAATGATAAGTTTCTTCTTGTTCGTTCTGAAATGAGGACGTTGGCTTCTTCCACTATAATATTTTATTCTTTTCAACTCAGACCTTTTTGTCATTATTTAGATACACTTGATATTGAAATTTTACTTTTTCTTTCGTTTTGGGGGAAAATTTTAATAACATTTTTGTCTACATTCATGAGAATCAACCTCTCTGGAATTGTTCTTCCTTTTACATCCCAAGTCCGGGTCTCCGGAGGTTCAATATTATTAGTTTACTTTATTATGTTGTTTGTAATTCATTACATTTAGACTTTCTGAGATAAATTTCAAGCATTCGGCTACAAATACCAGGGGGTGTTTAGGTTGGGCTGGTGCTAGCCTGACAGAAAGATTGCACACACACACACACACACACACACACACACACACCATCTTTGATAATTATGTGCAATGCATATCAAAGCATCGATTCTTCTGAAGTTAAAAAGAGATGCTGAGACAAATACTTTTGTGATTTTGAAATACTTAAAGGCATTAATGTGAATGTTTTCTTACAAATAACGGTAACAGTAAAAAAAATAATGCAAGCCCTAGGGCTGGCCCCAAACCTCTCTGAACAAACACTGATTCATTCAGAACTGAGAGGAGAGAGGAGCAGAATGACTCGTGAACTCGACCCTGACTCTGAACACGACTCGTGATTTGCACAGTAAATCTAAACACTGTTTTTGCAGGAAGCTGCTGCCGAAGATGTGAGCGTTTTACTTCTAGGGAACAAGAGCGATGATGAACAGAGACAAGTTAAAACTGAAGAGGGGGACAATCTTGCTAAGGTTTGTATTTAATCGATTATTTATGTTTTTAATCCAACATATTTACTGTAACAATCAAATAAATGAAGTGATGAATGCCTCTTTAACTCTAAAGGAGTACAACTTTGCCTTCATGGAGTGTAGCGCCGCTACAGGGCAGAACGTGATTGAATCCTTGGAAACGATGGCCAGGCAAGCTAATTTTCCATTAAAAAAAACACATATTCTGACCCGTGCTGTGGCAACCGCTGATCTTGCCGTCATGTTTTTTGCAGGATGCTGAGTCAAAGTGCCGACTTGAGAGAGAAAACCACACAGTTACACAAACAGCCGGCGCAGAAAAAACAGTCAAGCTGTTGCTGAACATCCTGCAAACACAGGACTGGATTCCAGCAAGTTTTATATAAAATAACTACATTTTTATTTTATTTTCATTATAGATTCAAACAATAAGTCAGATACTTGTTTCGGAGTACTTCATTGATTTGATATTTGGGCTTTGAACAGGTTTTATTTGGTACTTTTAATCTTATTTACCAACAATAGGTGCAAAGGGGAGGTTTTATTGCATTTTTAGCTTGGTGGGAATTTTGCAGCGTCCCTTGATCCTGTTTAAGAAGTTTTCTCTTGTATATTTTTGTATGGAGGTGTAAGGTTAAATTTTCTGATGATTAGGTTTCAGAACTTTTTTTTTTAAGTTTCACACTTAAAATTATTTTTCATAACTTTTGCTCCACAATATTATCACTAAATGTGTGAAAAGCTCCTTTAAACTCCACTGCATTGTACCTTGTTGCAGCTCATTATTCTGTTAGTCAATAAAATCCTTCTAATCTATAATATACTACTTTTGGCTCATGGCCTTTTTGCTGTCGGCACAGCTCAAAAACACATTACTGCCTTTCATGCCCCTGCTGTTAGATGCAGTCAGTCAGTGGGTTTACTTTGATTCTGCCATTTTTTATTACATTACTGTGGAATAATTCAGAACAATAAAAACATTTTACCCTCAATAAACCTCCAGAACAGTTTGTTTCCTGGCACACTTAATCCGCGTCCTGAGCTGATGTTTTTCCAGACTGACAAAGAAAACTGTGTTCCCCTGAGGGACGGCAAGTCCTCCAACGGTATGAAGAGCATGACAACAATTGCGCCACACCAGTAACCTAACAACCAGAGCGGAGGTTTAGCTGGAAACACAAACACAGAGACTGCGTTCCTCTGGGATCCACAGAGGTCAGGGAGGAAGTACAGCAGATCTGATATTGACTGGCACTGCCTTGAGATATCAGAGGAAGTTCATCTCATCCTGCCGTCTAATCAAATTACTTTGTTCTTTTCACGGAGTCCTTTAGGAGCACAAAGAAAAATCTTTTTACTAAATAAATTGTTACAAGATTTACTAGGTAAAACGGATTTTTCTGAGAAGGAAAACTTTATCACAGACAGCATGAGACCAGTTTAAAAACAGATTTCAGTGAAACACACACAAGTGTAAACAAAATTATCTCAACCTTATTTCTACCAAATCAAGCCCAAGGACACACATTTAGATAAATGGAGCACACCCTGGTGTACGCATGACAGGTGGGAGGAGTCTGATGAGGAAGCACATCTTGACACCTTCCACCTGGTGGATGCTGGGAATGATACCAGCCCCCGTGGCTCTGAAACAGCAAAAAGAAGAAACCACCCTTATTTTGGGTTCTTCATAATCCAACGTCTCTGATCAGAAAATGTCTTTTCCTGCTGAGCTGAACTGTGTTTAAGTAGAGTGGGATTCAGGCTCAGACACAGCTCTTAGAGCTGATTCGTTCGATAACAGATCATCCAGCTGCTGCATCTTTGTTTTGATGAGTGCCTGTCAGTCTGCTTCCAGATGTTTCTAACGTGGATTCCCTGATGGGAAACAGGATTTTCTTTTGGTTTCTCTTTGACGAGTGGTATTTATAAATGGCCTCCATTACATCCGCAGCAGACCAGTGGTGACGTGTGAGTGCGTCCTGCAGGGTGAAGAGCCCGTCTCTGGTCCGCCTCACTCCTTTACACACCGCCGTGCTGCGCAGCTCAAGTCCGATCTCATGAACAACTTTACGCAAATATTTCTGGGTCTCGTTGAGGCACTGCACCTCTGTAAACACAGAATAAACACGTTTCTAACTAGATTTATGGGAATTTTTAAATATTTGACTGTCCTTATTACCTAAAGTGAATTTGGGAGGCTGGAAGTGAATGCAGCGTAACCCCGTTAAAATAGGAGCCGATTTTCCGTCTGGACCCAGTAAACCTTTGGCCGCCATCTCGTATGCTTCCTGTGAGCCCATGTCTACCGTAGAATACCTGTTAGGATAAAAACAAGTCAGGTTGACTCACAAACATCTGATTTCAAAGTAACGTCCAGCAAAACACATTATCTTACATTCTCAAAGCCTTCTGATTGGCTCCTTCCAGCATTGCAGTGACTCTCTCCAGCTTATCCTCTGAGATGTGATCTGTTCAGATCACGTTTAAAGGACAAAAACAAATCAGGTACATTTGCATTTTTATAGCCTCGGATATCTGTAAGTACAAAATGAAGCTAATTTATCTAACTGCTAAAAACGATGGTTAAATACCATAAGTGGACCTTTCCAAAACCCGACCAGTGTGAGAGAAATCATGCGTTGCCATCCCAAATTCACACTCTAATGTATAGTCCTTAATAGAAAAGCAAAACAGAAATAACTTAATAAAACATCTTAAGGAAACAAATCCATGCCGTGTCAAACCAGCAGGAATGAGAATTTACCCGAGTGATTCGTGTATTGTACAGATCATTCAGAGTCTTGTTTCCATTCCCGACAGCAAGAACTTAAACACAGAAATGATAGAAAGTTTTATGAATTTTCTTGATAAAATTCAGACATTTTATCCGATGATCAAGTGGAAGTTTGTACCGAGGACGCCGGAGGACGAAGTATCCAGGCGGTGGCCCACTCCAACTTTGATTTGCTGGAATTCAGGTCCAGTCACTAAGACATGAAAAATATGCATCATTCTACCCACTCATGTACACTACTTACTGAATACTGAATTACACCGGGCCGATATTTGTCCTTAATAAAGCTGATTTAAAGTCAGGCACATCCTTGGGCAGCACGGTGCTATTGCAAATTAAATTAAATGTATTTTTACATTCACAAATAACATCTGCATAATACATTCTCTAAATTAACTTTATTTAGGTATCTGACTAACGCGGAGCAGCGCACCAAGTTAAGATTTAACAATTAGTTGAATTCAGAGTTCAGAAATGTTGTGCATCCACTGATGTGATTAGTGACATTTTAGCATGAAAATAAGGTGGGAAACGTCTAAATATCAGCATCAGCTGACCGTGTCTCCTATTGATGCATCGGTATCGGCAATAGAAAAAAACAATATCGGTCGACCTCTATGCTGAATCATGGAGACGCAAGCTAAGGCTCAGTCCAAAAGGTGCGATGGATCAACAATGCATTTGTAGGAGGATGAATTGTGTCCCCCCAGCAGGCTGCTGGTGTAGATCGACACTTTCGAACATTTCTATCTTAAAATGTTTAACTAAAATTTTGAACCTGTTTTGGTCCTTTTTTCATTTGTGAACGTAAACCCCACAAAGCTTTTAGACATTTAGACATAGTGCATGATGCATCCGAAACCAATTATAAAACAATATGCAGGTGATCTACATACCTAGTGGGTGCTTCGACAGGACAGGGACCGCGGCTGGAGACACTCTGAGTCCTTTGGCTGCTCCAGGTTCATCGCTTGAGCTCACCAAGAACCGAACCTCACGAGGAACTGGCTGAGGATGTGTAGCGTTTACACCTGGAGACACACAACCAGGCATTCCAGGTCTATTTTATAAGAAACTGATAGCATTTCACACTAAAGTCGTGTCTCACCTTTAAGAAGATTAGTCTCTATCGTGTCCCGCACAAGTTTCCAGTGAACATCGGCAGGTTTGTAAACACAAAAAACTCCTTCTAGTCTCCGGAACATCCGAATAGCTGGAGTTGCCATTGTGTTGGGGAAAAAGCAACCTATTTTCATCTAGCATAAATTACATGTTTACCTACTGATGCTAACGCTTGCTAAAGCCGTCCTGCACGTGTATTTGCGCATGCGCGCATGATGTGTGTAATGGCTTTATGCTGATTGTATGCTGCCCCCTGCTGGAGTGGATGTGTTGGAAAGCAGCAGTAGTTTTAGAAGAAAATACAGTAATTGAGAAAATGTGGCATATGTATTTGTTTAATTTACGAGATTGGTCTCTTTTTTTAATTAGTGAATGGTTTCTATTTGAAATAAGTAGTTATTTTTTTTGTTACTTTTTTTTTCCAGAAAAGTCGGCGACATTTTGCTTCTTTTGCCCACAGATGGCAGCAAAGTCGGACCTTCCTTCGGAAAGGAAGAAGAAGTAGAAAAGGAAACACATTGGATAACCTTGTTTAGAACTACAAGAGGACTTGAAGTGGTAACGTCGTCGACTTTGAGATATGTTGGTGTTGTACATTTGTTGCATTTTGACGTATATATTTAGGCCAACTGCAGCAAAAGAAGTAAGACTGGAAGTGTCGGTGTTGTGTAGAGATCTGTTTTCCCTGATATGTCGTCGTGCCCACCCAACCCCACATAGAAGAAGAAGAAAATATCATTTCTATAACGCCTCTCAAGATAAAAATCACGAGGCGCTTAAAGCAAATTAAACGCATCCGAACGGCTGACTGTCACATTAAAAGTAATTTCCCCAGGGTTGAATAGGGAAATAGTACTATACACCTGACAGAAACATCAGGCTTGTTTCCTCAGGGCTCGGGATCACACGTGACCACGCGTGTCATTCTGGGATGTCTACAGACATGTTGATGGCGTTAAGTGTGTAAAGGTGTAAACAAACCATGAAAACAAACACTATGTCGCAGAGAAGACGCAGATTTGGGACAAAGGAAGTGTTAAACAACAGGGATACACAGTTGTGTGTACACTCACAGGGAAACTGTAAATCACTGCCTTCAATAATTCATTGCAATCAGTTTCTGATCAACGTGCCTGCTTCTGAGTACTTAGATTGCTTTAAGTCTGCTTTAATTGCTCATACATAATGTATATGAGAACAGTCCTTTCTCTTTATGTCTGACTTATGTTTTTATATTTTTATCTTGTTTGTTTTTATCTTTTCTGTTGTTCTTTGGTTGAAAGCAAATTATGTCTGTTGCTGCTGCCTCTTGGCCAGATCGTCGTAAATGAGAATGAGTTCTCATTAAAGGTTAAATAAATTAAATAAAGATGTTGGGAACCGGTACGTGGACAAAAGAAGCCTTGTAAATGGTTTGGATCCATTTGAAAGACTCAAGACTGGAGCACCGAAGACAATGTTTTATTTGTTGGTTTTTTGGTAAATGGGAGCCCATGAGGACCAAACACATTTACTGATTTGTAACAAACGATTACAAAACTTTCGCCATTCATAAATGTAGTTTTACACATTTACCTCTTCACTCATTGCCAGTGGTGAAAGGGAGTCGTTTTTCTGGAGGTTGTACTCCCGTGGATTTTTGACCCTAATGGCCATCAGTTGGTAAGGTCAAACACAAAAATATGGCTTGCTTGCTTGCATCGCCAGATAAAATACATATGGTCACTTTAAGTGATTTTTTTCTGGTCAGGTCGAATTAGGTCTGCATTTATTGTGATGCAGTGTATTACAAAAATGGGTTAGACGCCCACTTTTACTCTGAAATAAATTCTTGTTTTTCTGTTTCAGCTGTGATGCGAGCTCCTCTGCGCTGGGTGTTGTGGGACATTAAGGACACCCTGATGACTGTGCGTGGGTCTGTGGGGGAGCAGTACGCTAAGGAGGCAGAAAGGCTGGGCCTGAGCCTCAGTCCTGCAGAGGTCAACGCTGCTTTCTCGCAGGTTTATCGACGTTACAACAGCGCATATCCAAACTATGGCGTCTCTCGGGGTCTGAATGGACAAAATTGGTGGGTGACAGTGGTGAAGGAGACTCTGTCGCTGTGCAGGGTGCAGGATCCAGTCCTGTTAAATACCGTGGCCAACAATGTTTATCGTAACTTTAACAGCGCAGAAAACTGGGAGGTAAGCAGCGTCAGACACATTCATACACACAGAATGCATAAAAGGATCCCTTCAGGCCCAGTTTTTTGTTTTGATGTGTCAGTTAAACAGTAATTAAAAGGGTTTGTTTTCATGAAGCGCTTTAAAATAAATTTAATTCATCTATCCATCTCCAACCTGTGTGACTGTTTTGTTTCAGGTCTATTCAGACTCCAAGCAGGCCCTACAGAGCTGTTCCTCTTTTGGACTGGAGCTGGGTGTGGTCTCTAACTTCGACATCCGTCTTGAAGAGGTCTTACGGAGCTGCGGGCTGCTGTCGCACTTTAGCTTTCTAGTCTCATCAGAAGAAGCCGGTGTAGCCAAGCCCAACCCAGCCATCTTTGCTCAGGCGCTGCAGAAATGTGGAACAGCTGCTGAAGGTGTGGCTCACGTCGGAGACCAATATGTAAACGATTACCTGGCTGCTCGCTCGGTGGGCATCCACGGGTTCCTTTTGGATCGACACAATAAACACAAGGACTCTGATGTTCCTCCAGACCAGCGGATCAGCTCGTTGGAAGAGCTACCGTCACGTCTTCAGCAGCTTATGGCCTAAGAGCCAAAGTTCAATAATCTTTAGAGGTCAGTGCAGAATGATATAGAGAAGGTTATGTTTATTTGTTCTAAAATGTCTTTAAAATGAATTTTAACTGCTGAGGCAGGAAGAACAAAACCAAATCCACTTGTAAATACTGAAATTATATCAGTTCTGCTAAATTATTAGAAAAAAGACAAATAAATAACTACTGAAGTAATTTTTTATTATATATTTGATGTTAGCTTTGTACAACTCAATAGTTTAAAGTGATTAGACATGAACATCCCTCACCTTTCAGTGAAATTCATCAGTTTGAATCCAAAATGGGTCACCTACAGGATTCATGCAGATCTGATGAGAAAATATTTGGTTTAGTTTTCAAAGCTCAATTTTTAAGTTGTTAATTTAAAAACAGTCATCCATTTCTGTACCCTCTTATCCACGCAGGGTCGCGGGGGCTGGTGCCTATCTCTAGCAGTCGTCGGGCAGACAGGCGGGGTACACCCTGGACAGGTTACCAATCCATCGCAGGGCAACACAGACACACACACACACCTAAGGACAGTTTTAGACAGACCAATCAACCTGACTCAAGGTGAGGCATCCTTCCAGTTTTATGACCCTCGGCTCTGGAACAATTCGCCAGAGAAGCTCAAGGCTGCAGAGAACGTTAATGTTTTCAAGGCCAGGCTCAAGACTCATCTTTTTTAGCATAGCTTTTAGCTCACCCCCCCCCCCCCCCCCCCCCCCCCCACACACACACAGGTCTACTGCCCTCTAGTGGAGGATCTACAGTTGACAAGACCCAACAAAATTTCTAAATCAGTAATGTTAGTAAAACAGATTATTATATATTTGTTACATTTGACGTTCAGTTTTAAAAACTAGATTTTAATTGGCTTCTATTGTAATTTTTAATCCTGCTTGATCAGACTGTACTGTCTGTACCTTTAATTGTAATTAGATCATTTCTATTTCATCAACATTTGTGCAATTTGTAATTCAGACTGGTGTTTTGTCTGTAATTTGCTCTTTTGTTTTTTGCTCTTTTGTTTTTTGATAGATTCATCTTGGAGGAACTTTCTAGTCAAGTTGACAAATTGTTTCTACAAACTCACCTAAAGCGATTCCTTTTTCCAGATGAACAGGACAAGTTTAACTAACGTTAACTGCAGGACATAACCCATTTATTAAAAATGACATTATCTTTGTGAAATGACATTCCTGCTGGGTGATGGGGTGATTGGACCCTGAAGCTGCTCAGCTTTGAGCTTTACTAATGATTTGTTTCAGCACTTAAGTAGTGCGAATAGATCCGGATCGCTTAGGACTAATACCTTTGCAAATACGCTTATTTTAAACCATCTGCTCAGAAGCTGACTGCAAGGATGTTGGTCTGCGGATCAGAAGGGACCAAAAAAAAAATAAAATAAAATAAAACAAGGGCAGGAATATGGAAAAAGGTTTGGAGGACTTTAATCCAAAACATGGCTTCAAATTTGACCGCTTTCTAAATCTAATCATTTCAACTGATTTTTAATGAAAATGTAAGTTTCTTCTATTTGGGGTTAAATATGAACAGATACACACCATTAATTATCCATTTTTCACTTTTACGTCTTCATCGATAAGTGATTCGGACATTGTTTATCTTTAGACGTGCAACAAGGTGGCTTAATTCAAAGCTGGTTTAGTAGCTCAGGCTCTGAGGAGCTTCGCAGAAATCCAATTGCTGACATGATGGGATTTCAAAACTGAGCTTTTCTGACGGGCAACAAAAGAGAAGCGCAGCGTGTTACAAAAGACATCAATCCGGTGACTTCCAGTCAAAACAAAACACCGGCGTGACGAGGAGGCTGATGCAGGCTCGCGCCTAAAACAGGAGCGACTTCTGTCAATTTTAACAATAAATGGGAAAAACGTTTTCTTCCTTAATAATTAAAATAAAACACGCAGATAAACATTTGCATTTTTAATCTTTCAATGAAAAGTAAATCAACAACTGAGGCTTTCCAGCTTTCAAACCAAGAACAAACATTAAGGTACTTTCAAAAAGACTTCCTATTAACACTGAATATTTCATATCAGGTCTGTAAACAAAGAAAAGCTTCATCCTCAGAGTATTTTTTTGGCATATAAACAATCACTTTTTACTCAAGCAAATATTCAGGCATTACATCGATGTCAGTTTTAAATATTTAATTCCGTCACCACAGATCATCTTTTAAAGCAATCAGAGGTTTCCTTTCTGAAATTTCCCGCTGTAACCCGGATGTTTCCTAGCTTTTTTGTTGTTTATTTAAAACTACGAGCCATGACTAAATCAAACACACCCCCCAGGTGGACAAGAGCAAACGCCGTGCCTCCTTCCCATCGGTGCAATTAGTTACAGACATATCTGGCATCTCCACATGTCGATGCGCTCGTTTAGTGACGACTTTGTGCAGTATTTACATTCTTTTACAGGAATTTACAAAAAAAAATAGTGCAATTCTGTTTTTTTTTTTTAAAAGCAGCGTAAGCAAAAGTGTCCACCTTGGTTATGCATGAGTTGGTACGGTTACAACTTTAAAATGAAAAATAAAAACCTCCGATTTCAAGTACAGCTCAGGAATTAAAATTATAGCTGACAAACATTTTATTTTCAGTCACAAAAACTGGAGCTATGAAGACTTCTCCCCAGATCACGTCAGAACAGTTCCCAGTTGGAGTTTTTTTTTTCCCATAAAGCTCAAAATATGTAATATACAGTCAGACCGGTAAAAAAAAAACAATTCCTACTTCCATCAGGTGACGTAAGCTCCTTGTTTAAAAAACAGACACTAAAACACTCTTAAAGCATCAGTTTTCCCCACCGTCGATTCATAAAAAGGTCCTTGTGTTTGCAGGGTTCTGAGAATGGATGTGCAGAGACGATAAAAGACAAAAACAGGAATTGTGGTCTGAGATGTTTAAATGAATCGTTGTCATGCAGCCAAAAACCGGAAAAAACGTTGGCATTTCAGCATCCTCATGGGATTAATTCCTTGTGTCCTTTCAGTTGAGTCACAAATCAGGAGTTGCAGAGTTTCTCCCATGCAGGATTTGTCCGCATATTCAGTTTCAGGGGATCAGATAGAGCGTTGTCCCACAGAAACAAAGAGCAAAGCTTCCATCGTTTGCTGAAGTCCAAAAGTCCCAGTTAGATGAGAAAAAAAAAATCTCACCTCCTGCCTTAGGACGTCAGAGCACAGTCACATGGATCTTTGTCGAGTTCAACTAAGACGTCTGGTCAAACCACTGGAAGGTAAACACGTGTCTCGTTAGGGTTTCAGATTGAAGCTGTCCACATTCAGCAGCTCTACAGGAAAATCACTCATGGACATTTATGCATTTAGAATAAGGATGTAAGCAAATATAGAATTGCCAAATATTTAAAAGCAGTGCATCGATTTTTTAAATTGAGAATTCATGTGCTAATATTTACTGTATTTTTCTGGGTGTTGCAATTCAAAATTCAACAGCTAGGTGGCAGCAGTTTTTACCACGCGAGATCTCTGGATGTGTCTGACCAGAGTTTTACAAATTAATTTTAAAACTAAAGTCGGTCTTAAAAAGGTGTGGAACACTGAAAAACCATTCTTATTTCTGATTATAATCGGTCACCCTTGAGTTTGTCATGCAGGCTGAACATTAAAACAGTCCCCTACACCCATCTCCTGCATTAGCTTCTGATAGAAAACGAACAACGAAACTCCGGAATTTGATCTGATCTGACCCATCTACGTCACACTGTCACTTAGCATTCATGGTCTCACCCATCTTGACTCGTGACAGGAAAGGCTGTTGTTGGTTTAGCATCCAGGAAGTAGCAGAGAACGCCTTGACTAGCAGAAGCTAACCGTTAGCATTAGCAAATTCACCACACAGCAGAACTCCTCTAGGCTTGTGTTATTAGTGGAGATAAAACATCCACGTTGCAAGTCAGCGGTAGAGTCGTGTTGGTGTTATCCAATCCGAGGGAAGATGTCCAAATATCAGGAAATACGACTCCAAAACCTGCCGTCTGAAGCTCAGCTGTGATGTGGCTCACTTGTAGTTTCTGGAAACGGTGCAATGTCTGGACTTTTCTATTCATAGCCCCAAGGTAAACGGGGGGGGTCAAAGAGGTGGTCTAAGGTCCAACTTTCCATTGCATTCATTTACAGGATCCTCCAGAAGACACGGGGACTATGTAAACACGACTAAAGGAGTAAGTCAATAAGTCAACCATAATTCTAAAATCATGACCAAAAGAACAGCACAAAGAAAATAAAGCCCAATTTCTCCGTGGCATTCTTTTTCAAACAACTCTCCTAAATGCTATGTTCACAACTGTCCCATAAGAAAATAGTGTAGCCAGTGAGTTGTATCTGATGAAATTAGTCTGCAGAAGGAAAAACGCAAACATGCACAGCTCTACGCTTTGTTCTTGGAACAATAGAACAAGTTGTCTCCAAAGAAGGAACTGGTGGAAACTAAAATCAGATATTTGAAACCAATCAAGTTTGTCTGTTTGTATCTTTTAGTTTTGCGTTTTTTAATCTTTTAGATGAACGTGTAGTTTGATCTGTATTATGCAATAAACTAAAATAATATGCAGATCAACAACTGTGAAATTTACAATACTGGAGCCTAGATGTTAGTTATCAGTCCTGTTGGCAATAAAAGCTATTTCTATAAACAAAGGCCATTCGGGGTGCAGTTTAAAATGTTTAATTAGTAATTAATATTTGTAGCCATTACACAGAAACATTTTAAAATGCAAATTTAATGTCTAATAAGTAGCTTTTTTAAACTACAAGCACCATTATTCAAATCTTTTTAACACAAGGCCTTTGTCATAAAAAACAAAGAACTTTATACAAATGTGATTAACATGCAATTTTTTATGCAATGAGAAAAATGGAGGTAAGTACCACTCTCTGGAGGATAGCAGGGCACTCCATGCTTCTCTGTCACATAGAGATGCGCACGACTTCGCCTTCGACAGTCCTGCCTCCACCAGCAACTGAAGGGAAAGCAAAGAAAGAAATGGAAATGGGGCGACTCCTGATTGTTTCTCTAAAAGCTGCAAATCAACTTACTGTAAGAATGAGCACAGCACCATGATGAGAACACAACCGATCACGCACAGCACCAGCACCGTGGCAACTGCCTGCTGCCTGTGATTGGTCGCCACGATGGCGAGCAGGTCTGCATGCTCACACCTCAACCCGACAAAACCTGGATGACACCTACAAGTACGACACAAATGTCAAAATAAAAACAGGAGACGGGACTGTTCAATGTATTAAATAGTCCGAATCACTGGTTGAATGAAAGATAAAGGAATCGTTTTGGGAATAAAATGTTGCAGATTGATGAAAATGAGTTTCTGGGTCTTGCATTGTATGTTTTCCCTGCTTGTTTTGATTTATGCTGCAGCTTTCAAATTATTTGTCTCAGTTTCTCCAGAATACTTTTCGAATACAAACACAGCATCACTTCAAGTTCAGACTTCAAATCACATTAGATCTGCAGATTCCACTAATGTCTCTGCAGACAGATGGCTGCATTTTACTCCAACGTAAGGAAGGTTTTTTTAAACGAGAACTAAATCGTTCCAAAAAGACAAAACACCAGAAATAACACAGAAGTTTAGAAAATCAAAGTGGAAAAACAACCTTAGCAGGTGAGAAATGATTAACCTCATATTGCAGTCTTGTAGTTTTCACTTTTTTTTTTTTGTCTGAACAAATTAAACAGGAGCAGCAGTTTACTCACACGCATGCAGGCGTCTCTTCCTGAACCAGGAAGCGACACGTGCCGTGAAAACAGAAATGTTGGTGGGAGTCTGGACAGTCATCAAAGTGAGAGCGAACAGCCGCCGCCACAAACTCTGTAAGAAGGAGGAAACAAGATTGTTTTTTACTACAATCGCAAACAGTTTTTCAGAAGCACGGACCACCATAACATAGGATCGTTCTAAATGAAAATCTACTTTTTGGATCAGAATCTGTTGAAAGGAAGAGATGAAACATCCCTTTTTGCAGCCATGTTTAGTTGGCCTTTGACATTGTGAGGAGCCTGCTTAATCAATAACTGAATGCTGCTCCTCTCAACCAGTGCGCGTGCTCCATTTACACACCTCCATTTGGAGCAGCAGGCTAAGTGGAGAAGTGAACTAGTTTAAATGTTGAATTAAATGCTGTGCATGAACCAGAGGAGAATTGACGTGCCTTTTTAAATGCTCATTGCACTCTTATGATTTCAGCTTTGTAAGATAGCAATGAATCAAAACCTTTTGACAGAAATACACTTAAAAATCGCAGAAAATCCCTTTAAGGGGACAGCTCCTCTCTTATCACTCACTGCTGCCACAATGATGGAGCACAGACCTACTTTTTTCAAGATTGAAAATATGTTTTATGCATTTCTCTTTGTCAACTCATCCAAACGGATCAATAGCAAGTTTCTTCGGAGCAAGATGAAGAGCCAACCTATTTGTATCAACATGTTGTGTGGGAGTTTCTCCTTCAGAATGGAAATTGGTTCCATTCAATTTTTTATTTTATTCTTTAGTTTGCACAACATTTTGAAACTAAATTGGTTTTTAGCCAAAAACACAAGAATTAGAAGTATGAACATTGATTTTGGACAAGGAACAATATGTAGGACTTTTACAAGGAAATAATCCCAAAACAGTCAGTCTCAATCATGTTAGAAGGAAGGTTACACTGAAACCGATTTTCTTCTCAGTAGGCTGAGGGGGTTGTCAGTGTTTCTCCTTTCAAAATGGTCAAACAGGATCGTAGTCTTCATTTACAGAGACCAGAGGGTCACAGCGTCTGCGCCGGCAAGCAAACAACTCCAGTTTTTTTAAAAGACCGAAGCCAGTAAACAGGCACAGCCCAGATGTAATTTCTTTTACCCCAATAAAGCAACAGCTTTTTGTTCCTCTAATATCAGGTGAAGCAGGCTAGAGGCTAACAATGAGCTAACAATGCTAACAGTGAATTAGAAGCAAATAGCTCTAAAAATATCGCAAGCTACTTTTTCTATTACCAACAACTCAATATTACAGTGAAATGTGTGTGTAAAGTGAATAATTAGTGAGTCGTGGCATTTTACTTCCTTTAATAAGTTGTTCAGCTATAACAATAACAGCAAGAGGGTAAACAACTGGACTCCCTCTAATGCTGGAGGCCTACTACCGTAATAAGTGTAGTAGGTGCGCCAACAGATATGACTAAATACTTATATTTCTGGCACTGATCCATAACTGGTAACAGCCATGATACTCACAAAACAGGAGTGAGAAAGCAACTTTTTGTTTAGAGAAGAGGACTGCAGTACCCAAATTTGACCACAGGGTGTCTCACTTAGCTACTTCGTTCTTACAAACTGCACCTTTAAGTCTAAAGAAATATGGTCAGCCTTTCAAAATACGAGTTTGATCAACCTTTACATAAAAACAGGCTCCATTTCTAGAAAAATGTAAAGAATTCAGAAAAATGCTGTCGTACTGGAATAAATTTGTAAAAAAAAAAATTGAGCATATCTAAAAAGTGGTGTACTGTAGTCAGAAATTGTTATACGTGTGTATTTATTTTAACATTTATGTTAGGTAAGCCACGCTGTGAAACTGAAAGCCTTCATGTTGCAACTGAAGACTGATTCAATGCAAAATTTAAAAATCTGATTTTTGTGCCAGCTTTCAGAATATATCAGTGAAACCTAAAAATAGTAAAAGCCTTTAGGGAAGCCTGAAACAGAAGACTAAAGCTACCGCCCACGCCACCAACGTTAGGCCGCTAAGCCTTCTCCTCCCCGTTGTGGTGGCTTACATCTTTCAGTTTACCTGGAAGGCACGATCGGTGTGAAAGGAAACTCCTAGTGAGAAAAGAAACAAAAACCTCCCTCCATCAGGCTGCATTAGGGTTCAGGAGGGCGTACATCCCTGCAGCAACAACAGTTTCTAAGCTAGAAATTAAAGACTGGAAGAAGCAGTCTCACCTTTCACTCTGACAAAACAACCAGGTTGGGATGCAAACAGAACATTTCATAAACGTAAAGCCGTACAGTCAGACAAATTCCCAAGTTAGTGACTCACACTAACCAAAACAGACGCTACACTGTGGCATTCAGGGTGAGAGGGGAGGATGAGCATCCAGACAGATAGCTGCATAACAGCCCCTCGTCACACACTCCATTCCATCGGTAAATGGGTCCTTGGATTCCTGCCTACATGCATTGTCTCTTTCTTTCAGACGCTGTGAAAGCACTCTGTTGTCCCTCAGGCATCTGCCTACCAAGCCCTTTCTCTTTCCATGCGATTCTGGCAGAGGAACACCGACACACAAGCCAGCCTCCAGGAGTAAGGTGCTTTTCAGACAATCATCCAATACTGTAAGAGTGGCGTTTGTGTAAAGGCTCCACGTACAGCTTATTATTTCTAACAGCAGCCCACGATCATGCTGAGAGGATCGATTATCAGCGTGCCACCCTGTCTGCTGTCCCTGCTTTCTAATGACTCGGACTTACTCTTAACTGGATGGTTGTTGGTCCCGGCAGGCCTTTTGGTTGTGGAAGTGCTGTTGCTGCTTGTCGAATCACGAAGATCATCAACAGACATCGTGTTTGCAAGAAACAAAGCCTCTGCAACTGTTGAACTTATCTGCTCTGCTTCAGTTGGGACAAAGAAACCTGCTGAAAAAGGACAGAAATATGCTCAAGCATTAAGTGTATAGAAAAGCAACCCCTCCCACACCTCATGGGGCTCACTTTGATCTGTAGGGACGTTAATAGGAAACACGCTTTTGCCAGGAGTCAAAGAGCTGCTAGTGGAGGTGTCTGGAGCTGCTGTGGCATTTGTGGTGATGGAAACGTTGCCTTCAATCATGGCTGAGCTGCTAGGACCTGTTCCAAATGTGAAAAGAGAACCTGGAGAGGAGGAAAAAACTAAATAAGCAGTGAAACTTCCCTGTAAAAGACATTTGGTGAAAACAAATTATGTTTATATTTATTTATTTGGCAGACACTTTTATCCAAAGTGACTTACAATTTATAACCTATAGGGCATGTTGTGATCTGTGGGGGAAACCGGAGAACCCGGAGGAAACCCACGCATGCATGGGGAGAACATGCAACTCCACGCAGAATGGCCAGAGCCGAGTTTCGAACCTCCGACCTTCGTGCTGCAAGGCTACAGTGCTAATAACTGCGCCACCATGCAGCCCATTGATATAAACTGACTGACAATCACCAACATAATACGGTGATGTAACCTTTTTAAAAAAAAAATCGTGATTAACTTTGTTCATGTAAACTGTTCACAGCCTCTCAGTAGCTGTGCCTGCTAAAGAGATGAAATTAAAGTGCGATAAATACAACAGAGACGATGCGCAATCACAAACTGATAAGCCAATGTCTCGCTTATGCATTACAATGATAAACATTGGAAAAAAATACACAAAAGTGAATTATGAATCAATTACTCACGGAAATTGAGATTGACTGAAGTTATAATAAACATTTATCTTCAGAATTGCACAAGTCCTGAGACTTGTTGCCTCATTCTTCACCAAATCCATCAACTCACCGCCTAACAGAACCAGGGCATCCCACAGAATCCACATCATCGTGACGACTGGAGGTCCGAGGCGCAGCTTCACTCAAATGCGGGCGTGTAAAGAAACCACATGAGTGTTTCAGGCTTCAGGACGACGAGCAGCATCAGAGATCATTTAATCCCAAAGCCAACCAGCAGACCCAGACATCTGGTCCAGAAAGATGAGATGCAGTCGGTTAAGAGCCGCTCTGGCCGAGTTTTCTACCTCCTTTCCCTCCTGCAGGTCTGAGCGTTTAACTTGTCGGGACTCAATTGAGGAAACTCGTGTAATCCAGTCAGAGGACCAATTAGAGACGAGGGGGAGGAGAGGCTCGCTAGATGACCTCACTGTTACTCCATGTTGGTTTGTTTGCATCATAAATAAGTAAACGAGACATCTCAATCCACTTTTAGACAGGCATCTATATATTTGATCGATTAGTTGTTATTAGAAACTCTTGGTCATCATTTTCTAGCCTAATGAAAATCCATCTCTTATTTATTTTATGTTCAAACAAGCAGATTTTTCTGATTAAAAGCTATTTAATCAAAAGTTATCATATTTTTACTCTAAAATTGAAAATCCGTGTTGTTTATTTTTCTTGACCATAAAAAGGAACATTGTAATAAATTGAACATTTAGGTATATGGCATTGCAGCCTGTAAAAAAGTAGGCTACATAATTATATTTTAATAACAGCATGACAAAATAAAGATAGATAGATATAAATTTGAATGATTCTTGTATTGATTGCGCTTGTGCTGGTTAAAACTTCATTTCTACATAAAGATCATTTCAGCCCTGACCATTTTAAATGTAACACCCTCTAACTCTGAATGGCACCATTAAAGAGCAAGTCAACCCCTACCAGAGTCTTAAGGTTGGTTTATGCTTGACGCGTCCGCGAGGTCCGCACGGCTCCACGCGGAAAAGTTGCGTCATTTTGCGTCATTTTAACAACCACGCCCCTCCACCGCGTCTCCGCACGGCCCAAGATTTCCGCAACGCGCACTTCGGAAAATTTCTAACCACGTGGAAGGACGGACGCGGAAAAACATGGCGGACCGGCAAGAACTAGTATGGCAGAGGTTCGTAAATACAGACATTTGTATGATTCAGTTCTCAGAGATCACCGGGATTAACATGTTGTTAATCATTCTTGGAGAGAAATAGCTCGCACTGTCAGAAAAGACGAGGACGCTGTTAAAAATGCTGAAATGCCATGTTGTAAACAGTAATTTCTACTTCTACTATGGTGTAGTGTTGGATGCATGCCGTAGAGCTCCATGCTGCCCCGTTCAGTTTGGGAGAATATTGGCTCACCGCGGAGATGAGCCGCACAAACCATAAACGCTGCGAGTTGTGAAGCGCGTTCCATCCGCGAGCCGCATCACCGCGCGGAAAGTGAATGTGTCAAGTATAAACCAAGCTTTAAACTTTGCACACTTGGGGGCAAACTGCTGAGAAAACGGCCTAGAATGACTGTTTGCAGCAAGCAGATTCCTCACTGTATGCACCTAAGTTTCACTGAGTTTTCTGCCTCACTGAGGTGAAAATCAACCCAGCTTGATAATTTTTCACCACACGGGGGGCAAAAACCCTTGTGTGTGCACTATGGGACCTGCCGTGTCGGTACAGGATCTGCTCGAGTGCAAGATCGGCTCGAAACATGACCCTCACAGTGCTCCCAGCAACGTCCAGATGAGAATATGCCTGGTCCAGCAGGTAGATGGGCATCCTCCACACCAATATGAGGTTGATAAGCAAACTGCAGGGGATCCAGCCAAGGCTCCACCAGCAGCCGCAGATGTTTTAGGATGAGTCTCTCCAGGGTCTTCATGACATGTGAGGTCAGAGCCACTGGCCTGTAGTCACTGGGGGTCGACGGGTTGATCTTTTTAGGGATAGGAACCAGGCAGGATGTCTTCCAGAGTGATGTAACTCTCTGCATCTCCAGGCTCATGTTGAAGATCCGTTGTAAAACTCCAGACAGCTGGGAAGCACAACACCTAAGGGCCCTTGGGCTGACACCATCAGGACCAGCAGCTTTGCCGGGGCGGAGTCTGCCCAATTCTTTTTTGATGTCATCTGCTGAGAGGGACAGGGTGAGACAGTCTGAGGGGGCAGGAGAGGGGGGGGGTATTAAAGGAGAAGATGGGAAGAGCTGGCTGTGGAGACAGGAGACGCAGGGCAGTCGAACCTATTGAAGTGTAGATTTAGGTTGTTAGCACTTTCGACATCCCCCTCCATCCCAACACCTCTCTTTTGTCTCAGGCCAGTGATAGCCCGCATTCCATTCCACACCTCCCTGGTATTGTTTTCCTGCAGTTTGTTTTCCAGCCTCCGTCTGTAGGACTCTTTCCCCTCAGCAATCTTGGCTTTCAGCTCCCTCTGCACCAGTTTCAGCTGATCTCTGTCACCATTTCTGAAAGCTGTTTTTTTCTTGTTCAGGGTTGCTTATATGTCTTTGGAAACCCAGGGCTTATTGTTGGGGAAGCACAGTATGGTTTTTTGGGGGACTACCGTGTCAACACAGAAGCTGATATAGTCTGTAACACAGCCTGTCAGATTGTCAATATTGTCCTGATTGGAATCACAAAGAACATCCCAGTCCGTTGACTCAAAGCATCCCTGCAGAGTCTCTTCCAACTCCCTTGTCCATGTTGTGACCGGTTTTGTGGCTGCAGGTTGTCTCTGGACGGCAGGTCTGTAAAGGGGCTGGAGGAAGACCAGGTTGTGATCAGCCCTGCCCAGAGGAGGGAGAGGGCTGGAGGTGTATGCCTCAGCAGCATTGGCATAAAACAGGTCCAGTGTTTTGTTTCTTGTTTTGCAGTCCACATACTGCTTGAATGTAGGTAGAACAGTGGAGAGGTTCGTGTGGTTAAAATCGCCCGTTATAGCCACAAACGCTGAGGGACTACGATTTAGTACGTCCGCTGTAGCAGAGCTGATGATGTCATACGCCTGCGCCGCGTTGGCATCAGGAGCGATGTAAACAATGATGATAATGGCGAGGGAAAGCTCACGCGGTAGATAATATGGTCGGAGACCGACCGCCAACAGTTCTATGTGTTTGTTACACACAGCCATCCTCACCTTAACGTGACTGGGGGAACACCAGCGGTTGTTAACATAAAGAACGAGTCCTCCTCCCCTCTTCTTCTCACAGCTGCCCGAGTCCCTGTCCGCTCTCACACACGTAAATCTGTTTATATCCACCACCTGGTCCGGGATGTTTTTGTGCAGCCATGTCTCCGTGTAACACATAACACTGCATTCTCGGAAAACTTTCTCTGTCCTTGTTAGCGTTGCGATCTCCTCCATCTTATTAACCAGCGATCTGACATTGCCAGTAACCACAGACGGGAGAGCAGGACAGAATCTTTTCCTCCTGAGTCATCGCGTTTTCCCCGCTCTGCAGCCACAGTAGTTCCTCTTGGTCACCGCGGGAATCTCATGCTGAACACCGGCATGGCTGTGCTGTCTTAGCCCCAGCAATTGGTCGCAGCTATAAGCAAAGGGGCAGTGTGGCGTCGCGGTCATCTCAGTTGTTTTGCGCCGAGATTTGCATCCAAACATGGCACAAAAAGGCTGAGCTGAAATATTCTTGTGGCCAATCAAAGTGTGTTCTCCGCTCACATGATTCCAAGATGGCAGCCCCAAATGTTGTTACCTGACCAAGAGGGCAGAGCCTTTAACAAACACAGGCTCCCAATGACATTGTGACATCACAATGTACCAGCTAAAGTCATTGTGCACCTCATAGCCAATAGCAATGGCAGATTTAAATTCAAATACAGTGCAGAGTTTTAACCTGAAGATGGCGTAACACTGACAGTTTCAACTACTTAAGTTAACTAAGATGCACAAAAGTGCCAAATTATACAGTACAATTAGACACTCATAGACGATTAGCTAAAAGATGAAGCATCTCTGGATTTTTGTTTTATTTCTCAAAAACAACGATGCTGCATCTGCTTCATGTCCACCACTTGTCCAGTTTCCTTATTTGTACATTTTAAGCACAACTGGACGTGTAAACTGATGTATCTGTTAGTGATGTCATTTCTAAAACGTTTACATCACCTTTTTTCCTTTCAAGCTTTAAACCAACATGAGCGAAAGCTGCTGCTGTTTATTTGTTTTTCCAACGATCAGCACCATCTGCTGGACACAAGCTAGCGTTTAAAAAAACATTTGTGTCAATAAAACATCAGTGTTTACATTTCATAACATCCCTCTTTATACAATTATATATAAATATTTTGAATAACATAGGGGAAATTGATAAAACACATTTTAACTTACATGGTTAAAGTCTTACAAGATAATTTTGTATATTTCTTGACTGGGGAAGCCACAAAGCTCTCTGTGCCCAGTGTGAATAAAAGTGGCTGGATCAATTAATCAAACTTTATTTATAAAGCACTTTTCCAGTTTTGTGTAATATGAAGCACTTTACTGCAAACAAAATAAAACACACGGAAACAGAAAGGGCATTTTAGGCACAATTAAATGCAAAAACATATGTTAACAAATAATCAATTACAGGATTTAATGTTAACTGAAAAAAGTGTAAGAGTTAAAAAAAACTTTGTAATCTACTAAAACCAAATTATTTTATGTGACAATAACGGTTTAAAAGTTAAATTTAGTATTTTAGTCTGAAATGCAAATGTTCCTCACAGCAGATGTGGTCATGGAAACGTCATTAAACTTTCACACACCACCTTTCACACACTCATTACGTGGAGTCACGTGACAACGTTCACCTGTACCTGAACTATCCGTGCATGTGCGCTCGCTGTCAATTATTAAAAGAGACATGAATTATTTTAAAACGTCTGTATTTAGCGGTAAGTCATTGCTCTGCCGGCAGGACTCCGCTGGAGTTGGTGCAGTTATTTCAGCCAATCAAGCCCAGAGCTCTACTTGACTCAAGCTGCTGCTGCTGCTCTAGGACTTCACGTAACTATGTCCCAGAAGGTAAATAACTCCTTAAACTAGCTGACTATTTAGCTAACATTTAATCTGTAAGGTTAATTTTGTATTTACGTTAGAAATTTTCCAAACTGCAATAATAGTTGGTAGTTTTTGACATTGTCCACACTTCTTATCGTCTGTCTTTGTCCTTACAGAGCAGTCCAGGCACTCTGGTCCTCATGGTTGCTTCTGCAGCCATCGGAGGAACTCTGCAGTATGGATACAACCTGGCTATAATGAATGCTCCCACCATTGTAAGTTACCTATTGTGTGAAGTGAGTGTTGCAGTCTAAAATGCCTAATACTAACATAACTATCTATTAACAATACTAATAAATGCCTTTTGTGATGTCAGCATGAGCCGAGCATCCTTTCGTATTTAGGTCAGAGTGTTGTTCAACACAAATTGGCACATCTGGTTAAAAACAAATCAAAGTAAAATCAGAATTAGGGCGATTAGTCATCTCATGTGACTAATTCAGGGTTTGTTGATAATTTCTTACAGTTTATTCAAGCGTTTATCAACGAGACGTTCCAGCAGCGATGGGACATCCAGTTGCTGGACTACCAAGTAACGCTGCTGTGGACAATCATTGTTTCTATCTTCTCACTGGGGGGGTTAGCAGGAGCTCTTATTGCAGGACCTATGACCATTCGCTTTGGCAGGTAATATGAAATGAGGACAGTGAATGACAAACCTTTTGGTGTCACAAGTGATTGTTCATTTACTTTACCTTCAGAATGCAATAACACGTGATTCTGCAAGTTCTGATGAATTTCATGTGGTTTATTTACATTCACAACCCACATCATGAACCTGCTGTTTTCAGCACAAATCTGCAAACTTTTAACACGAAATTCTTCCGTTTTCAAGAAAGAATTGTCTGCTGCTGAACAACATTTTTCTCATGAGCGGCGCTCTCTTTGCACTGACAAGTCGGGCTGCCAGGTCGTTCGAGATGATCATTATCTCACGGGTTCTTATTGGAATAAATGCAGGTATGTACATGTAGAAAAATGTAACCTCTCACTTTACAAATACGTAAACTGTGCTTGTGATGCAGGAATCAGCATGAATGTGCAGCCCATGTATTTTGGAGAAAGTGCACCAAAGAACCTGAGAGGAGCCGTCTCGCTGTCCTCGGCTGTTTTCACAGCGTTCGGCGTAGTGTTGGGACAAGTAGTCGGACTCAGGTCTGCTCTCAGTAATCCTGGCTGATCTGTAATTAAAGAAGAAGAAAATGAGAATAGCTGTAATAGAAAGGCATGTACAGTAATAATAATCAGGATTATTTATTTACAGAGAGATTTTGGGAAGCGAGTCGTGTTGGCAGTACCTCCTTGCCAGTAATGCCATTCCTGGCTTTATCCAGCTCCTGAGCCTGCCGTGGTTCCCAGAGAGTCCCAGATTCCTGCTCATTGATCGAGGGGACAAAGAAGCTTGTATCAATGGTGCGTTACTGACATGAGGTAGCCTTCTTTACATTTATTGGTTCTGTTTTAGCTTGTGTGTGTAATGTAAGATAAGAAACAATAAGTAGATCTTGCCATTAACTATGTCTCATCTGATATTTTTACAATGCTTTTTAACATCTCGTTAGAAATAAGTGGAGATACTTTCTGCTCCTGTTTTTGTGCTGATGTTTAAGTTTTGTTTTTTTCCAGCCCTGAGGCGTCTGCGAGGCGGCGAGGTCCAGAGCAGCGAGCTCGATGAGATCCTGCAGGAACAGGATGAAACCAGAGGCCTGAGGCCGAGCCGACCCTGGGAGCTCCTCACCGATCGCTCTGTTCGCTGGCAGCTCATCTCCGTCGTCATCATCAGCAGTGCCATGCAGCTCTGTGGAAACGACTCGGTAAGCGTCATCGTCTCTTGACTCCAAAGCCTGATGGATGTTTAGCGTGGATCGATGGAAGTGAAGCTGGAGAGCAGAATGGTATCAGATGCTCTAGTTGTGATGCTGATGGGAAACGTGAGATGATTCATCAGCAGTTTGTGTTACGGAACAGGAGTTCTGTATAGTGTTCCTGCAAAACACATAAATAATGTACACTGGTGATGAAGCATCATCATCATCTTTAAGGCTCAGTACTTATGTGGAAGACAAATATGCCATAAACTGAAGTCCATTATTGGTTGATTTATTCCTATTCTTTACACATACTTTATAAAGAATAAATATTCAGAGCTACTTGATGCCTCTGCAGCAAATCCTGATTAATTATTAGTGAGTTTAGTAGCTTTTAATCGCATGCCTTCCAGGTTTAAGGAGGGTTTTGTATTAACACAATTACTGAATGTACAAATAATCATAATCAGCCTATGACCATTTAAACCCCATCAGACCTTAGCTTTCTCATGACTTCTGTTCTTTTTCACAGATTTACGTCTACGCATCATATGTGTTTAAAGAGGCTGGACTATCTAATGATCAAATCCAGTATGTCACCATTGGTACTGGAACCTGTGAATTCACAGCGTGCATTATGTGTGTAAGTATCAGCCATCGCCGTCACATTATGTAACCCATTAAAGATGAAAGGGAGGTGCTTGCATTCCTCCTAGAGCTTTAGTACACGAGTTAACATTTCCATCTAATCACACACACACTTCTGAACTCACACACATGCTGAGTGGTTTAAAAAGAAGATGGCAGAATGACAGCAAAACACACTGATGCATCATCTTCTATTTTCTGCATGTGACCTACGCAGCTCTCATTATTACATTTCCAGTTTGTTTCCCAATCATTTACTGTCTTAAAAAACAATTTGCTCACCCTGGTTGGACCTTCAGGTTCTGCAAAGCAGCGGTTCTCTGCTTTTATGGCAGCTTTGTTTGTCTAAGTTTTTCATTGTGACTGCTTGATCAAGAATAAAGTTTAATTTATTGGAGTTTGCATGCATTTTAAACTAAAGTGTAAATGTTGTAAAATATTTATTTGATATATTTCTTATCTGAGACTGGCCTAACTTTTTAGATGTTTTGCTTCGGGAGCCTAAGTCACACCCAAGTACTTCTGGTCCATGGGTCCCATACTGTCAAAACAATGAATGGGAGTCTATGGGACAATTTATTATAGGTTTTATATGTGCCATGGATTTCATTTAAAGTGGCAGTGTGTAGTTATGTGGAGCTAGGGGACAGTACATACATTTCAGGGTAATTTTACGCCATATCACCGTGACTGCTGCTAGTTAATAAAAACATTACAGTAAATGTTTTTTCCTGTGGAGTAGAAAGCATGCAACCTCAGCATGACTTCTCAGACTTTGACTTTCCTTTGGGTAATTCCATTGAGTGAATGCACTGCTGATTCTAGTTTTCTGGCGCTGTAGTTTCCGGATCTGCTCCGGGTCCTGCACCTGCCGATGACGTCATCATACTACGACAATACCGCTTGGCCATGATATATTGCATCTCTTTTTTGATTCTGTTCTTTCACATATGTTTTGGAAGGAGTTTAGCAGTTTTGTTATTAAATTTGTGTTTCTTTCTCCTTAAATGTTTTTGATAGGGGTAACGTAACTCCCGTAAGTCGTACGTTAAGCCAATCATTTAGTGTGATGTCATTGGCAGGCGCAGGACCCCGAGACGGCCAGAAGGAAACAGCATCTAATATGGCCCAAAGATGCCAGACCCGAGCCCTATATGTACTTTTGATCCGTGTTTTTCATGGTTATACGTTACGAAGCCGCCAATGTTTTTCAACGACTGGACATCTGCCTGCACCCTCCTTAAAATGTAAACTGAGTGGGGGTTAAACTAACTCTAGCTTCTTAGCCCAAAACATTTAAACAACTGCAGTTAGAGCTGCTCATGAAGACTTTTGGCCTCTTTGACAATTTTTAAAATAACTTCACATTTTCAGACTTTAAATTTACTTATTAAACATCAGCATACATGAATATTCACTAAAAAACAGAAAGCTAATTGAATCCTTATTTATTCCATGAGCATGAATACATTTTATGTCTGACAAAACAAAAATGAAGCGATTCATGTTTTGACTTTTTCAGAACCTGCTGATAGAGCATGTAGGTCGAAGGTTCATGTTGATGGGAGGTTTTCTTCTCATGGCCATCTGGGCAATCGTCTTCACCATTGCTCTGTTGCTTGAGGTGGTAATATTATGAATTGTATGAAAATAAAGTGTAAGATTGTATTTTGAATAGTCTAAAAGTGTCTTAAAGGTGCATTATGTAAGAATATATTGAGAATTTTACAGTGAGAAAATCCCAAAAGAGTTGTTTCAGTCATTTTGGGAGGAAGGTTATACTAAAACATATTTCATATCCAGCTGGCTGCGGGGATTGTCAGTTTTTCTCCTTTAAAAACACAGGAAGTAGGTACGTAATAACTGTTTACCACCAGTGAGTGTGAGGTTGCCATGTCTTCTGCGAGCTAACACTGCAGCGCTGACTATTGTAATTTTACACAAAAAGCTCCAGAGTTGTTTAAAGTGGTTGCAGTAACCAAATGTTACCACAGGATGTCATTCTTACTTAATTTCTACATAATGCATCTTTAAATACTTTTCCTTTCTTGTAGGATTTTTAGGGTTTTGAAGTTTTCAAAGTTGTTCTAATTCATCCCGTTATGAAGTATGTCTAATATTTATCAAATTGCAGCACATTTCCTGGATGCCTTACCTAAGTATGGCCTGCATCTTCACCTATATTCTCAGCTTTGGCATGGGGCCGGGTAAGTTATAGAGATTTCTTTGTAAATTTGACAACTATCATATTTACAGAAACACAGTAATTTACTACAGAAAATAACAAAAGTCATGTTTCAACTGTAGGAGTACTGGATAAATTCTGGGAGGAGGAAAGGTGACAGGGAAATTCGATGGCTTTGTCCTCTCCGCTCCAAGCAAATCAGTCCTTTCAGGACTTTGCTAGGATGTCTAGATATCGTGACTGTTTTGGCAGTGAATGATTGACCATTTATCAATGCCAAAGGCCATGCAGAAACATTAATATCATTTAAAACGTTTTATGCTCTCATTTAATCCATTTACGACAAAAGGGGAGCGGCCATGTGATGTAAAAAGCTGCGTTCAATGACCAGAAGACACATCGAGATTTATGGTGCTCTGTATCAAACCACAAAGCTTCCTGAATTACGTTTTCGGGGGATTTCTGCTCAGCAACTCTACAGGGTCATGTGCAAGTATACCTAGTTTAGATACTTGTTTGGTCCCAAAAGTGGTCCTTTCAGAAAGGCCCGGTGAAATGGAGACGCGCATGTTGTGAAGATAAAAAACTTAAAAGTACCCAGAAGGTCCAATTGTGGAAATGGGTCTCATTCTCATGAGTGCTGGATTTAGTATTTTACTTATTTAACTATTTCTCAAAGTACATTAATTTATATTATTCACTACAACCTGTTTTAGTGTGTGTTTCAGTAAAATTTCTGATTACTGAGTTTGACTTCAAATATATGAAAAAATATTTCCCGATTGTCCCAAAAAAATTGTTTTTCTTACAGCTGGAGTGACTGGTGTTCTCCCCACTGAGATCTTTAATCAGACCGCTCGCCCGGCTGCCTACATGGTCGCTGGCTCCATGATGTGGCTCAACCTGTTTGTCGTAGGGATGATTTTCCCTTTTCTGGTGGTCAGTCCCACACTTAATCCACACACTTAACACACCTTAAGAAGCTCAAGAACAACCAAGTTAAAATGTTTTAAATCGCTTCAGTTAGTTTTACCTTTAATCTGCTTGATTTAAGAAAAATACAACATGAATAAAACATCTAATTTGCTGTGGGATAAAACAGTTGGGTCAGAACAACTCATAGGGCTGCCTTTACCTTTCATATAAACATTAGCGGCTCTTTTTATTTCACTAGCTGGTGTTTATGATGATCAGCTGGTGATCAGTCCACAGCCGAATTTAGCAAATACTGATCTGGGATCAATAATGCATTCATTTAATGACACTAATGCACTCTGTTGTCTGCACGTCTGTGCTGTTAAGTTTTAAATAAAAAGCAAAATAATGCAAGTTTTGGATTGAGATTTAAAATCAATCTAAAAAGTATCGGATTAATTTTAGGGGAAATACTCTTGCTGGAGAAAATTCTTAGTTTTGTCATTAAGGTTTTAGTTTTCCTGACCAACTAAAGATTCAACGCTGTAAAATAATTTTGTTTTTACTTCAGAGTAGAATGAATAACTTTGCTTTCCTTTTTCTTTTTCAGAGCGGATTGAGAGAATACTGTTTTGTCCCTTTCGCAGTTGTCTGCTTGTCGTCAGCGCTGTATATCAGCTTGTTTCTGCCTGAAACAAAAGGAAAGTCTCTGTCAGCCATCACACAGGAATTCCACAAGATCAACTTTAAAGGACACGACAAAATATTTGAATCGCAGACTCAGTATCAGCAGGGTCAAGCGTGCCTTTCCACAGCCTTTTAGAAGGATCACTGCTGAAAAACTTTTTAATGTTGGTTTTACTTTTACTGGGACTTTAAAGTCTGTGCCTTTAATTTATAGTAGATGGTCTGTATTTGATATAGACACTTAACCCACCTTGCCTGCTGGTGGTGGTTGGAGGCACCAGTGGCACCTGTGCTTTGGCTGCAATGTAGCTCATCACCAACAGGGTGTGAATGTGTGTGCATGGGTGAATGACTGTGTTGTAAAGTGCCTTAGGGGGTTCTAAGACTCTACAAGGCGCTACATCAAATACAGACCACTTACAGGTCATAATCAAGACAAATTCATTGTTTTTTTTTACTAGCAAATACTGTATCTTTGTTGAACAAATAGATTTTTTATGTTTAATACGTTTTCAAAAGGTCATTAACAAACATAGAGCTACAAAAAAATGTGACATTGACAACTTTTGTGATTGTTTTCTCAGGTTGACTCAACATGGTTGAGAAAACAAAAGAGTTTGTTTAAATGAAATGAATGAGTTGGTGTGAGAGTCTTAAGGTCTTAACTTTTATCATCAAATGCATACTATGCAACTTTTTCATATTTTTAAATCATTTTCTTGAGCCAGTATGTGCTAAAATGACCTTTAACGTGGTTCATGAAATGTCACAATATCACAACTTCAGAGAGCCGGTCCGGTCTCTGCTGGACTTACCGGTGGAGCTGGCATGCCACGCTGCAGTCTGCTTCCAGCAGTTTCCTGCATGTTAGATCATGAACACAGCTGATTTGTTTAATTTAGTGATAAACTGCTCCTGTAGAAACTAATGCAGGCTGAGGAGACATTTCAGCAGATAGATTAAAGTGTTTAAAAATAGGAACGCATAACAAGGAGATAAGTTTCCCTTTTAGTTCTACTAGGCGGGCACTAGGGGGTGCTAAAAGCAAGCCATAACTGCAAAGGATTATCAATCCCACAAGTTATTGATCCATTCTTCTTTCTAAAAATGAATAAAAACACCAAACAAAGATGCATATTGAATAATTGTACCTGAAAGTTTCTTTTACCTCTAGATTATACAAATTTAATCAATTTTTTAATGAGTTTGTTGCTGTAGATTTCGTAGACGGTTTAAATTTAATCTGTTACTAAATATCAGGGAGTAGATTTAACAAACACAGGAACATGCCAGGCTGACCATATTTAATCTGGCAGCATCTGCTACTCACATCAGAACATGATGATCTTCCTCAAATTAATAGCACAAAAGGTGAACTAAAGCCAGATGTGTAACTTTCTGATGCTTATATCAAACATGCTGAACATTCACTTATTCTGCTGCCTGCATCCAATGTGTCTGAAGGAATTAAGGAGTTCACATCCAAAAAGGTAGGAGGTATGTTTCTGAAATTGTCCTGGACATGTCCTTTATGAAAGATGCAGACTGAAGCCTAAAACATACAGGTGCTGGCCAGTAAATTAGAATATCATCAAAAGGTTGAAAATATTTCAGTAATTCCATTCAAAACGTGAAACTTTTACATTATATTCATGCAATGCACACAGACCAATGTATTTCCAATGTTCATTACATTTAAATTTGATATTCATAAGTGACAACTAATGAAAACTCCAAATTTGGTATCTCAAAAAATTAGAATATTCTGAAAAGGCTGAATATAGAAGACACCTGCTGCCACTCTAATCAGCTGATTTACTCAAAACACCTGCAAAGGCCTTTAAAAGGTCCCTCAGTCTTGTTTTGAAGGCACCACAATCATGGGGAAGACTTCTGACTTAACAGCTGTCCAAAAGACAATCATTGACACCTTGCACAAGGAGGGCAAGACACAAAAGGTGATTGCTAAAGAAGCTGGCTGTTCGCAGAGCTCTGTGTCCAAGCACATTAACAGACAGGCGAAGGGACGGAAAAAATGTGGTAGAAAAAAGTGTACAAGCTCTAGGGATAACCGCACCCTGCAGAGAATTGTGACGACAAACCCATTCAAAAATGTGGGGGAGATCCACAAAGAGTGGACTGCAGCTGGAGTCAGCGCTTCAAGAACCACCACGAGGAGACTCATGAAAGACATGGGATTCAGGTGTCGCATTCCGTGTGTCAAGCCACTCTTGAACAAGAAACAGCGCAAGAAGCGTCTCGCCTGGGCCAAGGACAAAAAGGACTGGACTGATGCTGAGTGGTCCAAAGTTATGTTTTCTGATGAAAGCAAGTTCTGCATTTCCTTTGGAAATCAAGGACCCAGAGTCTGGAGGAAGAGCGGAGACGCACAGAATCCACGTTGCATGAGGTCCAGTGTAAAGTTTCCACCGTCAGTGATGGTGTGGGGTGCCATGTCATCTGCCGGTGTTGGCCCACTCTGTTTCCTGAGGTCCAGGGTCAATGCAGCCGTCTACCAGGAAGTTTTAGAGCACTTCATGCTTCCTGCTGCTGACCAACTTTATGGGGATGCAGACTTCACCTTTCAACAGGACTTGGCACCTGCACACAGTGCCAAAACCACCAGCACCTGGTTCAAGGACCATGGTATCCCTGTCCTTGATTGGCCAGCAAACTCGCCTGACCTTAACCCCATAGAAAATCTATGGGGTATTGTGAAGCGGAGGATGCAATACGCTAGACCCAACAATGCAGAGGAGCTGAAGACGACTATCAGAGCAACCTGGGCTCTCATAACACCTGAGCAGTGCCACAGACTGATCGAGTCCATGCCACGCCGCATTACTGCAGTTATTGAGGCAAAAGGAGCCCCGACTAAGTATTGAGTGCTATACATGCACATTCTTTTCATGTTCATTCTTTTCAGTTGGCCAACATTAGAGAAACAAACATTTTTTCATTGGCCTTTAGAATATTCTAATTTTCTGAGATGCCAGATTTGATGTTTTCATTGGTTGTCACCTATAAATATCAAAATTAAACGTAATAAACATCGGAAATACATTGGTCTGTGTGCATTGCATGAATATAATGTACAAGTTTCACGTTTTGAATGGAATTACTGAAATATTTTCAACCTTTTGATGATATTCTAATTTACTGGCCAGCACCTGTACACAGCGAGTGCAGAATTATTAGGCAAGTTGTATTTTTGAGGAATAATTTTATTATTGACCAACCGCCATGTTCTCAATGAACCCAAAAAAACTCATTAATATCAAAGCTGAATGTTTTTGGAAGTAGTTTTTAGTTTTAGCTATTTTAGGGGGATATCTGTGTGTGCAAGTGACTATTACTGTGCATAATTATTAGGCAACTTAATATATACCCATTTAAATTATTTATTTTTACCAGTGAAACCAGTATAACATCTCCACACACCCAAATATACATTTCTGACATTCAAAAACAATACAAAAACAAATCAGCGACCAATATAGCCACCTTTCTTTGCAAGGACACTCAAGCCTGCCATCCATGGATTCTGTCGTGTTTTGATCTGTTCACCATCAACATTGCGTGCAGCAGCAACCACAGCCTCCCAGACACTGTTCAGAGAGGTGTACTATTTTCCCTCCTTGTAAATCTCACATTTGATGATTGACCACAGGTTCTCAATGGGGTTCAGATCAGGTGAACAAGGAGGCCATGTCATTAGTTTTTCTTCTTTTATACCCTTTCTTGCCAGCTACGCTGTGGAGTACTTGGACGCGTGTGATGGAGCATTGTCCTGCATGAAAATCATGTTTTTCTTGAAGGATGCAGACTTCTTCCTGTACCACTGCTTGAAGAAGGTGTCTTCCCAGAAACTGGCAGTAGGACTGGGAGTTGAGCTTGACTCCATCCTCAACCCGAAAAGGCCCCACAAGCTCATCTTTGATGATACCAGCCCAAACCAGTACTCCACCTCCACCTTGCTGGCGTCTGAGTCGGACTGGAGCTCTCTGCCCTTTACCAATCCAGCCACGGGCCCATCCATCTGGCCCATCAAGACTCACTCTCATTTCATCAGTCCATAAAACCTTAGAAAAATCAGTCTTGACATATTTCTTGGCCCAGTCTTGACGTTTCAGCTTGTGTGTCTTGTTCAGTGGTGGTCGTCCTTCAGCCTTTCTTACCTTGGCCATGTCTCTGAGTATTGCACACCTTGTGCTTTTGGGCACTCCAGTGATGTTGCAGCTCTGAAATATGGCCAAACTGGTGGCAAGTGGCATCTTGGCAGCTGCACGCTTGACTTTTCTCAGTTCATGGGCAGTTATTTTGCGCCTTGGTTTGTCCACACGCTTCTTGCGACCCTGTTGACTATTTTGAATGAAATGCTTGATTGTTCGATGATCACGCTTCAGAAGCTTTGCAATTTTAAGACTGCTGCATCCCTCTGCAAGATTTCTCACTATTTTTGACTTTTCTGAGCCTGTCAAGTCCTTCTTTTGACCCATTTTGCCAAAGGAAAGGGAATTGCCTAATAATTATGCACACCTGATATAGGGTGTTGATGTCATTAGACCACACCCCTTCTCATTACAGAGATGCACATCACCTAATATGCTTAACTGGTAGTAGGCTTTCGAGCCTATACAGCTTGGAGTAAGACAACATGCATGAAGAGGATGATGTGGACAAAATACTCATTTCCCTAATAATTCTGCACTCCCTGTACATTTCATTAGTTTTTTTATCATGCACTAGAGGTAATTTTTAAATAGATTTTAGCATTTATATACACTTCTTTTTTCTATAGGTTTGTTAAATGCCATGTTATTATTCCCAACATTAAAATGTTTTACCTAAACAATCTGAAACAGTTCCAGAAGTCTAAATCGTCATTAAAAATACCTTTTAAAGTAAACTCATTGTGTACTTTGTTGCATCCCTCTGCTTACAAGAAACTTTGTCTTGTTTTTTTTTTAGTTGCCCTGCGTAAACAATCTGCCATTTTTTAATTCTGTGTTGAGGCTTGAAACATTTTGAGTCTTTTTTTCCACGTCAGCTGCAGTACTGGAGGCTTTACCTGCTGGCACTGGTTCTGGGAATCGGAGGATCGTTTCAATACGGGATCCAAGTTTCTGTTATCTCCTCTCCAGCAGAGGTGAGATCTGCTCAAATTGATCCCTGCATGGTCCTAGCTTCAATGCTGAGACCTAAAATGATCACTAAAAATTAAGTTATTGATGCTGTCATGTTTGATTTGTTTCATTTATTGATATCATGTATTAATAAGAGCTTTAATTTGTAGATATGGGCTTTTAGGGAGGTTCTCACACCTCAGATTTTGTTCAGTTTATTTTTGCTAAACATGCACCTAAATACACACATAATCCACTATTACAGCAACCAGAAATGTTTTTGAGACAATCTGAAATATCAGGGTTAAAATGTTATTCCTCCACTAGTTTTTCCTCAAAACATTATTTTTCTATTATATTAAATAAAAATGTTGAAATTCTATCTGCACTTTGGTTTTGTTTGTTTATATTGATCCAAAGCCTGATGATGTAAAACCTTTATGTTAATAAAAAAAAGAAAGCTCTCCTTTGGACTTCATTCCTGTGATGAATCAACTAACATCATTAACTCAAGTTTTACAGTTCAATGATACAATAGCTGTAGTTCAACTGAAAAATGGAGCCAAACATTTATGTGATTGAGCTGTTCCTCTATAAAACAGTTCCATCCATCTATCCATTTTCAGTCGCTTATCCGGGGTCGGGTCGTGGGGACAGCAGCCTAAGCAGAGAGGTCCAGACCGCCCTCTCCCCAGGCACTTGGGCCAGCTTCGTGAATCCTAAGGCGTTCCCTGGCCAGACGAGAAACATAGTCCCTCTCGTGTGTCCTGGGTCATCCTTATGTTTCCTCCCAGTTGGACATGCCGGGAAAACCTCACCAAGGAGGTGTCCAGGAAGACATCCTAACTACATGCCCGAGCCACCCCAACTGGCTCCTCTCAATGTGGAGGAGCAGTGGATTTACTCCGAGCTTCTCACCCTAAGGGAGAGCGCTGACACCCTGCAGAGAAAACTCATTTTGGCTACTTGCATCTGTGATCTCGTTCTTTTGGTCACTCCCAAAGCTCATGACCATAGGTGAGGGTACGTGGATCAACCGGTAAACCGAGGGCTCCACCTTCTAGCTCAGCTCTCTTTTCACCACAACAGACTGATTCAACGCCCGCATCACTTCAGATGCTGCACCAATCTGCCTGTCGAACTTGTGCTCCATTTTTCCCTCACTCGTGAACAATGAAACTACTTTACACTGAAAATCTTTTACACTGTGATAAGTTCTGCAATTTGTTTTAGTTTAAAAGAGTTTTTGTCCATCAATATTTCTTTCGTTCAGCTCAAAAAAAGCAGCAGTAAAATCCTACGAGTTCTCCGTCAGTTCCATCTGAACCTGCAGCAGAGAGGAATACCAAGTCTATTCTGGAGAGTATGAGTGTGCTTGAGAAACACAGGAACAGATCTGACTTGTTTTGAAGACCTGACCTGTCAAACCTTCCTGCAGCATGTTCACAGATTTGTGAACTCCACCTCGATACACAGATACAGGACTCTAGTGGACGGGTCCACCAACCAGCTCATCTGGTCCTTCATTGTGGCTGTGCCGAGTCTGGAAGCCTGGGTCAGAGCCATGCACAGTGGCAGCCTGTCTGTCCGCTACGGACGGTGAGACAAGACACGCACAGATGCAACCTGATTCAGAGAAAAATGGTATACATTTTAAAAAGGTGTAAATCTATAAATAAACCTAACTTTGCAGTAAAAAGTCTCTCCTGATAAACAACATTGTGGCCACTGTTGCTGCCTTGCTCATGGTCTTCAGTCGAATGGCGAAGTCTTATGAGATGATCCTGCTGGGAAGATTTCTCTATGGGAATAACGTTGGTATGTTTATTGTTGTTCTTTATTAGCATTTTCTGTGCTCTTTTAATCTTTTGCTCATTTTGTCTCCAGGTCTTGGGTTAATGCAGGAAATAGGGAAATAGGGATAGAAGACTATTTTGGATTTTGGATTTCATGTCTTTCCAGGAGGCCTTCGGACAGTACTGCTTCCTGATTTTTGTGGTTGACTCCGTTTTCAGTGCCATGTTCATGTTTTTTTTCATCCCAGAGATCAAAGGGAAGACTATGGTTGAGATCATGGAGGATTTTAACAAACTGAACTACAAGAAGAAAAGAAGTGATGCTTCAAACACTGAAATTGCAACAAAAAAAAATTTTTTTTTTGTTTGTTTTCACTTGTAAATGTATTTGGTTTTAAATGACTTCCTAATTACTATATGGGACATGTGTTAGCTCCTTGAGGTCTAAAGAGTGAAGCGTAATTGAACTTGTCTCTTTGGTGACTTGAATTGAGCCCAAAGGTTGATTTAAGCAATGTTGCAACTGGTTTAAATTTTTCAAGTTTATCCAGCAAATTGCAGTGGTAAAAGACCCAGGTGAGGAACTTGTGTATCTAGGATCTCATTCATTCAGCCACAATCCAAATCTCATGAATAGGTAAGAGTTGAAACATAGATGCACCAGTAAATCCAGAGTGTTGCCTTTTGTTTTGTTGAGTTTCACCCAAGGGCATAGGACCGGGTTTATTATTGGGGGGGGCACATTTTGGAAATCTAACGAATCTGTGATAGGTCAATAGGTCAATATATACACTCCCCTAAAGGATTATTAGGAACACCATACTAATACGGGTTTTGACCCCCTTTCGCCTTCAGAACTGCCTCAATTCTACGTGGCATTGATTCAACAAGGTGCTGAAAGCCCTTGATAGGATAGCATCTTGCAGTTGATGGGATGCACATCCAGGGCACGAAGCTCCCGTTCCATCACATCCCAAAGATGCTCTATCGGGTTGAAATCTGGTGGCTGCGGGGGCCGTTGTAGTACAGTGAACTCATTGTCATGTTCAAGAAACCAATTTGAAATTATTGGAGCTTTATGACATGGTGCATTATCCAGCTGGAAGTAGCCATCAGAGGATGGTACATGGTGGTCATGAAGGGATGGACATGGTCAGAAACAATGCTCAGGTAGCCCGTGGCATTTAAACCATGCCCAGTTGGCACTAAGGGGCCTAAAGTGTGCCAAGAAAATATCCCCCACACCATTACACCACCACCAGCCTACACAGAGGTAACAAGGCATGATGTCTCCATGTTCTCAATCTGTTTCTGCCAAATTCTGACTCTACCATTTGAAGGTCTCGACAGAAATCCAGACTCATCATACGAGGCAACATTTTCCAGTCTTCAACTGTCCAATTTTGGTGAGCTGGTGCAAACTGTAGCCTCTTTTTCCTGTTTGTATTGGAGACGGGTGGTACCCGGTGGGGTCTTCTGCTGTTGTAGCCCATCCGCCTCAAGGTTGGGCGTGTTGGGGCTTCACAAATGATTTGCTGCATTCCTCGGTTGTAACGAGTGGTTATTTCAGTCAAAGTTGCTCTTCTATCAGCTTGAATTAGTTGGCCCATTCTCCTCTGACCTCTAGAATCAACAAGGCATTTTGGCCCACAGGACTGCTGCATACTGGATGCTTTTCCCTTTTCACACCATTTTTTGTAAACCCTAGAAATAGTTGTGGGTGAAAATCCCAGTAACTGAGCAGATTGTGAAATACTCAGACTGGCCCGTCTGGCACCAACAACCATGCCACACTCAAAATGGCTTAAATCACCTTTCTTTCCCATTCTGACAGTCAGTTTGCAGTTCAGGAGATGGTCTTGACCAGGACCACACCCATAAATGCACTGAAGCAGCTGCCATGTGATTGGTTGATTAGGTAATTGCATTAAGAAGAAGTTGAACAGGTGTTCCTAATAGTCCTTTAGGTGAGTGTAGGTCAACCTCACTGAAAAAAAATTCTTTAATGATTATTTTTTATTATAATTGGTCACTCTGAGTGTTTCATGCAGGCTGAACATGAGAATAGTCTCCTACAGCTACCTCCTGCATTGGCTTCTAATAGAAAACAGATGGTGAAACTCTAGGATATGAAAAGCCTGACAGATGTGACTCAGGACGTAAGGCAAAGCTCAGAAAAACAAGAAAATAACTTTTATAGCCCTGTTCACTAACATTCTTTTTTATTTTTATTTTTTGATTGGAGACCCATGAGCCAACCAGAAGGGGAAGAGACTTAGGCTCCCCATCAGCCAGATCCAGGTTTGATTACCGGCCAACGTGGACGTTTTATTTTTTAAAAAGCTGTTTTTGTGTCAGTACTGTTTTATTTTTATTTAATAAGGCTGCCACCTTACCGAGGGGTTTGAGTGTCTCAATGATCCTAGGAGCTAAGTTGTCTGAGGCTTTCTGCCTCTGGTAGGGTCACCCATGGCAAACAGGTCCTAGGTGAGGGATCAGACAAAGAGCAGCCCAAAGACCTCTTATGATGAATTATATAAATGGAAACTGTGTTCCCTTGCCCGGACGTGGGTCACCGGGGCCCCCCTCTGGACCCAGGCCTGGAGGTGGGGCACATTAGCGAGCGCCTGGTGGCCGGGCTTTCACCCATGGAGCCCGGCCGGGCACAGCCCGAAGAAGAAATGTGGGTCCCCCTTCCCATGGGCTCACCACTTGTGGGAGGGGCCAAGGGGGTCAGGTGCAGTGTGTGACGGGTGGTAGTCGAGGGCGGGGACCTTGGCGGTCTGATCCTCAGCTACAGAAGCTGGCTCTTGGCACATGGAATGTCACCTCTCTGGTGGGGAAGGAGCCTGAGTTGGTGTGTGAGGTTGAGAGGTTCCGACTAGATATAGTCGGACTCACCTCAACACATGGCTCTGGCTCTGGAACCAGTTTCCTTGGACTTTCTACCACTCTGGATTTGCACCCACTGAGAGGCGCCTAGCAGGGGTGGGCATACTAGTTGCCCCCCATCTTGGTGCCTGTACGTTGGGGTTTACCCCAGTGAATGAGAGGGTAGCCTCCCTCCGCCTACGTGTGGGGGGACGGGTTCTGACTGTGGTCTGTGCTTATGCACCAAACTACAGTTCAGACTACCCACCCTTTTTGGAGACCTTGGAGGGGGTGCTGGAAAGCGCTCCTTCCGGTGACTCCCTCGTTCTGCTGTGGGACTTTAACGCTCACGTGGGCAACGACAGTGAGACCTGGAGAGGTGTGGTTGGGAGGAACGCCCCCCTGATCTGAATTCGAGTGGTGTTTTGTTATTGGACTTCTGCGCCAGTCATGGATTGTCCATAATGAACACCATGGTCAGACATAAAGGTGTCCATATGTGCTCTTGGCACCAGGATACCTTAGGCCGCAGCGCGATGATCGACTTTGTTGTAGTTTCGTCTGACCTGCGGCCGCATGTCTTGGACACTCGGGTGAAGAGAGGGGCGGAGCTGTCAACTGACCACTACCTGGTGGTGAGTTGGCTCGGATGGTGGGGGAGGATGCTGGTCAGACCAGGCAGGCCCAAACGTATTGCAAGTGTCTGCTGGGAATATCTGGCAGAGTCTCCTGTCAGAAGGAACTTCAATTCCCACCTCCGACAGAACTTCCAAAATGTTCTGGGGGAGACGGGGGACATTAAGTCTGAATGGACCCTGTTCTGTGCCTCCATCGTTGAGGCGGCCGACCGGAGCTGTGGTCGCAGAATCGTCGGTGCCTGTCGTGGTGGCGACCCCAGAACCCGCTGGTGGACACTGGCGGTTAGGGATGTTGTCAAGCTGAATAAAGAGTCCTATCAAGTCTTTTTGGCCTGTGGGACTCCAGAGGCAGCTGATGGATACTGGCAGTCCAAGGCAAAAACCAGGGCATGGGAGGATTTTGGTGAGATCATGGAGCAAGACTTCCGTACAGCTTCGAGGAGATTCTGGTCCACCATCCGGCGCCTGGGGCGGGGGGGGGGGGGGGGGGGGGGGGTATCAGTCCGCTACCAACACTATCTCTAGTGAGAATGGTGTGCTGCTGACCTCTACTCAGGACGTTGTGGATTGGTGGGCAGAATATTTCAAAGACCTCCTCAATCCCACCACCCTTCCAGTGAGGAAGTAGAGTCTGGGGACTTTGGGTTGGCCTCTCAAATCTCTGGTGCTGAGGTCACTGAGGTGGTTAAAAAGCTCCTCTGTGGCAAGGCTCCAGGGGTGGATGAGATCCGCCCGGAGTTCCTTAAGGCTCTGGATGTTGTGGGGCTGTGTTGGCTGACGCGACTCTGCAATATTGCGTGGACATCGGGGGCAGTCCCACTGGACTGGCAGACCAGGGTGGTGGTGGTCCCCTTATTAAAAAAGGGGGACCGCAGGGTGTGTTCCAACTACAGAGGGATCACACTCCTGAGCCTTCCTGGTAAGGTCTATTCAGGGGTTCTGGAGAGGAGGGTCCGTCGGATTGTTGAACCTCAGATTCAGGAGCAATATGGTTTTCGTCCTGGCTGTGGAACACTGGACCAGCTCTATACCCTTAGGGGGATCCTGGAGGGTGAGTGGGAATTTGCCCAGTCAGTCTACATGTGTTTTGTGGATTTGGAGAAGGCGTTTGACTGCGTCCCTCGGGGGGCCCTGTGGGGGGTACTCCGGGAGTATGGGGTACCAGGCCCTCTGTTTCGGGCTGTTAGGTCCCTGTATGACCGGTGTCAGAGCTTGGTCCGCATTGCCGGCAGTAAGTCGGGCTCGTTCCCAGTGAGAGTTGGACTCCGCCAAGGCTGCCCTTTGTCACCGATTCTGTTCATAACCTTTATGGACAGGATTTCTAGGCGCAACTAAGGTGTGGAGGGCATCCGTTTTGGTGGCCTTTGGATCAGGTCTCTGCTTTTTGCAGATGATGTGGTCCTGCTGGCTTAATCAGATCGTGATCTTCAGCTTTCGCTGGAGCGGTTCACAGCCGAGTGTGATGCAGCTGGGATGAGAATCAGCTCCTCTAAATCTGAGACCATGGTCTTGATTCGTAAAAGGGTAGAATGCCTTCTCCGGGTCAGGGATGAGGTCCTGCCCCAAGTGGAGGAGTTTAAAGCGTGGTTTATGCTTGACGCATTCACTTTCCGCTTGGTGATGCGGCTCACGGATGGAACACGCTTCACAACTCAAAGCGTTTATGGTTCATGTGGCTTGTCTCTGCGGTTAGCCAACATTCTCCCAAACTGAACGGGGCCGCATGGAGCTCTACAGCATGCATCCAACAATACACCATAGTAGAAGTAGAAATTACTGTTTACAACATGGCATTCCAGCATTTTTTAACAGCGTCCTCGTCTTTTCTGACAGTGCGAGCTATTTTTCTCCAAGAATTATTAACAACATGTTGATCACAGTGATCTTTGAGAGCTGAATCATACAAATGTCTGTATTTACGAACCTCTGCCATACTAGTTCTTGCCAGTCTGCCATGTTTTTCCGCGTCCGACCGTCCGAGTGGTTAGAAAAATTCCTAGGTGCGCGGTGCGGAAATTTTGGGCCGTGCAGAGGCGCGGTGGAGGGGCGTGGTTGTTAAAATGATGCAATTTCGCCACGCGGAGCTGTGCGGACCTCGCGGACGTGTCAAGCATAAACCAACCTTAAGTATCTCGGGGTCTTGTTCACGAGTGAGAGAAAACTGGAGCGTGAGATCGATAGGCAGATTGGTGCTGCATCTGCAGTGATGCGAGCGCTGTACCGGTCTGTCGTGGTGAAGAGAGAGCTGGTCAGAAGGCGAAGCTCTCGATTTACTGGTCGATCTACGTTCCTACCCTCACCTATGGTCATGAGCTTTGGGTAGTGACCGAAAGAACAAGATCGCGGGTACAAGCGGCCAAAATGAGTTTTCTCCAAAGAGTGGCTGGGCTCTCCCTTAGAGATAGGGTGAGAAGCTTGGTCATTCGGGAGGGGCTCAGAGTAGACCCGCTGCTCCTCCACATCAAGAGGAGCCAGTTGAGGTGGCTCGGGCATCTGGTCAGGATGCCACCTGGACGCCTCCCTGGTGAGGTTTTCCGGGCACGTCCAACCAGGAGGAGACCTACAGGTAGACCCAGGACATGGTGGAGGGACTATGTCTCTCAGCTGGCCAGGGAACGCCTTGGGATTCCCCCGGAGGAGCTGGTCCAAGTGGCTGGGGAGAGGGAAGTCTGGGCCTCTCAACTTAGGCTACTGCCTCTGTGACCCAACTCCGGATAAGCGGATGAAAATTGAATGGAAATGGAATGTAGGATATATTATCTTATACATAAGGGTAGAGATGTGTAAAAAGATTTAATACAAGACTAAAGCTGTGAATATTCAGTCTGAATTTATCTGACTCTTTTCAGAATATTTTAAACTACATCAGCCAACAATGCTGACCAACAATCTGAAAAGTCAAAAACAGCTGGAACTACATTATTTTTCAGATGGCCAAAAGAAAAAAACCGTGGCCAAAATTGTGGTCTAAATGCACCAGAATGCAGAGTTCAACACTTATTTTTTCAAATATTTCTAAGGAAGCATGTACTGAATTTATTTTATTCTTAAGCCTTACTGCCCTAGCCTAGTGAACTAGACCAAATTCTTGCTTTGCAAAGCTTGTATAACCAGGGCCAGATTAAGACTTCGTTGTACCCTGGGCAACAATATTCAAGGGCCCCATCATCACGACCCAAGGATCACCATACAGAATATTTTACTGTAATATGCAGTAAATATACTCAATACTTGAATGCCTGACTTCACGTAACCCGCTCAGGGTAACCTTTGACCCACCTTGTGTGGACTGACCAATGAGGAGAGAGTCTCAACTTGAGGCCCTCTCTTTATTGGTCAGTCTACAAGAGACTGACTCACAACTGATGTTCAAAGTCATAGGCAGCGAAGCGTCTCTGTGCAGCGCAAAAGCCCGGGTGGACAGTTTGTTGAATATAGGGTGATCATATTTCCATTTCCAAAAAAGAGGACAGGGGATCTGTGCCTATGACGTCACACTATGGCAACGCCACACAACGCTGGGACCCATTTTTTTGTAAGAACTAAATTAATATCAGATTCTGCCAATAAAAGGGCTCTAAAACAATAAATACTTAGCATATTTACTGCAAAATCTCATTTTTCTGCTTTAGTGCTGCAACAAGGTTTTATTAATAAAAAATTATTATACCTTTTGTTTTACTGCAGCATTGGTACGCTTCCTGTGCACAGATTATTAAGGATGCTTGTTTCAACTGTGAGATTAGACGATAGGATCAATGAAAAAATAAGTTGTCACACACTCCATGGAAACTTTCAGAGAATCCACAAATAGTGGCTTTCAAATGGTTTTGTTACTTTTTGCAAGTTTAGAAAAGAAGCAGATGAGACAGCGTGTCTGATAATTTAGTTTTTCATCTGATAATATTAGAACATGTCAGTAATATCAGAGGGGCTTTTATAAACACTGTATAACTAACACTACTGGAGAGGGTATGGATTACACAGAGGCTTCTGGGGAGCCCAGCTATGGGGGTGGGGTGGTGGTGGTGGTGGTGGTGGTGGGGGGGTCATTTTGCCTTGGCCCCCAAAATGTCTTGAAACGGCCCTGGGTGTGTGACTGAGTTTTGAAGGTGATCTGAATTGTATCAGATGTATAAATATTACATGTGTATAACTTATTGTTTTATACAGGTAAAAACGTGTAGTGGAGATAAATCTACGTACATTTTACTTTTCAACACTTTGTTTTGTTTTGTTGTTTTTATTTAACTATATTTTCCTGTCCTGTCTGTCTCTCATCTTCCTGCATCTCCTCTAAACTCTCCAGAAAATCTGCTGCCTGGATTCTTACCTTTTCACCTCGTCGATTACTTCTGAGCAGATCAAAGGGATCTCCTGACCACAAAGCGGAGAGCGCGTTTCGATGCGTCAGTGAGGTGAAATCACCGCAGCACAGGTGATGAGCTCCGCAGTAGCAGAGCGCTTCAAGCACAAATAAGACAGAAAGTAGAGAACATGTGCGGACATGAACGATCATGTGTTAATTATAGTTTTTTGGTTGCGCCACTTTGAGAATGGACCGTGCGCTGGACGCAGCAGCCTGGAGCGCTGCGCACCGATCATCGCTCTGCCGCTCTCTGCTGAAAAGAGTCCATGAATGATAATATAGTAATATAGGTAGAAAACTTATTTCCGGCTCCCCTGGATGTGTAGGATATACAGCTTCCCATCCCTGCTCCTGGATGAAAAGCCGGACATTTTCGTCAATACAAGAACCCGGACATCCAGGACAGAGTGAAAAGCGGACGTGTCCGGGGAAAACAGGACGTACGGTCACACTAGTTTAATATAAAGCGGGAGATTACAGATACAGTATTTTGCTCGTGCCCTTGCTGCCCTGGGCCCTTTAGAGTTTGTGGGCCCTGGGCAATTGCCCAGTTGCCCATATATGGTTAATCCGGCCTTGTGTATAACACATTTATTTAGTCTGGCTTGCCAGGCTAGTACTGCCCAGCTCTATTTATGGGATTACATAAATGTAACTGTGTTCACTTATCACATTCAAATCTTCCTCTCATTAGCCACCTAAAATCATCTCACTCTTCACTGTAGCGCCTACCTCAGCAGGTCTGGCTCTCCCTGTCTCATCCTCAGCTGGTTCCTGCTGAACTTCATCTGGTCTCTTATATGAAAAGTGACATGAATACAGTTTAAAAATAAAATTCTATGAGAATGTCACAAGCAAGCAACAATCACACGTACAAACTCAATTTTTAAGTGGAGATTCTACTTTTTATTTATTTCGTGTCAAATGGTTTTTGTCTGTTACTGTCAAGTTTGCCATTTTTTGTTGACTAGTGATGTTTAATGTTTAATGCTGCCTAGCAATATGTTTACATTAGTCAGCCAGTCTAACATTTGACCAGAAATACAATTATCCTCTTGGACTAAATTATTACCAACTCACATTTCCTTTCTTTCTTTTTTTGCCCATGAGAACTCGCTGAGCTGCTGCAGTCGTCTCATCTCTGACACCTGTCTGCGCCCCGCCCATGGCCCCGCCCCAACTCCTGCTTCACGCGGTGTCTTTCAAAATAAATGCTCGCGAGTCAAATATTTCAAAATAATTTTTTTTCATCTCCATGTTATTGGGGGTGACAAATAGGCGTTTGTCCAATATTGGGAGGGGAATGTCTGATTTGCTCTCAATCACAATATTGTGTAACTCATTTTTATGGGGAGCAAAGAGCCTTAAACCACTAAACTACACAGAAACGGAGCAACTCTTATTTTGTAGAAACCTTCCTGCTCTCCTAACAGGACACTGAACCAGTCAAGATAGAATGTTTGTACATCTATTTAAGAGCTGGAGCATTGTTAGCCTATTGCTGCTTTGCAACCTCAATGCTTACCATTAATTAAAAACATGCAATTGACCAGTTTCCAGATAACTTTACCAGATTGTCATGGTACACGACTTGTCTCCGATTCACTGGGCTGGGTATGAATTTAGAAAATGACCTGGTAGAATCACTGGATGATGGGACTGGTGGTTAACTAATGCGGATTGGTTGTACCTCAGTAAGGAATTACATCGGCAGATGTCTCCACCAACAGGCATTGGTATGATAGAATGGTTGCTGGTGAAGCATAATGAAAGGAAGAGAAAATGAGATAATTGACACTGCTTTAAAGACCAAGTTCACAACCAACCCCCCCTTTGGTTTCACCACACAACTCTAATAAGCACAAGGCGAGTTCTGGAGATTTTCAGCTGCAATTTATTTGATTCTCATCCGTAAACCAAGACAAGAAATGAGATTCAATAGCAGGGTACAAAACAAATATTTATAGAAAAGTAAGCTTATAATGAAATGTGTCCAAAGACGACATAACAAAACACAAAGTTCAAGTGTTAAAGAGCAATTTTGTTGAGTACAATGATAAAATACCAAGTTAGCATATTGTACATTTTGCGCTTTTTATACAAAAGTGTCAATGCAGTCACTCTGTACAGTTTTTTTTTAAAAAGTACATTTTAATCCACTGCTGTGCACAATCAGTATTTGGAAGGCACTTTGCAACAGACTGAAAACAGAAAGCTGGACACTGAAGCCAAAGCAACCAAAGAGATCATTTTAAGGAAACATTATCGAAACAGACCGAACCACCAAATACAAACCAAAAGTTTTATTATCTCCTTACAGAAAATTCCACATGTATCCAAACAGCAAATTTAACAAAATTCTTATAACTTTTGAATGAGTAAATACAGGTGCAGAGTGGAACAAAAAATAAAAGAGGGGGAAAAAGAAAACTTGGTCAAAGACGAGTCAAGCAGCTGGCAGTGTGAGCTCTACCACAGCAGGGTGATAGCAGCAGTGAAAGGATCGCTGCCACCAACGAGTGATCGTCGTTCAGTCCTCAGGTCAGCCAGCATGCCGGAACATGCACTTTACAATTCAAACAGCCAGAACTTTAAATCTCTCCCAACAAGAGATGAGACAAAAAAAAAAGTCTTAATCTGTACAACACTCACCACTGACAAACACTTATCAAATAGGTCGATTCATATTTATATAGATTTATTAAGTGTGTGTATATATGGAAGGTATATACACTTGTTACAATCACAACAGAGCCATAAATAATAAAGGAATGTTCTAAAATACAAAAAACAGAATACACTCAGTTATAATCATCATCCCCTCACCACACACACTCCTTCACTGGTACACTGAGCCTGATTTGCGTCACAACAAATGATTTACAGCACAAAAATAAAAAAAGCAACCGATGAGAAACAATCTGTCAACTTTCACCAAATTTTAGACCAGATGCTTTGCAAAATATGAAACTTGCTGCTAGTGCCAACTTATTCTTTAAATATTTACATGAGATGCATTGTTTTATAATCGACCAACAGTCAAGAAAAAGAATAAATCACTGTTGGCTGCACAGAAACTCAATTACTTTAACATCGTGAACGAGGGCAATTAAATCGATAGGAAAGTTTGTTGCATTTTTAACTGTGATTAAACTTTAATGTATAACGTCCTCAATATGTTCCACATCCAAGTGGTCTGTTCAAGAGGATAACTCATAAGAGAAAATGTAGATACAACACTCACACTAAAACAATTAAACACTTATGTGTATAGGAATGTCCTGGATTACACAGGGAGCTTTGACCGCAACAAGGTGACTACTAGTGTAAAGAGGACAGATTTTTTTAATGAAAAGCAACTGACGGAATAAACAGAATCGGCAAAAGTTAAAAAAAGATTGTAAAAGGTGAATTTTATCAGCTGAGTCCCTCTTCGTCACTTGACATTTGTAGCGCGCGCACACACACACACACACACGAAATAACTCAACGTAAATATTTTGTTTGACAAAATTTTTTTTAAAAATAAAAATAACACAAATGTAGGGCATAAATAAGTTATTAAAATATAATCTACATTTTTCCAAAATATATAATAATGACAACATACCTGAACTTGGCTCCCATTTCATGCACATAAAAGTTTTAAGAACTAAAAATATTTAAGAATTAAACCAATATGTGGAAATAATTCCCAGGTTTTGTTTCTCAGTGGATGACAGAGACTGGCAACTTTAACTTGCTGCGAAGTAAATATGATTTGGCCACTATGACATTTTCAGACCCATCACATGATTACAACTTGTATATTTGTACCGAATTCTGTTTGCTAAATGACCGAATGTGTTGGAGGGGTTTTAAACATCAGATAGTTTCAGCAAAACATTCATTTTCCATTCGTATGAACAAAAAACCCTCAAAATGCATTTCAGCAACTAAGACATCTTTTAAATTGCAGCTTTGATAAAATCTGAAAAGGGATAACTAGAAATGGCATGAAACAGAAATGCAAATCATAATTGTCGTAACAGGGAAAATAGTTTCATCTCCCAAATCTCTGGTTCAATTTCACATTTCACTTAAAATTCAAATGATGTGAGGAAAAAGAAAGAAATCTGTTCAGGTGTTGAGTCCCAGTGATTATTGACTTTTGTCTTTGCATAAACAAACAATTCTTCTCATGATCAATTTGTTTTCACAAACCAAAATGATTAAGGTGAGTCTTAAGTGCTTCTCGACTGTAATGCTGCCATAAGTCATTCATCATCAAGGTCCCTGACAGCTACCAGTGTTACTTAAAACGACTAGAAACTCTTTCTGCATGAGATGCACAAAAACTTAATATATGGACAAAGGAAAGTGAGATGCGTTTTCTAAAACGTACATCTTTAAAGAACCTCTGGCACCAATTGAAATCCCTGCCCATGCTGTTGCTTTGAGGTAAAGAGATCAGTTTATGAGGAATATACAGTCACCATTATGACCAAACATAACTTCATCTTCACCAGAGCGCTGCAAGTGGACAGTCTTACTCGCAGTCAAAGGGAGCAGCAGCCCTAGCAGGCAACACAAACAAACAGTCATCTCAGCCACCTCCACCAGCTGCTCTGATGGGGCACCAAGGCGTTCCCAGACCAGCCTAAAAATATCATCCTTTCAGCATGTCATGAGTTCACCTATAGGAAGCCTTCCTACCAACAGGACACCCATAGAAGGTATTTTAACCAAATGCTTGAACCACCTTTGCTGACTTATCTCAATTAAAGTTCTAAGATAAGACTTTATTGATCCCACAGTGAGGAAATGTGTGCATTACCACAGCTCAGGACATGTAGCAAAGGGGTACAAAAGTGACCAAAAATATAATAAGACAATATTCTACTTCAAGTTCCTCCCAGATCCGAGTTCCTCGTCCTAGCTGAGCTGAACCTAGCCACCCTGAGGAGGAAACTAATTTTGGCAGCTTGTTTTAGCAATCTTGTTTGTTCGATCATTACCCAAGGTTCATGGCCACAGATGATTGGTAGAGCATCAAATGGACATAGCACTGACTTCACTCCCTTTTACCACAAAAGACCAATTCAGCCTCAATCTAAATGTTGTTTACTCGCATCCTTCTTCTCTCACTCGTAAACACATACCCCAAGGTAGTTAAACTCCTCTACGTGGAGTAGAACCACTGCCCCTGGCCTGGAGTTGGCAATCCCAGTTTCTGGTCAGGGAACCATGGCTTCCGATTTGGCTGCAAACTCAATCCTGTTCACCCCACAGCTGCATCTACAAATTATGTCCATGAAAGGTTATGAACAGCCCTAGTGGTCCGATCTCTCACCAGCAAAAAGGTCCAACTTACTGCTGGCTATCAGGACCACACTGACACTACTTGGTACAGGGACTGATTAGACCTTAACAAATGGCCATCCACCCCTTACACCCCTCACAAAATGCCTCTATGCATAGGGTCATAAGCGTTCTCCAGAACCACTAAACGTGGACTGGTTGGGCAAACTACCAAAACTCCTCTAGCACCTTAACAAGGGTAAAGAGCTGGTTGTACGGCCAGGACAAAAATTTAATTGCTCCACTTCAATCCGAGACGACTGACTGAACCCTGCTCCCAAGTACCTTGGAGTATACTTTTCCAGGGAGAATGAGGGATGTGATCCCTCTGTAGTCAGAACACACAATCTCATTTTTCTTAAAAATGGGAACTAAAAGACTTGTCTGCAATTCAATGGGCAGCGCCCACAAGACCACGCAATAGGGAGCCTAAGTCACACCCATCAACTTCTGGACCATGGGTCCTCAGAATAAAAGGAAAAATGAATGCAAGTCAATGGGGCTATTTTTTAATCCTGTTGGATATGCGCCATGTGTTTTACATATGATGTCTGTGTATTTTATAGTAACATTTGGATGCTGACTGAGCTTGTTTTCTAATGGTGGCAAAAGTTATCTTAGGTTTTGTGTGAAAAGACGTGTAGGACTACAAATGTTTGTCTCACCAAATTGACATCATGGAGCCAGGCACGAAGAGAAGATTAGTTTAGCGAACTTCAAATCTTTCTTCCAGGTTCACAGAAGGAGCATTAAAGATGGAAAAAAACTACTATAAATCTGGCTATGTCTTAAGTATCAGCTACATTGGGGGACAAGACATTCTGCAGTGACATATGTGACATCTGATTTGTGGTCATTTTACTTACAATTCAATCTTAAATTGCATGACATATTTGAAACTCAATTTGTTTTCATTTAAACTGAAGTCCAACATGTGTAGGATTCAGGGCTTAAGGAGGAGTGGATTAGAAAATAGCTTTTATAGCTCCATCCACTTGCATTCTTTTGTATGGGGACCCATGAGACATCCAGAACGGGAGGAGACTTAAGTTTAAGAGGTGGGTCATCCAAGACTGTCCTCTACAACACAAAAAGCCTCGAGATAACCCGGACAGATCTCGTCAACCCCTAGATCTCTGCTTCAGCACTGACTTTCAATTTCTTCTTCTGACAGAGATCGGTCAATCCATCTCCAGATCTCTCAGCTCTGGTTTCTCATTGGAATACATGTAGGTGAAATTGAGGACCTTCTTTCTACCAATGTGTTGAGCAGTTCCATGCCCCCACTGTAGTTGCCCTCCCCATCTGAGGTGCGGGACAATTTCTCAGAATTTCCTTGGAGTTGAGCAACAGTCCCTCTACAACCTCATCAGGTTCCCTTTCATCAGTAGCTAGTACTGCTGTACACCACTTGGCCCTCAGGTACCCATGTGCAGCCTCTAAAGACCTACAGATCTGTCATAACCTGTAGGTTACCTTCTGTTGCATGGCAGCTTCCTTAACCCTTGTGTTCACCAGTGAGTCCAAATGGTACTGCCATGACTGGCATCAGCAACCATACAGCAGCAGCTAGCACCATCCACTTTAACAATTGTCCCCAGCTGCCCTAGGGATGTAGTGAAAACTCTGTTGAAGATGGGAGTTGAAGACCATTTTGACGGTCTTCTGCCAGGCATTAACAGCAGACCCTCACTAAAGATTACAATGGGTGAAAAATAATTTATTTTAATGAAAGTAAATAAGTCATCGCATTTGAGCTGCTGTGAATGCTTCAACTCATCACAGAATCAGAAACGATAAAGTTCAAAGGATTGACATCAACTAAATCAAATGACACCTTCAGGTCATTTCTTTTAAATAAATATTTAAACACAAAGCACACGCCTTTAATCCTTTGAAGAAACAAACCAAATGGCAGGTTTTTGGAACAAAAATCATTGCATACACTTTAAGCAACATGGTAAACAGAAATAAACTAATGTGTCCAAAATTTGAGGCAAAGTACTTCCCAAATACAGAATCTTCTGTGGGTTACCTGGCTTTGTCCTAACATCAAGAAGCTAAAGAACTGGTTACTTCCCTCCGAAGTCCATTCCGCTTTGACCCGCTTCGGTGTCCACAAGTGAAGAGGCAAAAGCAGACTGGACTATCTGAAAGCCGAAGGACTCGAGGAGAGACATGTTCTGTTGAGGGGAGAAGGGAGAGGTCAGGGAGGGGGCCACATCACTTAAGCTTGACCCTGACACCCCATGGGCCCTCTGTACTTTGTGAACTCTGTGCTGGTGCTTGTTGAGGTAGGACTTAGTACGAAAGGCCTGACCACAGATCCCGCAGATAAACTTCTTTTCAGGGTCTGACTTGGCTTTAGAGCCCTCTGGGGATCCCAGGGGCCCAGAAGAAGCGCCATTGCAGCCTAAAGAGGTCATCTGAAGCTCTGGTCCTTCAGATTTGTGTGGAGATTTAAGCTCATCTACGTTGGACAATTCCCTTAATGAAGTATCCGATTCCTCAGACTCCAGATGGGGACATTTCCCAGAATTTTCTTGCCCATCTGAGGTGAAAACAGGAAGAGAGAGGAGAAAGAGAGGTCAGAAAGAGGCACTAATTAAATGATTACCCAAATAAGCTGTAATCTGCAAAACCAAAAAGTATACATTTGCACTCATACCAGACAAGGACATAATAAATATGATAAATACATTATGGTGTAAGATTCTACTTTAAAAAGAAATGAATCATTTCAAACTGTAGCAAGCATCCATTAACCAAAAGATCATTTGTTGCAGTCCGTTTGCCCCGAGTCCACTGAGACTTCTACTGTGTGTCATCCAAACAGTAAGTCCCCATGGATCCTCGAGCAAGACCGCACTGACCTGAAACAGACCTGGAGTGTCATGGAGAGGGCTGAATGATCAGGCTGGAAAAGAACCAAGTGTCAGCAACATGCAGGAAGTAGACAGATAAGCTGCTGGAAACCATACTGACAGAGCTGCCTGTTTCCCACCATCAGAAATACTGTGGGAACAAACACCCAATCAGGTGAATCCATGCTTAAATACTACACTCACTCAAGCACCTGGGTGGATTTTAATGGAACTCTCAAGAAGAACTTAATGTACAATCAGCAATTCACTGTTGTGAGTCAACCTGATTCAAGATGGCCACCACAGCTAATCTACCGGTACATCAACAAACACAAAGTTGATTAACGCGTAACAAATTTTACAGAGAGCTAAAATTGGATGTTGTAGTTGAGTCATGAACAACACATGTTCTGAGTGAGAACTTGTGAGATTAGGCGTTACTAAAAAATTACCAAAACTCCATTTAAGATGATCTTGGTTAAAAACAAACAAGAAAGGTGGTCCGCAATATGCCTTCCTTTAAGAAATGGTGTTGTATCTACATTTTCCTGGTGAATGTGGTTTAAATTTAATTTGGTCAGTTCTTAGAAAAAACAAATCTATTCAAATAGAAATCTCAATTCTTTCCAGTTCCTCTCAGTCACTATTGGTTAAGGAAATTGGTGCTTCCACACTTCATTTACCATGATGGAGAAAACCCAAACTGTAGTGCTTTTGTGTGGCAAAATCACCACAACCAACCTTTTTGGATAAAAGGCAGAATATGTAATATGTTTACTTGCTTACCATCAAAGTCTGTGTATCCTTTCAAAAACGTGTCCTTTTTCATTAATATTTCTAACCAAAGTATATTCTAAATACACCTATTAGCTTAAAATTTTACATTTTTGTACACGTAAGCGGTGGTCAACGCCCCATAGCCATGCACCATCTTTAAATACCGCAGTTGTTTAGGGACATACAAGAGATTATGCTCCACATTTTGAATTTCAACTCTCACATTAAAGTTATCCTCACTCTAAACATTATGAAGGGAAGGTGCCAGTTCTCTCCGTGGCAGCCTTGCTGGTTTGTAAAAGTTATGCTACTTCCCCTTGGGTTGCCTACCCTGCTCCAACTACATGTGATGGCTAGATTGAAAGCTGGAAGTTTTTTTTTTTTTAACAACTTCAGCAGTGTGCGCACGGCCGCGGGGGAGAGGAAGATGAGTGACCAACGGCACTGGAGCGAGAAGACAATTGCTGCAAATGACTGATCAGACCCATTCTACATAAGCTGCTTTCATGAGACTTACTGTGCTGGCTAGGCACAGGATAATACTGCCACAGTGGACCTTATGAAAGTGCTGTGGTGGCAAGGCAATGTGGCAATTTTCCATGTTGCTAAACTTGGTGGTATAATTACTGCAATGCGAGACTTGTGAATGAGTATTACGCCTTGGCGCAACAGAGGGTAGTGTCATGATCACGTGTGAATTACCACTGAGCCTCGGCTGGCTACTATACTGAAAATCAAAGTAAACATGGGCACTAAATTTCACTTTTGTAAACAAAACTAGCTGAGATGGCAAACTGGAGCAATGCAGAGCACCAGACAGTACATGGGGACTGTTGAGGACAGCCACCTTTAGGAGTGGCTTGTCAAAAAAGTCTTAACACAGCTTCAGTCACGATAAGAAGCAAATTCTGTCCAAGCTATAAGGAAGTCTGCGGCAGCGCAGAGAACCCACACCACCTTTATACAGTCCTCAGAGGGTTTCCCCCAGTGCTTTATAAGCCTGGCAAGCGACTAGTTCTTGACTGGCCTCCTACCAGGCCAAGCATCTACCCCCAACCCTCGCGGTCACAGATGCTAGTGTAATGATCCTCACAGATATGTGAGCACCGCCTCAATGATATATTGCTTTATGGTGCATGTGGGCTACTGTAGCTGCAATACCTACTCCGAACTGCATGGTGCAAAGGACTTGAATGTTTATTTGCATTGAGGTTTTAACCATCACAAAAATGCATTGTGTTAATAGCAACCATCACCTGATATATTAATTATGGAGTTTTTTTTCAAACTGACAAGACTTTCCAGTTTGGATGTTGGAAGCTTATTTGACCATTGAATCCCCCTTTGTTTACAGTAGTCTGAAGAAGCTTGTGGAGTCCCAAAACACCAAATGTCATCAGTAAAATCCTTGTTCCTTAATACATAGATTTTATTATTAAATGACTTAAAAACTAGTCTATTTTGACTACTCTAAAATCCTTCATACTGAAGGAAAAACAAAATTTCTAAAAAGAAAAACATCTTGTTTCTACGAAAAGCCAGCAAACACGAAAAATGTTGTTTCGTTCCACCATCAGACAGCAGATAAAATTTGTTTCAGTACTACTTTTCTCATGAGAAATACACCTTATGCCCAACTTGTATTGATCGACCTGAAAGCAGCCTCAAACTGGTACAGATGCAAGGCAAACAGAGCACACAAGACAATCATGCATCACTGTACACAGCTGAACAGCTGCTGATGATGCAGCCAAGCAGAAACAGACTATTAAACAGCCACAGTCATGCTGAACAGGCAAACACACGGGCAGAAGTGACAAAAAGTATTAAAATGACATCACTTAAAAATGTCAAAGTAAATCCAAATGTCTGATTTGCTCTCAATCACAATATTGTGTAACTCATTTTTATGGGGAGCAAAGAGCCACACATTCGCCTTAAACTACTAAATAAACTACACGGAAATGGAGCAACTCTTATTTTGTAGAAACCTTCCTGCTCTCCTAACAGGACACTGAACCAGTCAAGATAGAATGTTTGTACATCTATTTAAGAGCTGGAGCATTGTTAGCCTATTGCTTCTTTGCAACCTCAATGCTTACCATTAATTAAAAACATGCAATTGACCAGTTTACAGATAACTTTACCAGATTGTCATGGTACACAACTTGTCTCCGATTCACTGGGCTGGGTATGAATTTAGAAAATGACCTGGTAGAATCACTGGATGATGGGACTGGTGGTTAACTAATGCTGATTGGTTGTACCTCAGTAAAGAATTACATCGGCAGATGTCTCCACCAACAGGCATTGGTATGATAGAATAGTTGCTGGTGAAGCATAATGAAAGGAAGAGAAAATGAGCTTCACTGACACTGCTTTAAAGACCAAGTTCACAACAATAATAATAATAATAATAATAATAATAATAATAATAATAATAATAATAATATTGACGTCTATGGCTTTGGGGACATTTTGGTGCTGATCAGTAACATCACTCACTTCTGAAATGGTCGCGATATGCTGGCTGTCTTAGCAGATTCCTAAATGGGCCAAATATGTATGGAGACACAACGGCCGAAAGAACCGAGCCGGAGTATTTTCCTGCCCACCTCCCAGAAATGTCCTGGAACTTGTCTGGTGGAAACGCAGCTATTAACTGTCTCCTTATAACCCTTACTGTAAGGAAAGACGATATTTACACTAAAAGCTGAACCACTCAATGTTTCTAATTTTTCAGTGGGCAATAAAATCAAGTTCTTCTGAGAATATCCTCACAGACATGTGCAGCTCTTTGAAAATTAAATTGCATCAACAAATACTTAAAGACAAAGCAGTTATTAAAGCTGTGTTGCCTATATTGATGTGGCAGCAGAGCAAATGACAGCCAGAAGCATAAGCACTTGGGATGGGCCGAACGGCTGCTTGCCTTCCACTGAGCACTGGCGTCCCATGTGGTAAAGGGTGCCGTTGTGCATCTGCAGCTCCCCCCTTGGCTCAAGGAAGGTGTGCATTGATGCAGAGGGGGGTAGTGGTGAGCCGTGATGTGTCTTTATATGCACCTTAAGGTAGGATGCGGTGGAGAAACCTGAGGCCAGAAGAACAAAGAACAAGGCATTTGCTTGACACACTCAAAGCCTTGGCTGAGAGAGGCGTCCTGAAACAAACGTGCCATTTCATGTTCGACCAGTTCTTTAACTGTATGGACTGGACTTATATTAAAGAATGACTACAATTAGAACCAGTCAAAAACTAAGAGCAAGAACACAACGTTTAAGGATAAATGAGCCATAAAACTGGTGTGTATCGCAGCAAGACTGTCTTTGACAACCGACTACCTTGAACTCGATTTGGTTCAGCTTATGTTAAAAGCATCCCAGATTCACCCCAATCACACCTGCTAGGTTCAGACTGTTGAGCTGCTCACCTTCCTTCTTTCTCCACCTTGTTCAGCCTTTAAACAGTTTAACTATTAACAACTTTAAGGAAATTTTGCTCAACATGGACTCAACATAACATTTGTTCTGTTCCTTTAGTGAAAAATAAAAACAATTAGTCAGCTTCTGCCTCATGATTGTACTAGTAACATCGGATGTCTATTTCAGTGCTCCTCTCATATTTAGGCTCTACTGTTGGTCCATTCAATGGTTTTATTTCAGTTGAAAATAGTCAAGAATGATTATTCCTCAGTCAAATGTTAAATGGTTACTAGAACTGAGTTTATTTGTTCAGTTGATCAACATTCACCTACTTGACCTAGAACAGTTGTCATAGTTACTATAGCTGCACATCTAATGCATTAACATATGCAAGCATTAACATATGCAAGCATTAACATATGCAAGTCTTAATTACAAGAACTTTAAAAATGAACATACCTACTTCTGCCAACACAAAAAGACTTTCTATTAGGGATGCTCCGATCTGATCACGTGATCGGAAATCGGTCCGAGAGTGATTTTCTTTAAATCGGAAGGAAAAACTGGATTTGCCCTATCTCTACAGACGCAGCAGCTCTACAGGTGTTTTGTAGAAAAAAAGTTACTCTGCTGCTGACAGTTATGTGCATTGCCATCCCTGTTGCTGAAAACAGCCGCACACCGAGTAAACAATTAGCAATACGAGCGACAAAGCTACTTTTATTTATATTCTGAATGTTGACATGTTTCTGATTAATGTACTACCTAAACAAGTGATGTTTTATGGCAAAACAACTAAAGAAATTACATAAATACAGAAACGTATTAATGATTAAAATGACAACTCTAGTGTCTTCTTTTTTTCCTAATGCATTTCTAAACTATCGGATCAGGACTTGGTATCGGCAGACTCTTAAAATCAAAATGATTCAGAATCGGGAGCAAAAACGCCATCGGAACATCCCTACTTTCTACAGTAATAGGAAGTTTGAGCTGCATCTAAACTTGAGGAAACAACCGACCTACATAAACATTTACCAATTGTTTTAAACAGATTTTTTTTATAGATTATTCAAGATGAGTGGTCTTGCGTGATTCTAAATATAAAACAATTTTGTCCAAAGAAATTTTATAAAAGCAGCAAATTCATATTTTCTTATAATCCCCAGCTGGGCTCGAACAAAAGGGAACAAGAAGTTTGAACTTTTTCCTCATGCAACAAGAAAAAGTACCAAGTTTCTGCAAAACAATGTATTTTTCCTTAAGGTTAATATCAAGATTCCAATCATTTTAGCAATGTCAAACCACAGATGCATCAGAAAATGTACATTTTACAACTATTTACAAGTTCAGCACAGTAAATACCCACACGATGTAGAAGTGATTTCCAAATTTCAGAAATGTTCAGGTAAGGATTACCTTTATTGCAAATGCCACAGTAATTGTGAGTTCCTTCGCTGTGTTTCTTGAGGTGGTCCGTCATGTAGGCAGCCCGCAAGAACTTGCCACAAACTTTGCAGGGAATTTTATCCTCATGGCATGCAAGGTGTGATCGAAGGCGGTCTCGTGTAGCAAAGGAGGCATTGCAAATCTGAAATAAAGAAAGCCATGTTTTAACACTTAATCACTGCTAAAAACGCTGTTTATTTTTCTACAATGAAAGACTGCATTTTAAAAGTTACCTGGCACTTGTGGGGTCTTTCTGTTGTATGCACTTGTTTAATGTGTCCGTTGAGGTGGTCAGGCCTTTAAGATGATGGGAAAAAGGGGCAAAACCAGTTTGAGATCCTGACTGAACAGCAGCACATGTTGGTCCAACTGTGGCTTAATCTGATCCATAAACCCTCATACTTAAGTAATTAAACTTGAATCATGGTGGACTAGGCTTAATTCCAACAAAATTATGTCAGGTCACTTTGTTAAATATTTTTCAGCATTTTAGCTTTTGATTGATTTGTGAGCAAAAACACCAAAAATGATTTCCAAAAGGCAAAAAGGCAAAATGAGGAAATGAAAAAAATTTAATTTCTCAAACGTAGACTCTTCAGAAGATTTGTGAAATTTTGCTCATGTGAAAAATGTTTTATTTGTTCTACACTAATGTAAAATGAACAAAAATGAGCTGCGATAGAATAACATATAACATATTTGGTCTATTAAAAGACAATCGGCTCTTTCATCATAAAATAAAAATGACATATCAAATTTCTTAGATATGCATAAAAGTGCTAATAAAAGAAAATGATCATAAAACTAGCATTACATGATCATTTGGATAGAATTGACAATTTGTTTGAACACCCACACCAGTAGGGGGCGGAAGTGAGTTAAAAGCTGTCTGACAAAACTAATTAAATCTAATGTAATGTTTGTAGACACATTTAACTCTTTAATTAAACTTTGTTTTACTGTCAGTGAAACTTCTGTCAAACTCGTACATTACACGTTAACATAAAACCCAAACACAACAGCTGCTGTATGGTCCACTCACCTTGAGAAACCTTTACCACAGCTTTGACACACATATGGTTTGCCGACTGAGCCGTCGTGGGACCGAACGTGGTATGACATCCGGTCCTTACGTTTGAACCGTAGCCCACACACGGGGCACGCATACGGCTTCTCCCCTGAATGGGAGAGCTTGTGTCGGTTCAGGTGGTACACGTCTCGGAAAACTTTCCCGCAAATGTCACAACCCACATGTCGCCTGGTCCGCTCCCGTTTGCGGTTATCGACCGACATCCCTCCAGGTAATTGCACCCCGTTTTCCAACAGACCAGTATGCGACAGTAAGGACAAACCACCTGGTCCCGACAGGCTGTCCCCGAGGCCGTTTAAGCCTCCGGTGGAGGCTCCGTGCTGCGCTTCGTGATTCTTCAAACGCGACGCCTCCGTGAACGCTTTGCTGCAGGCCCCGCAGGGAAACAACAACCCGTTATCCTTCTGGGCGCTGTGATTAAGGTGGACAGGCTCCAAGTTTCCATCGGCTTTCTTTGGTCTCCCTCTCCCCCTTTTCGATCCAGGGGATCCGGAGTCGTGATGAAACGTGTTCCCCGTTATTTCCATAGATGTGGAGACAGAAAGTCCATCGACGGGCTCCAGTATCGGTACCGACGATTCGCCGCTGTCCAACAACACGGCGGTCGTGCCCTCACCTACGTCCACATGCATCTGTGTGCTGTTAGCAAAGCTTTGTCCGTTTAATAATAAACCCGTTCCGTTGATTACATCCTGCTGAGCCACCTGGAAAGCCAGCTCCGTGACTCCCGCTGGCTGAAAGAGGCTGGCGTCTCCTCCCCGGGCGGTCGGGACCAGGATTTGAACGTTTGACTGCTTGATTACCTCCTGGCATATTTCAATAACTGACCGCATCAGCAGAAACTTGGCAGCTGTCATCAGCTCTGGAAAACACTCCAGTCGAACCACAATCCTGGAGGTGTATGCAAAGTCCAAGATGTCTTTAAAAACTTTGGGGCTGATTGTGTGCATCTCGAGCTCCTTGTTCTCTCCGTCGCCCTCAGCCTGGCGGCCGAATACCGACTCAAAGTACTCGCTGCACGCCGCTAGCACCGCTTTGTGAGCGGGGAAGCTCTCCTCGCCGACGCGTAAGATCACGTCGCAGAACCTGCCTCCATCTTTCCTCTGAATGTTGAGGTTGTGTAGCATCTCCGCACTGTGCTTGCTCACCTGGTAGGTGTACGAAGAAGTCCAAGACGGCTCCGCTACCTTCTCCATACCAAATTCATCAAATAACAAATGGTTGTTAGCGGCAAGGTCGGAGAAATGGCAGATTGTGCGTAGCTAAAGAAAAACAAACAAACTAGCTGCCCCTCCCGTCGTTTTAGCATCTACTGTTAAACGTTAGCAGCAGCAGGGGGAAAATGGCAGCCCCCCAGCTTCCTGTGAACTTTAACCCTGCTTTCTTGACGGGTGGGGGGTCGTTCTTGTTTTGAGGACGCTCCTGTTGACAGTACACGCATTGTTTGTTTTAGTAATATCCTGTACTGACGGCTGTCACTAGCGAGGGTATCTCGACTCCAGCAGGGGATTTAATGGTATAATGGCTCAACATTACCCACGCAGATGTCTCTTCCTGCCTCTGTGTAAAGCCCCTCCCCCCCGCCCGCTTTTCTCTTCACGCGCACTCAAATTTAATCTAATCTGATCAAAACGCACGAGAAACAAGTCACTTCCGGTGAAATCTGAAAAATCTACATATTAAAATCACCTGGAAAATAATGTCCAAGAGTGTTTAACTTCACCCTAGCCCACTTCAACATTTAATTAATTATAGGGCCTAAACACAGCATCTTATTAATGCAGATTTACCGTACAAGCCATGCTTTATTAGATTTAAAACTAAAATTCTCGTTTAGTTATTTTGAAGTGGGGTTTTGAGGAAAGGTTATGAAATCTAAACATCCAAACTTTTGTTTGGATCTTTGACATCCTCAGGCATGAGAAACAGTTGGGTTTTAAATAATTCCACTCAGAAATTTCACATTAGGAGCTATGAAAGTTAAATTTTTGCGCCATGTCACATTTCGTCATCTCAGCAGTAATGTGCAATTCCAGCAAGATGTGCAACAAGTCAGCTCAAAGCCATTTTTTTGCAACAAAATTTAAAATCATGTACTGGGAGATTTATAGAGATGTAAGCTTATAAAATACAAATATACATTTAAGATATCTGCAATATGTTGTAAATGACCCAATTTTAACTAGGAAGTTGCTCCTTAAAACTCAAGTCTACAGGTTTAAAATTTTCTGTTATTTTGATTGGTTAAGTCAAATTCTAGGATTGTATACAAATCTAAGCCTTTGACTATAAAAAAGGCACGATTGGGTCAACTGTATGACAATTTTTAGTCTATTAGGTCCAGTCAACCAGCCAGCCAAGAGTAAACAACAAAACATTTTATTCAAGGTTTTTATTTATCAATTCCATTTGTGCTTTTTATAACTTCATAGCACAGACTGAACCCCAACCACCCTCAGATGATACTGTGAACAATGTGACCCCTCCCTAATGACACAGAATTGGAGAGGATATAGTCGGGGAACAAAACAAACAAACAAAAAAAAAAAGGCACAACCAGTTTACTGCATCCTCCAGTTGTGTCTCGCTATGCTGAACCTGTTGGGAGAAGGGCCACTAAATCAAAGGAAGGTGGAGTGTGCACTGAACTAACCTACCCTACACATCTGATTTACAGTGGTGCTTTCTTCTTGTTGGGGCAGGAGGCAGTTAAGGTAGACACCACAAAGGAATGCTATCTGCACCTGGTGACTGTCTCCGAGTACAACAGCTTCATATTCCCAAGAAGACAAAAAAAAGAAAAACACTATATACACAGAATAAGACTCGTTACTATAATCTGTACAATTAAGCCTTTACAATATTTACTGTCTAATACAAAAAAAATAAATCCCCACTCGGCTGGCAAAATAAATCTCCACCTGCCTTCTGAAAACAAAGCATGGCATAGTTAGAATGTCCCATGGTGCAGCACTGTCTTTCAAAATAAAGTTCACATTTTATGGTAACCAGAAGGTGGAGCTAGGCAGAGGGACAAAAATATTCTTACTTTCCAGCAAAGCATTTATCTTCTTATGGCCGAAACTCCAATTCATCTACACTGATTACTTTAGCTGGCATAGAGGGCAGCGGCTGTTCAAGTACTTCTGACCCAAACCACTTAGCGAGGCCTGGAGGGGGACTTCCTCTGTGTCGCTGAGAGCCATTTGTCCGGTGAGGGCCTTGGGTCTGTAACTGAGAGCCTGGTGCGCTGGGATGTACTGAAAACAACAATTAAAAAAGGATTAAATAAGATATTCTGTAGTAACCTTTGAGGATCATATACTGCTGCTACCACATGGTAACACAACTTACCTGGTCTCTGCTGTAAAACCGCTAGTGGCATTGGATTATTGGCTCTGGGAGGTAGAAGTGGATGTCCTGTCGCACCTAATGGGTACAGGGGTTGTCCTAGCAGTGCAGGAGTCAATCCTTGAAGTTGTGCAAGGTCAACATGAGGTGGAAATATACCTTTTGATACAATTACACAACCCAAACATAAAAGGTTACAAGTCAAAATTATTTAATGGCATGATAAAAACAAAAGTAATGTCCAGACATCACAAGACACCAACCTGCTTGCATTAGTGCAGGTCCAATCTGCTGGGGCTGGATTCCCTGGGCCAACATTCGCTGAACTACATTAGGGGGGAGCTGGGGGGCTGGGCGCACCATGGGAACAAGTGGCACTGGGAAGACGGAATGAGGGAAAGATGATGGTCCTGGCTGCACCATAGTGGGCATGTGGGTTGCTGCAGAGCTGGGCCTGAGGCGTTCCTGGTCCTTGCTTAGCAAGGTTTGAGAGCTGGACTTTGCTCCTCCTGACTGTGTAACATTTCCTTCCATTGAGTCCATAAATATATTTGGAGAGCTGCTGCCTGTAAGTACAGAATACAAAAATGGTGTTTATGCATTCGGTCATCAATATCAAACAGATATGTACAACCGTACCATCACGTGAGTTTACTGTTGCCTCCTCTTTAGTCTCAGAGCGACCTGGTGGCTCATCTTTGCTTTTCTCTTTCGTTGCGTACATCTTCCGAATCACAGATGTGGGAGTGAATGATGGAGACAACTGCAATTGGGTGGGTCAGAATCATGTGGAGAAGGAAAAACTGGCTTTACAGAATAACTCCAGAAAAAAAAAAAAAAAAAAAACGTTTTCTCTCACCATGCTGGTGACGGCATTTCCTGGAGAGTTTCTTCCAGCAGGCTGAGGTCCAGGGGAACGATTAACACGCTGTGGCCTATTAAAACACACACACGTCACATCTAACGTGGGTCGCATATATCAAATACACCATAAGCATAAAATACATATTTGCAATGTTTATGCCAAGTTCATCTTAGACATGGAAAAAAAAAAAAACACTGCAGACAATTAGACTGAAGTCAACATCCTTTAGAAACAAATTTTAATCCCAAAAGGCATTGATCACATTTAACAGTTCCTTGCTACAGGCTGCGTTCATAAACCAATACTTGCCTGTTTCTAAAAGACCGGTCCTGTGGGTGCTTGTTGTAGCTGGACTGAAACGAAGGGTGGACATTGACAGCGAGGTCATGCTGGAGTGCCAGGGCTTCCAGGTCAGCGTGATTCACAGGTAGAGAGAGAACCCTCATCTGGATAACATTAGATAAAGCTACTTTTCACAAAACAACAAAAAAAACCACAAGTGCTTCATACAAAGTCAATCTAAGCAGTACGGCAAAAACCCTTAAAAGGTGTTGAAAACTTGTTTAAATCAATACATTTCCAGTGGAAAGAATGAGAATGATAGTCTCCTACACCTATTTTCACATTCAGCCTGCATGAAAAACTCAGATTATAATCCAAAATACGATTAAAAAAAATAAACAAAAAAATAAAATAAAAAGGGTTTTCAGTGAACTACGCCTTTAATAACTGAAAATCTGTACAAAGCAGCGATTTTCTTCAAACATCTTCTGTATGTTCATTCTGTGTAATTTATCAGCTTCGATTGCTCGGTTCTTTTAGAACACAGAAGGTAAAGAACAACTGTTTTAAAAGAACTAAGCAGTGCAATGATTTTCCATTCACACAAAGTAAATAATCTTTATGGGAATAAAGCACTTAAATCCAAGTATGTCAACATCTAAATAAAACTATAGCATGATGAGGATTTATTCATTTTTTTTTCTTTCCTTTCATTAAAAATAAAATAAATCACAATTTTCCTTGTGAAGCACCTTGTGATTTTATCTTGAGACGTTAAATAAAAAAATGTTTTCTTTCTTTATCCTAAATGAAAATTATTCTACATGAAAACACAGATTTCTGCCAGCAGTTCCTTGAACACAAAGTGAAGTTACCTGTTGCTGTGCAGGACTGATTGACCTGTGTACATCAGTAAACTGTTCCGGCAGCATCGACTGAGGACCAACAACATATCCTTGAGGTAAGATCAGAAGAACAATTTATCCAACACACCAACACTCTTCGCATGTTACGTTCATGACGCATCAATGGTCTTAGAAATCTGTAGAACCTTAATTCCAGTTTTACCCTTTAAAGATTCATGTATTCTGCAGTAAATTTCTGCTGTTCCATTACCTGCAGAAGGTGGCAACCGATTAAAGTAGTCAGGTGAAGGTGCCCTCTGTGGGAAAAGAGGGGGTGAAGGGCCCTTGTGTAGGAGGCTGTGTAGGGTAGCACCAGACCCTGCAGCTTCAGAGTTGCCCAACAGACCACCCAGACATGGTGGGGAGCTACTGCGAACTCCCAGCAGTTCCTGAAATAGATTTGTAGTCACCCTTCATATTTTACAAAGCCATCACAAAACAAGTGTTCCTCGTGATTATCGCAAAAAAGATGTACCAGCTTAAATTAGAGAAACTTCACTCAACTGGTTACATTGTTCTGGTACTGATGTTAACACATTTCTACATATTGACTTTAGGAATTAAGGTTAAAAATCAGGTCAACAGGTGTTTCCATTTCAGGTGGCCTACAATCCCATTTTTTTCCCCTATATTTTGGAACTGAAAGTATAAAAATGCATCTCCACCTTAAACTGGAGGCAGCCAACGGTGCCACAGATTAACGAGCATCTGTTGCTCAACAGTTTCTCCTCTGTTCAGACGCCAACACCATTAGCATGCAGCAGTTAGCGTTTTGGAACAGGGTGAATTCATATCGACATACTCACCTGGAAGATGTTTTTCTGTTGCTGCTGAGCAGGTACATGAGCATCAGACAGTGCCACCACACTTTGATCTGAAGGTTGCTGAATTGTGCAGAAGAAGAAAAAACTGAAGTGCAATGCAACTTAATTTGTTTATAAATAAATAAAAACAAACACCATGTCCCCAATTTCCACCTTAGCAAGCCTTGTTAGTGTGTGGAAGGGTAAACTTATCGGATCTAAAATCTATTTTTTTTAAAAATTAGATCAACTTGGCTTACACGTTCCAAACACAGCAGGCTTTTAGAGATACACGTGTAGGTGAAACATCCCTCATGCAAGCTGACCATTCTGTAAATCCTGTTTTATAAAATTCCCAATAATGCTTCATTAGTGACCATGACATGGTTATTTTCTTTTCTGAATTGATCCAATTTATCTACACAGACTTGCACAAAGGACAATTTCCAAAATATTTAAAAGTACACACATCCCAGAGCCCACAGGACAGGTATGCAAATTTATGCCCACCATATTTCAGTTTATTCAAATTGTCACCATCAGAGTCGATTGCAGCATGCAAAGCAGCAAAGCTTAACCAGCATACAGCTGGGACAACACACACGCTTAATAGGAGGGATACTTACATTGTTGGTATTGAGTTTGGGGTGGGTTGGTAGAGTTCCACTTGCCTTCATGCTGCTGACTAGTTTATTAAAGGCTGACATGTCTGTATCACGCGAGCGTGGCCGACAGGTGGGGCCACCAGTTAAAACCTCCTCTAAATGCTCAGCCATAAAGGGAGTGCCGTTCCCTCTCTGGGGAGGGGCCACCTTCTGGACAGGTGGTTCTGAGCCCAGCTTCATTCCCTTCATCCCCCCCTCCACTTCCTCCAGTGAAAGCACCACATCTGAGTGAGACAAGAGATATGTACAGGCTAGAAATGGGGAATTATCACATTTCAAGAAGACCACCTCCAAGAAAACCTTCGTGTAAAATGTATATTAGGACGAATTACACACTTTTCATTTTTAAATGAAAATATTACAAAGTTGGTTAAACCCAACCACACAAGATGCTACCAACTCCACATACTTTATTACTCCAATCTGAATTCCTGGATCCATGCACCCAGGTCTGGTAAGTTTAAAATAATAAATGTAAAACGATAGCCTGGTTTCAGCTCTTTCTAAAGTGTGTGAGAAATATTGACGGAAAAAAAAAGAAAGTGAGCACAAAATAGGCACATAATATTTTAATAGTGGAAGAAGGTGCATGATTTCCAACAGCTGCTACTCACTGCTTTCGCGTAGTCGTGCTTTGTTGACCGAGATGGTTGACATAAGGGGCTTCAGGTCTACTTTGGCCTTGTGCAGCAGGTCCAGAATGTCCACTTTCTCCTTGCAGTCTGATGATGGAATAGGTGTGAAATATAAGGCAGAGCCTTGGTTGGAAGCTGTGCAACATGGCTCAGGCCCTTCAGAGAAGCACAACAGTTCAAGATTTCAGACAGTTTAAGCCCCTTTCCGTTTAGCAAGAATTGGGACTTCAAATTCTGTCAATTCAATGAAGGAGCAGCGCAATTTGTCTTTGAGTTAACGTAAGCTCTTTCCATATTCAAAGCATAAATATAATGCAGGGCATCTTATTCAATGTTTTGTGTCCAGTCTTACAATAAGTCTGTGCCCTAGATTAAATATGTGAAGAAGTCAGGCTGGAGAAATCAAATCACTTGCCTCCAAGTCTCTCCAGCTCCTCATGAGGAGTGGACCTCAGACTGCTGGATCGGCTTCCCGATGGGCTCAAGTTTCTGTTGAAAAACTGACTGAAGCGGCTAGATGACGAAGGGCCCTCTCCCAGAACATCTTCTATCATCTGGAAGACAGAAACAAAACCCTGTGAGACAAACTGGGATACAAAAATCTATAAAGTGCAAGAACAAGAGTTGGCACTTACGTTTGGAGAGTTTTCCACCAATTTAGCACAAAATGTGCCAGAAGATTCTAAGTGGTCACTGAATGCACAGCAGTCTGACATTGTACTGATTCAACACCACAAACCAGCTTTAGCTTCAAGTCTGGTTTAGTTGACTCTTCAGAGAGTACCAGGGTCTAAAGCGGGTATGATGGGCATAAATTTGGATGTCTGATCCCCGTTGGACCCCCATGCCATAGTCCAGAGCAGAAAACTGATCCAAGTGCACCATTTTAGTGACAGTACTACTCACCACTAAAAATCAATGAGATCAAGCCAGTGCAGCAGTAATCTTGTTCTGACATTATGTGTGTGCACTTATCAAAATGGCTAGTTTATGTGTAAAGTATACTAGTGACATGGGTAGACCAGATCAGAATAAAACTTAAAATTTTCTAAAATGTTTTCTCAAACTACAAAAATTCCTGCAAGTCTGGCTTGGGACCTTATGATAGCACATAACAGGAAAAAGATATAATGAAAGGTGGTAGAAGTATGTCATGACACCCATTTTGTGACATCACCTTAAACTGTGCACCCCAGTACTTACAGAAGCTAGCCCTGGCATGGTTTTCTCCAGGTTGAAGAACTCATTGAAGTCAAACTCTCCAGCTGATTGCTCTGGTAGAACATCAGGATGAGGGACCTCCTGATCAGCTGTGGACTGTAAACCAACATCCTGCTCCTCAGCTAGTCCACCATTACATTCAATCGCTACATTGAAATAAATAAAAAGATCAAATTTAAAAGGACTTTAAGGAAAAGCTTAAATACCAAACAGAACATAACCCGAATATAAACAGAAAAAAGCTTCAACGTGCCTTCTTTAACAGAGTCCACTCTCTTTCTTGACCGCTTGGACCTGCGTTTATCTTCCTCCAGAATTTTGTCATCAAATCCGATGAGCTCTATGGTCTCCGACTGGCTGGTGGGACCTGCTGAGAACCACTCCGGCTCCTCCTCTGCATACGAGTCATTTCTTCTCCTTTCACTAAACACACGCTTGTCACTAAAATCTCTCTGCAAGGGACAAACACAGCACCACTTCAACAAAAATGCAAAGCAAATTCTTAAAAACATTAACACATAAAAACAATATTACAGAAGCTGTAATGAATTTAAATCTTTTCATCCCACTACAGAGAATGCTGTTCTGATGAACTAGTAAATAAAACCCACCCGGAATCTTTTATCCTTAAAGTCTCTCTCCCGTTCTCGCTCCTTTTCTGCACGGGCTTCTCTCTCAAAGGCACGGGAAGCAATAATTCGTCCACTGCCAATTCTGCGAGTTCCTCCGAGACGAAGAGACTCATTTTCCTTGTTTTCCAGTGGGCTGGGGGGTCGACGGGAGTGGGTAGCAGGTGGTGCAGGTGCTGCATTGCCTTGACATCCACCTCCAAAACTACGTCTCTGTGGGCTGAGTACGACATCTAAGTCGTCCTCCTTTAACCGCTCACGAGGATCTAAAAAAAGTTTTTAAATTTTAAAACAAGAAACTCAAGTTCACAGTTTAAGTACAAATACTACCATTTACTTTTTATTTTTCCAGAGAAACCATGTTTCAGTCTACAGCGCAACAACTTCCAACTGTCGGGACTTGTCTTTCACACTAAAGGAAACTTTTTAAACCCAAATTCTCAGTCATCTGAAATGAAGAGGAAAACATTTACCTGGGACTCTTCTCTTTAAAGGAACCCGTTCATCGCCGTAGTCCTTCTTAAATCCTTCTACTGGAGAGCTTCGCTCTGAGATGGGGTACAAGGATGCATGCCATTTCTCTGGGTCCCAGACACCATCACTAAATAAAACAAACATTAAAAATGAGAAATATTGTGGGAATGTATTAGTTTGAAAACTAAAGGCATACCAAGAATAGAAAATTCAAGACCCTTCATGCATGCAACACTTTTAAGTGTTGATAATTAGAAATACTACAAAGACTTTATCTGATTATATGCTGTGAATCATTTGGTTCTGTCCATTTTTTTGGCTCAATTGCCACTAATCTGTTTTAGGACACAAGGCTAATGTTAAAGTGAAGAAAAAAAAAAGCACCACAATGTTACTATACGTTTGCATTAGTCATCAAAACATACAGACCACAGAACAAAGCCGCCACACACGGCAAGATTGAACATTTTTTATTCAAAATGAAGTAAGGGAGCACCAGTCGCCTGTTGATTTCTTAATTTTAATGCAAAACAGCTGCTGGGCTGCAAATAATTACACATCTAAATCCTTTTTGGTAAAATCTAATGTTTTTGAAAAATTTCAAATTTAGTGTGGCTGCGATGAAATAAGACTGGGAACTAGAGCAATACGCTAGAAAGAAACATGCAACTGCAGTTTTATTCATGAATATTGTGATATTAGAAATCCCTATTTTCCTCTATATGTTCCATAAAAGTTCAAATTTTAACTGTTTCAACTTTCATCGTCTAAACCAGGTGTGTGCATGGCCATCAGATCAACATGCAAACTACAATTTATCATGTCTTAGGCCGTATTGCAAACAATGGTGTGTTTAGGATGTTCATATATTTTTTTCTTAAGTCCAGTGACCCTGCTACACAGAATACATAAAGCTAGATCTCAATTGCAGTAAAACACGGGAAATTCAGCAGCAGTATCGCATCCATGTACCTCAGGTACCTTGAATGCCACATTAAAATGCAATCTCTTAATTTCAAGTACCAATACAAACCACGAACTGAATATTTTACTTGTCTTTCTTGGAATTGATCATCAGAACCCCAAAACATTACCAAAAAATTTTAAAAAAAAAAGGCCCCACTTCTCACAAAATGTAAAAAAAAAAAAATAAATACCATGACAGGATACTTGCAATCACCTAAAGACCAGGTCAGCGAGTCCCTCTTGTAATAAGAAAAAATACAAAAGCCTGATAATTTGTTATGTCCTACTTGTGCAGTATTGCTATTTAGCTTGAACACACACATGCTTGAACACACACATGCACACACCAGCAGTTGGACAACATTTTTGTAGTTTATCTCAGATAGGGGTTGCATGACTTAATTTTTTTTTTAAAGTCGACAGTCAAGTAATGAAAATCGAGTCGACTTCGACTAGTTGTTGATGTCATACACCCGAAGCGTGTGTGTGTGTGTGTGTGTGTGTGTGTGGGGGGGGGGGGGGGGGGGGGGTCGGTAGATTCGCTGGAGTTTTTGACAATTAAAATTGCGCCCACATTTTCTAAGTTAACACATCTCTTTTAACAACGGCAGTTTCTGCATCCTACTTCAGGAATCTTGGGGGTGTGTCACCGGAGAACAAAACAGGTGAAGAGCCTCGCTCCGCAGCAGCGAAACGCATCAGGCACAAATAACAGACAGAAAACATGAAAGGAAATGAGCCGACATGAACGATCGCGTGTTTAATTTGTTTTTGAGGTGGTGACACCTGATTTGGCGGTGCTCAGGATGCAGATGTCTGGAGCGCGTCAACGATCAGAGCTTTGCATGCGCAAACTGGTTAAGATTAGGATGGGGGTGAGGGGAAGGTAAAATTGCAAGAGGGAAAAGGTCACAGTTTGGTTAAATGTCTGTTTTACCGCCAGTGTCAGTACCGACACTCTGGCACAGCGCGTTGCCTCCGCCTCCCGACGCAGGGGCTCATCACCTGCTGGAGGACTGCATCTTGTCAGTCATTATCACGTGACAGCGACTAGTCGATGACGGGCATAAAAAGTCACTACAGAGCAGTGAAGTCGACTAGTTCATACAACCCCTAATCTCAGATGCAACTTTCAGTAGAATGTTTAAGAACTGTAACAGTTACAACACATTTGATCCATAAAGAACCGTTTAATGAAATGGTTTTTGAATATTCTTTAAAAAAACAAACATAAAATGGACTTTTTTACTCCTCATTTAACAAAAAGGCAACTGAAGTGTAAAACTCAAAACCTGCTTAATTTAAACGAGCACAAACCAACAGGGTTCACAATCTTTTCTTAAACAGATCTATTCTACCTAGTATCTGAAGGTAATGAAAAACTTTCTAAATCAGCTTATCTGACAAGGCTGCTTCCACTGCAGAATGTTTCTGTACTTTCTGTTCACTTATTGAGATAATCTGCAGACAATTCTATGATATAACTGGATTTCATTCCCTTTTAAACCTTGTTAAGAATTTGATACAAAACTTAAAAATAAAAAAAATACCTGTCATATTTCTCAGAGAGGCATTCAGGTCTTTCATTGGACACTGGTAGTTCCTTTATTTCCAGAAGCTCTTCCTGTGAACAGAAATAGTTACATTAATTTAAGGGATTGTGGCCAAACAAAGAAACAATTATTTTTTTTAACTAATCACCTTTGTGTATCTGAATGCTGGTTTCCTTTGCTGATTCACAGCAGCATCACCATTCTGTTCTTCATTTGCATCCTTCTCCATGACTGAATACAGACAATCAAACTATGTTGTCCAATAATAATCTTGTCCTGTTGGAACAAAGTTAGCTACTTTTAATTTCAGAAATCCTTATAAAGCAACGCAGTTGTGTGGCTACTCTCTAGTGTCAGTAATTTAACGATTTCGTCTTAAAATTTAGGAACAAGGCGTATTTCTCATAAACATGCCCAAAACGCTATTTAAAAAGTGCAAGCATAAAACTGACTTAAGAGTCCAACACACAACTTTCAAATTATCGGAATTAAAGTTAGCAAAACTTTTAAATGTCAGGTTCAAGCCCATGCCGTTTGCCAATCAGACTTAATTAATCACAATCAGAAATAGCTGGGACTAGACACGGCGTGTCAATTAAAGTAAATTACAAAGCGCTGGCGATGTTTGACCAGGTTTGTGTAGCACGTAGATGCTAAAAGGCAGCTTATAAATCCTCAGCTTGAGTAAAACGTTTCTTTGAACAACACATTCTCGAGAAAATATCTTAATCGAAAGAAATTTAAGCTAACATAATTAGCACAAAACTAAAAAACAGCAACAAACGAACTCTGTTACCACAAAATTAAGTTGCACGTAAAAACAGTACCAGCCATTAAAAAAAAAGCTTAAAGGACACACTAACAACTTACTGTGAAAATGAGTTAAACGCGGTCTGCTTCCTTCCCAGCTGCAGTTAACGTTAGTTAGCCAGCTAGCCTGTTAGCACCTTTCGCTAGCTACCTAACCAGCTGGGGAATGGGGATAAAACCCACCCAGCGGTTACCAAATCCTAAACCGGTTGAGTTTTGTACTGGTTTTAGTAAACACACTATTGTAAGGTAAACTGAAAAAATAGATCAGGTTCAAATAACATATTAAGTTACGTGGAGCCTGTATATTCTTAAAATAATGTATGGTCTTTCTCTGTTTTCTAAATCGTAGCAGCAATTTTCTTACAATCACCGCTTTAAGAAGGTCCTGGGAGAGATTACATTGTGCCCATCGCGCCTTTGTAGAATTAAAAAAATATATTAATGATAAAATAAATGCATTGTGTGTTGACAGTATTGCATTTTGGTACATAAACAAATATTTGTAATGTATGCGGGTTCAAGAAATGTTTTTTTAATTATCACGTGAAACGTGTATATTTATTTGGGGAAAAAACATTTTTAACCAATTTACAACACAAACAGGCAATATTTAGGCCACCTATTTAAAACTTTAGGGTTTGCTTGATTTATGATTCTGCGGAGTGGTTTCTCGAGACATTCAGGGAAATCTATGGAGCCCGCCTTTTCGGGCGGTCAAGGTAAATGTATATGCCATGCCTTTGTAAACCCCGTGTTTTTCTTTCTTGCTTCTGTCATGAGATAAATAAGCACATTTAAGTTGCTGTTTGGTGAAGAGTTTTATGAGAAATATGTATAGATCAGCTTGAAGATTTCTTTAGAAATTTAGCCTGTATAACCGCTTTGTAGATATATGGAGCGTCGAGATCAAAATATCGCTCTAGCTACTTTTTCCGAGTGGGTGCGCACCATTTATGTCTTCTCAGCAGGGCTTATAAAAGACAATAATCATCTGGTTTACTGAGGGTGGCTGGTCTGTGTTACCCTAAGTGGAAAAAAGTCTTACTTTCGAATAGAGACACTTAAAATCTGTACCGAATCCAATAATATCCGATCTTATATTTCATTACACTGTACCAAAGAAACAGGAGCACCCGCCCCTCATTTCTAGGCCAGCTCGTGCGCTTGAACTATGGAAAAGAAACAGACCCCTATTAGAGGTCACGTGACAAGAAAAACCTAAACAAACGCGCGGAAGTTGGTTCAAAAAATTTACAAAATTATTCTTGAAGTGTTTGTAATGTCAGACGTGGAATTGTGCAGAGAAGAAGCAGAGAGAAACCAGTTGGCACGTCAACATTTTCAGCGTCGTTTATTGGTGAGAAAATAGAAGGATGAGGTAAAAGGAAAAGGTCGTGATTATTGTTCATTTTGGTTTTGTTGCAGTGTGCAGCATTGGGGGGATTTTCTCTCAACGTCACGCGGAACAAAACCCACCGAGTGAACAACAACGTGGCTGTCCAACACTGTCAACAAACAGTAACTGATCCACACACCAACATCAGTTACAGCTGTTCAGTTCAAATCTGGAAACATCTGATGGGCTCGTGTTTTTGTTTTATTACAGATGATGGGAAAACATTGGGAACAGTGGAAGGAGCGCCTGGAGGAGGCTGAAGATGAGAATTATCAACCCCTAACTGAGAAGGCTCAGATCAACTACCGGTGAAGTTCTTTTGTTTCTTAAATGAAAAATAATGATTTAAAAAAATGTTTTGGGTGTAAAAGTATTTTCTCTTTGCAGGATTTCTCTGCTGAGGAGCTTTTTTCACATCTGGAGAAAGAAACTTGCTGAACAGAGACATATGCAGGTATTTCTAGACGTTTACCTGCCAAATACTAATATCACATATGTCCGGTTTTATCACCATAAAATTACTGAAGTAATACGATAAGTCACTAGAACTAGACATAATTTCAATTAGAGATGCTTAATTTTATGGAGACAGTTAAAATAATGTCAATGAAATAACTTTTTATATAAAGCCTCACATGTTTTGTCACCAAAACAAATTTAACCTGTAAAACTAGCAGTTTTTATGTTAGTCTATTTTGTGGTTCATGAGATATTTGTGTTAATGCTAAGTGAAAACGTGATGACTCACTAAAATAAAAACTATCACAATGTAGGGGTAAATTAAAATATGCATGTGCATATTTTTGTTTCTTGACAGAGAATGGAGAGTCGTGCAGACGTGTGGTTTTCTGAGCGCATTTTATCTGAATATTTCAAGTCATGGGTGGAGCTGACTCATCAAGAACAGAGAAGACATGTAGCTGAGGCTTTTGACCGGTGAGGTGGTTCATGAACTCCAAAACAACAGTAAACTGTGATTATTTTTTTTCCAACTTGACTAGATTTTGTGTCCTCAGCCAGCGTGTGACCACCTGGGTGATGGACACCTGGTGGAGACAGTTAGAGACACACAAAGAGGAGATGCTCTCAGAGCGGATGGTACGCCACCAGCAGATAAAAGCTACATCTGATTCAGCAGCAAGCTGCTGATCAGGCTCGTCGCATTGTGTTTCCAGACAGTTCTCCACGCCGAGCAGCATCACCTGCAGAGCGCCTGGGCTCGATGGAGACGGCTCACGAGGCAGCACATGGAAGAGGCAGAGAAGGAGGAGGCTGGGCGTCACCTGGACGTTCACAGACTCCTCAGTGACGCGGTGGCGCAGTGGAAGAGTAACAGCTGTAAGATACGAGACAGGTGAGGCCAAATGAGCGTCGTCGAGCCTTTTGATCCATCTGAGACTATTTGTTAGGGTGGTTTCATTTCATTTATTCAGCCCCTTCCATGACTGAGGCGGACGCCCAAGGTGCTGAACACATCAATACAACATAATATAAAAACCATCAGATAAAATGTGACATAATCACAAAAACTATCAAAGAAACATTAAAAAGAAAAAATAATAAAATGCAGCTAAAGGAATAAGAAGCCAGGCAACAATACTGAAGAGTTTGCTATTGCTGGAATGCCTTGTGTAAAAGTGGATCTGAAGGTGACTGACCGACCACCAAAGGCAACTGGTTTCAAAGTGTAGGAGCTAGCACCGAACAATCATTGTCCCTCCGTGACCTGCACTTGGAAAGAGGAACCACAGAACAGCTCTCTGTCAGCCAATAGAAGGGCCCACGATAGGGCATGTCCACGCAGGATCCTGGAGCCAATCCTTGTAGGGCCTTGTATGTCAGTAATAAGACTTTAAATGTGGCCTTGTATTTCACCGGAAGCCACTGAAGGGATGCCAACACAGGAGTGATATGCTCCCTACACCTAGTGCCCATCACAAACCTAGCGGACCAACTGCAAGCGAGCAACTGCGCTCTGTCTCAGGCCGTAAATGATCTGTATTTGTATATCGCCTTCTTAGGGTTCTACAAACTCTCAAGGTGCTTCACAACACAGTCAGTCATTCACCCAGTCACACACTGGTGGGGATGAGCTACGAGGTAGCCACAGCTGCCCTGGGGTGCACAGACAGAGGCGAGGCTGCCGAACGCTGGCACCACTAGCAGGCAAGGCGGGTTAAGTTTCTTGCCCAAAGACACAACAGCAGCAATCTCTGGTGGGAGTTGGGGTCGAACCCGCAACCTTCCAATTACTGGACAACCTGCTCTACTTCCTGAGCTACTGCTATTCCAATGCGTTGCAGTAGTCAAGCCTAAACAGAATAAATGCGTGGGCGATAGACTCTAGATTATTCTGGCCAGTCGACGCAAATAAAAAACACACTATCGCACAACTTGGTTGATTTGTGCATCGAACTTAAGGGATGAATCTGTTTGTACTCCTAAACTTGTTGGTTTGTTTGATTTCAGGAGAGACCGAGAGCAGCAGGCCTGTCGTCATGGTGACTTGTGCTGCGTGAGATGGGCTGTAGAGAAATGGAAAAAGGTGCTGTTTAAAATTTGGATTAAGAAAAAAAAACTTAATGTTTGAAAGTGCGTGTTTGTGTGTGTGTGTGTGTGTGATCAGTTTGTACAAATCCAGAGAAAGAAGAGATGCAAGATGAAAGAAATCCAAAGTTACCATGAAGTCAGACTCCTCAAACGCTTCTTTGAGGCCTGGAAGGTGAATCAGGTTTCATTTAACCACAAGATTTAAAACAAAAGGCAAATTTAAAATCGTTCATCTGGATTATTTTATTCCCAGAAACATCACATCCTGGTGACTCAGGTGGACGAACAAGCGGACGAAGTTTACAGTCTGAAAACTCGCCGTTTTCTCAGGTAATAAACACAAATTATTTTATCCTTTAACCTTTAATATCTGATACTTTTCTAAGAAAACACATGTTTGCATCAGCATCATCAGTTTCACTCATGTGTCTCCAGGAAGGTTTTAAACACATGGAGAGAAAAAGCGGCGCTGCTGGGTGAGGCTCAGGTGGCCGAGCACCGAGCCCAGAACCACCTTCAGAGATCTCTTCAGCTGAAGGTTTTGAAGGATCTTCATTCCCAGAAGTATCGTGGTCATTTTTTCTTTGCTGACAGCTTTTATTTGTGCTAAACATGTGAAGGTCTTCCTCACTTGGAGAGAAGCAACAGCTGGTGCAGTGTTGAAGCAGCGCCAGCAGAGGGCAGCAGTCAGTCAGACTCAACAGGTCATAAATCAAGGTCTCCATTTTTATATCTTTTCTGTTATTAAAATCGAAGCACAACACACAACTTTGTTTTAAAAAATGAAACAGGAGGTTAAACTTTCTGGGTTGTTTCTTCTGGGACGTTTCCTGCGTGTAGCGCTCCTGCTGCACTCTTTCAGACACTGGAGGAAACGAACCAGAGAGGCCCGGAGGCAGAGGAGGAACATGGAGAGAGCCGCACAGCATCACAACTCCAAACTGGTCTGTAAAACTCTTACAGCCTGGAACAAGTTTCACCAACAGCAGCGGAGAAAAAAGGTTCCTCTCTTTATCTGTTTAACTGTTGGGCCGCAGCAGGAGAACTCCTAAGTGTTTACGCCCCTCAGGTGATGAAACGGCAAGGTCTTCTGCTGCTGAGGCTAAAGATGTACCAGAAGTTCTTTGAGCTGTGGAAAATAAAGGTTAGGTGATGGGTTTTTTGTTACATTTTGAACTCTGTGGTTAAAATAAACAGAAATTTTGTAAAAGGTTAAAAAATAAAATTAGAACGGGCAGATTTTGAGGTGAGACCCTGAAAGTTTAAGTTTGGGAAGCTTAAAGCTTAGTTTTGTTCCATCTTCTTTTTTCTAATCTCTCTATTTAGTCTTAAGATCAAGACTTGTGATTGTATGGTCTTTTTGTTTCTCATATAAATAAACAAACAAACATATTTCCCAATCCCTCTAACTGTAAATGTGGAGCTGCATTACACATGATCTCAGGAGGATGCAGAAGAATCTGAAATTTCCCGAGCTTCCCCTCAGCACCACATGTGATATGATTTAGTGCACTCCCAACTAGCCACGACTCTTTGTGCCGCTAACAGCTGCAGCACAGGCGGCGAGAAGCTAACCAGATGGAACAAGCTCTCTGGCACTGGTCCCTCACCCTTCAGGCCAAGGTAGCACCTGCCTCCACGTGAATGCCCTGCCGAAACCTGCCTCCCAGCACCCACTGTGTCCTGATGTTCGTGAACTTGCTGCAGGTGCTGTGTGTGTGGAGGCTGTGGGTCTCAGAGCAGCGCAGCAATCGAGAGCAGGCAGCCAGAGCTGCTCAGGTGTACAGAGCCCAGCTGCTGCGGGAGGGTGTGTCGTGTAACCTCACATACGCAGCGCACATGAACGATCTCACAACGAGCCTAACGCAGTTCAGCCAAGAACAAGTAGGTGATGTGTGTGTGTGTGTTTGATGAGACCAGAACTGAGTGTTGTTTCATGCAGCCTGCCTGCGTCCTGCAGAGATCACAGCATCTGCAGAGTGTCGTTAAACGTTGTGCCATGAGGTGGAAGCAACAGGCTCTGTGCAAACCGCCAAAAGAGCAACAGGCCCAACCTCCGAAAAAGAGTGTGACCTTCTGTCTGACCGAGCCTGCATTTGGCCGCGTTCTTACATCTGACTCAGAGGAGCAGGAAGATGGAGCTCTCAGGCGGTGAGTGCAGTTCTCACATTTTCTTTCTGTGAAATTCCTGCTAGGCTCATTTCTGCAGGTTTTATTTGATTTTACGTGCATGATATTATACACCCCTGGGTTAAACATTTCATTTTTTATCTTTTTGTCTGATTCAGCTGTGACACCCTTTAAAGTTCATTTCTCCTTCACACAGAGACTCGCATCAGAGTCCACTTGTATCTACTGAAACATATGCAGCCGACTCAACCTTGGAAAACCAAAACCGAGACATTCTTCTGCCTCCTTCTGCCTTCATGACCTCAGGGACTCAAAATAAAGTAACTGGTATATCTAATTTTAAAGGTGTGGAACACTCTTTTAATCAATACATTTGCATTGGTCTCTAGTAGGAATGAATGCCTTGTAAGTCCTGCTCAGCGGCATAAACAACAGTGCACCATTTCCAGGAACTAGAAGTGACCCACTCACAGCTGAGCTTCAGATGGCAGGTTTTAGAATCTTATTTCCTGATATTTGAACTCCTCGCCTCAGATTGGCTAACAGCAACGATACCACTGACTTGCAACGGTTATGTTCTACCTCCACAAATAACACAAGCCTGAAGGAGCTTCTGCCATGTGGCGAAGTTGCTAATGCTAACGATTAGCTTGTGCTAGTCGGGATGTTCTCTGCTGTTCCTTGGACGCTAAACGACAACAGCCTTCCCCGTCGTGAGTCAAGATGGGTGAGTCCGTGAAAGTGTGACATAGATCTGTCAGGCTTTTCACCGTCTGTTTTCTATTAGAAGCTGATGCAGGAGATGGGTGTTTCATGTTCAACCTGCATGAAAAACTCAGTGACCAATCATAATCAGAAATACGATTTTTAATATGGTTTCTCAGTGTTCCACACCTTTAACCTCTAGCACATATCATCATATTTGCACAAGTTTCTCACTTATTTAAATTCTTTCTAAGTTGGACCAGTCCAGCTCCTCTAGTCCTGAAGAGACTCTACTCATGCGTTTTTATCATCCAACCCCTCCTGTCAATTTCCGCCCATCAGCTTGTCCAGGTACGTTTTTTCTTTCTCAATGCCTTTCTAGCTTGGAGTAGTTTTAAAAAGCCTCAAATGACAAACTGTTTATTTAATTATGCCTCTGTTTTGCCAAGACTCAAATATGAGAACCGTCAGAAGAGCATGTGAGAATCCTTGTGTGGATGATGAATCGGCTCTGACACGAGAGCTTCTCAGCATTCAGCAGGACATGAGGAGCTTCCAGCAGAGCAGGAAGCAGCTTCGGTAAAAATCACCTCGTCATCATCGCTGGCTGTCTGTGTAGAGACCGATGTTTGACTCTGTGTGTTTTTTTCTAGAGCATGGCGAAAGCTGAAAAACGTGTTAAAGAGCTGGCTGCAGACAAGCGCAGAGGAAGAACAACCGGAAACGAATGCAGTTGGTGAAGAGTTGAATGAGGTAAAACAAAAAAACTTCTTCCAAATACATACAAAAGTGATGCATTTGAGTCCTAAACGCATCCTTGTTGCAACTTTAAAAATAAGCTGCTGCAAAAATAAAAAGTATTTTGCTTGACTGATGACCTTTAGCAGACCTAAAAGCTGATGACACAGATAATGTTTGTGATCCGACAGCTGGAGGAGCGCATCAAAATCCTCTCCACTGAGCTGGACCGAAGGAAACCAACGATGCTTCTTCATGCAGAGAAAATACAACATCTACAGTCGCTTCTCCATGCTTCAGGAGTTCACTCTGTCTGCTGGGAATGAAAAAGGAAACAAGAAATGTTCATTTAACTCACTTTGGACCGTTCGTCCACTTCTCTAAAGACAAGCTAAAGCACAACCAAACAACATATTTAGCTAAAATGTTGTGTTTTTTTTTTTTTGCAGACCCTTTAATTCTTGCAGTTTTCATCCTTATTAGCTATTTTAGGTAAATCAACCCAATATTCTAGTTAAATAAAACTAAAAAAGTCCTGAAATTCTTCATCATATATGAAAAACACATTAAAGTACTTCAAAGTGTAATTTGTAAAATATTGGATGTGGGTCCTCCTTGTGGCAGATGGTGTTAAATATTTTCCATATGTGTGCAAAAAGTGACTTTTCAGAGGAGTTGCCGTTACACAATAAGCCTTCTTCTCCGTACGAACCAGAGCTTCAGATATTCTGGAGAAGCCGCGTGAGAAAATCAGGTGCTTCAGACTAAGAAGAGAACTTCTATCTGCTGCTGTTTTATCTGAATCATTGGATCCACAGAAGCCTAAAATGAGAGGATTATGTAAGATTTTACTGTTTATCAGTGTCTGCTGCATCAGGGGTGAGTGTCGCTGCATCGTTTTTTTTGTTTGTTTGTTAAGCCCATCGACATTAATATATACATTAAGGTTAAGCCTCATTGTGACATCATTGTTCAGAGTGATATTTGTATTGCAGATTTTGTGGTCTCTTTTTTTCACCAGAACTTTATTAAAACATTACAGTTTTTCTAAAAACAGCATTCTCCTTTTGCACAAAGCTGCTTAAAAGTGACCATTTACTCTTTTTTTTTAAAAAATGCTCGTCACATGCCTTGTGTGGACTAGTAAACTTCCCTCGCCTGACAGCCAAGAAGACGCGGTGGTGCACCGTTTCAGATGCTGAACAGAGGAAGTGTGCAGAGCTGGCCAAATCTCTGGTTGCTGTGCTGCCGCCAGCTGCTGTTGCTGCTTTTGCCAGACTCTCGTGTGTACGAGCGTCCAGCACGACCGACTGCATCAACAAAATCAAAGTGAGCAAATGTTGAATGAGAGTTTCAAGACTCCAAGTGGGGAAAATATGAAATATAACAAAAGATAGACTTGTGAAATCTATTTTATACATAAGAAAGGAAATCAGTGATGAAAGTGACACCAGATTTCTAAGAAGCAATTAATATGGGAGAATCTATTGCTGATTAAACACAAATTACCTCTTTATTGCTTGAACCCCAGCAGTGACCTCTACCTCTTCATCTCGGATCCTTTATTTCTGCCCTTTGCTGGAGGATCTTGGTCATTTAAATGTTTATTTTTTGCATCCTCCAGTTAACATCTAAGCACAACATTCTGTTAAGAAAAATGGATTACTGAAAGGGTGTTACTGGAAAACAAAATCTGCTTTTTGAACGTTTTTCTTAATCAGATTTTAGGTCTTTGGTAAAACAAGATGTTCACTCTCAGAGTGATGTCACAAATGATAAATTAGCATAGAGCCGCCTCTAACTTGCAAGAGAGCTGCTGCTGGAGGAGCAGCTGCTTTTCTCTGAGCCCCTCTCAGATATCTGAGCTTCTCGGCTTATAGCAGCGTGAGTGAGGAGATGGGTGGGTGTGGCCAGCTCCAGCTTGTTTTCTTAAAGTGACAGAGCCCTGAAACGGCACACTCTGGAAGGTACTGACATTTTAAAGAATAAAACTGGTTCGTTTGCGCAAAGAACTTCGTGGACATGTTTAGGATGGACCATAGAACTATTATAACTTAAGAAAAAAGTATTATTTCTCCTTTAAAGGAACATAACCGAGTTTATACTCAATAGATACATCTGGTGTTTCTCTCCTGTGATCGTTTCAGGCGAATCGTGCTGACATCGTGACACTGGATGCAGGAGAAGTTTATTCTGCGGTGAAGCAGTTTGATCTGGTTGCCGTCGCTAAGGAAATGTACAGTGAAGGTGGGTTTGATTCCTGAAATGTCATGATGCCTCCTCCTCTTCCTTCCTGAGATCTGAGAAAGGTCGTTGTGTTTTTTTACACCCAGGAGGGTGCGTTCTGTCTGTAGCTGTGGTGACAGACAGCAGTATGGACATTCGCTCCCTGCAGGGACACAGGAGCTGTCACAGTGGGCTTCGGTGGACAGCTGGATGGAGCCTCCCACTTGGCTTTCTGCTATCCAGAAACTACCTGAGTTGGTCCAAAGAGCGTCCTCTCAGCCAGGGTAATGACACGCCTCTCACCAAACAGCAGGGATTTGTTCTCCTCATTTTTGTGATCTGATCTTTCTTAGTGTTCATTCTTCTCGCTCAGACATCAGTGCCTTTTTTAATGCGAGCTGTGTTCCTGGAGCTGCTGCCGTGGCACCTGATCTGTGTGCTCTGTGTCGAGGGCATAAATCTTTCATTCGTAAGAAGAATTACTTCTGTGAGACATCACACAGCGAGCCTTTCTACAACAACCAGGGTGCCCTGAGGTCAGCACCAGCAGAGTATCAGAACCTTTCCTTGATTTGAGTTTAACCATTCTCTGGTCCATCACAGGTGCCTCCGAAGCGGGGCTGGGGATGTTGCATTTGTGGACCATTTAGCTCTCGAAAGTGTTGAGGGTAAAGTAAATCGTGGTACTTGTGTTCTGTTTATTCTGCTGCAGGAGTTGCTTGGATAACTCCTGATCAGAAAAAGTTCAAAAGGGGTAAAAGTATTTATTCTTGCAAGCAATTAATAGCCAGGATACATCTTATTTAGTATTGGTAACTTTTTTTTTTTAGCTTGTATACCTTTTTAAAAATAAATTAAAGTAACTTAGGGCCATAAATGAGAATTAAATGTTAGAGTAAAATGTTATTTCAAACCATATAGAATGGAAATCCATATTAGGCTTGTGTTGGGGACTGAAAACAGATGCAGGACATCTAGATTGTCTACAAATATGTGCACATTTGTTTTCTAATCAACCTTACTTAAATAAAAAGCTGGATAAATTTGGAATCTTGCTTTTAATGTCCAGTCAGAAGTTAAACCAACATGTGCTGCATCTCACACAGGCTGTCTGTTTTTTCCAGCTAGTGAGCAAGACCAGCTCAGGTTACTTTGTCCGGATGGGACCAATGCTCCTCTGAGTCACTACAGAAGCTGTAACCTGGGTTGTGGTCCCGGAGGGGGGGTGATCACCAGATACAATTTCCGTAAAGTTGTCCGTAAGTTCATAACCACCATCCAGGTGAGTGCGCAGTTATTTCTTTCTTCTAATTTTGCTTGCAAAGAGGGCCGGCCCAAGCATTTCTGGGGCCCTAAACAGGATTTCCTTTGCCCCCCCCCCCCCCCCCCCAAACCAACAGGTCAACACCAGATGATTCATCCTTCCTCGACTACTCTATGTAACATACCCACTATCATTAGCTTCATTTGTAAGCAGCTTACATCATACCAGTGTTATGATGGCTATTCATTTTACAGGAGTAGCGAACCAACAAAAATGCTCAAATTAATTTTGTTTGTTTGTTTGTTTATTAAGATCCCCATTAGCTGCTGACAAACAGCCGCTATTCTTCCTGGGGTCTCATCTCATACAGTTATTACATTTTATATATGTACACATATTGTGCACATCATTCATACATGACCCCCCCCCCCCCCACACACACACACACACACACACAAACTAATTTCAACATAATATTGCAGTGTAGAAAAATCTCAATTCAATTCTCAAAAGCCCAAACATAACAAAATACATTCTTAAAATTTGAAATACAGCTCACTTCAGAAGAAGTTTAGCTTGACATTATGTTTGAGAAAATAAAAATATTTGGAGTTTTTTCTGAAAACATTTTTTTTAAATCAATTTCCCTCAACAGAAATCCTGGTAGTGCATTTCCACATGCAGTTGTAATGATAATAGAGGGTAAATTGGATTAAATCAATTGCTTTAAGCTATTTATTTATTATTAACACTACTTGGGACCAATAGCTGTGGCAATCTATATAAATATAGATTATCCCCTGCTTGGTCTTAAGATGATTAGGCAGAAGATTCTAGGATTCTTTGTTTATTCAGGGACTTCGGTTTGATTCAAGAAACAGGCAGGTTTATAAGCAAAATAAGAATTTATTTTACAAACAATTAAGCTTGTTTAAACTATTATTTACTGTGAGTGGATGCAAACTAAGAGATGGGTGTCTGGAACCTATGTATGAATATAGGGTATTCAGAGTCAGAATCACGAGAAAGCTGAGTTCTGGATATAAAGGAATTTGGTTTGTAAATAAGCTAAAGTTATTATTATCAAAACTGCATACAGACGCTATCTCACTGTGTTCCACGTACCCAAGTGGAGACACCCTTCGGATCTGAGATGTCAGGAGGGGGGTCGGAGGCCCCTGTACCGGAGTCCATAGACCAACTCCTAGTATGACCAGGTCAGTCCAGGATCATGCTCCAGGTAACAACAGTTGGATAAAACCGAGCATCTTGGAACTCTTAAGGAGTTTAAACATATCAGCTTTTCTGCAGGAAAACTATCTTGTTCAGCTTCGCAGGTGCGAAAAAAAAAAGGTTTAAGGTTTTGACGACGTGTCAAAATCCTTCTGGTTAAAGAGGCTAAAGATGGCCGGTCTGAAGTTCTCTAGAACTCTCGAAATGTTGCCTGTTCGAACTGCTGGAAAACCAGAGTGATCCGGTTTTTAGGAATTGATGTTATGTTGGTTAGCCAACCAAGAGTTGACTAGTCTGAGGATATTATGATTGACTAGCCAACCACAGGTTGGCACATTTGAGGGTATTACCAAGGATCAGAAACACACACTCTGTGATGGAGACTCTAAATGTAGGCAAAAGGTTACCTTATGAGTCATGCATTAACTTAACCTTACTCTGAGTGCAAATGTTATGATCTCGTCAAGTAAACATACTAAAACAATCATTGAGCACAGATTAATGAACATTTCATTATTTATAATTACTATCAATAGCAATAACAAAAGTTCACTCAATGATTCTTTTTTAATTATAAAAATCTTCTTTTCTTCTTCCATCTGGAATTAAGGAGTTTATTTGAGAGAGTTTCTGTGATGGACCTTGGAGGAAAAAATTGTTATTGTTTATTTCTTTATTATCTCTGCACGCCAGCTGGTGTGAGGAAGTAGGCTCTGATTAAAGGGTCTACCAAGCCCCCACAACGAGGGTGAAAAATTGAGGCCAACGCGGAAGTGACAATAATTGCAGTTCCACCCTCATCCGCTGGGGGCTGGTGTCAGAAGCGAGCAAATCCTCATTGACTCCCATGTTAAAAATACCAATTTCACAGCAGAAATAAACATGTTAACAGCCTGGTACCAAAACATGTTTTTGGTTTAAATGATCTAGTTTACACTCATGACAACTCTGAGGGGGGAGAATTTTTTTCTCACTCTTCTGTTTAAGTGTATTAAAAGCCTAAAATTCTGTATAATTAATGAGCATCAGACCCACGTGACCACAGAGCTATCTCCGTGGAAAGGCCTCAGTAGAGCCTTGGTCTGGCCTGGAAACTGTTCCGGGATTTTGAGTCTCTGTGTTTGTGTATTATTTTTTGGATTTTATTTGTGCAATTGTTGGACAAAATGACTTGCTGTGGCATTAATTGCACCAATAGAGCGACCAAGGAGTCTCCACTTCATTTTTTTTGTTAAGTAAAATTATATTTATGTATTTTAGGTCACTGCCGAGCTGAGCTTAGATGTTAACATGTACCGTTTAACCATTAAATTTAAATGTAATAGGGTAAAACCCAGTGCATTTAACATAACGCTGCACTTTAGAAAATGGGTTGAAATATAACATGTTGGTGGAGCTGGGTTCCGACTATCGGCTTGTGGAGCTCTCGGGAGACCGATGTTTTCCACCCATTTCTCCCCTCCCCGCAGCTCGGCGCATCTCTGTCTGATCGCGGCTTCTGTCTGCTGCGCGGGCTGACGGCTTGTGGAACTCTGGGATGGAAACCTTTCCACCCGGTTCTCCCCAGCGGCAGCTCTGCGCATCTCAGATCGCAGTGGCGCTTGTCTGCTGTGCAGCTGCCGGCTTGTGGAGCTCTCGGGAGACCTCTGTGTTCCACCCGGTTTTACCCAGCGGTCAGCCCGGCGTATCTCTGACTCAGAAGCTCTGGTGTTGTGCACAGTTAACTCCGGTTGTAGCTAGGTTGCTACCTCTGTTAGCTTAGCTCCCACCTCCGCGTTAGCTTTGGGTTAGCATCAGGTTAGCTTGTAGCTAGTTCGACCGGGTGTCGTCAGTTGATCCCAGCCTTACAGCCCCACCCTCAGCTCTACCTCTCTTCCCTTTTGTGGAATTGTCTGGGCTTGACGGAACCTGTGACACGGTCAAAATGGCGGTGATGGCCACCTCCCATTTATCTTCAAAAATGTTTTATTGGAGCCTATGGAAACCCATTTTCCAATATTTATATGTCGATGGGGTCTACGTATAGACTCCCAGACTCCTGTCAGGGGAAAATATACATAGGATGTTTGATAGCCAGGGTAAATTGACGTGGCTTTGCATATTGTTAGGTAATTTTATCAATCCAGGATTACCTTAAGGAAAGTTTAATGCACAGGGGGTTAAAGTAATCAATCAATCAACACCGATACCAATGATAAACAATCAATTTAGACTTTGCGAAGTGGAGAGAAAAATCAGTACACACCAAGACTGAAACCAGTTCGTTCTCTCAACGGACTTCCGTCCTCTGACAGCATTTATTGAAAACACAAGCACACACACACACAATTCACATTCCTTAAGCTATAACGTAGACTTTCAGGCGGGAAGCGGCTAGTGAAGGGACTCTCAGCCCAGGTGCACACTCTAAATCAACAAAGCAGTTTCTACACTTTCTCATGAGAGTGTTACTGATAAAGGTCTGTTCTGAGGCAGGGTCAATCCTCCTTGTGGAGACTGGTGGTGACTGTCAACAGGATGAAGCTGTGTTTAAACATTGTCAATAAGGCACCAGATGTTATAGCAGTCAAGACATTAATATCAATTCAATAATAATATCAGTTTTTACTTAACACATATGACCTGTGGGATCTCAAAATCAGGCCATGTCGTTACATTACACAGTGATATTTAAATGTGGTATATTAATTCAACTATTTGAAAGTGACATCAGCAGACAAATGCTGAACAACCTAAACAAGTTAGGTTTACTGTCTTGCTTTTAAAAATTGGACTAAATGTGTAAAATGTGCAATCACTACACCATAAAACCAAATGACAAAAATGAAAATAATATTTTAACATGTTTTCTTTGTGTAATTTAATTTAGTTTGTATTTTTCTCAAGTCATCTTTGTGCTGTTTGGAGACCCCAAGCAGTTCCTTAATTTGTGTATGCCTTGGGCCAGCTCTGCTTGCAAATGTGAATTTCGTTTTACTTTATAATCTTACTGTCCATAGTTGCAAATTTTCTGATTGAGTTGTTTTTTTATTTACTTATTTCAAGTTGCTTTTTGGACGAAATGGAAAACGGAGACAACACTTTCAGCTTTTCAACTCAACCTCTTTTGGAGAAAACGACCTTCTCTTTAGAGACATGACAGACAAACTGGTTGTCCTGCCCGACGACGTGGATGTCAGCCAGGTGTTGGGGCTGGATTATGTTGCTCTTCTTAAAGGCCTTGGCCATGAAGGTGCTTGTGCTCGTTCTTAACTTTTAAAAACAGACAGAATGTGTGACTGTACGTGAATTTGTGCTGCGTTTGAAGGAAGCTCCCTGGAGGACAGTGTTGTGCGATGGTGCTGCATCAGCCATGCTGAGCAGAAGAAGTGTGAGCAATGGGCCCTCAGCATAAAGTCAGACCCTCTGGTGTGTGTCAGGGGTGTGTCGATGCGTGACTGCATTAAGAGAATCAAAGTGAGTCGTCCAGGATTCCAATTTTGAATCATTTCGTGAGACCTCATGCTGTAACTACCATTCTCTTTGCCACAGAAGGACGAGGTGGATGCCGTCTCACTGGACGCAACACACTCATACGTTGCAGGGAAATGTGGTCTCATCCCCGTGGTAACAGAGTATTATGGTATGATCAGAATGGATTTAATTTCATATTATTCTAGGAGTCATGATGAAAGACCAGCTTCTAAAATCACGTGCGGATGAACTCAACAAGAAAAATGTCTGAAGATCAAAGATTTATGGAGACCTTTAAATTGGTTCCCAAAAAATAAATAAAAACAAGTTCATTTTTGAAAATAAGTCCAATATAATCAATCCGATATGTGGAAAATCTCATTCTGTTCAGATTTAATAATTATTATTCTGTCTTTGCTTCTCTGAGGAAGAACCTGTGCTCCAGCGGAAGGATCAGCTCACGTGGAGACAGACGGTGAGGTGAAAACAGTCGGTAAATCGCTGAACTGACTGTTTTTTTGTGCTGCTGATGGGATCGTTGCGTCTGTCTCCTCATCTCTAAACTTCCGTTCATCTTCAAGATCTTGGAAAAGGTTGTGGCTAAACAACTCACAGCTGCTCTTGAACATAACATCTATGATAGCTTCCAGTCAGGTTTTCGTAGAGTTCATTCTACTGAAATAGCTCTTCTTAGGGTCTCGACCTTCTGACTCACAGTGATGCAGGGGACTGTTCTGTTCTGGTCCTGTTGGACCTGACTGCAGCCTTTGACACTGTTGACAATCACCTGCTACTGGAGAGGCTGAGAGACTGGGTAGGCCTATCAGGAACTGCTCTGGAGTGGTTCTCCTCTTATCTTTCTGAGCGCTCCTTTTCTGTGGCCGTCTCCAAGTTTAGGTCCTCCACCACTTCCCTTACCCAGGGTGTCCCACAAGGTTCTGTGCTGGGGCCTCTGCTATTCCTCCTCTATCTGCTTCCTCTTCAGCACATTCTGAGCTCCTTCAAAGGAATCTCCTACCATCTTTATGTAGATGACATCCAACTGTACATCTCCTTTAAGCCCCATGAGATGTCTAAGCTGCAGCTGTTATACACCTGCTTAGACTATCAAAACCAAGCCCCCACAATGCGGGTGAAAAATTGAGGCCAACGCAGAAGTGACAACAATTGCAGTTCCACCCTCATCCGCTGGGGGCTGGTGTCAGAAGCGAGCAAATCCTCATTGACTCCCATGTTAAAAATACCAATTTCACAGCAGAAATTAACACGTTTACAGCCTGGTTCGAAATGTTTTTTGTTTAAATGATCTAGTTTACACTCATGACAACTCTGAGGGGGGTGAATTATTTTCTCACTCTTCTGTTTAAGTGTATTAAAAGCCTAAAATTCTGTATAATTAATGAGCATCAGACCCACGTGACCACAGAGCTAGCTCCGTGGAAAGGCCTCAGTAGAGCCTCGGTCTGGCTTGGAAACTGTTCCGGGATTTTGAGTCTCTGTGTTTGTGTGTTCTTTTTTGGATATTTTTTGTGCAATTGTTGGACAAAATGCATTGCTGTGGCATTAATTGCTCCAAGGAGTCTCCACTTCATTTTTTTCGGTAAGTAAAATTATATTTATGTATTTTAGGTCACTGCCGAGCTGAGCTTAGATTTTAACATGTACTGTTTAACCATGAGATTTAAATGTAATAGGGTAAAACCCAGTGCATTTAACATAATGCTGCACTTTAGAAAATGGGTTGAAATATAACATGTTGGTGGAGCTGGGTTCTGACTATCGGCTTGTGGAGCTCTCGGGAGACCTCTGTTTTCCACCCGGTTCTCCCCTCCCCGCAGCTCTGCGTATCTCTGTCTGATCGCGGCTCCTGATTGCTGCGCGGGCTGCCGGCTTGTGGAGCTCTGGGATGGAAACCTTTCCACCCGGTTCTCCCCAGCGGCAGCTCTGCGCATCTCAGATCGCAGTGGCGCTTGTCTGCTGTGCAGCTGCCGGCTTGTGGAGCTCTCGGGAGACCTCTGTGTTCCACCCGGTTTTACCCAGCGGTCAGCCCGGCGTATCTCTGACTCAGAAGCTCTGGTGTTGTGCACAGTTAACTCCGGTTGTAGCTAGGTTGCTACCTCCGTTAGCTTAGCTCCCACCTCCGCGTTAGCTTTGGGTTAGCTTCAGGTTAGCTTGTAGCTAGTTCGACCGGGTGTCATCAGTTGATCCCAGCCTTACAGCCCCACCCTCAGCTCTACCTCTCTTCCCTTTTGTGGAATTATCTGGGCTTGACGGAACCTGTGACACGGTCAAAATGGCGGTGGTGGCCACCTCCCATTTATCTTCAAAAACTTGTTATTGGAGTCTATGGAAACCCATTGTCCAATATTTATATGTCGATGATCAAAACCTGGATGGCTGGGAGCTTTCTACAGCTTAATGAAGATAAGACTGAGATCCTCATCTGTGCCCCAGACAAGCTGGTTCCCAAAGTCAGAGACTCTCTTGGTCAGCTTGCTTCTCACACCAAACCCTCTGTCCGGAATCTTGGTGTGACCTTTGACCCAGCTCTCACCCTGGATTCTCATGTAATTTCTCTTGTTCACTCTTCCTTCTTCCATCTCAGGAACATTGCTAAGCTGAGTCCCATTCTGTCCTGCTCTGAACTTGAGACAGTTATCCACACCTTCATCTCCTCATGCTTAGACTACTGTAACTCTCTTTTCACATGTCTGAGCAGAACCTCCCTGAACCGTCTACAGGTGGTTCAGAATGCCTGTGCTCGGCTTCTGACCAAGTCCTCCAAACACACCCACATCACCCCGCTTCTCCTCCAGCTTCACTGGCTGCCAGTCAACTCCAGGGTTCATTTCAAGATCCTGGTTCTGGTCTATAGGGCCTTACATGGACAAGCACCATCTTACATTGGTGATCTCCTCAGTCCCTACACCCCCAGCAGGTCCCTGAGGTCCAGTGATGAAAGCCTAGTGGTTGTGCAGCACCAGGCTAAAGACCAAAGGTGACAGATTATTTGCTGCTGTGGCCCCCAGACTCTGGAACTCTCTCCCTCTGAGCCTGAGATCAGTGGACTCAGTGGTCTCCTTTAAAAAGCAGCTGAAGACTCACTTGTTCAAGCTGGCTTTTGTATGACCTTCTTCACCACTCTCCCTTTATTCTGCTCTTCCCACCTATTCCACCTTCCTCAGGATCCACTGATTTCCCTCTTTCCTATTTACGCTCTCTCTTTCTTTACATTTTTTAATCACAATTGCCTATTTTTTGCTCATTTTAAATATATTTTTAAACATTTTCTAAATGCTTTTTTTATATTTTTACATTTTTTGTTTTTGTGAAGCGCCTCGTGATTTTTATCTTGAGAGGTGCTATAGAAATGATATTTTCTTCTTCTTCTTCTCAGTTTTCCCCTCTGTGGCAGGCGTGGCTGTAGCAAAGCACTCCAGCAGGAACATATTTATGGGGAATCTGGGAGGCCGCCGCTCATGTCACAGCCACCTATACAGCCCTGCAGGCTGGCTGCTGCCCTACACACACACACTAAGCTTGGAGCACAACAACAGCGATCCAAACCAAGGTAGATCCAAACGTTCAAGTTTGTCCCCCAAAAAAAATCACAGCTAAAACTTCAGTGTCTCCTCGTTGTTTTGTCTTGGATTTACAGTTTTATCAAACGTGACACGTTTTATTTATGATAGTGTTCGATGAGGTGTTCTGGAAGGGCTGTCTCCCTGGATCTCAGGGGAATCTGTGCAAAGTGTGTATGGGAGGAACAGGGGAGGCTGCCACCAAACGCTGCTCTGACAACCACAATGAGCGTTACTATGGCAACATGGGGGCATTGAGGTAAGGATGTTTCCTTTTCTTTGGTGATTTAAAGCAACACTGAAGAGTAGGGATATGTATTGGTGAAATTATGGCGATACGATACGTATCACGATACAGGGGAAACGATGTGATATATTGCAATATATTTCTGATACATTCAGTCAGACTGAATTTATTATAGGTAAAATTAATACACAGTTATACTTAACTGTTTAACATGAGGTATCTGAACCATAATAGAGGGATATACATTTCAATGGTGGAAACAAAACCTATTGCACACTGCTGCCAACTAGCGTTTGGCATTTGAATTGCAACTAAAGAAAAGAAAATACACAAATGTTTGCATGTAAATTCTTCGAAATAATAGATACACGGCTTTTGAATATCGATATAATATTGCAGGGGAAAATAGCACAATATATTGCCATATCGATATTTTCTTTCATCCCTACTGAAGAGTCCTTAATGCCTTAAGCTGTTGCTTTCAAAGTGGGTTTCAGTGATTCTTAAGGTAGAAACTTCAGATATGGCAGCACTCTACAGCCTTCTCCTGACCAGGAACCGCACTTAACAGTATTTTGGGATGGGTAGGTTCACTGGGTGAAGCTCTTTATCTGCCTAACTGCTGTTAGCTGTTTACTCTGTCACTAGCTAAAATAAAGGCTAGCAGTTAGCTTTTTCAGTTTTCAGATTAGTCTCTTTGGAGGCAAATCAAAGAGCTAAAACCAGAGTGAATATTGGTGCAAACTACACTGAGGGAGTTAAAGGAGGCTATGAAATCACAGACTGATGATGACCTGGCTTTGTTGATACTGGACTTGTAATTAATGATATTTTTGTCCAACAGTGTGGTTTTTATTTTTCAATTTTTGGCTTATTTTAGTATCTGCTGGCTCTAGTTAGTGTTAGCTTGTTGTTAGCATTAGCTGCACCAGGCTGAGGTGTTTACTACTGTTGTAATTCCACCTTCAACCAGTCGGATGGAGAAATGGGAATCTCTTTATGGAGCTAATCGTTAAGTTAGTGAGGACTAATGAGCTGTGTTACTCGTGTCATTGGTATTTAGGTGTCTTGTTGGAGATCCAAGTGGGAAGAGTTACGGAGAAGTGGCGTTCCTGGAGCAGCACAGCCTCCACACTAACATCCTCAGTGAGATATTCACCTATACATCTTATTGTGGGGTTGACTAACAAAAGGAGAGCTGATCATGTGTGTTTGTGTTGGTTTTTCCTTCAGGTTTGAGTTCCAGCGGTTGGGCGGAGGGCTGGACGTCATCTGATTTTGAGCTGCTGTGTGCTGACGGGCGCCGTGCTGCTCTTTCAGAGTGGGAAAGTTGTAACCTGGGAGCCGTCCCTCCAAACACCATCATGACGCGGCCGGTGCTTGCTGCACGAATCTACAACTTCCTGATTAAGTCACAGGTCAGCTGCTCCTTTATGAGCTATAATTAATTCATTAGGTACTACTTACAAACACACCCTAGCATTGTTATCAAGCATTCATCAAATAAAAATGACTCACATATACTTTGCAGCATCTGAGAATCAATGTTTTTTTATGTATATTTGTTCTTGGAACCATTTTTATGCAACAGGAAACACTGGGAGCCAACCCAAACTCTGAGTTCAAGCTGTTTGAATCTCATCAGTACGGAGAAAGTGACCTTCTGTTTAAAGACGCAACAAGGTGCTTTGTTCACACGAGCCACATGGAGTACCGCACCATCCTTGGAGAGGCGTTTTACTCCCATGTGGAAAATGTCTTTAATTGCACACACTCCGGTAGGACCAGTGATAAACACACTTCTGCTGATTTATGCACATCTCAGGTTTCTAATGTAGCCCAATTTTTTTCCCTGTTTTCTGCACCACAGATATTTTGGAGTTTTGTAACAAGGATGTGTGCAGCGCATTCTAATGGAGAAAAAAACACACATTTTCTCTGAACTTCTCAGTTATTCAACTCTTGTTCCGTGGACTGGAAACCATCACGAATCAAGAACTGAACTGAAAAAGGCCATGCTTCTGTTTTCAGATTAAACCATTGAAATGCCTTCATAAGTAACATGGCATGCGTGAAATTTGGGTCTGTTTAGGAAAAAAAATTGTAGTTTTTAAACAATTAAAAGTCTGAAACCAAATCTTTACAGCTATTTTATTTGTTTCTGTCTTTTTTAATACTTAAGAGTGTTCAGAGAAAATGCATTAATTTGCTGCAGATCTTTTCAAAGCAATAACTGTAAGCATCAGTAATGTTTGATTCAACAAACATTTGAGTATCCTACTTAAATCATATCTTAGTTTTATTGTTTCCAGTAAGAGAAAAAAGGTTGCAAAGCAAGAAATCTTAAACTTCTACAGATTTTTTAAATTATTAAAAAAACATTTTACTTTATATTTACTCTATTTTTTACACAAAAAATTAGGTTTAATGTATTAGAGACAATTTGGTTTCCAAAGTTAGCAGTTCTCAAGACACCCCTAAAACTATTTTACTAGACTTTTTATAAATCCACGTCTCAATCATATCTATCAGAAAATGATCATTAACATACTTTATTAGAAATAAAATTAGTTACTCTGGCCAACTTCAAAATACAATAATATAATAATATTTAAGAAACAAATCAATAGGATATACATTTTCTGCACCAACATAAAATTCTAGAATTTAGGGTGTAAACATGTCTCCAACCTCTAATGAATAAAGAGTTTTATTAAGTATTATACAGTTTATTGGCGCTAGAAATGGGAAATGTATAGCGTTGTCGTCGTCTTCCTCCGCTTATCCGGGTCCGGGTCGTGGGGGCAGCATCCCAACTAGGGAGCTCCAGACCGTCCTCTCCCCGGCCTTCTCCACCAGCTCCTCCGGCAGGACCCCAAGGCGTTCCCGGACCAGAATGCAGATGTAACCTCTCCAATGTGTCCTGGGTCGACCCGGGGGCCTCCTGCCGGCAGGACATGCCCGAAACACCTCCACAGGGAGGTGTCCAGGAGGCATCCTGACCAGATGCCCAAACCACCTCAACTGACTCCTTTTGATCCGGAGGAGCAGCGGGTCTACTCCGAGTCCCTCCCGAATGTCCGAGCTCCTCACCCTATCTCTAAGGCTGAGCCCGGCCACCCTATGGAGGAAACTCATTTCGGCCGCTTGTATCCGCAATCTCGTTCTTTCGGTCATTACCCAAAGCTCATGACCATAGGTGAGGATTGGGACGTAGATCGACCGGTAAATCGAGAGCCTGGCTTTCTGGCTCAGCTCCCTCTTCACCAGGACAGATCGGTTCAGCGTCCGCATCACTGCAGATGCTGAACCAATCCACCTGTCGATCTCCTGATCCCTCCTACCCTCACTCGTGAACAAGACCCCGAGATACTTAAACTCCTCCACTTGAGGTAGGACCTCTCCCCTGACCCGGAGTTGGCAAGCCACCCTTTTCCGGTCGAGAACCATAGCAGAAATCTATAGCAGACTGCAAATCCCATAATCCAACGCGGCTGCGTTTGGTGTTACCTTAAAATAGTTCCTTCCTTTGTTTACCGTATTAGCCGGTGTTCAGTTGCTAGCACTCTGTAGTTTTCGGAACTAAGCTTCGTCATTAATACCTTTTAAAAGTATGTTTAAGTAAAAAATTCTGCTTTACTGCTGTGAATTTATACTTTTCTTTCTCAGATAAGTCTGCGTTCAAGTAGATTTGATCTGTGTTTGTGTCGCTGTAGATGAGACTACTGTGGCGGGTGGTTGCGCCTCACCCCTCTCCGTCCCCAGTGAGGACAGCCTCTTCGGTCCCTGCGGGTAAACCAAACTTCGTCCCCGCCTGCAGCACCACGGACGCCCACTCTCTTGAGTTGCTACGGGACTTCTTGACCCGAGCCCGCCGCCTGTTTGTCATCACCGGAGCTGGTCTGTCCACCGAGTCGGGCATTCCTGACTACCGCTCGCAGGGTGTCGGGCTGTACGCCCGCACCGATAGGAGACCCATGCAGCACGCAGAGTTCATCCGCAGCGCGAAGTCCCGCCAGCGGTACTGGGCCAGGAACTTTGTCGGGTGGCCCCAGTTTTCTTCCCACCAGCCGAACTCGGCCCACTGGGCGCTGAGGCGCTGGGAGCAGCGAGGGGTCCTGCACTGGCTGGTGACGCAGAACGTGGACGCGCTTCACTCCAAGGCGGGACAAAAACGGCTCACAGAGCTCCACGGATGCTCGCACAGGTGAGAACACACCTGATCCCCAGTGAGATGACGCAAGGCTGTTAAAGTAAGATACGAGGTTCCTGCAGCACTCATCAATCACACAATGAGACCCTATAAATGTCATTATTATGGGTTTCTTATCTGTCAATTTGAGTGTTTAGGAATCAAAATTTATGAAATTAAAAGATTTTTCTTTTAGGGTGGTGTGTTTGGGCTGTGGTGCCATCACAGCTAGGGAGGATCTCCAGAAGCGGTTTGTCTTGTTAAACCCGGAGTGGAGTGCCCAAGCAGGCGTTGTAGCTCCAGATGGAGATGTCTTCTTAGAGGATGAGCAGGTTTTAAACTTCAGAGTCCCCTCCTGTGAGCAGTGTGGGGGGATACTGAAGCCAGAAGTGACCTTTTTTGGAGATACGGTAAACAGAGAGACTGTGCTGTTTGTGCACGACAGACTGGCAGAGTCAGACGCTTTGCTGGTTGTGGGATCGTCATTGCAGGTAGGAAAAAAAAGTCATTAACACTGATTTACAGTACTGTTTGGGTCTTTTTAATGTAAATGTCCTTGATATTCATCAGGTTTATTCAGGGTACAGGTTTTTACTGGCAACGAGTGACAGAAAGATGCCCATCGCCATCGTGAACATCGGGCCTACCAGAGCAGATCACCTGGCTGATGTGAAAGTGAGCGGTCGTTGTGGTGAAGTGCTGTCAGCCATTCACCCCTGCTGGTGTTGTGAACAGTGATGGATTCTCTAAGCTCTGCTGATCTAAAATACCTCAGGTTTATCTGGGTGAGCATCTTTAGGATGAGGTGATGCAAAAGCAATCACCTGCAGACAATCTGAATTATAACAGTTCCAGGAAAGATCATCTACAAAGAGAAACAAATGAAAGACTCCAACTTTAAGTTTAAAATTGGTCACTTTAAAGGGTTTCCTCTGGTTAATGTTCAATATTCCTTCTCTGTTAACGATTTCATACAGGCGCTCTGAAAATGTTCTTAAGTTATAATTCATGGTTAACATCAAACATGTTCATGAAGTTCTTTACATAAAATCTCTCACATAAAGCGATCTCAGCAGTTCTATTCTTGACATTTTTAGTACCTTCCAGAGTGAGCTGTTTCAGTGCTCTGTCACTTTAAGAAAACAAGGTGGAGCTGCCCCCCATCCCCCACTCAGGCTGCAATAACCTGAGAAGCTCTGATATTTGGGAGGAGCTCAGGGTAGAATCACTACTCCTTCAGCAGCTCAGTTCTCTGTTTGAGAGGTGATTATATTTTACTGTATCCGCTTGTGACATCACAAATGGGAACTTTTTGAGATGGCCTGTTTTAGGCACATACAGTGAGGAACATAAGTATTTGAACACCCTGTGATTTTGCGAGTTCTTCCACTTAAGCTGTTTTTATAGGACCATAGCGTTTTCAAAACGGGATTTGCCGCGGCACCCTGGGGAGGATTTTGACATTTATAGTAGCAAAGCTGAAGCTAGAATATACTGGCATCAGACACCTCTCCAACCAAGACGGAATATAGGGAGGTCGCTGAACACAACATGATTTTGAACACATGGTGAGAAAATCATGTTAATATTTGGTACAGAAGTCTTTGTTGCAATCACAGAGGTCAAACGTTTCCTGTAGTTCTTGGCCAGGCTTTTTCACACTGCAACAGGTATTTTGGCCCACTCCTCCACACAGATCTCCTCTAGATCTGTCAGATTTTCGGGCAGTCGATGTGCACCGTAGAGTTTCAGCTCCCTCCAAAGATTTTGTAATGGATTTAGGTCTGGAGACTGGCCAGGCCACTCCAGGACCTTGATATGCTTCTCACGGAGCCACTCCTTGGTTATCCTGACTTTGTGTTTTGGGTCATTGTCATGTTGGAAGACCCAGCCACAACCATCTTTAACTTATTCACTGCCAGCTGTTTCCTGATCAGTAAAGCCCTTCGCTGCCAGCGTTTTTCAACGTTTTTCCTTTTTTTTCTAAGACCCACGTTGCGCGCTAGGATGACGTCAACGCCAAAACTACCAAAGCAACCAAAACAAAGAGTAGACTCACCTCTTACATCAGGAAGAATCCGCGTGTTTCGAGCGTTATCCGTTCTTTCATATTCCGTTGTTGAATTGTGATCGGCAGAAGATTTCCGGTTCGCGCCTCACTTTTTTTACAGCAACGGTCGAAAATGATCTCCTAACACATGGATTTTCTGCTTCCTGATCACGTGACGTGTGACAAACGTGGATGAAGATTGGCTTTAGACCTGGAATGTTTGTTCTCACAGTGCGGGGGCTCATTCCAACGCCCACACAGTATAGAAATTCTGTGTGGGCGTTCATTGGCAGTGGATTTAAAATGACGACTTTTCTCGTCAATGGCAGTGAATGAGTTAATGCTCTGACTGAGGGAAGGAGGTTTTAGCTCATGGTCCCATTCATCCTTCCCTTAATGCAGGGCAGTTCTGTCCCATTAGCAGAAAAGCACCTAAAAGCATGATGCTTCCACCCCCATGCTTCACTGTAGGATTGGTATACTTGGGATGCAACTCATCCTTCTTTTTCCTTCAAATATGGCGGGTGGAATTTAGACCAAAAAGTTACGTTTTGGTCTCATCAGACCGCATGACTTCCTCCTCTGGATCATCCAGATGGTCATTGGCAAACTTCAGACGGGCCTGGACATGTGATGACTTGAGCAGAGGAACCTTCCGTACAATGCATGATTTTAAATCATGATGGCATTCTGCAGGGTTTCCCCAACCCTGGTCCATGTGACCACCCCCACCCCCTTTCTCCTGCTCCTCAGTAGGACATCAAGTGCAGATGCCTGTTAGTCAATCATTCATTTAAGTGATGTGTGTGTGTAACGTACCAGTGGTCAAGTTTTCACCAACAAATTGACCAGAAAGTAACCTTTCATTTGTAGACACAAACACACCATCTGTCTGGCCTCCAAATCCAGTAAGTTCTGCCCCAGTTCTTGTTACTAGCCAAAGAAGCCATAACATCTTTGTTCAAGGCCTCATGCAGAAGCCAGACTGCTGCATCCTCACTATGAATAAAGGTCAACCTCCTCGAAAAGGGTGGCTTGCCACCTCCGGGTCGGGGAGAGGTCCTACCTCAAGTGGAGGAGTTTAAGTATCTCGGGGTCTTGTTCACGAGTGAGGGTAGGAGGGATCGGGAGATCGACAGGCGGATTGGTTCGGCGTCTGCAGTGATGCGGACGCTGAGCCGATCTGTCGTGGGGAAGAGGGAGCTGAGCCAGAAAGCCAGGCTCTCGATTTACCGGTCGATCTACGTCCCAATCCTCACCTATGGTCATGAGCTTTGGGTAATGACCGAAAGAACGAGGTCGCGGATACAAGCGGCCGAAATGAGTTTCCTCCGTAGGGTGGCCGGGCTCAGCCTTAGAGATAGGGTGAGGAGCTCGGACATTCGGGAGGGACTCGGAGTAGAACCGCTGCTCCTCCGGATCGAAAGGAGCCAGTTGAGGTGGTTTGGGCATCTGGTCAGGATGCCTCCTGGACGCCTCCCCGGGGAGGTGTTTCGGGCATGTCCTGCCGGCAGAAGGCCCCCGGGTCGACCCAGGACACGTTGGAGAGGTTACATCTCCAATATGGTCCGGGAACGCCTTGGGGTCCTGCCGGAGGAGCTGGTGGACAAGGCCGGGGAGAGGACGGCCTGGAGCTCCCTAGTTGGGATGCTGCCCCCGCGACCCGGACCCGGATAAGTGGAGGAAGACGACGACGACGACTCCTCGAAGTTCCTATGTGACTTATAATTTGAAATAATCAAATGTGCTGAATGAACATGATGATAAACTGAAGCGCCTCGTGATTTTTATCTTGAGAGGTGCTATAGAAATGATATTTTCTTCTTCTAAATCAAATGTTTGAATAATCTGTGCTTTAATCAACATCTATATTCATACACGTTATAATAAGATTATTAATGTTTAACATTCGCTTCACATTAAGTTTTAAAATAGTCTCATTTACACAGAGTTAACCACCTTTGTATCTGATGGAAGGAGTGGCTTCTGAGATATATTTTGGTAAAGCCCTCAAATGTGTCGAATTCTGATTTGCCAAATTTATCAACAATGTGATTTTAATAAAACAGGAATTACTTCCCGATTCCCATATTTTGACACCAGAGATGGCTGCACAAAAGGATGCAAAAGGTGAGTTAGGTGTGATATGTCCCCTTTAGGCAAGGCAGCTTTAGTTATCTAGCACATTTTAAACACAAGCAATTCAATGTGCTTTACAATTAGCATTAAATGGCACAACAACAAACACGAGGGCACAAATTAAAAATATACACAGATAAAATAATAATTTAGAGGTAAAAGAAAAAGACAGAATTAATTACATGGATGAGTGCCAGAACCCAGAGCAGCTCAGACATGGAGGAGTGCCAGGACCCAGTTTAGCTAATTTGCAAGTTCTAAGTTCACCGTTAGCAAAAATGAACTTTTTCAATTTGGTTATGAAGCAAAACTGTGTCTTAGTGCTTTTGCTCTTGATGTGAATTTAAAAACGTTTTTGTTTGACAAAGTTGTCGTGTTGTTTAGCAACTTTTCTATTGTTTTGTTTACCAAAAACAGAAAATGTGAAGTCAAAGTAAACATGAGCTTCTGTTTATGTGGAACTAAGACCAAAGTGCATTTGTAATTTTCGGTCTCATTTTAATGAAACATGATATGTTTTTAAATGGCTGACAGGTAAATATCATCACTTAAATGATAGAATTGTCAAATAATTTAAAACCAAAATATAAAGACAAGCTACACGATTCATTATCTTGGATGTATTTGAACAACCATTACTTTTTCTTCACTTGTTTAGTTTTGTGTGGAGTGAGAAAACAGAGTTAAATGATGCAAGTTTGTGATTTTGTTCAAAAGGAAAGTCATAATTTCAGAGATTTAATTAAAGGTTTGTAAGTGGCTCAAACATCAGGGTGTAGCATCCTCCTTTCCAGAGGCTTTGAGTTATGCACCGTGTTTCAACAAGGCTGCAACGTCACCACGGAAGATGAAGAGTTGTGTTTTTGGCCAGAATCATGCAGAGAGGACTGGCTGACCCCTTCAGGGCCCCTGAAGAAAAAGCTGCAGACACACTCGGATCTCCCAGCCTGTGGTCCTTCCAGCAGCAGAGAGCATCTACTTCAGCTTGTCTTCTCAGCAGAGTGAAGATCTGAAGTTTAAACATTTTGCCATAAAATGCAGAGACATTGAATTATGACTTAATATCTTTAGTATGTTTAAGTGATGAGTAATTAAGACACATAAAAACAGTATTTTAAGCTTTAAAATACATAATAGATGCTACTTGATGTGCCCTCTGGTGGCTGGTGGGTTGTTTCGTTGTTGCCCTCCAAAAATTCTGCACTAGATTAGGATCAAAGGCATGTTTAAGATATTTACTCAAATTTGAGTTGCTACATTTAATTACTTTGCTTCACGACTGAAACATCTGATAAATCTAGATTTTTTTTAAAAGTGAAACAGGAATTAAATCATAGATCTGTCAGTCCTATCAAGAATAAATGTTTTCAGGTTTTGTGGTCAATTTTTTTAATGTGAAAAATGTGAATAATAATTAAAAGAACAATAAATTCACATCTGGGAGATTTTTCATTAAAAAAGCTCAAATACAAAAGAATGTTCACTTCAACATGTCGCCCAAAACATGATTATTCGCTAATCTGTTAATTATGCAAATTTAATGTGTGAATTTGTAGCTAAAGGTGGGGTAGGAGATTTTTTCTGGAGTTTTTTGCTATATCAATTTCCCTCTGGGATTAATAAAGTATTTTTGAATTTGAATTGATATTGCTTGAAGTGCTCTTCACATACTGATGCCAACCACTAAATCAAATCTTTTGTCAATCATTGTGAACGTCCTATGTTTAAGGACCAGCTCATATTCCTTACATCAAACTGCTGCTCTGACCAGGGTTGGATCTTAGATTTCTACGTTTTCAAAAGAAGTAGCTGTTCGAAAAGCAAGAAAGCCATCTCCTATTGCACCTTTAGCTTTAACAATAAAAAAAATAAAACAACAGAAACAAGTCATTTCTGAGTCGCTTGTGTCGCATTAGCTAACAAAAACACAAACAATCATAGGTCCGATCTTTTGATATCAGCTGAATCTAGAAATAGGAAGGCTTCTGAGCGAGGATTTATAAACAGAATATTGACTGTAATCAGAGTTTTAATAGCTGAAGCACAGATATGTCCACTACTCTTCTTTTGTCTCAGGGTTGTCCCTCCATATGCAGTAGTTGAGGGTGGTGGCGAGGCAGAGCCAGGACAGATAAGGGGCCAGGAGCAGAGTGGCGGTGCGGCTGATAGAATACCAAGACACCATGGTGGCTCCAACAGTCCCAGTCAGGAACACAATCTCGACCATTGCCTACATTTAATAGAAAAAGGGCATCTAATGGAAATTAACACTCAAAAGTAACATTTTTTTTTTGCATTTCTCAATCCTTAATCAAATGTAAAAGGTTCAACTTGCCCATTTTATCTTGTGCGCTCCAAAGAAAATAGGAGTCCATGCCCAGTTCAGAGCCAACTGCAGCCCATACAGCCCCAGTGGAACCAGTGCATCCTCAGTGAAACCTCCAAGTTCTTTCCAGATCAGGTAGGAACCATAACTGGAAGACAGAGTCCAAAAATAATCCATTAGCTTAAGGAACAAAGGTGGTCGGAGTCTGTCCGTGTGGCTCTTACCCCATCCCTGTGTACAGACATGTCCACACCACCGGAAAGGCTGCGTTTGGGGGGCGCCACGAGGGTTTGTTCAGGGTGGTGTACCACGTCTTCACCTGTTTGCGTGTAATGAAACCCCCATAGATTCCTCCAATGTGTGGGAGGGCGGTCATCCCAATCAGAGGCAGCCACATGGTCTGAGATGAGAGCAGGTTGGTTAATCATTCTACTAAACCTCATCTCTCTGTACATGAAGAACTTTGGTGAATAACATTGTCAGATGAGTTACAGATGCAGACATTAAAAAAAAGATCCAAGATAATGCATTATAAAACGGGTTTTTTTTCTGAGAAATGTGTGTAGGTAAATAAGCTATTTCTAATTGAAAATTTTAATATTTATTTTAGCAATTCTCTGTTGATAAAAAAAAGCATTTGTGTAGCCCAAAATTATACATGAGAATTTCTGAACATTTTAAATTCTGTTTTAGTGTAAATGTTTCCTTTTTGGTGGCAAAAAATGAAGATATAAAGCAAAAATGCTACTTCATTGTTTACCAAGTTTCTCAAACACAATTTTGAATCAGAAATATATCAAAAATAAAAATGAAGTAATACATTAGGTAATCTTGGGGCAGATTGTGTTAAACATTTATGAGTTTAATGTCTGAATTTAGGAGTCTTGAGCTATGTATGCTTTTATTTTGAAACTCGTGATTGCTGACGAGATTAAATAATCTGAGGACTGCGCCCTATTCATCTTTTTGGTTTATCAAATAACATTTAAAGGGATGTTAATTTAATGTGCTCCGAGTGCTACAGCGTTAGCCGAAACTTAGCAGCTAAAAAAAGGTAAAAACAAATCTTCAACTACATTAGAAAAGAACTAAACAATGAAATGTTACTTTAATCCATAATCCATTTCGGGGCTGCAGGTTGTGTCGTAAAAATCAAGAATATCTATTTAAGGTAAAAAGGTATTCCTATTGTTTATTAGACTCACTACGTGCAAACATGAATTTAAAAGACGTGCGCATTTTGCTAAGAGTTTATTTCACGGTAAACATGTTTGTATTCCAAGAGGCGTTAACATGCAAAATAACTCTGTAGGAACTTTAAACTCTCCACGCAAAGTTCGGTATTTTGTCACAGGTTCTTGTTGTGGCAGAACGAAAAACAGCTAGCTAACGTGTAAATGTATTGCCATTGGAGGAAACTAAACGCAAGAAAGTAGTTTATTACACAGAAAAGAGTTAGATCAATTTTTTGCGGAAAAAGGGTTAGCTTAACACTTTCGGTTCGCGTGTGCCTAAGGTCAAGTGGACGTAGCTTCATTCTTACCTTTCCTTTCAGCTGTCTGCGTCACGTAGCGCAAGTAAAGTCGTTAAAACCTTTAGTTCAAGAAACGAAAGCTTCACACACTTAGTGGTTCTCTGGCATGCTGATAATGAGGTGATATAAGTTTTTTAAAGGGCAGGGCAGTCTTATCGGAGTGGTCATTCCTCCGACACTCCCAGTCTGAACCAGAACCAAACTACGTGACGTCACTGAGTGCTAACCATCGATTGGTCACGCAGAGACAATTTGACTGGCGTTTGGAGGTTAGAATTGAGAGTATTATTCACTCACTTTTGGGTATTAACACGCTGCAGCAGTCCGACAGTCAAACAATACAACTAGCCATCTAACTGCTTGCTGCTCGGTCGAAATATTTGAAATTTCCTTGTAATTTCGCAACAACCGGAAACGTGACATAAAGCAAAGGTTACACAAAGCTCAAGATAGTTCCCGCCTCTCATGTGCAAGTCGTTTGAAACGTAAATACGAGTGAATTTCACCGTTTTCCACTAAAGCTAAAATATGTCTCGATTTTTTCATATGCTAACTTTAAAGATCAAATACAACACAAGCCACAAGTAGGCTCAATAGGTCATCTTTCTCTCTCTTTTTCACCTCAAACAGTTTTTGTCAGAACACAAGTTTGACAAATCTAACAATAGAAATGTTGTAAAGAAATGTTTTAACTAGTGCACTTCATGATGCAGATCTGTCTCTTAACATCCAGTTCTGCATGTGGCAGTTTAAAGTTTTCTTGAAGATAAAATGCAAATAATTAGTTTGCAATACTACTTAACACATTTTTTAACCACCACCAGGGAGGTGTCCAGGAGGCATTCTGACCAGATGCCCGAGCCACCTCAACTGGCTCCTCTCGATGTGGAGGAACAGCGAATCTACTCCGAGCCCCTCCCAGATGACTGTGCTTCTCACCCTATATCTAACGGAGAGCCAAGCCACTCTGCGGAGAAAACTCATTTTGGCCGCTTGTAACCGCTATCTCGTTCTTTCGGTCACTACCCAAAGCTCATGACCATAGGTGAGGGTAGGATCGTCGATCGACCGGTAAATCGAGAGCTTTGCCTTCTGACTCAGCTCTCTCTTCACCACGACAATCCGGTACAACGCCCGCATCACTTTCAAAAAACCTGAAGAAAAAATGATCATGACCCCTTAAAAAGCAAGGCAGCTTTATTAACAAAGCACATTTCATACACATTTCAGTGTGCTTTCCAGGTGCAAGGAAAAAACATAAAGGTAGATTAAAAAAGTAAATTTAAAAGACAAATAATATTTGATTTAGAAAAGTACAAAGTTAAAGTTCACTCATAAACTCAAATGAAAAAAATAAATAAAGTCTTCTATTTTAGTATAAAAGTTAAACACTGCTTGGAGCAAAACATGAGGAACTCGGGAAAAGGTTCAGTTTTTTTGCACATTCGTGTATTTAAAAAAGTAAATGTAAGGAAGAATGAATCTCATTGTAGGCAGAGGCGCACCAGCTCATGAGGGGTTTTACGCCCCTCCTCCTTGTCTGCCAGGCAGACACACCTTTCCTCCGCGGTCCTCCAGCGCTCCTTACCTTCTTGTCGCTCCTCTCTGCCTCGTTGTCTGGCTGTGAACTCTCACCCCAGCTGCTGCTTGGGAAATGTCATACAGGCAGAGGCCCGTGCTGCAGTGGGGAGAGGGGGGGCGTTAAGAGGAAGGAGAAAAATAACATCTTTGCCGCTGTCAGCGCATCATTTACCGGAGTCTCTGACTTGCCTGTGCCACATCCCGCTACCAGCAGCTGCAGCGGCCGCCGACAATTTACCGCAGCCTTAATGCTCGTTTCGTATTAGGGCTCATAAAAAAATAAATAAAAATCCGTGCCAGACGTGTGAGTAGCAACCCGTCGCTGTCGTTCTTCTCTACCGTGTGTGCCTGTAGCCTCACACCATAGGAACAAAAAGTCATTGAACCGTGTCGTGGTGTGTGTGGAGCGTGGAGTCAGTGTGCTGGTTTAGGCTTTAGATGCAGCTTTGGGTCTGTTTGTAGGGGGGTTCCGAGTCGAGTCGGGTCGGCTAATTGGCAGGGAATAAAAATACCAGCTTTTATTTGCTCCTTAGAGGAGGAGAAAGCACGGCCAGTCCGCGGCTGCAGGGTGGATGTAGCTTAGCGCGCCAGCCTGCTCGTTGGGATAGAAAGCAGCTGTAGTTTGCTGCTGAGCCCGGGTGTCTCCAGTCAGTCAGATGTGGAGGCCCGGGTTAGCGCTCACACACACGCAAACGCACTAGAAATGCACTGGTGCTGGTGCTGATAAAAACCATTGGGTTTGTTGTCCCATGAAGACCACACTGGACAGATTGTTTGGGTTTGTGATCTGATGGCCTCACAGCTGGAGGAGCCGTGGTTTCACTCCGTAACTTTGCATGGAACTCACTGTACTTTCTCAGCAGCCAGTCGTTTTATAGATCTGAGATTTTTGTGGGTTTTGAAGGTTTCCTTCAAATGTTCACCCTGACTTCAGTTTCGGATGGATTTCATCTCCAGGTAATGCACCTTAAAGGGAAATTTGCAAACTAAATTCATAGTAGAATCCCTAGTTGTGTCTTTTCTGGAACACAGTGTAGACACATGATGGTTTATGATGGAAAAGCATGCGTATGTGTGTGTGTATCTATAATGACTCACAAAACATACGGCTCAATTTTTATTCTGGTAACTTTGAGGTTTGTATCAATTCTGGGACCTCTCAATATCTGCTTCAGCTATTTGGGCTATCGAAGATGCTTAGAATTTGTAAATGTAGTAATTATGGCTTAAAAAAATCTAAATGTTGAATGCTTTAAAGTTAAAATATAATATATTTCAGTGATTTAGATTATTTTACAGGAATCAGAAACAGAATGAAAGACGTTACTGATCCAAGGTGCTCAAGTGTCTGTTTGATGAATTTTTGCTGTGTTTGAGATGAATGACATGTCTTCTGTTTCAGGGAACATATGGTCCATCTTGCCCTGAAGATGTCAGTCCAGCAAACGAACCAGCTCATGAAGCTGCTGCCCAGCAGACGATCCTGGGATTGAGGCGTGAATCCCTTCACACTGATGGCCTGGACTGAGTAAGATGTATCAGAGTGAATGTTTAGAAGTGTTGTTTATGTCCGTGCTGCATGTATGTACATATGTAGCTTTCAATTGAGGGTTTTTGTGCAGAACTGTGTGGGAACTTTGTTCTCAACAGGTTTCAGCTGGTCTGCTGAAACTATGGGGAGCTGCTGGAGCTGTCTGTACAGAGACCCCATCCGAGACAACCATCTAACCAAGTTTAAGGTGATTTAATCTGTGACCGTCTCAATATATATGAGGTTTATAATCTGCAAATGTCTCACAAAATTTAAGGAGATTCACATGCAACAATTTCACCAAATTTAAGGTGAAAAATTTGCGACCCACTTACTGAATTTAAGGCAAACAATCTGCAACAATCTCACCATAATTCATGGTGACTAATCTGTAACAGTTTAATCACAACCATTTTACTAAATTTAAAGTCAATAATCTGCAATAATCTCACCAAATTTAAAGTGAATAATCTACAGCAATTTTACCAAATTTAACATGAAAAATCTGTATCAATGTATTCAGATTTAAGGTGCATAATCTGCAATAAATTGACTAAATTTAAGATGAAAAATTTGTGACCTGTTCCCTAAATTTAAGGCAAATATGCTGCAACAATCACACCAAATGTAAGGTGAATAATCTGCAACAAACTCAAAATATTAGGCGAATAATCTGTGACCCTCTCACTAAATCTATGGAAAATAATCTGCAACAATCTAATGAAATTTAAGGTGCAGACTCTGCAACGATCCCTCCAAATTTAAGATAAAAAATTGTCAACAATTTCATCTAATTTGAGGTGACTAATTTGCAACCATCTCACCAAATTTAGGGTGAATAGTGTTCAATATTATCATGGAATGTAAGGTCAATAATCTGCAACTATCTAATCAGATTTAAGATGAATAATCTGCAGTACTCTCTTAAATGATAAATGACCCGCACTTGTATAGCCCCTCTCAAGAGTAAGGACTCCAAAGCGCTTTACACTACAGTGTATCACACACACACACACACACACACACACACACACACACACACACACACACACACACACACACACACACACACACACACACACACACACTGATCTGATAAAATGTAAGGTCAATAATCCACACCAAATACAGGTGCTGGCCAGTAAATTAGAATATCATCAAAAGGTTGAAAATATTTCAGTAATTCCATTCAAAACGTGAAACTTGTACATTATATTCATGCAATGCACACAGACCAATGTATTTCCGATGTTTATTACGTTTAATTTTGATATTTATAGGTGACAACCAATGAAAACATCAAATCTGGTATCTCAGAAAATTTGAATATTCTAAAGGCCAATGAAAAAATGTTTGTTACTCTAATGTTGGCCAACTGAAAAGAATGAACATGAAAAGAATGTGCATGTATAGCACTCAATACTTAGTCGGGGCTCCTTTTGCCTCAATAACTGCAGTAATGCGGCGTGGCATGGACTCGATCAGTCTGTGGCACTGCTCAGGTGTTATGAGAGCCCAGGTTGCTCTGATAGTCGTCTTCAGCTCCTCTGCATTGTTGGGTCTAGCGTATTGCATCCTCCGCTTCACAATACCCCATAGATTTTCTATGGGGTTAAGGTCAGGCGAGTTTGCTGGCCAATCAGGGACAGGGATACCATGGTCCTTGAACCAGGTGCTGGTGGTTTTGGCACTGTGTGCAGGTGCCAAGTCCTGTTGAAAGGTGAAGTCTGCATCCCCATAAAGTTGGTCAGCAGCAGGAAGCATGAAGTGCTCTAAAACTTCCTGGTAGACGGCTGCATTGACCCTGGACCTCAGGAAACAGAGTGGGCCAACACCAGCAGATGACATGGCACCCCACACCATCACTGACGGTGGAAACTTTACACTGGACCTCATGCAACGTGGATTCTGTGCTTCTCCGCTCTTCCTCCAGACTCTGGGTCCTTGATTTCCAAAGGAAATGCAGAACTTGCTTTCATCAGAAAACATAACTTTGGACCACTCAGCATCAGTCCAGTCCTTTTTGTCCTTGGCCCAGGCGAGACGCTTCTTGCGCTGTTTCTTGTTCAAGAGTGGCTTGACACACGGAATGCGACACCTGAATCCCATGTCTTTCATGAGTCTCCTCGTGGTGGTTCTTGAAGCGCTGACTCCAGCTGCAGTCCACTCTTTGTGGATCTCCCCCACATTTTTGAATGGGTTTGTCGTCACAATTCTCTGCAGGGTGCGGTTATCCCTAGAGCTTGTACACTTTTTTCTACCACATTTTTTCCGTCCCTTCGCCTGTCTGTTAATGTGCTTGGACACAGAGCTCTGCGAACAGCCAGCTTCTTTAGCAATCACCTTTTGTGTCTTGCCCTCCTTGTGCAAGGTGTCAATGATTGTCTTTTGGACAGCTGTTAAGTCAGAAGTCTTCCCCATGATTGTGGTGCCTTCAAAACAAGACTGAGGGACCTTTTAAAGGCCTTTGCAGGTGTTTTGAGTAAATCAGCTGATTAGAGTGGCAGCAGGTGTCTTCTATATTCAGCCTTTTCAGAATATTCTAATTTTTTGAGATACCAAATTTGGAGTTTTCATTAGTTGTCACTTATGAATATCAAATTTAAATGTAATGAACATTGGAAATACATTGGTCTGTGTGCATTGCATGAATATAATGTACAAGTTTCACGTTTTGAATGGAATTACTGAAATATTTTCAACCTTTTGATGATATTCTAATTTACTGGCCAGCACCTGTATAAAGTTATTAATCTGCAACAGTCTCTTCAAACCCAAGGTCAATAACCCCCTACTTGTCTCACCACAGATTAAAAGAAACATGATCACCAAGTAAAAAGAAAAACTGTTTTCAATAATCAGCTGATTTGGAGCAAATGTGATTCTAAACCATTTTTTCCAACATTTATAGTCATTATATATTGATATATATTTATACTCCTTATATATTTGATGTCAGCCAGTTTTATAAAATAAAACTAAGCATCGTTGCCTCATGAAAATGATCAGGTTCATTTTACAGCTCACTGTTATAAAGAGATCTGAGAGGAGCACCCATGGAGTGGGAACTTCTCAGCAGATAAGATGTGAAGGTGTTAATAAGTCTGTGCAAAACTGTGTGAACATTTTTTTTTTACTGTTCAACAATTCATTTGAATCATCTAAACAATGATGCTTTAAGGAATCTAGAGACATCTGTCTTTACACATGACAATGTCCCATTTAACACTGATCTATCGTTTAGTAGGCCTTAAAAAAGTTCTGTTTCTTGTTTTTTTTCCAGGTCATCAATGTGGATGATGAGGGCAACGAGCTGGGCTCTGGGATTATGGAGCTCACACAAACTGAGCTCATCCTCCACACACGGAAGAGAGATGCCATCCGGTGGCCATACCTCTGCCTGCGTCGCTACGGATACGACTCCAACCTGTTTTCTTTTGAGAGCGGGCGTCGCTGTCAGACGGGGCAGGGTGGGCAGGATTTTCTCTGCTTCTCCGATTATTTAACATCTGGTCGGGGTCCAACTTTTAGCGCGCTGTGCTTCTTGCAACAGATCTTTAGGATCTTTGATGCACATCTGGTTTATCTTCTCATGTTGTCTATCTTTTGCATTTCAATCACTAGGAATCTTTGCATTCAAGTGTTCCCGAGCGGAGGAGATCTTCAATCTTCTCCAGGAGCTGATGCAGTGTAACAGCATCAACGTGGTGGAGGAATCGATGATGATGAGTCGCAGTGGTCATACACCAGAGATGGAAATGTCTCGCACACCGCAGACTCCCAACAGTGAGTCACAGAAAACCCATTGAGAGAAACGCAACAGCTACAGCTGGAAATGCAACAGAAGGAGTTGTTTTTGGACACAGGTTTAAGTGAGAATGCCCTGTTCAGTCGTGAGGATGATTTAGCATCCTCATCAGCAAACAGTAGGATGAAGGCTTAGCAGAAGCTACTTCATTAGGTAGTATTAATAATAGTAATCAGGGATGCACCAACAATAAAAGTTTGGGGCAATATATCCGATAATATTTCCATTGGCCGATAACTGATATTTACTAATACTATTATTTGTAATTACACTTATATATACACACACACACACACACACACACACACACACACACACACACACACACACACTGACGGTTCTGAGATGATCACCATCACTGTCACTTGACCAAAGACTTCCTGCACCACCCCTCCCCCTTTCAGAAACAGATACACAAACAGCAACAAGATGGAAATAAACATCAGTCTTTAATATCAGCTCAGTTCTACTAATCGAACCGATGCATATGTGATATGTTTAACATCAGCCGATACTGTTGTTGATGCTGATTTATCATGCATCCCTAATAATAATGCCTAATAATAATAATAATGATACACATGAATCCAAGTTAGTTATGGTTAAATATAGATGAAAAAGTCACCACCTGGATATAACTAAGCTAACAGGTAGGAGCCTCCTATTGGATAATTACTGCATGGGTGATTATCATTCAGCTGGCAACAAGTTATTTAACCCAAACTGGTGCAATGAGCTGCTTTTCATTTCATTAACAGCCATGTGGAAAGACACATCTGGTGGTCATGGAAAAGGTGTTAAGTCTGTTGGAGAAGGGACAGATCATTGGCATCAAGCAGAGAAAACATTTAAGGAGATGCAGAAACCACTAAAACTGGGTTAAGAACTGTCCAACGCTTTATTAAAACCTGGTCTGAGTCCAGACGGACCCTGTTCCAGAGTGATGGTGCATCAGGGTAAGAAGAGAGGCAGAGGAAGTGATGCACCCATCATGCCTAGTGTCTACTGTACAAGCCTGTGGGGGCAGTGCTATGATCTGGGATTGCTGCAGGTGGTCAGGTCTAGGTTCAGCAACAGGATGTGCTCCAAGAATGAGCACAGCTGACTACCTGAATATCCTGAATGACCAGGTTTTTCCATCCTCTCTGATGGCACGGGCATATTCCAGGATTCATCAGACTCATATAGTGAAAGAGTGGTTCAGGGAGCATGAGACATCATTTTCACGCATAGATTGGCCACCACAGAGTCCGGACCTTAACCCCATTGAGAATCTTTGAGATGTGCTGGAGAAGGCTTTGTGCAGTGGTCAGACTCTACCATCATCAATGCAAGATCTTGGTGAGACATTACTGCAACACTGGATGCTCTGCTGGAAAAATACAGCTTAGGTTTCACCAGTATATGTTGAGTTTTGTGCTGGTCCTGCATTAGATTCTGGAGATGGGATGCTAGACTAGTATTCCATCTTGCATCAGCTAAACCAGCACCAAAATCCAACATATTCTGGTAACACCTATGCCGGTCTATGCTGGTTTTGTCAGCAAAGAAGAAGTAAATCTTCGGACATTGCAGAAGCTTATCAAAACAATTGCAGATACTGATACCAATTTTCTTGTCCGATATCTAGATGGTTTCCAGTTTACGTCACTGAAAGCAGCTGATGCACCACATTTCTGAACCCAGAGCCGGTTTTGAATCCTAATCCAACTGTTGAATCTTAATGTTGTGCATCGTATTAAAATCAAACATTTCACCAAAGTTCATCAAACAAATCAAATAACAGACCAAGTATTAAACTTTAAAAACAAGGAAATATAAAGAAATGTCGAATGACAACATTTTTTTCATGTATTTATCAAGCTGTTTTTCAGGGAAAAAAATTTACATTTAAAGAAAATTTGGCAGCAGCTCCGAGCTGCCTGCGAACCGACCAAGGACGACGTATGAAAAATTATAAACCCTACTCCCAACCCTTGTTCTGCTAGGTGTCAAACTAGACACGAATATTAAAAACAATATGTAATCCCAAATCTGACTTAACAACACAACAAATTTAGATTAAATATCACTATTGTTGTTTCTCTGTCAAACATTTGCATTTTCTTTGCCTACATTTATCTTGATTTCTAGTTAGATTTTTGGAGAATGTTCTGCATGAGTATTATTTCCTTCACAAGTTATGTTAAGGTTTTTGCAGTAAACCGAAAAGTTGAACAAATAAGTGGAACAAAAGTTTAAAGTTCCCTCCAAATGACAGTTACTTGTAGTTTTCTGCTCACTGACCGAGCAACACTACAGGAGCCAAAACAAAGTGCCATTATAACGGAAAGAGTAAACGTGTTTGTAATATGCTGTGTTTAATTCAGGATTGTAGTTTTACAAAGTTCATAATATCAATTAATGGAGCAACAAATGTTTTATTCACAGATTTTGATGGACTTACAAGCTAGATGAATTTGCATTAGCCAGTAATTTTTGTTTGTAGGACATTTACTGATAAAGAGCCAAATATTTTCCTCCTTAAAATGGTGAAAATAGAAATTAAGTCACACGTTGGATTAATAGTACTCAAGGCAGCTGACTCCAAGTGTAGACAGTTTGTTAAAAGGTTTCCAAAACTGACTAACACACTCTACTGCCCCCAAGTGGTGGAAGTAAATGACATCCTGCCAGTTTACACGTTAAATCAGACATCCTCTGACTCCTGGTTTTCTTTAGTGCTTTAATATTGAAAATACTAGAAATTCCTTAGTTTGGATTGATGAAACACTAATTTTATCAATTTGTGGTGTGTGTGTGTGTGTGTGTGTGTGTGTGTGTGTGTGTGTGTGTGTGTGTGTGTGTGTGTGTGTGTGTGTGTGTGTGTGTGTGTGTGTGTGTGTGTGTGTGTGTGTGTGTGTGTGTGTGTGTGTGTGTGTGTGTGTGTGTGTGTGTGTGTGTGTGTGTGTGTGTGTGGTCAGCACAGAGTTGCCCTATCTGAGAGCGGTTTGTTGGAAACAATTTTTTTCTACTGTTTCTTTTCTTAGTTTAGTTGATTGTGATGTTTTTTGGGCCTGTCATATAAAACCAGACTAGTTAGATCATTTAGGAACTAATTAAGGGACCTGCTGCTCTTCCAGCAAAGCCGTTATTGTTATTCACCGGAGGATTTGTTCTCTTTATTCTCCTTCTTCCGTGGACATTAATGCAGCTCGAACGGCAGAGTGCACGCCCACAAATTATACATAAAAATGAGGGGCTCATCCGTGGGAAGTATGCCATTATTTCTCTACGTTTTTTGTTTTACCATGGCGGTATTATAAGTAAAAAAAATACTTAATTTGAGAAATTTTTCTCAATTTCGGACAGAGACGGGGCCCCAAGTATTTCGTTAGCAGCATCTTAGGCCGGAGGAAATAATCTCAATTTGGAGCATGCACCCACACAAATGATACATCAAGATGACTGGCTTGGCTGTGGGAAGTGTGGTAGGTCATGATTTTGGGATGATCACTCCAACGTCAACCCCAAAAAACATAATTTTGGGCCTCTATAACTCATTGCCGCTATCCTGTCCCAGCGTCCAGGTCCCTTTTAAAATGTCTTCAGTAATTTTCCAAGTTGTAATTGTTTTTCATCTTAATGAGGTGGTCATTTAGGAGTGAAGATGGATTTCAACTGACTGGGATCCACAATTGATAAAATTCTGATCCCTCTTGCTGTGTTTGTGCATCATCTCTTCAGCTCCAGCCTTTCCTGTCCAGTCTTTTCCCAACGGATACCCAGGTTATCCAATCAGAGGTGATCCCTCCCAGCAGTCTCTTTCTGATGATCATGGGCACAGCCTCATGGGTTTGGAAGACCAGGTGAGAGCTTTTTATGTCCCTTTTTATTTTTCTGTTTCTGTGGAGGACCACAGCTTGAGAAACTGTCTCTATTTGTCCTAACAGACTCACACCTATGTAAATACTGTGAGTATGGAGGGGGACCTGTCCATGCGTCACTGTGTGCACTCTCTGCCGGAGGTGCGGCCCAGCACTTTGCCTGAAACAACACGGGGAGCCATGCCTGTCGGCGGCCAAGGGAATCCTCAGTCTAGCCTGCGATGCTGTCCGCTTGAGGAGCGTCAAGATCCTCAGGTGTTCCTACAGCCATCCTCACAGGAAGTGAAATTCATGCTGGGCCCCACTCCAGCACAACGCCATCTGCTGGAGAGGGAGAGGCATGGGCACAATCCTCACAATCTTCAGCCAGCAGAGGGTGCAACAGGCTCAGAGACGGAGGGAGACGAGCCCTCTATGCACCTGTGCAACTCTCACTCCTATCACCATTTCCATCACCATCTGCATCGGCACCCGAGCCACGAGCAGTCGGACAGCTGCCAGAGCGGCGAACTCACCTATGAGAACATCAACGGCCTGCGGTGCAGCCGGAAGCAGCGGCTGAGCCCCAGCAGCGTGTCGCAGTCGGTGGGTTCAAGCAGCAGCAGCAGCACTGGGGACAGTCACTCACACTCCCTCCTGCACGCCCACGCCCACGGCCCCACTTCTCTTCCCCCGCAGGGCTACGCCTGCGAAAGGGGCATGGGTGGAGGTCATCGTCGGACCACTCTTCTGAACTACGAGAACTTGCCCTCTCTGCCGCCCGTGTGGGAGTACAGCGCTTTGCATCGGGATGACGAGCAGGAGGAGGATGATGAAGACCAGGATGAGGATGACTATGAAGAAGAAGAGGAAGACTTTGATGAATATGAGTTTTCAGAAGGCCCAGGGACCCCTAACGGGTACCACCAGGACAGCCGGGGTATTCACCGGGATGCCCTTCAGAACTATGTGAACACAGAGCAGGTCCAGCCCCCCCGACATCGACACGCCTGCCCCCCTCACCCGCGGCAGTGTCGACCGGACAGTGGGGGGCGAATATTTAGCTTTGATTTCCGCAGACGATCGCGTTCAGGGGTCGCAGGCTGCGATCACGGCCTCATGCCTCCGTCACGGCAGCTGAATTACATCCAGGTGGATCTGGAGGGGGAACCTACGCGCCAAGCCCTCAGCAGCGGGGGTGCCCAGCCACAGCACCAGCGCCTGCCACCCAAAAAGTGTGGCCCACAGGCACCCCGACGCAGCGAATGCTACGCTGTCATTGACCTGAAGAAGACGGCCGCTATGTCCAACCTGCAGAAAGCGCTGCCCAGGGACGATGGAACTTCCAGAAAGACTCGCCACAACAGCACAGACCTGCCTCTGTAGATTCAAACTGAAAGGGGCACGACGAAGATGGGTGAAGGCTAATCCTCATGTTAGCACACTGGATCCTCCACCTTCCTCCATCCACTCAACCGTCAGCCCGACTAAACGCTACAGGTACCTAATTGGAAACGATTTGGGCAGAGGAATTTAAATGAGAAATCTCCAAGGGGAATTTGCCGGGATTTTCCTTTTTGTTTGTTTTTTAGTTTTTGCTGATCGGGTGTTTGGTGTGAACTCTCTTGACAGCATTAAGTTTCATTGTTTATGACACTTGATGCTGGACGCTGATCCAACGGAGAGGAAACACCTTTGTTTTTGTTTTGTTAGTGAAAGCAATCATCGCCATGTGGTATTAGAAGTTTACACCCATTCATATTTTGTTTTCTAACTTCAAACGTTAGAGATGCATTCCTCATTGCAGATGCGTAGCTGTTGGTGTGAAAGAACGTTAACGATTCCTCCCAGGTAAAAGGCCAGTGTTCATACCTCATCACAAGCACTTAAGTCTAATGTTGTGGCTTGTATATTTGTTACTGTATACCTAAAGAGCATTTTGCACACAATCCAATGGAATTGTATCGAATTGCATTATTGGATCTGATCTGAGTTTGAGGGAAGAAAAATGAGATTAAGTGAATTTAACAGTTTGAGATCTTTGGAGTATTTTCCTTAACTGTGTTAAAAAACAAAAGGTAGAACATGTGGATAAAATTTGCTTTGGATGTGTTCCGTCAACATGTAGAAACTGAGAATCATAGCATTTTATCACCTCCTTACAGATCACCCCAGACCTGCGAGGATGTAGATTCATGCTTGTCACGTTGCACTTTTGGATACCGGGCCACTTCGTCATCACTCCTACACCGCTGGAGTCACAGGATGACTCTTTTTTTTTTATCTTTTTTATCATGGGAAAAAAAAACACTGGGCCAAATCTTCTTTTTTGTAGAAAAAAGTGATAGAAATGATCTTATGGAAGATAACTGCAGATAGTGACATTAAAGAGAGAGTTCAGACTATTTGAAGCCCATATTAATATTCAACCTAAGCTCCATTTGTGCCAGCTTGGTAAAAGCAAAACCATTTCTCCAATTTGAGATTGTTCAGAGTAGAGATCAATGGATATTGATTTTTCTATTGCCGATACCAATGTCAATATTTAGGAGACGTACGCAGTCGATGGCCGATTTATGCTGCCGATTTTAATGGCCAGTATCTAGACATTTCCTCCTTATTTTCATGCTAAAATGTCACAATCTCTGGAGCTGAATCAGTTTTTGAACTCTGAATGAACCTAAATGTTAAATTTTAACTTTGTGCATTGCTCAGTGTTAACGTCAGACACCTAAATAAAGTTAATTTAGTGTATTTCCTATGCAGATGTTCTTAGTGAACGTAAAACTACATGCAAATTAAATTGTGCAACAGCACCAGGCTGCCCGAGGATGTGCCTGACTCTAAACCAGCTTTACTAAGGACAAATATTGGCCGATGTATTAAAAAATGGTAAATATCGGTCTACCTCTAGTTATCTATGGTAGGTGGGATATTGATTGTATGTAATCTTGTATCCACAGCCTTTTTTTTCCACAGGTCGCCATCTAGTGGCAGAAAGTGTATTAAACCTTAAGCCCCTCTTCCTACTTCCGTGACTACAGCTGGAAGCAACGCCTCTCCTTTGTGAATGCACACTTTTAGTCGGCCATTAGAGCAAAAACACATTATTTTACAATTATTATTCACACGTTATTTATTTTCATTTATTATTTAGAAAATATTAACATTTTTATAGGAAATGTGACCAACTCTGTATCAGTCTAGGTACTTCCACAAACACGTGCATGCTCTGTGACTGACATGTATGTCTCACGCTATTGGCTAATGCTGAGCGGCACTTAATTTATTGGGGCTCTACAGGATGAAGGTGGACTTAGCAAAAAACAAAAAAAAAAAAACGTACTGCCTACTTTCTATCACAGCACAGTGTGAGACTATCTCTCTTACGAATTTCTAAACCATCGTAATTCCTGGAAGGGGGAAAACTCCAAATTGCTTCAAAAGATCTGAACTCTCTTTAGGGCATGACATCACAAGATGAATTTATATTAGCTTTTCTCATTAAGATATATATTTATTTATTTATTTCATATTTATTTATTCATTATCTTTGAAGAAGAGTGTTTTAGTTGAAATTTCCTCCATACGATGACCAGCGTTTTGTAGTCTAGTTGGTAACATGGAGACCAAAATTTCACCTCAAATCATCACTGGACATTGGTGTTTTACTGTTATTCTCGTGCTTAATTATATATTTTTGGAAAACAAAATAGATCAGATTTGTATTTTAAGTGCCGAAATCTAATTGCTAACAGAAGGATGAATAAAATTTAAATGTGCCATATGTTTTTTTTTATTTTTATCTTCATTTTTTTGCGAGAGGGGTGGGTGGGGAGGAATGGCACAAGATGGAGTGGGAGGGACTAACTTAAAGTAGAAAACATTACAAATAAACTACTTTTTAAGAGTAATACAAACTAAATAAGAAACTGCACATTCCACCTCATCTACATTTCTAGCCATTGTGAAGGGAAATGTAAAAAAATGATAATCTTTCAGTTTGATTATCCTGGTTAAGGTGGTATTTTTGCTGCTAATTGTATATACCAAGAGTAGCCCCAGGAAGCCACAGGTTCTTGTTAAAATGAAAAACAATGTGATGTCAGACTTTTTATCATGTTGTTAGAGATAGTATGGCTGTCGTCTTCTCCTTTTACTTTCTCAGTGGCAGAAGTGTGGGAACATTTCAGATGATGTTTCAATTGATTCAAATTTTGCTCCATTGAGATTTTTTTCTTCACCTTTAATTCGTTTGGAGAATTAAAGTAGTTCATGATTCATTTACTCAGCACTCACGTTGATGTTTGTAGCCAGCCAAGGAGGAACAGTTGATTAAGGTTCTCTGCCGAGTTAGCCTCCAGATGCAGACGTGGCGTTTAGCTCAAGTTGATCCTTTTCACTTTTAAATGAACCATTCATGTGGCAAAAATGCTGATTCACAGTTTCTAGGTGAAGGGTTGGGTTTTATTTAAAGTGGTACTTTAAAGTGGTACTTCACTTAAAAATATATATTTTTATTATTTCTAATTATAATCCGTCACTCTGACTTTATCATGCAGTTTGAGCATAAAAATAGTCTCCTACACCTATCTCCTGATTTAGCTTCTGATAGAAAACAGTTGGGGAAACTCTAGGATTTGAAAATCTTGACAGATCTACATCACACTGTCACTTATTCATGGACTCACCCATCTTGACTCACGACGGGGAAGGCTGTTGTTGGTTTAGCATCCAGGAAACAGCAGACAACATCTCAACTAAAAGCTAACCATTAGCATTAGCAACTCCTTCAGGCTTGTGTTATTTGTGGAGATAGAACATCAGTGTTGTAGAGAAATCAGTTAGTGGTAGAATCATGTTGCTGTTGGCCAATTCAAGACGAGATGTCCAAATTTCAGGAATTAGGACTTCAAAAAAAGATCTCCTGCAGTGTTCAGCTCCGCTTTGACCTAGCTCACTTCTAGTTACTGAAACAGGCGCACCGGAGCTTTACCCGCAGTAACTTACAAAGCATTAATACCTACTACAGACCACTGCAAAATGTATTAAAACTATGAGTAAAGTACCACTTTAATTATTCACAAAAAAATCCCTACAGGTTCTACAATGTTGATTTGATTAAAAAAATTCCCATTTCAAAACAAATTCTTGATTGAAAACCTGCAAAAACTTAGTTTCATGTTGAAAAATACCCTTTGTTAATATAATATGTTTAACTTAATGTTTCAAATATCCTTATTGAGATAATTAGAAAATTAGGACAGAATTTCACTGTGGGGGTGAAATATATAATAAACTTTTAGATGTCTAAGGAATTGAAAACTGGCTTTTCATGAACTCATCGCTGAAATACAGATGGTAGTCAAATAGTCAAACTGCAGAAATCCAGAATTTTTAACATAAAATACAAGTTTAAAATAATATAAGAAAATCTAACTAGCAGGCCCAAACTACAAATACATGAAGATATTCTGGTTTCATATTTGGAGACAATTTGGAAAATTCTTTAAGAGTCCAATTAGTTAAAGGCTTAGACTTTACTGTAGCTATCATTTAGTTGCATTTAATGAACAAATGTTGAACTTTCAAAAGTTTAGTGTGAATCAGTCTCAAAATTACATAAAATGCCTTGAAAAATCAAATATCTTTAGTATCATACATTTTGAAAAGTCTTCTTTAAGAAAAGGTCATCTTGCAGCTAACCGTCGCCACCTATATGATGGAGGATTGTTTACATGTTTGCAATAACAGGAGAACCCTCTTGTTGATATAAACGTGGACCAATATGTGAAATGGTAAAATATAGAGCTGTGATGTATTAATTCACCTGTGAATCCTACTTTTACAGATGTTTATTTTTGAACTCTCATGGAGATCAAGAAAATAAAAATGCCAGTTCTCTTGATCTTAAATTGTCATCAGCAGTGCCATAATAGCCATCGACAATGCTTGAATGAGATTTTGTTCTATCTTTTGAAGAAGTGTTGATGTATCTAAAAGGAATCATTGAGTAGTGACATGTGTCTTTAAGGTGATTTAAGAGTGGTTTTAATGAGCAGTGACCTCACGCTACCAGGCCAGTTTTTTACCAGCTTCTCCTGTGTTTACTGACTTATAATCAGAATAAACAAACATTAAATAGCTGGACCACTCAGTTCCTCAGCAGCTTTGTGATCTCATCCCACCTGAGCTGAGACGAACCGCATTGTGACTCGATGAATTGATTCAGTGTTTATGCTCGAGGCCCATTTCACACAGGTGTTGATGAGGTTGTGATTATTTCAGCTGAGATGTGACCTGCAAGTAGCCACAAGTCCCGATAACAACTCCGGTCATTAACTTCTCCTTCACTGAAGGAGTGGTTCAAACCAAAAGATATAAAAACCCACCAAGGGCTTGCTCTGTGTTTACCGCATCTAGTATATTTAGAGAATTTTTTCACTGTGCCTTGCATATTAAAACTGGTTAAATATTTTAATTGCTACTTATGAGGGCAGGGCAAAAAATCTATGTGTGGTGAAGGTTTGAAGTTTGGGGAGGATGTTTAAAAAAATGTGCCAATTGCTGATTTAAATGTGTTCTTTAATTTATAACAGTTTTGTTCTTCATCTTGCTGGGAGTTTTAAACGGGCACCTCTCAATCTCTTGTCTGTGCAATATGAGCTTATGTCCCTTCAGGGATGCAGGCGCAAATCTTTTTTTCTGGCCTTTGGAAGCAAAAACTTTACATGTTTGAAGAAACAAATAGAATCGGGGAAAATGAAACAACCTATGTTTACATTTAATGAATTGTTATTTCAAATCAGATGTTTGGGCCTTTTGGAGGAACTAAAATGTTTCCCTTCAGGGTAGGGCTGGGCAATAAATCGAAAATTTATTGTTATCGAAATTTCTGACTCTTATTGGGATCATTTTGCCCATGTCAATAAATTTGATAATAAAACAATGAAAAGATGTGTGTAGGTTGGCAACGTTCATGTCCCTTTAAGAAGCTGGACCACCTTGAGTCGCGTAAAAATGTGACTCAACGTAATACGTGCAACATCCCGATCTAGTGGACAACCCTTGTTTCTGCGCATTCCTGTAGTTATCGTCTAATAATCGTTATTGAGGTGAAATCCGCAATATATCAATTCAAATTCAATTCAATTAAAAAAAACTTTAATCATCCCGAGGGGCAATTGTTTAAATGATATTAATTTCAGGCCGTGTCGTCCAGCCCTACTTCAGGGCAAATTGCATTGGCTATTTATGAGTGGTAGGACTTGCGGCTCTTTGAAGGAAGCCATTCAACCAAGAGCCGTTTGTCGGAATCGGTATTCCATCTTCTAAAAATATCGCAACTCATCTCTGACCAGCACTGACCAGAGTTTTATTTTCTGTAATTTTTTAACCATATTTGATTTGAAATTGTCAAAATTTTTTCTAAATGCATTAAAATGCTATTATTATGTATAAAGTTGAATTGATTTATTCTAGTTCAAAGGTCATAATTGAGGTATTGTATCAAACAGGTAGCCTTTCATATGGCTCTGTACCCATGAGTAGCATACAGCTTCAAAAAGGCTGGTGACCTCTGCTCTCATTATTCCCTTTGCCCAAAGTTTGAATATTAATAAACATAAACTATCCTGTTATTGATGTAAGGCATAAATGGATGGCAATAAATAACAACTGCATGAAGTGCATTGAAATCTTAGAAACAAGTCGACTTTGGTTTAAATCATTTAAAATTCCGGTTTTCAGAATGTGGAAAATCACCAAGTAGAACAAAAGCAAAACAATAAACTCAAATGCAATAAAATGATTCATAAAACCATAATTAGGGATGTTCTACGTTAGCTTTTTACCCAAATCCAATATACCAAAAAATGTGCAAGAAATGGCTACTACTTCAATTATAGTTACGCCAGGTGTGCCAAACAAAACTATCTCAAAAATTAAATAATGGATCTGTCATATTTTGACATTTTTAATGAGAGGAGAAGTAACTGAAGAATTTGATGTATGTTATGTGCATGTTATGGTAAAGTTGTGTCATTCTAAGAGTAAAGACCGATGCAGATAAGTTTGGATATTTCCTTTTAATGCTAATATCGGCCGATAATAATTGAAATTGAAAATTTCGAACATCCAGAAATATAATAGATGATGAAACCAAGATGTGTTTAAATGGAGTCTGGAGCAAAAAAATTAAATAATTACACCGCATCTATAAATACGGAATGAATGCGGTCCTGTTTTCACAAAGAACAAAATTCTTTGAGTCCAGTCAGAGCGTTCATGCCGGCTGTGGTGCGTTGCAGATCCTTATGTGGAGATCTATAAAGTTTTTGCATTTTGTCTGGACACCTTATGCAGATTTTCATGAAGTGAAAGAAATTCCAAGCCTGACAGGAAGTGAGATGCGGTTCAACAAGGTGCATCCAGTGTATTTCAAAATAAAACCCCTGTTGCATTTCTTCCAGCTTTCTTTATAATTAATGACAGGGATATCATTTCTCAGCGTTTGATGGTTCATGTTGGTATACCTTTAAACGTATTATATCACATTTCTAGCGTGAACTTGGGTGAACTGCAGGCTCAAATTTCCGAAGACATTCTGTACACGATCCGCAGTTGATGTAAATGACAGTATCTGGAAGCTGTACGAAAACCAGACCGCATTCATCCCACACTCGGTGTAAATGAGGCGTTAGAACGGCGCGTACTAGCTGCTAGCGCATCAGTCCACTAAAAGTTATTTCTCTCAACAGAGGCCATTTATGTACTAGGCTAGACAGCAGTTATTTCTTCAGAAACACACTTTCAAATGGCTGAAATTTTAAATTTTGGAAACTTTTGGCAAAGACAGAGTTGGTGGTTTTCTTTTCTTACTCTCAGCAAGATGACAAATAAGCAATTTTTGTAAAATCTGGTGAACAACACAGAATGAACCAGCATCTACAAGACCTGATGAGAAAGAACACGGTGTGTTTTTAAAAAGCCAAACTCATGAGTGTGCTGCTTTTTGTGTTTCATTTAGCTTTCTGTCATACAGAACTCACGACAATCTGATTTCTCATCAGCTGACTTTTGTTCTCATCACGATTTAGAATGTAGAGGTGATTTGTTTTAGCGGGAACTTTTCCTGTTTTTATCTGATCAGCATTTAAGATGAAAACCAGGATATGCAGTAGGTCAGATTTTCAGACCGCAGTGAGAACAGAAAGGCAAGGCCAGCAGTTACGTCATCGTCATCATCACCATCAACAGCAGCATTACTGGGTTTTATTCATCACTTCTGTGATTTTGTGCATACTTTCTAAAAAAAGAAATATCTGCTATAGAATCTGCCATGTAATGTAATGTAAAACCTCAACTTGCTGTTCATGCTGTGAGATAAATCTGTCAAATACTGAAAGCATCAGAAATCTGTAATATCTCATGTTATTACGTGTATTTTACTTTTTATTCCTTTTTTTTCTGCTACAGGCTGCAATTTGCCACCAGAGGGTGATGTGTATGTACGGGCCTAAGCTGTACATTTTTTTCTTTTTGTAACAGATTTTGTGTATTTATGTGCAGTTGGGAATTAAATCTTTGTGACTATTATTATTAAATGAATTTATGAATCGAATGAGTGCCAAATATGCCTGAGCATGATAAAATCAGTTACCTGAGAGGACTTGGAGGTAACCTTTTATGAGAGACTCGAGTGACTCACTGCTGATGTAAAAATTTGAATTCACAGCCGGAAGTTTAATCATGCTCAATATTTTTGTTGAAAGCGAGAAAACTTTAAAGTTTTTGCCTTGTTTTTGAAAAAAAAAAAATTCTTCAAGATATTTGTTGTACGTTTCTATGTCCATCCATGGCTTATAATTGCAGACAGTGGTGGTCTTATCATGTACCATAGGGGGGGGGGAGTAGATCTACTTTATTTTTTTGGACTCAGAAAAAAAAACATTTGGGTCATGTTCTTCTTCAATCATTCCACACAAAAATTTGTGTGTTTATCTGAACTCTGCTTCATCCAAAAAAAATGAGCCAGACATTTGGTGAATTTTATCCTGGATTTTATCAACTATAGACTGTGGATTTGTCCAGCAAAATGTAAATGTACATGTAATTCTAATATTAAAATGAAGCTATAAAAACAGGCCGTGTCTCTAACAGTGTCCTTTATTTAGAAAGTGTAAAAAAAAAAGTTTTTTAACTGAGCAAAGTGTTTCCATTTCAGATTTCAGCGATTCTTCATTAAGAAAGATACAGTTTTTTTCCCCAAAGTCACAAAAAGCCTTAAGACTATTTTGATAAATTAGACTTAATCATGTCAACAATAAAATTAAATTCTTTTAAACAAATTAAATAAAAAAAACAACCATTTTTTAATGTGATAAGTGAAAAGCTCTTTTATTTTTTGTGACTTAAGAATTAAATTTCATCTTTTGACAAATAAATCAGAGTTTTAGGCTACTTCTGGACTATGCACTGGCTCGTGAATGTGAAGCTAAAGCTTTGTATTTATTTTTTAAAGAGTGGAAATCTGATCATCTGAGCTTTCCAGTTTCCCACTTGGGACAGCAGTAGCTCAGGAGGTAGAGCGGGTTGTCCAGTAATCAGAAGTTTGCAGGTTTGATCCCGGCTCCGACCAGAGAATGCTGCTGTTGTGTCTTTGGGCAAGACAGTTAATGCTCCTTGCTTGCTGGTGTTGGTTGGAGGGACTGGTGGCGCCAGTGGTCAGCTGTCAGTGTGCCCCAGGGCAGCTGTGGCTACATCGTAGCTCATCATCCCCACCAGTGTGTGAATGGGTGAATGACTGATTGTGTTGTGCAGCGCCTTGGGGGTTGTAGAACCCTTAGAAGATGCTATACAAATACAGACCATTTGCTGCATAAGTTTCAACTCAAATATCTCTGCTGATGAAGTGCAATAATCTCAGATGTAGTGCCTTTGTTATAAAGTGTTTTTGAAGTCTTGAAACAACTCTAACCTCAAAAAGTTCACAGCAGTTCACGCAAACATTATTAAACTTTTAAACCACTATCAACATTGTGTTATTAGATTATTTACAACACTAAATACTGTGACTTGATAACAATCAATAATTTATGAAGAAAAATCATGAAGATTAACTGTTCGTTTTTTAATTAAAAGAACAACTTCACAAATGAAAGTGTGATGGCAGTTTAAGGTGGAATAATAGTTCAAGCAAGTTTTTTTTTTTTTGAGCGTGAGAAGTGTTGAAGGTACAAAATCCAGATAAAGATGTTAGTTTCCCTGAGGGCCAGACACCACTTTTATTTTTCATTCAAATTCCCAGTTAGGCAGAGAGGAGGATCAAACAGATAAGAGAAAGTTAAATTTTTCCTGTTTAAGCAGCTGCTGTCTGATCTGGGTGATGAAGTCTGAACACGATGCTGCTGGGTGAAGGGAAAGTCAGGAAGTGCTGCTGATCACATAATCGCTCTGTTTTTACAGCTGATATGGCAAATCTGCAAACAAGCTAGGTTTTGAACACAAATACGGTTACAGAACATACACCCCTCCCCTCGGGTATCTTCCCTGAATCTGCATCCACCAGAACCGGAAACCCATATTTGCCAAAGGATATGAGAATGTGTTAAACATCAGTTGCCGTTTTTAGGTCCAAACATCTTTTTTGTCCGTGACTTCGAATGGTGTTTTTCTTTTTGGGACTGTAGTAGTTTGTCCTAAAGTTGAAGTGGTAGCAGCCGACTGTTTCTCCTTATCTGATATTGCTGAACCTCTCTCTTTCTCTCTCTCTTTCTCTCTCTCTCTCTCTCTCTCTCTCTCTCTCTCTCTCTCTCTCTCTCTCTCTCTTTCTCTCTCTCTCTCTCTCTCTCACACACACACGCACACACGCACGCACACACACACACACACACACACACACACACACACACACACACACAGGCTAATAAAATACTGATAATTATCGGTTAGATTACTCTGATGTTCAGTATGCTGATGCTGGTAAAACACTAATTCAACTTTAAGTTATGGCTGGCAAAATAACTCACACTAAATCTTTCTATAAACCAGCAGGAACTAAGGGATCATGATATTCATCTCAAAAGAGAAAATACTATCTGCACCAAATCTCACTAGAAAATCCACTCAAGATGCTTTCTGTTCAATGTCTGAGTTCATTTCAGGGTTAGAGGAGGAAAATCAGAGCATTGTGTAAAAACATGAAGGAGCATTATTTTGATCCTATAGGAATCCATATTTCCTGTGTGTTTACCTGCTGACAGAACGGTGAAATCGGGAGGATCTCAGGTGATCAAACGCTGTTGATTTTGTTGCCACAGAAACTGAAGCAGCTTTGTGGACCAGTAAAAAAGACAAACAACTCAGAGCAGCCTGAGTGGAATTATTTGAATGATAAATGACCCTCACTTGTATAGTGCTTGACACTACAGTGTATCATTCATCAATTCACACACACATTCACACATTGATGGTGATGAGCTTTGATGTAGCCACAGCTGTCCTGGGGCGCACTGACAGAGGCTGAACCCAGCGCCTGGCATACCGGCTGCCCGTCACAACAAGAGAAGCGAGGCAGCCGAGACGACATCCAACCATTGTTGGTTTTAGAGTAAGTGATTTAGTCTCATCCATCCATCATCTGAACCCGCTTGTCCATGCAGGATCGCGGGGGATCTGGTGCCTATCTCCAGCAGTCAACAGGCAAACAGGCAGGGTACACCCCAGACAGGTTGCCAGTCCATTGCAGGGCAACACAGAGACAAACATGACACACAGACACACACACTCACACCTAAGGACAATTTAGACAGACAATTAACCTGATAATCATGTTTTTGGCCTGCGGGAGGACGTCGGAGTACCCGGAGAGAACCCATGCGTCCGTAGGGAGAACATGCAAACTGTGATTTAGTCCTAGACCTGTTAAATTATGTAGGGAACAGCAGTAGTTCAGGAGGTAGAGCGACTTCGATCTCGACTCCGACTAGAGAATGCTGCTGTTGTGTCCTTGGGCAAAACACTTAACCTGCCGTGCCTGCTGGTGGTGGTCGGAGAGACCTGTGTACACTCAGTAGTTGATCAAGTTCACTTTGGGGTAAAGAAATGAAATCAAGCTCAGACAAAGGGTAAAATAAATTTGCAAGCAGTTGGTGTCATGTTAGACCAACATTCATTATGGACAAGTCGAAGACACACAAGAGCAGCCAGACAAGAAGCAGACAGTACAATAAAGAAATCAGCTGGAACATACCGCTGCACAAGAGAAAATCTTATGATGGACTAGGACAGCACAAAGATCACAAACAGAAAAACAAAAATAAAAAAGGTGAATCAAAGAAATGATAGAAATAAGGAGACATGGACACAAAACCATGAACAGAGAAAATAGAGTATTCACATTGGATCACACATGGGACAGTGTCATCAGCAAGGAGGACGCAGGCAGTTTAAATCAAAATTAAAAACCTTCGTGTAATCATCAGCCTTTGAATAAATGCTTCTTATGCTGCACTTTCTGCACTGTAACTGCATCCCTTTTGACTATGCCTTTTAAATGTTTGTTGAATCTAAAATATCTACATTTCTTTGTTTGATTTACTGTGTTTGCTGTTCTTGCTTCTGTAAAGAATTGCTTTTGTGTTTCAAATGTGCTATACAAATAAAGCTGCCTTGCCTAAACTGTGTAAAATAAAAAAAAGAAAATGGAAAATTTTTATTTATACATATAGTCAATCAATCAATCAATCAATCAATCAATCAATCAATCAATCAATCAAATCTTATTTGTATAGCACCTTCCACTGCCTTTACAGAAGCCCAAGGTGCTGAAACATAACATCAAAACAACAAAAGAGCAAAGAGACTACAAGACAGATTAAAACTGCATAAAAGAGTAACTAAAATAACAAAACAGATACGATAAAAGACTAAAATTCTAAAAATCCATATTACATAAAAGCCAAGCGATAAAAATCAGTCTTCAAACGACTCAAAGACCTGCAGAGATGGGGACTGTTTGACAACAAGTGGGAGCCTGCTCCATTGTTTCGGAGCTAGGACAGAAAAGGTCACATCACATCTGGCTTTCACTCTTGTTTTTGTGACGATGAGCAAATCTTGGTTAGCTGAGCGAAGAGAGCGCATATCATATCTTTATTTATCTATCTAGTTTTTTATCTTGATTATTTATCTAAGTTTATTTATATATTTCTCTCGAATACTTATCTGTTCTACTGGTTTTCTAATTTTCTGTTGTATGTTAAGGAGGTCCCTCTCAAAAACCAGATGTTTCATCTCAAGGGGCTTTATCCTCGTAAAATATCTGAGCAGATCTATCAGGATTTAGGGGTAAAAAAATTAAATATTCCAATGTATGTGTTACATCCCCCTTTGGTGTCTAGGAGGTTCTGAGAGGGATATCCAATACTTAGACTTTCTGAGATGTTAAAATGACTAGAGTTAGCTACTTGTATGTGTTTTGAGTGTCTACCTGGTTAACTATACCACAACCAGCTGTCCTAACTGGACTTACCTTTCTTCTACTTAACTTGCAAACACAGGGGTCACCACTAGGAGAGGAAGATATGCTACAATATTGTCATTGATTTCATCAATATGTTTATCAATAACCCATTTCCTATAGTCGGAGAGAAAAGGGAGACAACAAGTCAAACAGTTATAACTGTGGCAGATGCACAAGGCAAAATGCACCGAACATCCGGTTACAGAGTTTACTTATAGAGAGGGAGTGTGTGTGTGTGTGTGTGTGTGTGTGTGTGTGTGTGTGTGTGTGTGTGTGTGTGTGTGTGTGTGTGTGTGTGTGTGTGTGTGTGTGTGTGTGTGTGTGTGTGTGTCTGAATGAGTGAGCATGCAGAGAGGCATAGAGCAATACATTTACATTCAGTTGATTGAGTCCTTGATCAAGAATTAATAAACATAAATTTTTCCATAACAAATATAATAGAAATAGTAAAATCTGGGACACCAGAGGAAGCTTTTAATTAGACCTGAAACACCTCCAATTGTCAATGGTTTATGGGAGTGTCTACTTCTGATTTTTAGGGGGTGTCTTTGCTTCAACACGTCTGATTTTAACCAGTGTGTTATTATTTAGTTTCTACAGAGAGGAAACAACTAAACCAC